CCCGACAGTTCGACCATCCTGCCGTTTTGAATGCGGTAATCTGAGATTGCTCAGAAACACTAAGACAGCGACCACGTGGCATTTCAAAATGATTTAAAAAGAGACGAATAAGGACCACTGTAGGTTCTCAAAGCCACACAACAATTTTTATGCACACTGGTCCCGCCAAAGTTTCAAAAAAAGGCGAAAAAGTTCGTTTCATGGGGGTGGCTTTATAATTCTGCACCGCTCGAAAAACGAATTTGGACCACAGCGCGGTTACTTTTTGAAATACCAACATGAAATTTGGGACATATAGGTTATTTTTCATGCTAAACACGATTTTAACACTTGTTGGTCTCAAAGTATCGAAATCATTGCGCGGCGCTCAAATTTGGGGGTGGCCTTATAATTCTGCAACGCACTGTAGTAGTATATTGGGTCTGTGGGGCGTCGTCCACTTTTTCAAAATCAAGGATTTAAGCAAGTTTTCTTGTTAATAATACAAAATTTATTTTAAAAAACAACACTTTTTGAATTGTAAGAGGGCTGACCTCAAAAAAGACACCACCGTAACGAGACCCAGAGGGCTGTTATATTTTTACTTTTTAAATTTTCTGCATTTATTCGACTTTTTCACTTTAAAAATGCATTATTTCTTGTAATTTTTAACCTTTTTTATTGCAGCCCCACTTTCGACACTCAAGGTTTTCAAAAAATAAAAAGATAAAAAATTAGTAACCATAAGGAACAGTATCATAAAAATTTTCATTTATTCGTTTAATAATTCTTTTATCATAATCAAACGTATACTTTTTTTTCTTGATATTTATTAATAATTTTCTTATTTTATGGATCTCTCGTTATTTTATTTTCATCGATTACTACAAGCTCTTTATTATTTCTAACCATTTCCAACATACTTTGATGATTTATGATTTTAGAATTCTTGAAATTCAAAGTAAATCCTTTATTCTTTGTTTCACACTCAAATGAGATAATTTCATATTCATCTAAGATTTTTCTCATTTCTTCCTTTTCTGTATCATCATCATCATAAAGTTCTTCAATTAAATTTTCTGTTTTATCATGGACAATATTATAGTAACTATAACTTTTCGGACCTGTTGATACCCAATAATCAAACTGATCTTCTAATGTCCATTCTCCTAAATTACTTCTAATTTCAACAGAATTCTTAACATTATCAATGTAAACTATACTATCAGTGTCATAATAAACTACAGTTTCTCCAAGTCTATCTAAAAGTTGATATTTTTTTCCATTCTTTATTTTGGGTTTGTTAATTCCAAAATTTTTTCTCCAATTTTTACCCGATTATATGTACATACATGTTGTTCAATAGGTTGTAAATGTTATGTAAATTATGCTATTTATAATTACTTGTGAACCTATTCAGAACAAACCAAAAACAAAACACTGTTTGACATTCATTGTAAAGAAAAATCCATCTCATGAATAAATCCAATAACGATATTTTGAAATATCAGACGATCAATATTTTACTATTTAATTTAAAAGGCAAGTGAAGAAAAAAGCAATACTCTTTATTAAACGAACAATAAAAATGTCTGATAGCCCTAAAGAGGGCCGTTGGGATTCGCAGTATTTTGAGGTGTCTCGAAATACTTCTCGCGACTTGCTAGGTCGTTGGAGAAGCCGCCCAGTTGAGGATGAATATCCTCGACTTGCTTGAGACGGTGTGCCGATTAGCCTGACTCGACAACCCCTGAAGGAGTGTCGAGTCAGTTGATCTCCTTCGCCACGTAGAGGCTCGACACTTGAAGGAGAGGCTCACACAGCATCAGGAAGAGACCTGATGTGGATCATTGCCCGACCCCGAAGGGTCTAAAAACAAAAATAATAAGTGAAAATAATGGAAGGATGTACAGACGTAAGTGGTACGAATGTACGGAAAGAAGAGAGTGAGTGAGAAGCCGCAAGTGGTACGGCAGAGGGGAATCAGTCGACTGATAGAGAGAGAGAGGACAGCCGTAAGTGGTACGACTGGTGGAAGTGAGAAGCCGCAAGTGGTACGGCAGGAAGAGGATGGGGAAGCCGGCTTTCCCCAGAAAAGAAGGGATGGTCCAAAACGGTAGGACCAGGAGGAAGTACAGACGTAAGTGGTACGAATGTACGGAGAGAAGGGGAATCCCAAGTGGTGGGATAGAGAGTGGGAAGCCGTAAGTGGTACGGCTGGTGCAAGTGAGTGATAATAAAAATTAAAAATTAAAAAATTAATAAATAATAAAAATAAAAATAAGGCCCGGGCCTAAAACTACCATGATCCGCGGATCAATTACTTCTCACTGGTGTCATTCCTCGTCGCTTCCTCCAGTCGTCTTCTCTCGATCCGTTCATCGAAAACCCTGCAATGAATCGAATTATTCCGATCGATTGTTGCTTCTTCGTTACCATTTGAATCCGCTTCCTCACTCTGCTCGACGCCCCGGGCAGCGTCGACCTTTCGCCGCCTCTCCATCTCTTCCTTCATCACCTCGATGCCTCAGTGTAGGTTTAACGTCACCTCGAACCAACACTGCATTACGCCCATTGAAGGGTGAGCCCTGACTAACGGAGCCGGTCGAGGCGAGAATCCCTCACACCTTGAACACTTCCGATCCGAAGGTGTCGATGGAGAATCGACTGTGGCTCATATCGGATCTGCAAAAAGAGGAAATCAGGAAAAGCGACGGCGATGAATGCGACTTACCTAGTGGATCCTTGGCCACAGCGAGCCCGCAGGAGATGCGGGCTGCCCGCAGGTTGCGCGGGGGCACGTGGAGCCCGCAGGTTATGCGGGACACGAGGAGCCCGCTGGCGGGTTGCTCGCAACTCGGAGAGCTGCGAGAATGACCAAATTCCTCATTCCGCCGGCCTTTTATAGTGCCACTGGGCGTCGGTGCGAGATTTGCAATAGAGCGCGTTTGTCGAGAAGAATTCACAATTGACGCCAAGTGTTATTCTTATTCTCTCATGTTAGCACACTCTCTGCTCCCCGACGCGCTTTCCCGATCGACGCTGTATTGCCCTAGAGCGCATTTGCCTCATGAAACAAACGCTGGAGGCGGAGTTTAGATTGCGAATTCGCGGCTACAATGTAGCAATCTCAACGCGAATAATAATAAATAAATCTAGAAATTCAATTTATGGAAATCAGATTTTAAACGAGAAATTCGAAATTCGTTGAGTTCGCGGTACGTGCTTCGAGAATTTCTTTTGCCGAATGTTACTTTCCGTGTGTGCTTCAGAATTGCAATTACTCGAAATGAATCCCAATGCCATCGTTATTGTCCTGCACGGAATTCCGTCTTCCGGCATTTTTTACTGTTATGTTTTCCGTCAAACACAGTTTTTATTGCGACTACCGTATACCCTCTTCCGTCAAAAAAGTTTCTTCTGTTCTTATTCTTTAGGAGAATAATAAGCTTTTTCCAAAAGATCTCTTTCACCTTCGGAACTTGTGGATTGTCTAAGAATTTTAGATTTTTACTAATTTTAACATCCTTGATATCTCCTAATCCAGAACCTCCTGTGATTGTTGGAATTAGCTTACACTTCATTGTTTTACAATCTTGGCATAACCCTTTTATCATAGTTTCAAGCTTGTTTCAACATTAAATATGTCAGTAGTATCAGTATATTTTTTACATTTGAAACAGTAAACCAATTCCATAATTTAGAAGTTAAAATTTTTTGGATACAAATATCTTATTTGATTTTGTGAAATGGGAAAAAGTGAAGGAACTAGAAAGTGAATTCACTTCCACCTAGCCATGAACCCCAAACATGGCTACCTCACCTGAGGTATTAACTTTTTCACTTGGCTTCAATCAAACAAGATATTTGTTTGGTTCACAGAAAATTTTTGTTTTACTTTTTCAAAATAAAACAAGAAGATAAAATAACAACAAACATGAAATAACAAAAAAATTAACAAAAACAATCAAATGATTATTCACTTTCTTCCCTTCCGGAGAAGATTCTTCAAGTCGTTTCATAGCCTTTTTTCTCAGAATTTCGATTGCTCATTCAACATTTCCTGCTGAAATATATCTTATTCATTTAAAGTCAATTGATCTTTTCGACTTACCTTTTCAGTATACCTCTTTCAGTATTTAGATAGCTCTTCTTTGTTGTTATTCTGAAGACACACAATCTTTACAAAAATTAATTATTCACATTTAGTAGTTCATTACTCACACCTTTAGTAGTTCGTTGAATCTTTCTTCTCGTTAAACATAATAAAATCTCTGGTTATTGAACACATCTTTCACTGTTCGAAGAGATTCACCAATTTCGTTAAATTGATGTTGTAGAAATGAAACCTGCAAATAACGAATAATCTAGTGTATCAAACAGAAAAGACTTACCAGTTCTTTCTGTTCACTATTACGCTTTATGGAGAAGTAGAGATTTGTTGACACGAGAAGCATCTTCCATCTTATAAGAAAATATTGAACTTTGCTTGAAAAAACATCTTCAAAATGAAATAACAACACAAAAACTGAAGAAATTCTGCGACGTAAATCGTTCTCAAATGATACACTTCGTTCTTTCATACCTGTTTGCCAGTACCTTCGAGAAGGTTTAGGTGTCTCTCTTTCTCCTTCACCGAAGTGAATGCTTGCAGATCCTTCAGTTCTTTTTGGTGTGTCGTCTTTGCCCTGGCAATTTCTCTTTCTCTTTGTGTGACATTCTTTTCTCTTCCTCACTGTGACCGAGCACAATCACGCATTGACGCGACACGCAAACGCGTTGGTCCAGAGTGGAAGGGTGATAGGGGTGACGCGTAAGCAGAGACGCAGAGGAAGGCGGAAAACTGCTAACATCGCATTCTTCCATTAGAGGGAACGTTAACCCTAACTATTTTTACTGTTTCATTTATCTTTGATTGAATTTCCTCTCTCAAAATGTTTTACTGTCTAGTCGCTTCAAACCGAATATTTCATTTGTATTTTTCGTTCATCTTTAATAACTAAAATTTTGATTTCAGAAGAATGCCGAAGAAGCTTGCCGTTAATGGACGTACTGTTTGGGTAGAGGAGGAAGATTTTGACGATGTGTGCGAAATGTTCAAGGAGAATGTGACTGTGGTCGATTTGGAAAGTTGGGAGTCCAAGGTATGATTTATTTTCATCTTTTTTAATGAATGCTAATAAGCTTTCTAAAAATAAAACTACGAATTAACAACACTTTTTAAAAGTTAATTTGTTTTTCAGAAGGAAATGGAGCAATACACGGCAAAGCCCGTCATTATTTATCTCTTTCGCCTCCGGATCTCGTTCAATCAGCAGAGAAGACGTGGTTTGCCGCCGTATACGCTGTCAAAAAGCTTTATTTGACTTGTGGAGGTATTGATTGTCAAATCCGGGACGATTTGACCTGAAAAAGGGGAAATAAATGGAAAATATAGAGGTAAAAATGGGAAAAAGAGAGGAGAAATAATTTCGAAAATGTGGCCGTAAATCTACACTGTGCGATGGGGCGCGGTTGCAACCCTAATGAATAGACGCAGACGGTGAGAGCCTATAGGGCGTGATGGGTGAATTTCCCACGGGTTCCCGCCGCGACGCCAGGAAGTAGGATTTTGGGAGTAAACAAATGGATTAATTTTGGCCTAAATTAGTCAGTTTTTCGCTCTGTTTTGACCGCGAGCGGTCGGTTTTTTTGGCTGTTCTCTTCTGAATGTTTTGTTGAAGCCTCTCACCATGCTCGGGGAGCATGTCGGTGGCCCGGGGGGCCTGTACCGAGGGAGGCAGATGAATCTTGATCGGCCGAGGGCCGCGTCAAGATGAATCTTGAAGGCGTGAGCAGTCTGGGACTGTTCAAGCCTAGAATTTGCGGATTGAGCAGTCTTGGACTGCTTAAACGAAGCCTTAGCCTCCCGAGAGGTCGACTTGGTACTCTAGGACTGCCTTAGAGAGGGAAAAGCCCGAGCGAGATGCTCGGGTGGGTTAATGATGATGCCCAGAGCCTAGCTACGGCGATGAAGGCCCAGGGATCTGAAACCTCTTTCTGCCCACCAAAGAAGGTCCCGAGAGGGACGGGGTTTTGGCATGATGGACTATCTTTCGGTGCCTTTTAGAAGTACTGAAGGGTGGAGAAGTGCCAAAATTTACATTGATCGCATAATTCTTTGAAGTATTAATCTGAATGTTTGAGGTGTCGATCTGAAATCTCACAACTCGCTGAAGTTCTTCGCACGATTTGCGATTAAACATGCAGAGTTATCCGACGACGTCTTCTGGCATTTGCACGACAGTTGGACAAAAGCCGAAAAGTAAGTTGTTCAAGTTTATACACTTTAATGCATAATCGATTTATTATTATAATTTCCTATTTATTTAATTTTGGTTCCATATTTTTGATACTTTTTATTTCTCTTATATGTAGTATAAACAAGTTCAGGATGTACCGAGACGTCTATGGCTCTTGCAATTTTCGCGTGAGCGAATATGCTCAAATAATCTCTGACGTTGAGACGTTCGTGCTCAAGTTTGAAGCCTTTGATCGCAAAAGTCTTTGGATCGAATTTGATAAGGCTTTCATTTCCGGAAACAATCCAGACGTTGTAATTAGAAAGGAATCGCATTCCATTAATCTTGGTGGTTCTCTTTTCAAGTGTGATTACTCAGTCTTTGTGTAATTTATTTCCGTAAGTGCATAATATGTCTATTGTTTGTATTGTGTACGATGATACCAAATTACGGACTTATCTCCGAGTTGTTGTAATGGATGATGGTATTCACACCAGACCAATTACTGATTTTTCAAAATCAAAGTTTTCCAGTAACTTAAGAAGAAGTAAACAGTAATAACCACAGTGATGTGTTTCGAATTCTTGTATTTGAAATGTTGATAAAAGTATTTTATCCTTTTCTTTTGCGTAAGCAAGCTTCCTAGAAGTACATCCTTTAAACTATTTTTGAAGTTCTAATGGTGGATCTAATCCAAAAGAGTCGAAGTAATACATTTTATCTTTAATCTTGGAATAGCGGACCCAATGAGGTCCTTTATTATTAGAAGAATCCAGATTGACTATACCCACTTCTCTTTCTTTAATTCCTTCACTCGGCACATTGTCTCATAAAGAGGCCCATTGCCATCAACCCCCAATTTTCAACCCCTACCCCTGATTTTCCACCCCCAAAATTTAGCCCCCATTTTTATTTTTCAACCACCCCCTAATTTCCACCCCCAGATTTTAGCCCCCATTTTTATTTTTTTTTTATTACCGGTCAATGTTAATTGACTCAAATTTTTGACTTGAGTACTTAATTATGTTCTTTTTGCCAATACCGTAAATTTTCCTAGAAATTGTCAGTGTTATATATGGGGGAGGGGATCTTAAGGGGTCGGAATTCGAAAGTTTTTAAAAATCCAGAAAATGATCCTAAGTGCCCATTGTTTCAGAAAATGATGCTAATACGTAAATCTTTTTCATCAAATTTTCTGAAAAAAATTTTTTAAGAAAATTTTTACAAGAAATGAACTATTCACGGAAGAGCAGGTTCAGATAGACTTCAGGTTCAGATTCGGGGTTCAGATAGACTTCGTAAGCGTGAATCTATTCCCACAATTTCCAATATTTCAAGTATCCAATTGTGCAATTCTGTATCAAGCTTTTTTGCAAGCCTTGCGCAAATCAAATACCTAAAAACAATAGTGGCAGCCAAATAGGCTTAAATTTTGTGTACAATTTAACACATTTGAGGAATATAAATTTATTTTAGGAAAACAAAATTAAAATAGAATGGAAAGGGAACAAAAAAAATGGGAAAAATTTACCAAACATTACAAAAAAAAACCAGCGAATCGAAGAAAGGATATCGATGGCGCGGGATTAGCGTCAGACGAAGCCTGAAAGACACATAAATCATGAAGTAATGTTGAATATACGAAAAATAAAACAATCCTAAAAATTGGGAAAATATTAGGCATTTATTAATTTCAGTCCTAAATAATCACTAGTTCAGTCCTAAATAATCACTAGTTTACAAATATATACATTTAAAATAAAATTATAATTAATTTAAATCCAATTTTAAAAGAATAAATCGCAAAAAATCGTTAAAAACTTTAAAAAATTGGAAAGAATTAAAGCAAAAATAATACCGCCGACAGCTTAAAGGTGCAGCGTTACTGTAGCATTCGCATAACTGTGCGATTTTTAACAATTGGATTTTTGAAAAATTAACTCATTTTTTCCCTATTTTTAACGATTTTTTGCGATTTATTCTTTTAAAATTGGATTTAAATTAATTATAATTTTATTTTAAATGTATATATTTGTAAACTAGTGATTATTTAGGACTGAACTAGTGATTATTTAGGACTGAAATTAATAAATGCCTAATATTTTCCCAATTTTTAGGATTGTTTTATTTTTCGTATATTCAACATTACTTCATGATTTATGTGTCTTTCAGGCTTCGTCTGACGCTAATCCCGCGCCATCGATATCCTTTCTTCGATTCGCTGGTTTTTTTTTTTGTAATGTTTGGTAAATTTTTCCCATTTTTTTTGTTCCCTTTCCATTCTATTTTAATTTTGTTTTCCTAAAATAAATTTATATTCCTCAAATGTGTTAAATTGTACACAAAATTTAAGCCTATTTGGCTGCCACTATTGTTTTTAGGTATTTGATTTGCGCAAGGCTTGCAAAAAAGCTTGATACAGAATTGCACAATTGGATACTTGAAATATTGGAAATTGTGGGAATAGATTCACGCTTACGAAGTCTATCTGAACCCCGAATCTGAACCTGAAGTCTATCTGAACCTGCTCTTCCGTGAATAGTTCATTTCTTGTAAAAATTTTCTTAAAAAATTTTTTTTCAGAAAATTTGATGAAAAAGATTTACGTTTTAGCATCATTTTCTGAAACAATGGGCACTTAGGATCATTTTCTGGATTTTTAAAAACTTTCGAATTCCGACCCCTTAAGATCCCCTCCCCCATATAACACTGACAATTTCTAGGAAAATTTACGGTATTGGCAAAAAGAACATAATTAAGTACTCAAGTCAAAAATTTGAGTCAATTAACATTGACCGATAATAAAAAAAATAAAAATGGGGGCTAAAATCTGGGGGTGGAAATTAGGGGGTGGTTGAAAAATAAAAATGGGGGTTAAATTTTGGGGGTGGAAAATCAGGGGTAGGGGTTGAAAATTGGGGGTTGATGGCAATGGGCCCATAAAGATTCCCCGGAAGTTCTTAATCTTTAATAATTCTACTAATTCAATGAGATCATAATTTGTCAGAGGTTTAAGATTTTGGGAAAAGCTCATTTAATAGCAATAAAAACAATAAATACAAGTGAAAAATTAGCCCCAAAAAGTGACTTTTTTTTAATGAATGATTTTCGATGAGTTTTGACACTTTTTGATGAAAATAACAGTTAAAATAGTCAAAAAGTGCAAAAAACGTTATTTGGGCAAATAAAGTGCGCCAGTGACAACTTTTTCTATACTACTATTGTTCCTTATGGTTACTAATTTTTTATCTTTTTATTTTTTGAAAACCTTGAGTGTCGAAAGTGGGGCTGCAATAAAAAAGGTTAAAAATTACAAGAAATAATGCATTTTTAAAGTGAAAAAGTCGAATAAATGCAGAAAATTTAAAATGTAAAAATGTAACAGCCCTCTGGGTCTCGTTTACCCCGTAAAGCTTTGAGAAGAATTGAAAGGAAAATAAAGAAGTGTGCAATGGTTTAAGAATAAGATATTACATTTGAGTTGAAACAGTAATGTGTAATTGAATGTGTGTGCGCTAGTTTTTTTTTAGTTGAATAAAACAGTTTCTATTAACTTAAAACCTACCTCGGGACCCCCCAAATCAAGCTATCATATCCGTACGTTCCTCAGTAGCGTTTAGGGTTGGACTCCGTGCTTTTATATACCTTCTAGTATTCTTCGGCGTCTAGTATTTACCTCCACATCCAGTATTTAAGAGGGATGGAAACCTTTATGTTTACCACTGCGAGTTTTGATAACATTTCATATTTGGTTCAAGGCTGCTCTGACGTGCTCATTGAATCGTTGGGTCAAAGGACGCCTGGTTTTCCCGATGTAGAAATCCCCAGATTCACAGCAGATTTCATACGTAATTATTCAATGTCGCCAGACGCGTTGCGGTCGAAATTATCTACATACATATATAACTTTTAGTTAAGATTACTGTAGCTCAGATTGAACTGCGCGGTTCGGTGTACGCACACAATTCACAGGATATCGCTGCAGTTTTTCACATTCGTCATTTTTCCAAAATAGATGTATGAACCTGAACCGCAACGCTTCTGGACAAAAAGGTCTCGCAGCGAAAAATTCTGCTAGCCACTTTTTTTTTGAGAAACGCTATACTCGGTGTACAAACATACCGTATTCCTTATTAGTTCTGACACATATTTTTTTATCATTTTCTTATCAAATCATTTCGAAATTTCTCTTAATTCCAACCGGAAACTGACTCAATGTGTTCTAGTTTTTATTTTTTTTTTCATCCATCATATCGCGACTTCTCCTGTTTTAAAACCCATGATAATTTATCATAAGGACCACGTTATTAATTTGTAAATTATTAAAAATTGCAGTAAAAGACAATTTAAAGGGTTTTGCAGCAACTGATGACTAGACAAAGTATATCGTAAAAAAGAACACCAAAGCGCGAGAAATGAAAAAAAAACAGTAGCGAGAGAAAACCGACAAAAGAAATGATTGACAAGTACAAATACCGCATGGAACAAGAAAACAAAAATAAAACAATCCCGTAAATGATTCTATTAGAGTTGTGGTGGGTTTTGGTGAATTTAAAGGCGCAGAAAGGCATCTTGTGTGAAATTGTCATGGAATGTAATGGATGAACAATTCAATTTTTAAAATGGGTATTGATGAGGGAATTAACAGTCGAAGAAATATGATATGATTCCTATCTAGCAGCAGTGTAAAACCTGAAAGTCGGCGGGTATTATAGAATATCTGAAACGAGAAACTCACTAGAATGCGTCATCTTGACCTCGTTCCGTTTTAGAAATAAGGTACGCTGTGTGAAATAATGTCTCATTTTTCGGCACCCGAAAACTTCGATCAATTCCTAAACGAAAAATTTTGGATGAAACATATTGTCGGAGTCAAACGACTGGACGAAAATTGAAAAATTATTGGCTATGTGCCAATGTGTCTCGAGACAGTGAGAAGTACGCAAAATTGCGTACATTGCATTATAGCGTACGCGCATTGAATAGTCAGTCAATGATAAATTTAAATCTACACCGATTTCGCGAATTTGAAGGCTCCGTCTCCGTTCAGTCTTTTGACACCAAAGAGAAAAAAAGACGTTACCAAAAGGTTTCAAATGATAAATGAGATATTCCAAGACATACATCTGGTTTGGGCTCACATAGTGAAAGGAAACCGCGTAATCTGCAATTGGATGAAGATTGAACAAAGGGGTTCTCGAGAATATTATTTGTATTACCTGAACAACACGTTGGTCCCTGATCGAACGGATAGTACGTGTATTGCCAAAACCAAAATTTCGGGTCGACGTGTCCCGGCGACAAGTGATGTTCGGGAACGAACGGCATGAATCGATGACGTCCGTCGGCGTCGCGTGAATCGCCAGCCTTCACGCCAACCTTTTCGAGACACTTTCCCATTTCAGCGTCTTCGGCTCCGCCGTGACCTTGAGAGCAGAGCGTCTTATTCGGCATCGCGACTTCGATGAATCTTCAATTACAGAAAAATAAAATATTTGCAAAATCAATTTCGACACCTTTTAAGAGCCTCTCGACTCAGCACATATCCGGCACCTCCACTATGATAGCCGCCTTTTGTGAATGGCTTGAATTTGCATCCAAAATGAACCGGCTCATCAGGCGAATGTGAAAGAAGCAAAAATCTGAAATAATTGAAAAAAAATCAATAATTGTTTTGGACCTATTCATGCAATGAAAAAAAATAAAAATAATCAATTTTTTCATTTGAATTCCCTACGCACGCACGCCGGAAATTACAAAAATTTGACGCGATATATCGTAATTCTCCGATATTTAATTTTCAAGGCGCACAAGAAAAGTTGCGCAGGTCACGTCGCGAAGGCGGTACTGTAATTTTTATTTTTTTTAATCTCTCATTTTTTTTGCATTTTCCGAAAACTTTGAAAAGAAAATGAGTAACGGATTGAAAAACGACGAAAAAAAACAATTATTTTTTCGTCATTTAAATACAAATTATTATGAGAAATAGTGATATTTGTGTTGATTTGATGCAGACTTTGCTCGATGACGTTTCTAATGAACCTTTAGCGTTGATTAAAAAATAATCTTTACAGATTTCCAAAAAAAAACGTTTTAAATGCTCAAAAATGTTTAAAAAAAATCGAAAAAAACAGCTATTAAAAAATTACAGTACCGACTTCGCGACGTAACCCTCGCAACTTTTCGCATGCGCCTTTAAAAATAAATAGCGGAGAATTACGATATATCGCGTCAATTTTTTGTAATTTTCGATGGGCGTGCATAGGGAATTCAAATGAAAAATATTGATTCAAAAAAAATTGTTTTTTTTTCATTGCATGAATAGGTTCATTTGAATGCTGAGTTGAAATGCTCACCTCAGATTCTCCATTACCACATAGGTATCATCATCGGCTTTGAGGAACCAATCATATTCATTCAAATGATGCTCATAGATGTATTTGAATGCTCCTTTTGTTTTCGCCCACAGATAATCTCGACCTTCAGAGACATTCAGATTGATTGAAGGTAGTTCGGGATCTTCTTCAGATGACATGAATACATATCTTCAACAATACCAATTGGTTCTCCGAACCAAATTTTTTTTAAATTCCCAACACTCACTTGTTACATCTTCTAGCCCACGTGGCTTTCACGTGTTTTGCACGTTTATCGTGATTCTGTTTTCCGGTCAGAATCCAGCAGAATACGCGCACCTTTTTCGCGATTTCATCCGCCACAATGCTTTCGCCTAAAAAAGCAAACATTTTCCAAAAAAAATATTGTCTACAATATCGGCCCCCTCAAAAATTGCTATTTTTTGCAGAAAAAACGACGACCGATTCAATTTTTTGTGCAACTCGAGGCAGCTTTTCTACGAACTCAAAATTGGACCAATTGGACCATATTAATTTTTTTTTAACCCGTGCCGTATGGTCCGTGAATTGCATTTTTGCAGTCCCACGCGGACAATGAACAAAGCTGCGTAAATAGTCGCGCATATTGACACACATTTTGCAAAACTGAACTCTACAGTCGACTTCGACCATAAACCAACAATTGAATCGGAATCACAAAAGAAAATTGGAAATGGAATATACATAGTCAACGTCCGGCGACTGGTGTAGATCTACGCGCATGCGCCTTGAAAAAGGTACTGCCACGTGTGAACGCTTTTTTTGCTATTTTCACATGAACCATTTTTTTCTTGATGATTTCTTGGAATTTCAATTTAAAAATTATCGAACTGACCCATACAATGCAAAATATGCGCAAGTGCAAAGAGAAAGGAGCATCCCCCTAAATCTACCCTTGATGGTTCGAGAATGGACGAATTTAGTGGGACGTTGCTTATTATTTAAATTTTGGCGCCATTTTCGATTTGATCTATGTAATATGAAATGCATTGAAAACCACAGTAGATATCAAAGGCGCAGGCAAAAATTTGTTGATTTCGCGCTAAGATCAAAAATGTCTTGATCATTCAAATTTGTCGAGTTCGTCCGTCGTCGACAATAAAATTTAACAATCAAAATGTGAAAGAGCATAATTTTTAAGAATTTTGCGTATTTTTGCGATATTTAACAAAATTAACACGTGGCAGAGGAATACACGTCGATTTTATTGCACGGGACCATTAAATTTCCAGTGTTCAAACTTTTCAAATTCGACCACAACTAATTATTAGGTTTTGTATCTACTGAATTAGCTATTGAAATTACATCAAGAAGCGAGTTACAGTAATCGGTGAATACTAAGAAAATCGGAGATTTTCGATAGCTCCGAAAACATTGTCGGAGTCAAACGGCTGGACGAAATTTAAAAAAATGATTGGCTATGTGCCAATGCGTGTAGTGAGTAGTACGCAAGACTGCGTACATTGCATTATAGTGTACGCGCATTTAATATTCAGTCAACGATTAATTTAAATCTACACTAATTTCGCGAATTTGAAGGCCTCCAACTTCCTTCAGTCGTTTGGCGATGGCAATACCTATTTAGGGTTTTCGTTTTTTTTTTGTAAAAATTGAAATGGAATAAGTAATATACCATCGTGAGAATGTGACGAATCGTTTGAATGAAACTGAACGGGGGCAAAATCAGCGTGATTGTCGTCTACTTGTGAATCGTCATGCTGAAATCAAAAAAAAAAAACACACACATAGACAATCGTCTCATCAATAGTCAAATAAACGCGTACCGGATCGTTATTATGTGCGTGATCGTGATTATCAATGTGTCGATCGGGTCGAATCGCTTGATAGTTTGAGATTCCATCAAATACATTCTACAAAATGGGAGACACTCGAATCGAAATGAAGGTAAAAATAGATTACGGCAGATGGCTGTGAGATGATCGACAGACACAATCCGATGAAAACGCCAAGGCCGACGTATAAAAGCGGGGAAACTCGCGGCCAATTTGCCATTCCTTTTCAGTTCATCTGAATTCAAAAAATGACAATTTTACGTCAAACGAATATTTCATTCATTTTAATGAGATTATTATTATTCAGCTCGTTTTTCAGAATAATTCAGACAAAGAAAAAAGAAAAATGAGAAATTTTCGTTTTTAAATTCAATTGAATTAATAACCAAGTAACAAAAATATGATATTTTTCGAAATTTTTGGAAAAAATAAAATAATCTGCAATATAATATTGTAAAGAAAAATAATTTGAAATCCTCAACAGCGTGTTAAATTTTTTTGGAAATTCACATAAAAAGATTGAATTTTTAACAGTTATAATATTTTTTAATTATAGGAATTTGCAGATCTGTAATAATTCGTTCAAATAACGACTTTAAAAATTTGTGAAAAACCAAAAAAAATTTCAGGGCGACGGCAAAAACGAACAATAGAAAGAACACTGAGAAAGCAATCTAACCGTAATATATTAGTTATTGAAAATATGGAATTTTTTAAATGAACAAAAGAATTTGGAAGATCGTTTAAACAATTTCACAAAAAATATATAATTTTAAAGAAATTTTTAATTATAAAAAGTTTTTTTCTTTATTAGAATTCATGTTTTCTCAAATGTGCAATTCGAATTTTAGCTGAGTATTCTAACATAAAACAATTTCACAAAAAATGAGACGAATAGGCTTGACCCGAAATTATGAGGTGTTTTCTCGCGAAAAATGTTGAATCCTGAAACGTGGGTTAAGAAAATATGTGTATTCGAATAGAATGAATCAAAATGTTTAAAACATCAGAATAAACATTTGGAGAAGTTCACAAAATACATTGGTGTACGGATTATTTGGAAATTTGGTAAACAATTCGAAGCTTCAACAACTAAAATTTGCGATATCAGAGGGGCAAGTAGTACGGTAGGTGTGTGTGGGTGTGGTTGTCGAATTCGGCGGCCGCCGGATTAATCGGTTTGCCAGCGTGGCATTTCGCCATGAGAACCATATTGAAAAATCACTCAAAATGCATACAAAACTGCGCGTAACACATGGCGTAAAATAGTGGGCGGATTTGGGAGAGGCGCGAGATGAAAACGAATCGAATGGCACTCGAGTCGGAGAGAGCCTTGAAGTGAGAAGAGACTCGGACGGCATGGTGCACATCACACATACACACACGCATTCACAACACACCAAAATTCGAGTATCTCATTTGATATATCACTATTTGCCACAGAATGCAATTGCGGACATTTTGTGACGTATGAGAACACATATCTCGAAAGTTTCGAGACTCGAATGTCCGCAGATCCGAATTATATCGAAAAGCTCGCACATCGCTGACAACCGTCAACTGTCGACCGCAGCTCGCCAGCAACAAAGAATTGACGAATGGCACTTTTTGTTGCTTCGGAGATTTTATGATTCGTCGGGCCGATCCGGAATGCGTAGTTTACGTGGTATAAACAAACAAACGTCCGTCGCGTACGCGGTGGTGCAATGATCAGCAACAGCTATGCACATTTCGGACCGAGTATCCGGTGACATTATTAAACGTGGATTGTGTCAATATATCGAATTTTGGCAACAATTTTGGAACACGAGTTTTCAGTTTCAAATGTTTAGACAGACAGAAAGAGAGAGAGAGAGAGAGAGAGAAGAAGAAGAAGAGACTTGTCGGGAAATCAGAATTTCATGATCTCATTCTCTGAAAGAGATCAACAAAACAGACAGCGAGCAGTTTGAATAAATTGATTCCTGTTTGACAATATAATACCCAATAATTATCATCATCGTATCGTTTTATTGTTACCAGTTGCTGTGAACATTTCAAACATCTTCAAACCTAGATGGCAAATACGAAAAAAAGAAAAACATGAATATTCTTTTAATCCCATTTATTTCGAAATCGTAAAATGCACAACGAATGGAGAAGACTAAAAACTGAGTCAAGATGTTTATGGCGGACATTTTGGATGTTTTATGACAATAAAATGCATAAATAAAAATCGTATAGATGCTGTAGTCAAGGCTACAAAAAATTGAGGAATGCTTTAAGCAAACGGTCTGAAAACGACAAACAACTAATTGCACCGAGTTGTTCGTCGATTTTCGAATAAAATCGCGGAAAATTAACCGAAATGAGGTTTACACTCAAATTTGGGGGGCCGAACAATCTTTTCAAAACCATCATTTTCAACTTGAAGTAGTTTTTAAATTAACTGAAATTTATTTGATTTGGTTGGAGAGAAAACTTGAATTGACTCGAATGGTTTTGAATGGAAAATTGATTTTAAAAAATGAGATTTGATCAACAACTATTTTTTTTAAATGTAAACCTAATAATCGAAAAATGTCTGTTTGGGTTGCAGATTTTGATATTGAAATGAAATAGCTCTAGAAATAATCTGTGATTTTACGAGGAACTCGAACATTTGTGCAAGAACAGGTTGAGAATATAGAAAATGCGAAAAACTTGTCTAAGGCTTCTGGGTTAGTATTTCAAGTGATGAAAAAAAAACAAAGAAATAAGGCAGCGCGATTCTAAAAAAAAATGAAATATGAGAAAAACCAGCAAACAAAAATTGAGGTTCTGATGATATCAATATTTGATTATTAAGAAAAGAATTGAATTGGACAGAGCGAAAAATGGTCATTAGAATGGAGTTTGTTTGAAATTCAATACGCAAATAAAAAAGTGTGGTCAATGTTGACACATTCAACAGCAGAAGAAGAAGAAGAAGAAGAAGAAGCAATGAATGAATTATTTGAGAAATAAAATATGAAACAGTGGAAATCGAATTCCTCGTATTCTTCGCTGGATTGGATGGAAGTGAGAAAAAAGATAATCAAAACGAATCGAAATGGATGGATGGCGACCTCCCGATTTGAACACAATGTCTGACGTCTCTCGACAGTTTCCGCGCGGCTTTATTCCATCAAATCAGCCGTCGTCGTTGCGCGACAAAACGGCTCTACTTGGCTGTTGGTGTTGCTGCTGCGCGACGAGACATATTAGCCGATTGACATACCAAAAAAAATAATTCACAATCGGGGGACAACTATCAATTTACGTCGAAACATTACAAAAAGCTCTCACGCTGAATGAATGACGAAATGAAATTGAGATGCGGATTTTCACGGATTGTAATTGAATAGTTGCTGACGACAAATACCGGAAAATTTTGCACTTAAAAATCATGTATAAAATGGTCCGCTGTTCAAGTTTCTCAAACGTTTGATAGAAATCATGGCGATTTCCGAATAATGCCAAGTTTTGTCCAGATCGCCATGTGTGTATCTTATACCCCAAATTGCTTAATCGGTTTTGTATAGTGAAGCCAGTTCCAATTAAACGATGCCACAAATTCGCCCCTATGAACGTGTGGGAACATTTTTTCATTTCTTATTCAATTTTTTTAGCAAATGAGAAAATGAACAGGAAGACTGCTTAACCGATTGGATTACTGTAATTAATGACACTTCTAGGTTGAAAATAATTCAGAATATTAGATATTTCTAATTCAATAATTTAAAAAATAAAACAAATCAGAATTATTCGCAGTTTAGAATTTCGCTCTAAATATCAAATCAATTTTTTTTAGAGAATAAACCATCAATGAGTAATAAATAAAGAAAATGATTGACGCGAATGAAAAGCACATGATCAAGTATAGTAATGAGCACGAAAAAAACTAGAATTCAATATAGAGGAACTTTCAAAAAATAAGTGAAAACATTCAAAAATCTAGGCGGGATTGTTTCGGCGAGGCTGGAAATTCAAGAAAACCAAAAATGGCCACTTATCGGACACTTGGTATCGATTGATATTATTGATAAGCGAAGGGTTACACCCATCATCGATGCTCTCAAAATGGAAAAGCAAATGTCGACAAGTGATTGGAAACAAGTGTCTACTACCGAATATAGCTGACGCAATTGTTGTCCGAAAAGCAAATTTCGAGTGAGTTTGCTCAGATCGCTCGTTCGCCTAACGACCTCCCACCACTTTTCATCGACGCACTTTAACATGGTCGACAACTTCGAAACGATTGATAGTATTACCGACTCGTCGTTTTTATCTATGCACAGCTATACAAATATGGGACTGGAACGACGTGGAAATGATGAGCAAATAAAAGCGCTTCACAACGAATCGATGAGGCGCGGACCGAGCTGACGACCTTTAGGCAGATCACACTCTCAGTTGAGTTAGCCATCGGGGCACACGATGCCAATGGAATAGATTGGATACAAGTGAAGCGAGACGTCGCCAGGAAAAAAAAACGCTTCAAGGACAATCGGTTTCGGCTAGTTTCGGAATTGAGAGGGCTTCTTCAAATCGCCTAATTATATCCATTCTCCTCGCGTTTTTTTTATTTAAGCGGCAACAGTTTTCGCCGACGACAGTCTTCCTTGCCAATTTTGTTCTGCACCGGCAAGTAATCTAACGAATCAAAGGTCAACCTCTCTCTCTTTTTTTTCTTCTTTCGCGTCAACGGGTCACACTACGACATTTATTATATTATATTATTGATTATGTGAAATGTTGTGGTTTGTGTTTCATCTTTTGAATGCATCGGGGGGTGTCAAGGACTTGCAATTTCTGGGGCTGACATGTAATAATTGAGCACCGGTGCGAATTGTGTACATAAAATCGGCTAATTCACATTCTACTCATCATTCAATTATTTAAGTTGTTGGACAAGATTCTGAAGACATTTCACGTGATTCCGTGCGGTTTGAAGTAGGCGTATGCAATCATGTCGTTCGGCCATTTCTAGATTTCAGAATCATTAGATTTTTCTTTGTAGTTGATCTTAAATTACCATTGAAAAATTTGATCATATCGGTGAAATCCATATTATTGGTGACAATTACTTCTCGATAATTGGTTACCATTCCAAGGGCGAAGAAAAGTGCAAAATGATCAGTGATTTTGAGACGTTTCGCCGCCCAGATTACCTCCCAAACCTTATAAGTGCATTCATAAGACAATTCTGAAATACATTTCTACAATTCGTTAATTATAAAGCAAAAAGGACACCTCTCTTGAAATCCAGCAAAAACCAACGATACGAAAAATACAAGTGAGTGAAATCTGATGAAGCAGTAAGCATTGAATAGATTGTTGGATCGACCACCTAAAATATTAAAATTACTACTGATTGACGTCAAAAATGTCCGCAGATAGAACAATTTAAAAAACAATTTTAATTTACCATATTAATATTGAAATGAAAAAAAGCTAAAGCTACCTGAATGAGCGACCTGAAATTCGAAAGACATTCGTCCATTCCCGCTCTTTGTGGAAATTTGTCGCGAAGCCTTGTCATCAAAATTGTGAAGCATTCCAATGTCAATGCTTCTGAAATTGATTTGAAATAAAGTACAACATGATTTTTAATAAATTTATATACCATCTTCAAAAATGACAAGGAGTGGTGCCAACAGATCGCACATTCCTTGAATATATCCCTCGTCAAGGTTTCGTCGAACGTATGTGCACATGACTCTTCTAAATATTTCTCAGATTATTATTATTATTATGATTATGCGCTTCATTCTACTAACCTTAGACTTTCCAAGTTGTCGCGATTTGAGAAAAATATCAAATTTCGGTCGCACCGTTCAACATCCTTGTCAATTCTGTGTAAATTCGCCATGAACATCTTCACAAGTCTCTCATGCTCGTCAAATATCGAGCATGTCGGTTCGTCAGGGTCCTCGAATACTTCCGACATCATGGATCCTTCGCGAATCGGCGATGTTGCTTTTTTCGATCGTGCAGCAATGAATGCTTCCTCATCGCGACGACGCACTTCTTCTTCGAGAATTTTCCATTCTTCGATCTATAATAATGAGAATAAATAATGATTAATGACTAGACTAATAATTTACTTCTTCTCGATATTTTTGAGTGAATGTTTCCATGCGGTATTCTGGAGACTCGCTCCATTCAAAAAGACCCAACAAATATGGCCATGCTTGTCTCCGTAGTTCCTTTGTATTTGTTCCGTCAATTCCAGTCCAATAAACTCTTTGAAGGAATTCAGTTTCGAGCTCTTTCTGAAATAATTTAAGGGTATTTAATTTTCGTATTAAATTTAATACCGTGGGATTCTCTCGACATTTATTCCAGAATTCTTCATTTACGGGCTCTGATTTTTCTTTACAAATCGCATCAGTATTGATGAGATCCAATAGATGATTTCGAATTGTCCGCAAATGTTTAACATAGTTCAACCAGCCAAAAAATGCTCGTGCCATTATTTGATGCCTCATTGATTTGCAAGCCTTGTCGATTTGGAAACTGAATATTACCACATTTAAGTTTTAAATTAATGTGTCAATCTACATACTTCACAATACTATCCACATTGTCAATGATATACGGCGAGTTGGGAAGTGATACACTGAAACCAAAAAGAAAATGCAAAACGCAAAAATGCAATTGCCCCGAACCAGGATCGAACTGGTGACCTTTAGATCTTCAGTCTAACGCTCTCCCAACTGAGCTATCGAGGCGCACGACGACTAGCTCAGCAAGTGCGTATAAGCATGTTTTGTGGTGTCTATAGACTGAGCGCGAGACAACGAGAGCGAACAGCGACAATGAGAGAAATAGTTAAAACGAACGAACCAGTTGTTGTGAATCGGCGGCTGCGGCGACGGCGCCGTCGATTCAGGCTCATCATCCTCCGGAGCAGGCTCGACACCAGAAGCGCGCACCAAACGAAACACATAATCGAGCATGGCTGGCGCCGTCATTGACACTGCTGTCGATCGTTTACGAAGGCGAGGCAGAATTTTTTCTGCGAACACAATCACATTTTTCATTATGCCTTCATTTTGGACGAAAACAAAAAACAAAACAAAATCTTCTGTTTTTACCTTTCGACTGTCCAGTCCACAATGGAGGATCGAGTCGGAGAAGAGGCGCAAGACCAGTCTCCAGCGAGGAAAGAAAGGCGATCGAGTGCTGACCGGCTGGAAGTTGAAGAGGTGCCGACTGAACGCCTTCACAATTCACAAATGTCAGACAAGCTGGAGAATTTTCGTCTAAAAACAAATACTTTTTTTTAAGTTTATGAAAGAAAAGTTGAAATTGGAGAAAAACTAAGTATTTTCGAATTCGCGTTGTTTTTGAAATGTTCAAGCAAAAACTCTGACATGGAGAAACGAGAGATTGTAATGAAACCAAATTCTACGTAAAAGAAATACTAATTTTAAAAGAGACGCGACATTCATTAATTTTGTTTTTCGGTTATATGTGACTCATTTGGATATTAGGCCTCCTCAGTTTCTCACGGTTTTGTGTTTTCAGGTTTTATTTTCAGTAATACGACGCATTTCATCGTTTTCCTCGAATTTCATGATTATGCCCTGAATTAATTTCAAGAATTTTATGAACAGCTGATATTCGGAAAATTCAGTTTAAAAAAAGTATTTTCGATGAAAGTGCAAGCAAAACTAATTTTTATTGAATATACTGCTTTAGATTTTATAAAAGAAATAATTGACAAGGGTGGTCGTTTTCTATTTTTTTTTCCTTTCACCCTTCGCTGCACACTCAAACAAGAAAAAATCTTTGGATATGAAAACGCGCGAACAAAATGTATGAATGAATGACATTCCTATAGAAAATTTCACAAAAAAAAAATAAAAATAGAATTTTTTCCGTAGGCGTTTGGACAGGAATTTCTACGGTCGATACTAATATTTTCCTTTGAGAAAAATCGCCTATATCGTGAAAAGTTGATGCGAAACACAAATTATTTCGATTATCCAATAAAAACCTGAATAATTCCAATATTGTTTCCGATAAAGTTAATCTCGTTAAAAGAACATTCGGAGAAACTGCGCCCCCACTGAAGCAAGCAAGTATTATCGAGAATTATATCCTACAAATATTGTTTTCAAAACTGCATTTTCAACGTTTTCAAAAACACTAATGAAACTGAGAAAAGAAAATTGATACCCGGATATTTCAGAAGCACAATCAAAGGAATTTCGCGAAATGTCAACACACGCGAAATTTCAATTAAGCGAATAGCAAACCTCTCTGATGCAGGTGAATATAAATGATTTCCTGCATTTCGATGTGCACCGCGTGTTTCCAAAGATTCGAAAATTCGCCATTATTCGAATGCGCCGATGAGGGCTGCGAGCTGAAATGGAAAATTCAATTTGGAAGAGATCGTTAATGCACCTCGCATGCATCAATTGATTCGGAATCCATTTCAGGGATAAATTTCCGTCGTAATTTTTGTGCAATGAGAGATAACCAGTAAATCAATACATTTTTTTTTGGAAAATATTAAAGTCATTTCAGTACCTTTTACAGCGTCTTTTCCATTTATCGCAATCGAAACATTATTTTTCCCATAGAGGAGATTTGACTTGAAATTATGATGAAGTGAATAGACATAATCTCGGCTAACTGATCCATTACGATCCAATGATGAAACTAGACTAGATCCTTGTCGAGTAATCTAAACAGAGATTCTTTTTAGCCAATTTTTTAGGAAGGAAATTAAGTTAGTGTACTGTATGTTTTAAAGGAACACGAAATTGAACGATAACGGTCTTGCAGCGAAAACGTTTAAAATACTGTATTGATTACATAGAACGAAATCTCTTTTTTTTTCTAATTTTTTGCATTTCAATAAACAAATAACTAATAATTTTCACAGAAAGATTAAATAAATTATGAAATTTCCTACGCCGCCCCCACACGTGGGAAGTGATCAATGGAAATGTGGGGAAATGATCAATGAATTTTCCGGGTCCCAATTTGTTCTAAACGAATTCATTCAAAAACACGTACCGTCAAAGGAGGTCTTGAATGCACTACCGAATCTCCATTGATCCTTGACCGAGCTGCACCTCGCTCGACGAGTTCTTCCGCTGTCGCTTCTTCTGTCTTGTCAGCCATTCGCCGGAACGTGACAGCACACGGACCAACTGAAACCAAATGAATGTAAGTGGGAGGAGCGAAGAAGCAGAAGCTTCAGCGACTGCACATGAAGAGATGTGCACTTTTAGAGATACGAATAAACTAATGAGGATAAACGAGATGAAAACGTGAGCAATGCGAGCGCGGAGAAGCACAATCCATTTCTAATTGAATCAATCAAAGAATCTAGCGAGATATTTTGCGTATTATTAGATGTTTTGTTATTGGCCGAATATATTGGTGCTCATAAATAATGCATTTTTGTGCACATTTTTCTTTTTTTTTGTTTGCTGCTGAAAAAACAACCAAATTTCGAAAAGTGTTGTTTTGTCGGAGTAGTGGGGCTTCTCGAAGCTCTACAAATGCAATTCGAAGCCAAAATTTTGAAATTATTTTTCTCGAGCTTCGAAAAAAATGCAAAAAAAAGGTAAAGAAGAATGCAAAAATTGCTCGTGATACATCCAGTGACGACAGAAAAACCCGCGCAATTTTTTTTTGCGTGTGTGTATGTTTTTGCTTTTACTTGATGTTGTCGTTGAGGGTGGAATGAGGGGGGGGGTCTCGTTTTAACACGTAAATGTAAGAGTGCTCTTTCGCGAGCTGCTGCAGCTCCTTTTTTAGGCGCCGTCTTCTCATTTCGTCATTCCTCTCATCTCTCGCCTTCTTTCGCCAATCTGCGCACACTATTTCGAGCAGTGCGCCCAATCAATAATTGAATGAGAATAATAATGAGAGGAAGCTCGATGATGAATGCACTCGTCCGCGCATTTGACTTCATTTTTTTTTGGACGATGTGAAATTTGTGCTCCAAAAAACGGACAGGACGACTAAAAACAAAACGAGGAGATGCGAATGAGGCACGTTTGAAAAGTTTGAAGAAGTCGGAGAATCGAAATGAATGGATGCAAAAAATTTGAAAATTGTGGCCCCAATTGGTGTGAGAATTCAATGCAATGTTCTCACACCGCAATTTAGGAAATCCAGCTCTCATTTTTTTGATTCTGATCGTTTGCACTTGAGAGTAGAAACCCGTGAGAAATTTTGGCGATCGAAATAATTTATTGAAATTTATTTGAGAAATAGGCGACGAATCGAAATGTCTCATCGGACTGAGACATATTTGACAATATCGTCAGTTTCCCAAAAATAATTTTTTAAACGTTCGATATGATTCTGTAGGCATTTTCGTGACACAATTATAAAAATTTCTGAAAGACGAAATATTCAATTTTTGAAAATCGGCAAAGGTCTTCGGCATAACATTTTTTTCTTACACATTCTTTCGAAAATTTCTAATCAATTGTTGCACCTGCACAAACTCCTAGTTACCTTCCTCCCACGAATTCAAGCAAATCAAGAAAATCGCTTCTACGTCGCCGATTCTTCGGAGGACTAGTTTTTACGGCCGTACATTTCGCGGTCAGCTAAGTATTTTCGAGATAAAGCCGCTGAATGAAAAACCAACATCTTTTTGTGGTGAATTTGAAACGATGAGCTCTTGAGAGCATTTAAGAGCTCAAAAATGCAAATACCCAATTAGACAGAAAAGTTTCAGGTTTCACGCATATTTTAGGTTGTTCCCATTGCGAATATTGACAGCAATAGGAGATCGCAAAAGAGGTTTCTTAAGAAAAAATAAATAAACGTGGCCTGAAATAACCCTTTCATTCAATATATTACGAATGTCAGCTTACATTAGAACATTGCGAATGTGAATAATTCATATTTGGTAATGTTTGAGCCCCACACGAAATTTGTGTGCACAATAATAAATTTTGTTTCTAGAATTTAATGTTTGTCGATTTTTGAGTGTCGAGGTCCAAAGAAAGACCTCGAAAAGTATTTCGAAGCTCTCAAATTAAGCCTCAAGCTATTTTGTTTCAATCATTCGTTTCTTTTATTTTATTTTCTCCATCTTCACCCAATCGACTGGGAGCAGGGCAAACAAAATAAAAATGATGAGGAGTCATTGGATTACTGTAGCAACGACTCGTTTACATATAAATAATTAAAGAGGCAATGAACGATTTTGAGGAGCAAAAAGCACTTACGAAGCAGAGCAGCGACCATGCCGCCTTTTGCTCGGTCCAGCATTAGGGCATGGCTGTCGTATAGACGACGAACACTGGAAAATCCATTAAAATGAATGGGGAGGATATTTGATGAAGAGCGACTACTTTTTTGCAGAAGCAATGTATTCGATAACCGTCGAAAGGAGACGCATGTGAAGGGCTTCTCGAATCCATATCAAATGGGGTGATATTGACGTGCTGAATTGCCGAATTAATATTGCCAATTTTGACGATAATCGATCAACCTATTGGCGTTTGCCAACGTCTTTGATAACACTTTCTCGATTGTCGCGTTCTGTTTAGCCAGAGAATGAAGCAATGCGAACGACGATCGACTTCCGAACAATCCGAGCAACCTTCGTCGCAACCCATCCATCAAACAAGCATCGACAGCAACTAAACGCGCAATCCGCATTAATATCTTCTATCGTACTCCAAATACCAACCACATAGAGACGTTACGTATGGCGAATTGAGATCCATTGTCTTTTTGGCGACCGCTTCCTCCATTATTACTTTAACCTCTCGTTTGAGTTGTGAAATGAGCATGTCTTTGTGCTGGGTGTGCTCATCAGGCTTCGAGTCTTCAACAGCGCACACACTTCCGTTTCGTGTCAATCGTTCGCAGCCCTCCTCATTTCTATTTTTTTTTCAAAGTGAAAAAATTTCATTTTTTTTTGGTTGAAATTCCTCACCTGGTATTCCATGTTGTATCGACTTTCGTGTCAGCTGTCCATCCGCTGATCCAATCAACTACCGAAGATCGTCGACCTTCAGCTGCCCGACGTTCGAGTGGCTTCTTCTTCCAATTATCGGCCGATGAATGACGAAACAATTCCATTTAAGCCAAACTGAAATCGAAGAAACTTTGAAGACAAAAAAAGAGGGAGAGAGAGAGATGCAAACTACTAAAATAAATAAATATCGTTTGGAAAGGGCAAATAAAAAATTCTCATTTTTTATGAACTTCAAGTTTTTTTTTGTTAACGAAGCCAATAATGTGACCAAATTGATCAAAAAGGAACTTATTTTTAATGAAACAAAACATTTTTTTGAACTTGCGAATCGAAAGAAACAACAACAGAAAGAGTTAATAATGGAATTCGAAAAACATTTTTAATGATCAAAGTTTGGTTAATTGTGGTCGTGGGCGGGTGGGGTGGGTGTGGCGTTTCTCATGTACTCTAAACTCAGTGTTCTCACATTCGTTGAATTCAATGAAATACACGAAAAATGAATAGGAAATCATATAATTGTTGGCTCCATTTAATGATTTTACCGGAAATTGTAGACATGTTAAAATTGAGACAACGTTTCATTTGAGTATTCTTGGCAGTATATCAATTTCGAGCTTCTCATAAAGGCTACCTGATAAGCAAACCGAAATGGCGAAGTAATGTATGGAAAAATGTGTAAAGTATAATGTAGGCGCACATTTTGGCAATGTTGAGAAGAAGAATTCGGTTGTCGACCGCCTACTTTACTAATATGGCAAATTCATTTTCGCGAATTGGTCCAATGTTGCCAATTGATGATTGGAATAACCAGAAGCCACTAGAGTGAGCCAAAATGGAATAACACTACTGTAGCACTTATTTTTGTGTGCTTCTTTTTTTTATTGGGAATAAAGCCACAAATGCATTCGGAAATTAGGAGAGACTTAACCTCAACAAAAACGAGTAGGGTGTGAGGGAGGACCTTTTTTTCGTGTTTTGATATCCCCGAGGGAATATTCTGTGCGCCTTTAAAGATCTTGCGGAGTTTTGACACATTTTCTATATATTGTCTAGATTGAATTCGATAAAAAATGTTGAGAGCAAACAAAAAAGAATTGAAAAGAGCGAAAGAACAAAACGAGAAAATGGCGAACATCTATCAAGAATTGCGCGCATCCGGTTGGGCGGCCCATTCGGCTCCGCCGTCGTTCATTTCATCAGCGGGTGTCCATCATGGTCCCGCAACGAATTACATACCGTATACCACATTCAAATCGCGTGTGTCATTCAATAACAGCCCCATTTTTTTCTCTTCAATGTTCACAAAGAGAAATGCCATCGAGTCGTCTCGGTGTGTGTGGGCGGCAAATTGAGAAAATGATTGAAGACCAACAGTAACTCGCAATTAATGACGACAACACGAAAATATGAAATACGAGAAAATAAGCAGCAGAAAAAAAAACAATCGAGTGCGATAGGCTGGGAATGAATGAAATTTGAGAATTTCAAAATGAATATAGGCGTTGACGGACGAATTGCGAAAATTTGAATCGGACCTCTTGCAAATCAGTTGGTCCCGTAAAATAGTATAAGCGCAAAAAAAGACGAGAATACCCGACACTGTAATTTATAAAAGCATGATGCGATCTTACTGATTTATTAATTATAGTGATCCTTTGATTCACATGTTATACCCGAATTGCCATTGCTTGAAAAGAAATTTGAATTTCCGCACCAAAAATGGTCCGCAAACACACAGAGTTCACATTTTTTTAACGGTAATACACGGTCATTGACACTTTTAGAAATAACCAATATAGCTTAAAATTCATAAAAATGATGGTTACTGTGATGTTTGACAAAACTCAATTCGACACGTTATAAAAAAAAACAGAAATATCTTCAAATAGATTTGTTCATCTGCGGACATTTGTGTCGAATTAATTTTTTCCGTTTCGATTTGACTGCAGATTGACGCATGAATGTATATCGAATTCGACAGGTCTCGAAATAAAAATAGATCAAAATTTGAGGTTTGTTTGACCGAAAAAATTTGAAGTGCATTTGAATATTATTATCGAATTATAGTCGGGGCGTCCGGCGACGGTGGTACGCGGGTAGATTTACGCGCATGCGCCTTGAAAAGGTCTCGCCACGCGTGAATGATTATTTTGCTGTTTTCACGTGACCCATTTATTTTTCTTGATGATTTTTGCATTTTCTTGAATTTCCAACGATATTCGATTAAAAAATTATCGAACCAGTTCACAAAATTTGAAATACCTTTTAGTCCTTGCGAGACCATTTCGAAAGACGCATTCCCGCGTACAGCAGTCGCCGGACGCCGACTATTGTTATAGCAAAAAACAATTTCAATACAAAATAAAAAATCGAGAGAGAAATTCTACTTGTTCAACAAATTTTTAAATAAAGACCAAATAGCTTCGGAAATTTTACGCATTCTTCCAGTGTGGATTTACGAGGGACATGCGTCTTTCGCAAAGATCTTACGCGGACCAACTCTGCCGGTTGAGTCGATTTTTAAAATTCAAATTTCGTTTAAAATGCAATAGAATTGCAATAGAACTCATTAAGAAAAAATTTTTAAATTCACTTTGAAAAAAAAAGCATTAATACATGGTAATATCAATCAGCAAACACCTACCAATTTTTGAAAGATAGTAATGAAAATTTTGAACATTTTCTGACTCAGGATTTTCGACGAAAAATAATGATTAGAAAATTCTCGACTCAAATTCATATTTTTGTTTCGATTTAAAACTTTTTTGCGGAAAATGCCAAAAAAAGAACAATGACAGTGGTTAAGTCGATTTTTTATAAGGAAAAGTTAAAGGAGCACACCCTTATTTGTTTGGCATTTAGCCAATTTTTCGCCATCGCTCCAACAATAAAAAAACGAGAAAAAAGACAATTTTTGGGGGGAAATCTGATGTTGTTGATGTGTTGAAATTGTATTCAAATGGGCGGATAATTCTCATCCCTAAGTAATGCAATTTTTGCGATCTGAAAATGTCGGGGTAGGAAACAAGAAAATATGAAGACGGCGGCCGCCATGACAAGTCGAATACATCATTCTTCGCGTAAATCGCAAATGGGCCTCAGATGTTTCAGAAATATTTGCAAATTGGTGCCGAAAAACAAAAGAGAGAGAGAGAGAGAGAGAGAGAGAGAGAGAGAGAGAGATGCCTGAATGAAATGAAATAAAACGCAAAACAGAAAAAAAGGAAGTCGGAAAAAAACGGAAAAAATAAAAGAACACACACTTATATGTATGTACACGCACACAAATAAAAACAATGAATGGCGGATTTCCAATTATTTTTTTTTTCATTCTTCCAGACCATTCATCATTTTTTTTTTCTCTTCTCTATTTTTCTACAAAAGGTGGTTCATCGAGTTGTAGATCGCAAAAAAAAGAATATATAACGTCGACACCCAAAAATTGTTCAATTCGGTTATTGTTGGAATACACATTTTCAATTATTTATGAAATTGCCAATTATTTCATGCTTCGTCGTTTTTTTTTTTGCTTGTTCTTCTTTTCTTTTCTTTTTTTTTCATCGCATTTCTCCAGACAACCTCAAAAACAGGAGACACTTTCATCGAATCAGCGGACCACAACGAAAAATGACGTCGGACGGCAATTTTGTTTATGAAAAGGATAGAAATCAAGAATCGCGTTCTCCTTTTCCAGAATCGTGATTCGAATAAATGACATTCGCTTTTTAGAAAATTTTATTATTATTGCTATTATTTGGTTTTTTTTTTTGAAAACTTGAAATTTGATCTACCTCGTCATTATATAGCTAAATCTTGAAAAAAAATATTGGTAGTTTAGAAAACGGATAATCGAGAAGACTAATAATGATAATTAGAGGTATAATAGCAAACGACAAAAAAAACAATGGAAAACATGTGAAAACGAAAAAAAAAGTTGGAGTTACTGAAAAAAATCACGTTTTCATAAGTCAATTTCTAAGAAAATTCTTACGATAGTTCGGATATTATTCAATTACAGACAAATCGATTTTGAATTCTAAGAATGTTGAGAAACGCTGTCCGAAATATGCGAGACAATTCAGAATCTCCAACGGTAGCTGAATCTCTTCTCGAAAATCAGAATTTCTCTCTAATTGAAATCAATCGACACAATTATAGTAGAACACTGCAGAATTACAGAAATATATCCGTGGATCCCACTAGAAGCAAATGCAATATTGAACAGCTCCAAAAATGGGCGGAGCTTATGGGGGTAGTGCAAGAATTTGCACGAGTTTCTGCTCAAAAACTCATCTAGTTGGTTTTGATTGATTTCTTGACATAATCGGTGTGCGGTAAGTTGTTGAATGGGTTCATTGTAGTTTGAATATTGGATTAGGAATATGGATTATGTCGCTGATGTCATCGGATTAAGAACACAAAGATTCGAAGCAATAATCAAATCAATATTTTGGCTTCTTTTTTTCACGACTGCAAACGACAAAGAGAGAGAGAGAGAAAGAAAATCTCGTGAAAGGTAACAATTACCATTCGCCCAAAATTATAATGTGCAAAAACAAGAAAAGCGCGAGCCGACCTAAACGAATTTCGGCAGAGAAATTTGAATTTGACACATTCGAATTAAAAAGAAAATTGTCAAAAAATTTGGTTTCTTCTTTCGTTTTTTTTCCATCTCCCTTAAAAATCACGAACGACGACAGGTGGAAAGAAGACGATGAAGAGAACATGCGTCAGAAGCGCACTTTTTATTGCTTTTTCTTTCTTTTTTGGCCATTTACTCTTTGAGAGAGAAACAAAAAACAATAAAAAGTGCTTATTTGGAACAATGAGGAATTGAGTCTTTTTTTATGTATTCATAATTGGGATTGGAAACGAAGAGAGCACCCAACATGCCTCTGTTTGTGTGTGAGTGAGCTCATTTGAATTTCAAAAAATTCGAGTTTGAAATTCGAGGAATCAACTCGCTCGATGACCTCGATAAAATATTGAAGACCGGAGTCAAAATATTCTCATAAATTTTTCAAAATGCGTTATTTATAGGTAGCAATCGGAAACATTTTGGTGATAAACGTGCTATCAAAGTGAAGTTTTCAGAGAGATTCGAAAAATTCAAACACAAAAATTCAATGATTTTTCGTAACAATCAATGATGAAGCGAATTAATTTATTTGAATTATTTGTATAATTGTATAAAAACAAGCACCCTGTGTAGATTTACGCTAAATTTGGTTCGTAGGTTTTTAAGATTCGATTTGTTAAAATTCAAATTTGAATTACCGCCTCGAAAAGTGCGATGGTCCACAATTAGGCGATGTTGCTAATTTTTTTTTAAATGGCTTCCGAGTAAACGACTTGACGAAATTGGCCATGTGTCAATGGGTCTCGAGGCAGCGAAAAGTACGCAAGAATGCGTACATTGCATTATAGCGTACGCGCATTTAATATTCAGTCAACGATTAATTCAAATCTACACCGATTTCACGAATTTGCGTTTCTTCAGTCGTTTGACACCGAAAATATAAAATATGTGAAACAGCGAATAGCATTTTTTACATTTCTATTTTGCAAATAAACGTTCGTTTTCAAACATGTTAAAAGAAAAAAAGAAAAAATGGAAAGAAAATCAAATTTCCGCAAAAATGAATATCGAAGTGGATATCCTGCCAATAATCCTGATCAAAGTTCCCGATGGTTGAATTCTTTTGATGTTTCAGATTCATTCAAGCGCAACAAAAATTCCCTGCAAATTCCAAGAATTTAGGAAAAAAAAAACGGATTTTCCGTGTTTTGATTGTTTGATGAATCGAAAAAAAAAATGACTGGGATATTTACGAAAAAAGTTGGCTGAGAAATTTCGAGTAGAAATTTGAGTTTGTGGGGAAAAATTGATGTTGCCCTGAATTGAACTATTTGTGTATTCTCGAACAAAGAACAATAATTATTATTTTTTATTTACAAAAAAAAAATACTCATGGTTAATAATTAATGGATATTACTCATAATAAGTGAAAATTTTTCTTTTTTTTTTCATTAGCACCTGCTTAATTTTTAAAGAGAAAACAATTAAAATTGTTTATTAAGATCATTCTCAAATGATTTCATTGGGTGTCTAATGGGTGGGGATTTAATGTCTTCGATTCTATGTATAATTTGAATAGAATGTGATAGTACAATTGGATTAAGAAGGGGGGTCCTATTATGTTCCTTCTTAATGATAAAAACAGATTTATTAAAGAAAAAGCTTAATTGAGGAACACAGATTTATTCGGGTACTCTCACAACGAAAAAAAAACCGCAACACAACAAGAAAAAAAACAAGGAAGACGATGGCAAAACTTAATTTTCTCTTCATTTTTGGTTTTTGTTTGCTTCGTCAAAAAGCAGGCAAAAAAACACAGAAAAGTGGAGACGAAAATTGGGTATTGGAAATGAAAAATTCAATTCGTTAAATTTTAAATAAATCTAATAGGGGAGGAGCAATTAAATTCTAAATATATCAAAAAAAAATTAAATTCTAAAAAAATTTAAAAAAAAAAAACTTAAATTCTAAAGAAATCAAAAAAAAATTAAATTCTAAATAATTCAAAAAAATTAAATTCTAAATAAATCAAAAAAAAAAAATAAATTCTAAATAGATCTAATGGAGGAGGAGCATAATTATGTACACATGTTTCGCATATTGAATGGGTTTTTCTAAGAAGAACGAGACTATTAGAATTAAGCAATGAACTGTCGTCTTCCAAGAAATCAGTTGGCAATTTTTCAAACAATTTTTTTCTCATTAATCGAGCATCACGGAAATGTCTCCGCCTATAAGGAAACTTACAAAAAAAAAACTTAATTGATGTTTCTTAAATGTCTGAATTGAGGGAAGGTTCATTTATAAGCCAATTTATCGAATAGTTTCATGGGTTCCAAAAAATTTCGATAAGTTTTGGAATGTTTTAAGGGTACTCATTAGAAATTTAGCGATAATCTCGAAATATTTGATGCGAAGACGATCCAATCTCTAGATTAGTCCATTTTTTGCATTTTAGATTGGAACCCTTTTGAGTTATACTTTCATTCCGAATAACTTCCATCGTCGTCCAACCAAAACAAAATTCAATATAAGGAATGTTTTTGATTCGGTAAAAAATATAAGAAACATTTAATGACATCATTTTTGGCATTTTCTAGATGTCAATTAAGTTTGGAAAATTCGTGGAAAAGAAACGCAAACGGAAATGTGCCCTATCTTCGGAATCGAAAAGGACATCGACGTGTCGGAATTATGTGTCGAGTCAACAGAAAATGAATGAAAAGATCGGGGGAGAGAAGAGGGGCGCCGGTGGGGGAACGGAAAACGAGGCGCGAAATTGAAATGATAATAATTTTTTCCGGCGGCCAGTTAATTACATCCCCCTTTAATTCGCTCCCATTGGAGATCATGAAAATTGCGCGGCAAAACAACATAAAGTGCGCGCCGAGTTTGCGTGTTTTGAGCACCTCATTCAATTTAGTTAATTGTGAGAAGAGGAGTCGAGGCGACCAATATTCAACCAAATTGCTTCTTTTTTTCTCGAGTTTTGGCCATTCAAATCATTGCCGAACAAGCATCCGTTAAACGAGTCGCGTTTTCGACGGAAAAGACAAAGCATGGAAACGCATATACCCTTCTAATCTTTTCCATTTTTTAAGAGAATCAACCCTATATGAGAGAAATGTGATTTTATGCTTCATATTTCATATTTATAATGGATACTACAAACAGACACAATTTTAGGAAAAATGAAATATGGCAAAACGATTTTTTGTCCGCGATTTTATAAGATTTTCAATATATCTTGTTTTTGAAGTTTTTTTTTTCAAATCTACACGATCTCATTATACAATAAATTGAGTTGAATGCCTAATTTGAAGTCTACTGAAAAAAAAAACTACTTCTGAAATGATTACGATTCAAAAAGAAAAACAAAATCTAAATGAAAAATGAAAAAAAAGTCAATGATGAAAGTGAGTAGCGCTCTCATTACGCATTGCAAACCACCTTCATTCGGATGCTCATTTGAATTTTTGAATACATTTTTTTATAAAACAACTCTCGCGGAATATTTTCGAGAAAAAAAAAATAATTCAAGATTTATGAGAGACTGATGATGAGCATTGGTGTACAGGAGGTGCTCAAATCCATGAATATTGCATTAGAATTAGTTGGAATTTCTAATCACGAATAAAATAAAAAGAATTTAAAAGTTGTTTCCATCAAAGAAAGCAGTGCTCAAAAATTCTGGAATTTTGAATATTATATCGTTTTAATTAGTATAACGATGAAGAACATGCTTAACTAATTTATACTATTTAGAAATCCTTAAAAATACGGTTCGGTCGGCGAACCTCGCAAAATGCCCGAAAGATGTTCAAAAAAAAACCACTGGTTTTCTTTTCAATTTTATTTTTTCCCCATTTTGACAACCCTGGTGAAGGGGCTCACGAAAGTCTTTAAAAATCACAGTAGGAATTAAAGGAGCATGCCAAATTATGGGCATTAAAAAAATTTTGAAATCGTACGTAGATTCGTTTTAATATTTGAATTGAAAATATGCACCCTGCATATTGGCGGACCATTTCTTGTGGCGCGGCAATTCAAATTTCTTTCCAAACAATTACAATACGGGTACCTACTACGTACAGCCTCTGAATCAAAAGATCACTATAATTAATTAATCAGCAAACTCGCATCCTGTGATTTCATATATACAAATTTACAACATATTTAATACTCAGCCAATGCACGAAAATTATTGTGAAAACCAAATTGCGTGCCTCGAATTTTTAAGAGACGAATTTCGTTCGACAATACCAAATCGAAATAATACTTTTCGGGAATGAGGGCACATTCGAATGATTCTCTAATAAAGGCATCAAGTACCAAATTTCAAAGTACAATCGCCCGATGAGACCATTTCGATGCACAGACTCCGCCTCCTCATCAACAACGCCGATGGCCCGCATTATTATTTAAACCATTCACGGAATAACTTGCACGTGCTCATTTATCAAACTGTTTGATAAATGAGTGTCGACCGACTCAATTTTTGGTCTCTCGATCGATTCTCGGGCCGCTCGTTCAATTCACTCGAGTTTCTCATTGTTTTCGCTTCAGAATGGCTCGCTCGTTGGCTGCGTTGCTCATCGCGATGCTCGCGGTCCATTATGTGGTCTCTTCACCGGCGCCAGTCAATCCACTGAACCTCAAGAAACATCACGGAGCCATGTGCGGTGTGTGCAAGGAACTCGTTAAGGTAAAAAAAAAACCCCGAAACATCCAAAGAAGTGAATCGATTCATGGGACCAATGAAGGAATAAAAACGTGACAAATTGTGATTTTCGATGGATCAGAGCAAATCGTAGAAAAGTATCAGCTTGGATGCTCGATCTATTGGAAGAAAAAAAGTGCGCAAATCATGATTTCAGACACTGTGAATCTAGAAACTAAAATTTAAAAGGCGTTTTATTTCGGATGTTTTTTTTTTCGGAAAATTCCATTTCAATATTTATAGATTCCGTTACAATTCCGCAATTTCTGATTGATTCCTTCCCGAATTCCGATTTCTAATCATTTTTCTATTACTGTAATCGCATTTCGTGATAAGACCGCTCATTTGCACATGATAACAATTTTCGGCGACAATAATTGACTGTTGAGTGAAATTCTAGGGCGGCGAGGAAATCGGCGAGGCAGACCTCGACGAATGGCTCAATACGAATATTGGAACACTTTGCTGGACATTGCTTCTTGTCATCCACCACGAGTGTGAGAAAGAACTCAAAGAGGTTACCTAGGATATGAGTACTGAATTCAAATATCCACATTCGCAGGTGAAGAAGGACTTGAAGAAGGCTATCGAGGACGGAGTCCCACCAGAGAAGGCTTGCAAGGACGTCGACTTGTGCTGATCATCAATTTATGTGTCTTGGCGTTTTACGAAATGTTCTGGTTGAGTAGATACAAATAAAAATCATACAACAATGCAAAAAACGGAGATTACCAACAAAAATAATAATTAAGATAATTAAAATAAAGATGAAAGAAGTGTTGGAGGTAAAAGAAATTTCAAAAAAAAAATTGGGGACGGGATAAGAGAATTGGTTGGATGTGTAAAGCTTCGCGGGTAAAATCTCGCACAAAACAAATTCAGAAGGAAAAGGGCAGCTTTAAAAAAAAAAGACATCTTCTTGCATTTCTTTTTTGCTTAAATTTTACATCGCATTCGATGACCAAATGACATATTCGAAATTCTCAGCTAACCTGAGAAGAACAAACAATTACGGTGCGCTTCTCTTCAAAATTGGGATGGAAAACGTTCGAGCGGTTCGGAGTTCTATTCACAAAAAGGCGTTAATGAGAGAATCGAAATTTGGTGGAAAAAAGACAAACAAGAGGGAGACGAACTCAATTATGAAGAACGGGGCGAGATAGCACCATAAAAAGAACATTACACACGTTTCAATTTAATCCAAGTTGTCCGATTTACATGACAAGACAGCAACCGCCACGCAAGAATCTTGCCTGTCGACGTCCCGCCTTCATGGATCCGTCTTCATTCATCTACAAAGTACACTATATTATATTGGTATGTGATCATTCACATATTTAATATTTTACACCTGCTTTAAAATTTTGCACAACAAAACAATCATGCGGTCATATAATTAATTGACGAAAACACTGATTTCGTCAGAGTACACAACGAGATTCTTGATGTTCGAATACTCAAACATCATTAGGCTGGGAGTTCTTTTTCAAAAATGAAAAAATCACACATTCAGGTAAAACCTTTTTGAAACGTAATTGTCGGCGTCGAGCGACTTCAAAAAATTGACTAAATGCCCAATAAATTAGGTGAAGATATTACACCTGCTTTTTTGGAGCCGACAATAACGTTTTACTACAACTGGAATCTGTTTTTATTGGGGGTTTTTAATCATTATAACCACATACCGCTTGAATTGGTGGTTTGAATTCCAAAGCTGAAGTTTCGAGATCCTCGGTTCTATTCAAAACAAGAATATTAGATTCGTCTTCAACGCTGTCGAGTTTTGCCAATGGAACAACCGGAATTTTACCAAATGCAGCCGCGTTGAGAGCAGCAATTCTTTCCTGTAACATTATTAAAATGGAATTTGAAAATGCCTTTTGAATTCTCAAAACCTTCAATGGTGTGGTGACATCGACAGCAACTTCTCGATTTGCCTTAGCATCCAGCTCAACGTTAACCACGACAGTTCTCGTTTTAGCTTCTGGTTTCGGTGGCGGTGTCATTGTTTTCTCGATCATTGTCATTGGTTCGCCTTCGTCTTCACTGCACAAAGAATAGGGAACATCTGCATCGCTCTGAAACAAATGAAACAAAAAATTTGAAAATCATGAGAAAAGGATTACTTCAACAGAATCATAGCGTTTTCTGTCGGCCCCATTCTCTTCCTCTGGTTCCTCCGCATTTTTCTCTTGCGATGGTGGTGACACACCTCTCTCTATGACAGTTATCAATCCTTCGGAAGTCACAGCACTCTCATTGCTTTTCGATTGTTGGGCAACTTGTTCGTCAGCAACCAAGGCGCCCTCATTATTTGTCAGTGAAGGACGCGGTGTGAATCCATCGCAGTCCTTGACTCCAAGCTGCAAGACTACCAGTTCAATCATCTCAAAATTGTTCAAACCTCGACAAACAAATCTTCATTTGCGTTCATTCGCGATTGGAAATATTCACGATCCAAAGAAGTCAACGAAGATTGCTGTAAGCAAACATCTTCGATATTCAAGATTGTTTTTAAACCTCGAAAACCTCTTTCAATGTGAAACCGTCAGATCCTGAAACATTTTCAGGTTTATCTTCTTCTTTTTTCGCCTTTTGCTCAGCGACAAAATCCTCAAGCTCTTCCTGAGCTTGAAGTATTGCTCCGCTTGTAGTCGATGTCGATCGGAAAATCACTTTTGGTGGCGATTCCTGCTCCATCGGCAGTGTCTGGTGTTTCTCAACCTTTCCATCTCCTTCAATCTCTTCCAATACTTGCGCATAAATTGATTTCGGCGATTCTTCGAAGCTTTTCGATAGAGTTCTCGTCTAAAACTTTTTCATGACATACGCACCAATCAGGCGACGAAAGAGAAACCTCTCCGAACTTCACAGGAGTGTCGAATTTCTCGATAAGTTTTTTGATTGTTGGCGACTTCGGAACAACTTGATCTTTAGAATCAACGGCTTTTATGTTTGAAATTTCAGTTCTTCTAAAAGTAACCGCATACAATAAAAGTTGCTACTATATGGTTGTGAAAAAACTCACTCGATGATCTTTTCGACAATTTTGATATCAACTTTGTCATTTTTATCAAGAGCTTCAAATGCTGCTTCGATTGAGCTGGATATAACAAACTGTGATTGTGGCGGTGCATAAACCTCGTGCTCATTTTTCTCATCGACAATAAGCACATTCGAAAGAACTGCTCCATCGATTTGATCGCTTCCGGCGGAAATTCTTGGCTCATCATTTTTAATCACATCATTTTCAAAAACGTCGTCTTCGAATGGTTCCTTAGCTGCTGATTCGGTTGTATCCAATTGAGGAGACAAATTATCTGATCTGGTCTAAAATGGCAAATTATGACGATTAAAATCTAAGCATCACTTCTCTTCCAGACATCCATCCTTCATCATCAGTAACCGACGATTGCAGGGAATGTTGATGAGACAATGCGCCGTGTTCATTCCAAAACGAAATTATATTATTTTTTAATAATACAGATAAGACAGAAATTACCGAAATCACGTCAGATTTGCTCAAATCAGAAGTAGGTCCATTTTTGCCATCAACCTCGGTCGAAATAGCGATAGATTTTGTGATTGAGATATGCTTTAAATTGAAAAAATTTCATTAATATAACTTCCTTTACGGATAAACCTCTTCCTGATGAGCAATTGGAGAAACAGATGCTGATGAATTTTCATTCAACGACGACACAGATGACGAAACTAAACAAAAATATAAAGACTGATTGATTTTTTTCAAATGAAAATCTATTTCGTTCATGTTGATCGTGTTCAGAATTCATTTTTCTATTTATACTCATTTTTAACCAGATCCCTCAAGTTTTTTTCGCAATTATTAAAAGAATAGGTTTTTCGCGTTTCCAACATGTTTCGAAGATTACTATCTCTCCGAACGATGTTTGCGCACAAAAAAAACCTCTTTGCATTGTTTGATAAAATTGTTGAACTAGCGGGTTTTTGTTACTAAAAAATAATTGTCAAAAGATTTTTATCACCTTTGACATGGGCCGGATTGTACTGATTGACATCTTCGTATTTTCTCATATGGGCTTCTTCAATTCCTTCTGGAATGAGTCTGAAATAAGAAATGTTTATGATATCATGATTTTTCATTCAAGCTCACTTAAATCTGCACATCATAGTACCATCGAGAGGTTCCAAGAAGCTCTTGACATTCGGCAATTCGAAAAGATCTCGCCTGGTATGTTATTATCGGAATATAAGATTGAGTACTCAATTACATACTTTGTCATATTCTTCTGGCAGAAAATCGCGTTTAATTCTTCGACTGTTAGTGTACGCTGAGTTTCTTTGTGATAATACTTTCGAATGTCGTGCCACGTGAACTCGTTTCCTAATTTTCCAAGACGAGTCACTGATAGCAAAAATGCGTTATATCCATCCTAAATTTTACCAAATAAAACAATGAAACATGTCTTGAAAGGTTTACAATTTGAACTTGGAATTTGCGCGCAGTTTCACTAGCTGCCGATGGATGACGCTGATTCTTCTTTCCTTGGCTTCCGACTGAAGCTGTACTTTTATTCCTTCGACCATTCTTCTTCCCCATGGCGTGGCTTCTGCATATTCGAAAGAAATGGAAATTTTATACGGACTTTCATATTATTATTCTCGGCGTCAAACGACTGTACGAAATTCAAAAAAAATATTGAATTTATGCTATAATGTCTCGAGGAAACGAAAAGAATTTTAGCGCGAGTTCATTTTATATTTAGTCAACGATAAATTTTAAGACTTTGATTTCGCGAAATTAAAGACCGCGTCGCCTTCATTCGTTTGACGCCGACATTAGGCCTTCAATACGGACTCATTGAAAAACTGAGACTTCTTTTGAAAGTTAGACAGAAGCAATAATGTGAAGAAGAAGAAGAGGGGGGGAGAAGAAGAGAGAGCAAAAACTTCTGTACAACGCGTGCAACCGTACAGTTAATAAAACAAAACAAAAAACGGAGGGAAAAGCATTTGCCGCAATAAACTTAAGAAAATTAAAGATTAGTGCAGTATAAGAGAGAAATTTGACGCCTTCAGAGCAAATAAAAGGAATGCGAAAACTCACTGTAATGTGTCAGCCATATTTCTACGCTAATCGAATCGTTGCGATGTAATTCTGAAAAAAAATCCAAGCATATTGAAAAAAAATAAATAAAACAACGAACACAAGACGAGCAGTTTAAAAAAAAATACTATCATATGTAAGTGTTAAGTTGAATTCTCGACATGCATATCGTGCGTTGAAAACAAGAATACAACAGCCGTTTTGCGGTACGGCAAGCTGTCCGCGGTTAGATTCTCAAACACAGATAAACGGCAAATGTGGAACACTTGTGTGAGTATTTTCCATTTGAATTGAAGATAAGTTGGTGCGAAAAAGAAGGCGGGTGCGCGAAAGAGACTTCGACACCAGCTGTGCACTTTGCAAAACATCTTGAATACTTATCCCAATTTATAATCGATCGATTAAAAAGATAATTTGTTAAAAACCCATATTTGACATAATTAAAAAGATGTAACTCACAATATTTTGGAATTTTGGCGAAATTTTTAATGTAATTACTGATTTTGACTGTTAAAAAATTTAACGTAATTTTTGTCGTCAAAAATCATTAAAATCATTTTGAAATGGATTTAAACATTTATGAATCGTGTAAGTTTTCAATATTGTAATGTTTATGTTACGATTACCATCACAGAAATTAATTGGAATAATTATCAAATTTCGATTTAAACAGTAGGAATTTGGGTGCCGTACTACGGATAAACTGCGACTCAAACTCACCATGAATATATACAGGGGATCGTTTTTTTGTATTGTAATTAGTTCAACTGAAAACCCACATGCAAAAAAGTGAAAAATTAAATACAAAGTCGAATATTTGAGAAAATTCAAAAAATGCCTCGAGCGTTTTGAAAAGTACGAATAACACCGTCACGCAAAAGTACACAAATACGCGCAATTTCGTTGATCGTAATCTATGGTAAAAATCGTGAATCGGCGGTGCATTGTCCCAACTTTTCGACACGCTCCATTAACAAGCAGTTCGTACGAAATGATAAACGAATGATTTGAGCCCATGCGCAAACAAAACTTGCGCACACGTGTCGCGCAGAACCACCAAAATGGATAATTCGGTGCTTTTTCGTGGTGGGTGATAAGAGATAACACCCAGAAATAACTCGGAGCAAACTTGCGCGACACAGATTTCAAGTGGCTCCGAGAGTTGGCAGAGAATTTTTAACAATTCTGTCAAATTTGTCACAGTCGTTTATTTGAAATAATTCTAAAAAGAAATGTATAGCAAGCTTAATAGACTCGCACCGATAACAGTACTTGAAGTGAGCCGACTTATGCAAATCTCGTCCGAACCTACTTGAACACACTTGTTGCGAACTGTTTGTGTATTCATGCCGAATCGAATAACAATCGTACATGCCTGCATTAGACACGTTTCCGGGAGCAAACTATTCTAAACTTTAAATGTATTCAATTGATTTATAAGGACAAAAGATAAACACACTGATTTTGTGCATTAGTGAGCAAACACCGGCGGATGATTCACATAAAAGAAAGTATTTTTGAATATAATTGTGTCTTGGTGACAAATTAAAAGTGTTGATTTACAGGTCTATGGATAAGTATAAGCACATACCGCCCACCGAGACCTCTTCTTTTATTTTTTGACATTTAATTTTCCACAGTCGCGCGGTTGTGGAAAACAATCTGAGAAGATCAAAATTCAGATTCAGAAGGGTTCAAAACGCGGAATTCGGAAATTGTGTCGAATACGGTTTGATTTTTGTGAATTTTTCTTCAAATCTGCGCGCACATCGGTAAAAGTTAATGACAATTGATATTAATTAAAAAATTTTGCAAGTTAATAACAATCAATTATAACTCTTATATTCATAGCTAACAATTTTAGTTTATTTTCTTGAATTTAAGCACGATATTTGTTGAAAATTTTAAAATAATTCGTTCTGTGAAATTTTAATTTGTCAAGAGTTTTCAAACAATTTCCGCCGTTGTAAAGGTCGATATTCTGTCTTCATTGTTGATTAGAAACCTTAATTATGCATACAAATAAAATATAATATCAATAGTTTAACATCGAGTCGTTTGAGTAGTCAACGTTCGACCCACAATGTGTATATCAATTGGTATCTGCCAACACTTTGACCTCCTGAACCTATTCCCCTCAGCTGCTGCAAATTCATAGTAATTCTTTGCGTTCTGCCGACTGGTGTTGCACTCACTCAAAAATGGCATGATCAATCCATGAACATTGCAACAAAAAAGTGAAATCTGCTGAAACTTTTGACCATCAATTACGCGATCACAGTGACAGCCGCCTAACACATTTTGTCACTTGTCGTCGGGTCACCTCGCGCAATATACCAGACATCATCCGATCTCAACAATCTCCGTGTTACTAATTATGTATTCACAATATAATTATGGTGTTTGATTGAAATTATAGGCCGTCGTCTTCTGTGAGCATTCGTGTGCTGGCACTACCCCTTTACAGCCATTTTTATCTTATCACCATTTTGATCTACGCGGCGTTTATTAAATAGTGACCCCCTGCGTGGTCATGTTGGCCGGTCAGCCTCACCCCCCCCAATCGTTTTCCTCATTATCTCGAGCCTCTCCGATATGTGAATGGTCCCTCGTCCCTCGTGCGAAATTCTCACTTTTTCGTTCTGAATTTTTCATGCCAAACAAAGAGGAAAACTGAGGCGGACGGCGAAAAAGGAAAACGGACGAAACCACGAAAAGCAAAAAAAAAAGAAGAGAAGACGACTGGAAAAAATTTGTAGTAGACACAAATTTGGCTCATTATAATAATGCGAGCAATATGCCGATATCTCCATCTTTTCCTTCTCTTCATATTGTTGATTTCGAGGCTTTTATTCATGAATTTTGAGTCTCAAAAATCAATGTGAAGCTCCACCAATTTTGCGATTCTGACGTCACCAGCCGAAGCAAGCCACGAAATTCGATCAAACTCTCCCTCTCTCGGGACGAGCGAGCACATTTAGATTTTTCTTCCCTTTCTTTTTCTATTTCCATTTTTGTTGAAATTTTCAAATTCTTATACAATTCAATTCATTGCTGATTTTCATTGTTATATCTGGACTTTGATTGAATAATTTGCAGTTTTCGTGTTCGATCCCTTATCATTTCCTCTCACCTTCCTCTCTTTCCTTCTTTCAAAAAAAAAAATTTCACATTTTAGGTTATGTTGGAAATTTGCAAAATGTTTGCTTCTCTATTGTTTGTTTTATTCGGCTTTTTAGTTCGCTGCGAGGAGCACTGGATAATGTTTTTATGTTTTATATGAACTTTATTCGACTCTCGTTTTCCTTTCAATTTTCCGTTGTCCGGAGCCACCAATTTCTCCACGACCTTTTTGAGAAACGAAAGCGGCTGAAGCAGCGAGCTAAAAAATATTGGTGCAAATGCTGAAAGCGCTTAATTATCAATGTGTCTGTGACCATCATCGTTGGCTTTGTGTTTTATTAATTATGAGCAAAAAATGAGCACCTTGTTTAGATTTACAGTGAATTTGATGTGGTAACCGAATTCCCACAAAATTCAAAACACCGCCCCAAAAATTATGATGGTCCACTGGTACTCAAGGTGCTCGTTTTTCTTTCCAATGATAATAGTTTAGTCAAAAATGAAAAGTAATATTAAACGGAAAATTTGCGAGTAAAAAAACCAAGCCAATACCACAAAACGTCCTGAATTATTTTGAAAATTTGCCAAACAGGAAACCAACAATAGATCAAAACGAAAATAATGCGTGCACTTGAATATTTTGCAGCCAACGACACCTTTTTACGTTTTCTTCTTCAAAACGTGTTCGATTAAAAAAAATATGAAAAAATTTTAAATAAAAAACATTGTATTTGGAAGCGGAAAACATTGCACATTTCAATCATTTTCATTCAATAAAATTGTCTGTTCTTATCATATCTTCAATGTTTTATTAAAAAATGCATCCAACATGTTTAATCAATCAGGATTGTACTTTTGGCATTTTCGCATTGATAAATCACCAAAGTACAAAATAGTTTCTAAAATTGGCTAGTCAGGGAAACAAATCCGAGGAGTTTCTTTCTTTCAAATTTTCTCAAATATCCGGTTTTTTTGTTGGCCGACATCGTTAGAATAATTCGAGAAACTCTCTTTTTATTCTTGCACCTTCTCGATGTTTTTTTTTTTTCGTCTGAAAACGTTTTCTTTTCCGCGTCGAACATTTCATTTATTCGAAAAATGAGCTATTAATGAAGATTGCGATACGGGTGAATTCGAAACGGATCTATTGATATGGATTTGGTATGGCTTTAAGACTCTGGAAATGTTTTGAGTAGAAATTCTTCTGAAAGTGGAAAGAGAGATTTAAGGGTGTTGAAATGAATTCGTGAAGTATTTTGAAGCGAAACAATGATTTGAAACGTTCTTTGCACAAAGATAAGGTATATCAGAGAATTAAGACTAATTTCGCATCGTTGTGATTGTGGTTCAACTGACGCCAAGAAACGAATTGATCATCTAATCGGTTCAACTACAAAATCCGGGATAATTTTCCGCATTTCAATTTTTTTTCTTATCAAACAATTCAATTCCATTCAATTCCCTCAAATCGTTCACCAATATTTTTTTTCTCACCGATAGACATTTTTTGCCGTGTCCACCAACCTTCCGTTCGTCTGACACCCATTATTGCCCCCCCCCCCAAAACAGTTTGTCCTGTCCGTTTTATCAATTTTCGCTGAATTCAATGACAGTTTTCGATTTTTTTGCAGGATTCCACTAGCCGATTGTAGATTCAAATAGTTAGCAGCACAATGAAATTCGACGATTTTCTATTCGCCTATCTCGGCGAGATTGGAAAGTGAGTTGAGATTTTCTAGAAAATTTAGGCCGGAAAAACATTTAGGTATCAAAAAATTCAATTTTTTCTTGTATGTCTACCAACTATGATTGTTTCAATGCACGCACTTAGCTGGACATTTGCTGCCGTTGATCTTCCCTACAGGTACAATTTCAGAGGATTGAAATTTCAGAATATCGGCAATCCACTTAAAGAATAAGAATATTCAATATTTAGGTGTCGACTACCAAATGAATCGCTGAGCTCATCTTACCTAACCCGCCAACTCAATATTACAAAATGTGTGGATGCAAGTGGAAAAACTGCAAAACCCGTTTACGATTCTCCATCACCTGATTTAACTGTAAGTTTTTTTGTTCGAAACAACTTTTGAGGGAGCAAATTGTGTTCTACTAACCTTGATTTATCATTTCAAACTGATAAGAATTGAAAAGTACAAACGCGGGAAAAAAACTGTCGGACACATTCGACAAATGGCCTTCAATTTCAGTGCTACTACGATCGTTGTCATTATGGAAACGGAGAAAAATGTTCGGAGCACATTTTCGATCATTCGAAGGTTGAATACACTGCCGTTGAGAGGGTTCGTTTAAATCTCGATGTCCTTCTTTAAATCTTATGCGTTTCAGTGGGAAATCACATGCGACCGCGGCTGGATCAAAGCCACCATACAAGCTGCCTATTATGTGGGCCAAATGGCTGGCTCCACAATATTCGGGTTGCTCGGCGATCGAATCGGTCGCAAGAAAGTGTTCTTCCTAGCGATTCTGATTCAAATCGTATGCGCTTATGTCATTGCTGTTGCACCATTTTGGTGGATTTACGCAATTGCGAGAGCCGGCACTGGATTCTCACATCCCGGCATTTTCGTCATCGCTGTTGTCATTGGTACAGAGCTTGTTGGTCCGAAATATCGTCGATTATCATCAGTTATTACTGGATTATTTTTCTCATTGGGCCAGGTAAAACATTATTTTTTCCTATTCCGCTAAAAAATGTTATTTCGTCCAACACATGTTCTGCATTATTGCGTCAAATTCCGTGTTTGAAACACATGACATTTGACGCACATTTGCAGATTTCGAATGATTTGTTGTTCTAGAAAATATTACCATCGTAAAAAACGACCGCCTTGCTTAATTGTAGACCATCGCACTTTCGGTGCGCTAATTCAATTTCGAATTTAAGCAGTGGGAATTCGAGTACCGTACTCAGAAAAACCTGTGAATCTAACTCATCATAAATCGGGGCAAGGCGCTCGTTTTTTTTTTGCGTATGTAAAACTTACTTTGAACAATATTATGTACGCGGGTATATTTACGTTGAGCGTCTTTCTCTTGGTCTCGAGCAGACAAACTTGGCATTTTTCATTATATGGGCCAATTAAAATCGAATGACATCACGATAAAATACATCGTTCACGTGAAAACTGCAAAATAAGCGTTCATACGTGGCGAGACCATTTCGAAAGGCACTCTCGTAAATTACCCCCGTACAGCAGTCATCGAGCCTTATTTTATTTCATCTCTGGATTTGCATTCAGCTTTTTCAATTTATTTATTTCGCCGTAAATGCATCAGCGTATTCCTCAATTCCCGAAAAACATAGAAGGGCATAAAGAAATCGCGCATGTTTTCAGGTTCTTCTTGGAGTCGAAGCCATATTTTTCACCGATTATCGCCTTCTTCATGTAGTTATTGCAACTCCAGCTCTCCTCTTTTTATCCTATTGGTGGTATGTTGTCAGTTGTTTGCAGTAGATTTAACAAAATATATCCAGGATTGTTCCTGAGAGCGCACGTTGGCTTGTATCTCAAAAGCGTTTCAAAGAAGCTGATGATGTGCTTCAAAAAGCAGCAAAAACAAATAAAGTTACGTTGCCTGAGAACTGGTGGGAGCAACTGGATGATAGTGGTGAGACTGGATCATCTGGAGAACCAGTTCGAAGGCTCAACAGCTTCGATCTGTTCAAAACGCCAGAACTTCGAAAGAGAACATTGGTTGTATTCTTTCTATGGTATTTGGTGTCTTCAAACAATTTATAATCAAAATGTTTAGGCCAGTTGTATCAATGGTATACTATGGAATGGCAATGAAAGCCAATGTTCTTGGTGGTGATATCTATATCAATTTCATATTTGCCGCTATTATTGAGATTCCAGCACTTTTCATTGTATATTTTCTCATTGATAGGTTTATTATTCATTTTATTCGGTGATTTAGAACCCTTTATTTCCAGAATTGGTCGCCGTTTCATCCTTTCTGGAGGCCTCTTTATCGCCGGCGGATGCCTAATTCTCAACTGGGCGATGGGCGAGAATGGTAGGTGCTCGTCTCTCACTCTCTTCTCTTTCTATACGCAATAGCAACCATCACGAAACGTGTCATTCTGGCCGAGTGGTCTAAGGCGCTGCGTTCAGGTCGCAGTCCTCTCCGGAGGGCGCAGGTTCGAACCCTGCGGATGACAAAGGCTTTTGCGTTTTATAAGCGCGCGGGCCTCGGACTCTTATGGTCGAAGCTGAAGGAATCTTTTTAATTCACAAGCCTGCATTCGATTACATTTCGAATTCATAAATTTCAGTCAGCACATTCATCGCAATTGTTCAAATGCTTGTTACAAAGGGTGCAATCACGGGTGTCTATGCAGCTTTATACACGTATTCCCCGGAACTCTTCCCAACTGTAAAAAATTCGTTAAAAATCTACCGTATCGTTTGTAATTTAGGTTATTCGAAATACAGCGATGGGCTACTGTTCAACAATAGCTAGGATTGGTGCAATTACTGCAAGCTATGTGTCTATGTGGATTGTTAGTTCTGAAAATGTTTTTAAAATTTTCAATATTTGCTAGGCTGAACAATTTGGAAAAGTTTTCATGATCATTCCATTTGGAACATTAGCAGTTGTAGCTGCACTCTGCACGATAATTCTTTTACCGGAAACGATGGGCAAACCTTTACCTGAAACAATTCGAGAGATTGAAGAGGTTTGCTATTCCATTATTCAATTTTTAACATTTAGTTTTACAGATCGGCACCCTTCAAGACGAACGAGAAATGCAACCACTCTCAAAAGACGCCGAATAACTTTAAGAAGAATCACCCTTTAATTCACTTTGCCAACAATAATTAATATTCCAATTGCAAATCAGGATTCCTGTCCCCGGACCAATTTATTTCTGTCCTTCACTTTTTATGTTACTGCTCGTTTTTGTACGCTGCAATAAACATTCCTCTGCCATACTGAAAAATTATTGTCGACGTCGCGCGACTGCTAAAATAACTTAAATGCCAATAATTTGGGGAGATCTCTGGGTGCGCCTTAACATAATAAGCATAGTCCGTAATTCTACACCAGGGCTGTGCGGCAATCGGAAATTTCGGCAATTCGGCAAATTGCCGAAAATCAAAATTTCGGCAATCCGGCAATTCGGCATATTGCCGAAAATCAAAATTTCGGCAATTCGGCAAATTGCCGATAATCAAAATTTCGGCAATTCGGCAAATTGCCGATAATCAAAATTTCGGCAATCCGGCAATTCGGCAAATTGCCGATAATCAAAATTTCGGCTATTAAATGTTTTCAACGATAATTCGAAATATAAATACCGAATTTTCACGGTATCGCAAATTATTCAGTGGACATTGATTTTTGTTTCGCCGATTTTTTTTTGATATCAAATTGCCGAAAATCAAAATTTCGGCAAATCGGCAAATTGCCGAAAATAAAAATTAAATAAAAATTTCGGCAATCCGGCAATATGCCGATCGAACGTTCTCTTCGGCAATTTGAAAAATCGGCAATCGGCAATTCCATTGCCGCACAGCCCTGTTCTACACCATATCTCGGCGGCAAGACAGCTGCCAACGTTTTTTTTTGATTCACCAGTTTTCCGAAGTAAAGCGCTCGACAATAATTCAACAACATATCAACATCATCTCAAAAAATCTTCATTCGTAAATTTCTGGTGACGGGTGGGTTAAACTATACAAAACCAATTAGCTAGTCGAAATGTTTTTATTCGATCTATTAAAATACTTAGAGTTTGACCTACTCTGCCTTTTTCTATTAAAAGAAATTAGACATTGAAGATCTCCCTCTTAAAAACAAAAGCTATAAAACAAAGAAAATTTAAAGAGCGAACAAGATCATGAAACCCATAGTCAAGCAGAAAAGTCCCATAGCCTCGGACAAAGCGAATCCAAGAATGGCGTACGAGAAGAGCTGCTGCTTGAGAGATGGGTTACGGGCGTATCCGATGACGAGGGCTCCGAAAACGTTTCCGATACCGGCTCCAGATCCAGCAACTCCGACGGTAGCGGCTCCAGCTCCGATGTACTTGGCGGCTGAGTCGATATCCTTGCGAGCAACGGTGGTGCTGAGCATGCGAGTGGCCACAGCATTTTCCATGCGGAGAGCAAGTGGTGCTCTCTGGGCCTGAAAATGTTTTTTGGAACTTGCAGGCCTTGTTTCAATAATGAACTTACGAGAAGGGAGCGTGCGAATGGAACGGCGAGACGCTGGCAGTACATTATTGGCTCGGAGAAGTTCTTACCTGAAAAACAGAAAAATAACTTTAAACAGGAAAACGAGAAAAAAAAAAGAAAATAGGAGAAATTGTTAAACTAGGTCTTTTATACTTAATTTTTAGTTATAACTCTTTCAACTCACTAAGACACCAGAATGGTGAAAAAATATTTCTAATTTTCAAAATAACAACTCAAAAAGAATGGAAATGCACAAAAACTCCGAGCGAAATCGCCAATTTTCAAAGGCAAAACCATGGCCGCCCATCTAAACGGGCAACTCTACGAGGAGCGCAAATGTGTGGTTCTCGCACGGAAAGCGACTACGGTAACATGCGGTTCTTGGGCCGTTGCCAAGTTTATGAAAAAAACGTGAGATTTTATCATTTTTTCTTCTTTTTAGGGTTTTTCGTAGCATTTTTCTTGCGTTTTAATTTTTTCAAGATATAAAATTATAGACGTTCTTAACAATAGAACTTCCTATGTTTTAATAATTTTTCAAAGTGTTGATGTTTAGTTATTAACAAATTTTAACTATTATTTCTTTGCGATTAAAACCGGAATTCGTTTAGTATTTTTCATTGAAATAAATCATGAACTGCGGAATTATAGTGAGCTTAACTTTATGCAGTCGAGCGATTCGAGGCTAATTATTATGATTAAAACGAATAGCAAATCTTAACAACACATTTTTGAAAGCTTTTTCCACCCACATATTCATCGATTTTAGGATGGACAAGGTTCTTAAAGAAGACAACAATGCTATGATCGACACTGAAACAGGAAAGCAGAAGTTTTATGGAGGAATTGAAGGACCAACATCGGAATATGTTAAATTAGTCAGCAGTGATCAGCACGAGTTCATCATCAGACGAGAATTGGCGCTGACATCAGGCACAATCCGCGCAATGTTAAGTGGTCCAGGAGTTTATGCTGAAAATGAATCGAACGTCGTCTACTTCCGTGAGATTCCGTCGCACGTTCTTCAGAAAGTATGCCAGTACTTCGCTTACAAAGTGCGATACTCTAATGCAGCGACCGAGATCCCGGAATTCAATATTCCACCAGAAGTTGCGCTCGAGTTGTTGATGGCTGCCAATTTCCTTGATTGTTAAACTATTTAAAAATTAACATTGTTCATGTTCCGGTACTCCTATCAATTGGTCTTTTTTCTAAAGAAAAAGGACAGTTGGTATCGAATTAATCTCGATGTATATTACATTTCATTCGATTTCAACTATTCATTTTATTTGTACTTTATTATTGCTCGTCTTATTTTTCGCTCTGTGTGTACTTATGATTGTGAAAATAAACATTTTAGACCTTTCAATGGCTGAGGTAGAGGACATACCAGACAAGCCGGGAGAGGAAACATATTTCGCCAAACCGGAACACTTTTTCCCACATCTTGAGGACGGTAAAATACCAACGCAACAATTTTTAAGTGCCTGCCAAGGAATCGCTGATTTTGTTGGTGAGAATTCAATTGATTTGTTACCTATCAAATTTTATTTCAGAGTTCCTCGGAAAAGCGTTTGTACTTGTAAAGAACGATATCCAAGGCAATGTGAACAAAGTTCGAGCTCGTTTCGAAAAAGATATGGAGGGTAAGATACAAATATCCACGTTTCAATAAAAAAATGTATATAGTATCGTTTTAGGGCAAAAGTATCTGCAAGACTTAATTGATGCCGATCTGGCCGAGCACGGAGGAAAATTTGGAATTGCCACTGAGGGTCTGCTATGGCTGAAAAGGTTTCAGCGAGCTTTTCTTTAAATAGATAATCAAATAATTGTTTACAGAGGACTTCAATTCATGCTTGAAATGCTCACACAGATGGTGCAGAAATATCGAGAAATTCCCGATCATTCAAAAACTGAAAATTTATCGTCTGTGGTTGATTACGCTTACCAAAAATCATTAAAACGGCATCACGGTTTTTTGGCAAAACAAGCGTTTAAGGTAAAAAAAAATTTAGCCAACATCTAGCGAAAACATTTATTTAAACAAAGCGTTACATTCTGAAGTTTTTGATTAAAAATGAGCAAAACCAAATGGTACCGTTTACGATATCAATTTTTAAAATGTCGGTTTTCCTATCAATCAGAAAATTTGCTCACAGTTTGTGAATATTCAAAAAAGTTTTAAAATTCAGATGCTTTCGCACGCCGTTCCGTACCGCCACACCATTCTGAAGGCCGTCGCACTTGGCAAAGAAGGCCTTGATGATGTCTGCATTCATCACATCGAAGCTCATCTCGACAATTTCCGTCTTAACGTCCAAACCCTTGTAGAATATTACTTAATGAAAGGTTTGGAGACTCCAGAACCCTAATGATTTTTTTTTGCAATAACGAGTTTTTCCCTCTGCCACTGTGATTTTTATTTCCTTTTCCACAATCCATTATGATTTTGCTTTAAAATCTTTGTATTTCTTCTTTCAATGAATTCGATTTAAATATTTATTAAAGTTACAGCAATGAATAGTTTGACAACTATAAATCATACTTAAATATCAGAATCGAAGTTTTAATTAAATACAGGAACGCTTAATTAACTTATTGGACAATATTTGTACAAGAAACGTAAACGAAGCTTTGGTGGAATAAAGCACAATTCCCAAATAGTTACAAGATAACCAATTATGTTCTTTTTTTCATTAATGGTTCATCGCCGAAATCATCGAACACTCGCTTTCGTGATTCCGATGGTCCAGCTTCATCTTTATTGGATGCAAATTGATTCGCCGCGGCACTCTTAACTTTTTTCATTTCGATATTTGATTTTTGCTCAAGACAAACCAAGAGTAACGGACTGTCCACCATGAAGCGGCGCAAACGACTTCGATGCTCTGGGAAGCTCTGAAATGCGCAATTTCTTCCCATAATAATTATTCGCCTTCCTACCTGCTGCATGAAGGTGAAAAGGCTCGAAACGGCATCTTTCAGCAAGCGAATTTCCTCAGTCTGTGAATCGATCTTCTTCTGCTGAGCCTCAATTTTGTCCTGCATCGATTTCGGCAGATCTTTCGCCAATGGCGAATTAGCAACTATTCTGAGAATTTCTTTCCTTAGCCCAGGTCCATTCTAATTCAATTTTATTACCTGTCGTATTGAGCATTCGGCGGCAAACCCAATTCATGAGGATCTCGTCGAACTCTCCATGGTTTCTTCTTCGAGTACGTCGTTATCGAATCATAAACATACGACGAAATTCCCTCGCGTTCAGCGCGCTCATCCAATATCGGCAGAATCGTTTCCTCGAAATATTCCATTGCCATACTCGACAAATCGCGAACTTCCTTGAGAAGCTCAGTGACATCGCCAGTAAATTCTCCACCATTATCAATACATTTTTGCAAAATATCGAGAACTCGGTTAAATTCATCGATGACCTAAAATCGATCATTTATTTGACATCCGAAATTTATTTAGTCAGATCATTTTCGCCAGTTTCTGTTCTCTTGCTCTTTCATGAAAAACAAAAAAAAAAAAAGAAATCTTACTCGTCCCGGAATGAAGCAAATGTTGAGTCTCGGATGAGTGTGAGTCATGTATTTTTTGAAAGTCAAATCGAGAAGCGAATATCTCGTGTCCATTGCCGTATATATCTCGTTGATTTTCGTTAGACGATGCCGTTTTCTTTGCGATTCTCTTTTCGGCAATCCTTTCTTCACATTTTGTTTGTTTGTCTCTAGAATTTTTCCCAACTTCTCAAATCCTTTGTTCAATTCCTCCTTCACGTAGCAATTGAAAATGCGACTGACCTAAAGAAAACAAATTATAGAATTATCATATTTCATATTGTTCAATGAACCCCTCGGATTTTTGCGAGTTCATCATAAGTGAAATACGAAAAGATTTTGTCAAGAATCAATTCTGGAAAGTCGAAAATCGTCTTTGCTGTCCCATATCCTTTGATTATTTGATACATTGGAGCCGTCGAACTCGATTCTCCTCGTTGTGCAATCGCATGCGCTCGTTCCTAAAATAATTGTTTCGAATGAAGTTCCAAAAGCGATAAAATATTCACCATTCCATGCATACGACGTGCCACGTTCAACAAATCGATACTTTCCTCTGAAAAAAAATTAAATTCAAAATATTTCAGATAAAATTCGTTGTGGCTGAATACCAATGGTTTACCGACTTGTTCGGGCATTTCTCAACAATGAGAAAACAATTCAAACGGTTGGTTTTTAATATATCAAAATCATTGAGCAATTTCGAGACTAGATAAGTTTTTATGTGTTTCAATGTATAAAATTATTGATGGCGATAATTTAACACGAATTCCGACAACTTACGTGACATTATCCTTTACAGTTGGCCGAATCGGCGCCTGTCCGCGTAACCGCCAAGGCAATTGTTCGTGGGATGAAGATTGCTGAAGAAAAAGTTGAAAAGATCGACATTGGAAAGAAACTCGACAAATTCAAAACGCTCTATACCGAGGAATATCAGAAAGCGTTGAAAAAATAAGTATTGAAGCGTTGTGTTAACGCAATAAGTCACAAGTGCCATTAGAACTCATTGATAAAAATTTATTTCTGTGCAATGAAAATACAATCGTAAAAAAATGATGAAGGAACCGCAAATATTCAAACTATGTGTCTCATTCTATCGCTTTCTAAATTTTATTGGAATCCGCCGTTTTTCGGCTTGTATCCGAGTATGTGGGCGACTCCCTCGTAAACGGCACTGTTTTCGTCGAAAGCGACCATTCGAGAGGCTTCGAGATCACGTGGGGCACGAGACACCTATAATTTGTTTTGTTGCATTTTTTGTGAGCGAAATCAAAATAACACGACGAATTTATCAACAGAAAATCACATTTGCAAGGTTTGCAAAATTAATTTTGGAGATATAAACCATAGCGAACCGTATTAGAATGATTATTTTGGAAAAACGCCTAATAACGTAAGCGTTTCGATGATTAAAACCAGCTTGGTGTTGGTAAACTTCAAATATTTAATTGATTGATTTTTTATTATTTGGTTGGAGCAATTTAGTAAAAATAAGATCGCTGCTAATCATTTTTCGATTTACCGAAAGTGAATTTCTAGAAACGCGTGGAAACATTTTCGCTTTACCGGATGTTGGACACGATATCTTTCGTTCCACATCAATTTAATTTTACTCTGTTCTATTGTATTCTCTTACGGACGCGATTCGTAAATAAACTAATCTAAACACGATGCCATAAGCCGGAAACTTTTTTCTGATATGAATTGAAAACAGAAATAACTTGCATTGTATGCCTTGTAAAACAATTTTTCCTCGTTCTCATTTTTAATGAGTTGTTTGCTAAAGATAAAATGATTTGCTGATGATGAAACACTTAACGGAGAGCCTATTAAAATTAATGGAAACTAGGATAAAAAATAAAATCAGAACAATGTTTGTTGGTAAAGTTTTCGGATATTTTTCTCCACACACCTTTGCTTAGAGTGGCCGCGGCCTTTCTAGAAAATAAACAACGTTTTTATACACGTGACGAATGCAATGAAGAAGAATTTTCGTGAAAACTTTAAATGATAAAATAAATTGAGTGAAACCAAATGATTTCAAACACAAATAATCAAGAATGAAACACCAATTTAAGTTATAATTAAATCAACTTACATTTTTGTGATTTCCATCACACAATGGTCTCGAATCCGTTTGTTTGCAGCCACACAATGAGTATTGTCCAGACTTCTCGACCTAAAAAAAACGAATGTTCATCTATGGTTTCATTTGATTCATTTTACCTGGAAGCTTACAGGTCTGACGTCAGTTAATCCAGGAATTTTGTGGGAACCATCACAGAATGGCTTAATACGATAAATTAAATTACGAACAAATTTTAAGAAAAAATACTTACTTGCTTAACACTCAATCCGCACGAACACCATGAGTATGTCTTTCCGGCGTCAAGTTGAACGCGAATTGATTTTGGCACGGCCGGTTTTCCCTAGAAAGGAGGTTTTAGTGAAATGTGTTCAGATTTTTCAATATCACTTTGTATGGAAGAACGTCGGCAGCATAGCTTTGAATAACTACGCCCTTTGCTTTTCCTCTAACCGAGGAAACCTAAAACAATGTTGTTTATATGAATATTGATTTATTGTATTATACCAATGGTCCAGCAGCGTGAAGTTTTGGACAAGCACGGCCAAGCATGTTCTAAACAAGTTTATTATAAAATATTTTTCAAAGTTATATTTAATGAACCATGCAATATAAAAAAATGAAAGACATTACGCATTTTTCCAATACAGGATGGTAAAAACAATGTAAATTCAAAATAAATTTTCACACTTAAAAAAAATCTCATGAATAGGTCCAAAAACAGAACCAAAGCATATTCAAACATTTCAGTACGAAAATTTTATACATTAATGTTGGCGATAATTCAAGAAATCAATCAAATGAAGTAAAATCGTAATATTGAGAAATAACATTATAAATATGCATTTATACAGACATCGTTATATTCTGTTTAGCTATATTTTTTGAAACCTAATATGCGTTTTGCTACAAATTAATATAAAGAAAAGATGAAACTGGAAATCGGCGGTTTCATTTTTTTGTGGAAAAGGGCAAACTCGCTCCATCGCACAATCCATTCTACACGACCATAAGAAAACTAGGCCGTGAAATAATATTTTATTTAAAACAAATTATCATTTAATTTTGAATTTTTAAAATTAATTTAAAATTAAGATATTTAAATGTGTAAATTAGATGGAAAACGTTTACACATACATATAGCATACAAATAAAATATTAAGATTTTTGTTTTCGTAAAAGTAGATTTTGCAGTTGCATCACAACCAAAAAAATGAAAATAAACGAACATGAGAAAATCTTATCCGAAAAAATAATTCTTGTTCCTTATGAGACGACCCATGTCCTAAAATATCACCAATGGATGGAAGACGAAGAGATTCGTCGGTAGTAACCAGAATGAGGGTATAAAGAAATTAGAAGTTTTATCAATTTTCAGGTTAACCGGTTCCGAGAGACTTACGCTGGAAGAAGAATATGAAATGCAGCGAAGTTGGAGAAATGATGAGGATAAACTCACGTTTATTATATTATCAAAAATATGTTTTGAAAAGACAGAAGATGAGGTATTTATTACTTCAAAATAATAATTCTAAATTTCTCCGGCAATTGCGAAGGAAATTTCAGACTGAGAGCATGATCGGTGATGTCAATTTATTCATAAATTCAGAAGAAAAAAGTGCAGAAGTTGAGATAATGATAGCTGAAAAATCAGCACGAGGAAAAGGAATTGCTCATGAAGCTGTTTCGCTTATTATTTCTTATGCGATTCAGGTATTTTAAATTATTCAAGCATTTAAGCTTAAATTGCTTGCAGAAACTTGGAATCCGCAAATATTTTGTAAAAATTACGGATGACAACGCTGCTAGCCTTCATTTGTTTAAAGACAAACTCAATTTTGAATGTGTTAGTCATAGCGAAGTTTTCAAGGAATTCACTCTAGAGCTCCCAGAGAACAAATTATCATTTTTTGAAAATTTTATTTCAAAACACGGGCAAATTTTGAATTATTAATAATATATATATATATATATATATATATATATATATATATATATATATATATATATATATATATATATATATATATATATTATCTGAAAAAGTAATCGCTGTCCAAGCAGTTGTCAACAAATTTCGAATTACGATATAAAGAAACGAATTGTTTAGCGGCGCGATCTAAATCCCAACGATCTCCTGATGGATAATTTATCCGATAATCCTGTAAATTAAAAAGTCGAGAAAATTACAATTATCATGCGATTTGTTATACCTTTATCGCACAGTACTTGGCTAATACTTTTTGAATATCATCGCATGGTTCTTCATCAATGCCCAACAATTTCGTATATGAGAAATCAGCAGTTCTAAAAAAAAAACAAAGATTGATTTGAACTTTAAATGATTGCAACTTATTGAGCCAGTAAAGGAGATAGTCGGCAAGGTAGTAAACATTTACGTGACTTTCTAAGATTAAATCGCACAGAGCCAATTTCATTGCCTGAATATATTAATTTATGGATTTTACTCAAGGATTCCAACATCTTCGACGTTTCTATGTGACGGTGAGAGCACGCCAGGAGTGTCGATGACATAAACTGGAGGCTTGTCTTGGATTCGAACCCGATTTTGAACACGAACTGTTACACCCGGTCTAGCACCTGTTTACTGATGTTTGAAACCAATTATAGATTGATTAAATACCTGCTTCAACTGCTTTCTTCTTAATTCCTAATCCATGCGTCCTCATTGCGTTTATTAAGGATGACTTTCCGACATTGGGTATTCCCACGACCATCGCTTGATACTCGGTTTTCACTTCTCGATTATAGCGAGGCGTTGCTTCTAAGGCGGACATCATACTAATTTTCAGATCGTTGAGAGCTCTGAATTCTGATTTTGATAAATATATAAAAAAATAATAATGATAATTATATTGAAAATACCTTGGTAATTTTCTTTTGCAATCGGTGAATAAAACTTTTTGAATTCCTCGATCATAATAGTGATCTTCAATTAATCGCCTAAAATGATTTTTCAAACTTGTTTTTCTGAAGCTTCAACCTGTATTTTTTCATATTAATCAAATCGCACTTATTTAAAACCAAAATATGAGGTCGAATGGCATAAAGATGATTAAAAAATTGCTCATTTCGCCCAGTTACGGGAATCCGTGCGTCATGGACCTTCAAAATTTGATTTTAAAATAAAAACATAACATATTAAAAAAGACCTCGATTACAAGATCAACCGATCGAACTTTTGCTTCCATTTTCTTTAATTGAACAGACATGTGCATTGGAAACCATGTGCGATAGTCAAATTGAGAAGGTAGTTGAAAATGTTCGCGGAAATTGCTTGAACAAGAGGCGGCTATTTCTGTAGGAATCCTTGCTAAGAACAAATTGGCATTTCATTCTACCTGAACGAGCGGCCGATGAAAAAGAAACAGCCCGTTTTGCTGTTTTAAGAAGCATTTGGAATTTTCAAAACAAAAAGAAACAGGTTTTCCAAATGAACTACAGCAATCGAAAATTGTGGCCGCCGACGGCCATTCGCGAGCCTCGTCCATGTATTTATTTTCGAGCTGGATTTTCAAAATTCAACGATTTTCAACGTTTGTCGTACATTATATTATGGCTAAGTTATTTAATTTTTATCAAAATTTCATATTTCACGATTCAAATTAACCGTCCATTCGTGCATCTTTCTTTACAATTCCTCAATTCCCTGTATATATATATATATATTTGTTGCATTGAATAAACATTGTATTTCTCAAGCAACAATAGATTTTTCTCTATTCGCTGCATTTTCATTGTATAGCCCCTTCGCACCATTCCAACAGTGCGGTCAATTGATTAATGTTCGTGTTCAATTTCTGCCCTCAGCCACATTATGGCATTCATAAAACAAGAATTGTTCAGTGTATTATTCAATCTTCGAACTAATTGTAAATAACATTCGGTTAAGCCTTTATAGATTTGTTTCAACTGACCGACAATTAAATAATTTGAAACATGTGTTTCGGGATGAAACCACAACGCTTTGAAATATATATTGCAAGCTTCTTTTCAAACTGAGCAGTGTAATGATTTCGGCGCCGCAATCGTTTTGTGCCCTGACTCATTTTTCACATTTTTCTTCTCGTCATTTCTTTCGACTATCGATTCTTTTACAGGACAAGGGCTGAGAAAACCAAAAAATGTCGATTACGAGTGCAGATGCTGCTGTGCGGCACGACAAAGGAGCGAAGAAGGAGCAAGTGGATTACTCTCTTTATCCACCATTTATCAAGCAGGTCTCGAAATTATTCAATTTTTTAAAAATTACATTGGAAATTTAGTTAGATGCAAAATTACCTGATTATACAAGAGAGGGCGATATCGAATATCCGTTTGAGGAAACAACTGGAATTGGAGATGAGAATAGAATAAGAGGTTGCATTTTCCTTCATAAACTCGTTGGAAATTTTTTAATTACAGGAAATTGGAGTAACAAATCCGATTATATTCTTGCTTTAATAGGATTCACTGCTGGAGTTGGTAAGAAATTCTATTACTTCTTCGCGAAATTTCTTTTTTTAAAGGTAGTTTTTGGAAATTTCCATTTCTCATCTTTCAAAATGGAGGTGCTGCATTTTTAGTACCATATTTGGTAATGCTGATATTGGCAGCAATGCCAGTTTTCTTCACAGAACTTGTACTGGGTCAATTTTCTTCATTAGCCGCCATCAGCGTCTGGAAAGTTGTTCCTATGTTCAAGGTTTTGTTTTTTTTCCTATTTAAAGCTTTCATTTACGTCGAATTTCATATTTTGAAGGGTATTGGCTATGCGCAAGTAACATTTTCGGGTTTCTTCGCCATTTTCTTCAATGTGATTTCCGCATGGGCGCTTTTCTATCTGATAAACTCATTCTGTTTTTCTATACCATGGTCGAATTGCGCAAATTCGTGGTCAGGAGAAAGTGAGTTTGATATAATAAAACAAAGTAATGCAAATATTGTGGAAAGCATGAAGCGTTTTTTTCATTTATCAAAAAACTTGTCTACTTTTTCTTCAAAATCAATATTCTGCTAATTCGACGTCATATTTCTTCATCGTGAAACTCTAGAGTTAACATGTTAGGCAACTAAATTTTACTAACGTCTTTTTTCTTACCGTATCTGATAATTTGACCAGATTGCACCCTGGGAACCCGCATCCAATGCATGGAAATGAATGGAACACTACTCGTCAATGGCTCGTGTTATGTTGAAGTATCAATTATTTTCTTCTTTTCTTTCCACATGATTTTTTTATTTTAGCAGTCGTATATGAACGATTCCAATGTGATTCCGTTGCATGACTTGGATTCAATTCCTAGCCTCAAATATTTCCAGTATGATTTTTTGGCTCATATGTTTCTTTCATAGAAATTTTTATAGTAGCGATGTGTTGATGCTTTCGAATGGCGTCGACGATTTTGGAGCATTGAATTGGTATTTGGGTCTATGCGTTTTGGTATGCTGGATTGCAGTATTCCTCTGCTTGTTCCAAGGTGTCAAATCAAGTGGAAAAGTGAGAATTCGCTTCCATGTAATTCCAACATACGCCTACTATTCAGGTTGTCTACGTCTCCGTAATTCTTCCATTCATTATCATAACTGTTCTTTTGACAAGACTTCTCACTCTTGATGGTTCATTTCAGGCAATTATTCATTTTATGAATCCCAATTGGAAGGTTCTAAAAGATTTGAAGGTTTTCTCCCAAATTTTTCTCTTTAATGCGTTTTCTTTTATTTTCAGGTATGGGGAGAAGCTGCTGTTCAAGCATTCTATTCGGTTTCCTGCTGCTCTGGAGGTCTCTACACAATCAGTAGTTACAATCGATTCCACAACAATATCTATAGGTAAAATATAATTCGAATTCTAGTAATTAAAATCTTAAATGATTATAGGGATATCAGTCTAGTTTTAACAATTGATGTGATTGTCTCGCTTATTGGATGTGTTCTAACATTTTCGGCAATTGGATTTACTTGCTTTGAGTTTGCAATTTCTCTCGACAAATTTCACATTAGAGGTCTCGAATTCGAATTAATTTTGTTTTAGAAAATCCCTGATTTACTTCAATTTAGATGGCTTTCATCTAGTATTTGTGTTCCTTGCCGAAGCATTGGCAGGTGTTCCAGTAGCACCGCTTTACGCCGGATTGTTTTTCATAATGGTTCTTCTAGTGGTTCACGCTACACAAATGTTTGTGGTGAGTCGCATAAAAAAAATGAGTATTTAAACTCAAATATGACCCACGTGAACGAGTTTATTTGAAACATTGATCTTTTTTTATAAATAGTCGAGATTTGAAAGATTAAAGACCATAATTACTGTTTTGATTTTTCAGGTTGAAACCATTGTCTCCTCTCTTTGTGATGAGCATCCAGAAAGATTGCGAAGAAATCGAAGGCATGTTTTGACGACAGTTTGTGCACTTTTTATTCTTCTCAGCATTCCATTTTGTTTATCTGTGAGTTTTCCTGTCAAATCTATAACCATATATGATTTCAGTCGGGTTTATATTGGATGGAAATCTTGTCACAGTTGGTTCTCACCTGGCCATTATTGGTGATCGCATTCCTAGAGTGTATGGCGATCAACTGGGTTTGTCTTCTCGAACATTCTCCGTTAATCAAGCAATCCGCGAGTTCAGATTTATGGTGTGGATAATCTTCTGGATAATGCGAAATGGATTGTTGGGCATTGGCCGCCGTGCTATATCCTCTGGAAAATTCTGTTCAAATTCGTCTGTCCTCTTGTTTATCTGGTGATATTTTTGTTTCCATTTGACGCCGATTTTATTTCCTCATTTCAGTCTATCTTGTGTTTTTTGTGGCTGGATTGGCGAGCCATCTCGTATGAATCCTACGAATTTCCTTATTGGTCGATTGTTGTTGGTTGGTCACTTGGCGCGATTCCACTTCTAATGATTCCCGTTGTCGCCGTTTGGCAATATTGTATTGCGAAAGGAAATATCACTCAAAAGTGGTGGAAGATTCTCTATCCGGACGATGCTTGGGGACCGGCATTGGCGATTCATCGCGCTGAGAAATTCCCGCTTCAAATTCCAGAAGCTAGACGTTTGTTACTACCACCTGAAGTTGAGATTGTCGGAAATAGAGAAGGACAGGTCAGCAATTTAAAACTATTAATATTAAAATCATATTTTCGGTATTGTGCAACTGCAGTTGACCCAAAACTATAAGGGTATCCATATAGGCTTTCTATCAGGATAGGTTAAAGGCGCACAGTGTGAACTTGAAATTTAATGATTAAATGTGTTAATAATTTTTGCTTTTATGTTAGCTTACTTAGTCACTTCCTTACTTAGCGATGCGACTTCGACAATCGATAAGTTTTAATTTTTTTCATATTGTCGGAGTCACAGAAAATTGCCGAAAAAAAGTAAAATCTAAAAAAAATTAGCCGTTTTTTTCCACAGTCACGCGATGTCGAAAATACAAAATAAAATCGAAAATCATCATGAAATCATGAAATCGTGGCGCTCGAATTTTCACAATACTCAACACTTCCCTCCGCGTCAATATAAATTGTGATTTTTACTCAAAAAAATAAGAAGTAAACAAGAAACAACGGCGACATTCGTTGGTCGGCTGTTGTTTTTGACTACCACCATTCTATTTTATATACGTGATATCAATTTGAAAAGTGCACCAACGACTATAGCCAGGCGTTAGTTGCTACATTGTAGTGGTCTACGCGATTTGAATAAGATATTACAGAACGATGAGGACTACGATGTGGGCGGTGCGCGTTCTTCGGATTACGGCGGCGATGCTCGTTCTCTTCGCTCGACTGTCATCGGAAATGAGTTGAAGAGTGCGGCGGCTACGATTAACACGATTCCAAAATTCGAGCGCGAAACCGCTATATAATACGAGGTGTAATTCAAATTCGTTCAAAATAACCAAATCAATAATAATCTCTTCTGGCATTAATCTCATTGTGATTGATTGATCTGTTCCATTCGTCGTCTTCACCTTCATCATCAATTTCTTCTTCGTTTTCTTCTTCATCATCATGTTCCTCTTGTTTTCTTCATCCAACTTTTCTTTCCTTCGCTCTCTTTTTTCTCTTCTTTGCCGTTTTCCTCGAAAATTTTGCTCTTTCTTTGCATAATTCGTTTCAGTGAAATTGGTTTCATTATCAGTAGTGATAAGAGAATGAGAAGTTATGCTTTGTTTGTTTGATCTACCTTGCACTTTGACGGTTTCATTCCACTATTTGTGGGCATAATAATAGTAACTCTGCCTTACTTGGAAATTGAAATTGGTGCTAACTTTTTATTTAAAAAAAATTGCCTTCTTTCTACTAACAATTACGGTTTTCCTCTCACCCAATTCTCTCTTTCTCTTTTCTGTTTTTTTTTCGTATCATGTATTTACTCACTATTTCAAAACATTGTTCCTCTTTGTTGTTGTTTCTTTTCTGTATATTATATTTGTCGACCGACGAAAATAAGAAGAATTTACTCATTTCATTTTTGACGCTTTTGTCGTTTCGTTTCATCGAAAATGTGCATATATTTGAAATTAGAAATAGGATTAGATGAATCGAAAAGTTTTGAATTTTAGATGGCCTTGGAAGCACTTGAAAACGAGTGGAAAAACAATCACGGAGGATTTCCACAATTTGGAGGTTTGCTTGCTTCTTTTTTGGAATATTTAGAACACTCGAGAAGTTTGAGAAATAGAGAACTAAGAGAGAAAGAGAGCGGTTGATATTTTCGTCTAGGCAGTTCTCGAAAAATTTTAACCGATTCGTTTTCTCGGTTGCATAAATCCTGAATGAAAAATTCAATTAGTTTTCTTTTTGATCAAAAATTAGCCTAAACTCACGCCACTTTGATAAAACTTAACTCATCTTTTCAGTTTCTTATCAATTCTTACGTAATCCGAATTGAATGTTTTCGACATCGAATGGTCTCATTGCGATTATTATTTATTTACGCCGATAAAACACCAAACTTCTTGTTATCAGTAAAATTTTGGCGCACCAATCAAAAATTTTTTTGTTATAGAAAATCCACGATGAATATGTACATAAAATGCGCGAACTCGGAAATGTGCAAACGGCGAGCACGAAAGCGTTGAAACATCATAATTATCTGATGAAAGGAGTTGCAGAACTGATTCGAAAGTAGGATAATGTAGACAAATTTTGTGAACAATTGAAATATTGAAGAGCTGAAAAGGAAATAGAAGGAATGCCGAATGAGCCAACAGCAGATGGGACCGAGTCGTTGAAGGATACGTCGGCGGGAAAAGTGGACCGAATCAAACAAGAGATCGAACTTTCGCGGGTCAAACTCAGAGATATGCAGGCGGAATTGCCGGCTCAGGACAAAGGATTCTACCTCAATTTGATCCTTGGATCCAACCTCAATGTATCACTTTTAACGAAATGTGAAAGGTTCAAATATAAAAAGGTAAACCAATTTTTTTAAAATTTGAAAATAAAAAGCAATTTAGGAATATGAGGATTTCAAATATAAAATTACTGTGGTCATAACTGTTCTGACGGCGATTTCCTTTTTGTTTCCTTATCGAGTTCTCGATATGATCCTCTGCTTCGTTATGGTTTGGTAAGAATTCTGTGGCATCGGTGTTTTTTTTTTCTCAGTGCCACTATTTAAGGTATTATTGTACACTGACTATTCGCGAATCAGTGCTTTGTGTGAACGGATCGCGCATAAAGGGCTGGTGGTTGACTCATCATTATCTATCGTGTGCGGTTCCTGGAATCATATTGACTTGGAAGGAAGGAGAATGCTATCAGGAATTCCGTCTCTATTTCATCGCGTTTATCACTTATATAAGTTTGGTGCAACTTGCCCAAAATCAATATCAACAGGGATGTCTTCGACGTTTGCATGCCCTCGGACAAGGCCATCAGATGGATATTACCGTTGAAGGATTCACGTCGTGGCAATTCAAAGGACTCACGTTCTTGTTGCCATTTTTAATGGGAGGATATGTATGATTTGTAACAAAATGATATACCACGATTAATTTCGATTTTGCAGATTTTCCAATTGTTCCTCACAATCAAGCTATATTTCGCTGCTTATTGGGAAATATGTGATGGAATTTGGCAGGTAGGAAGAGGAACTTCTAATATTGAAACAGTGATTAATTTCGCATTTTCAGATTCCTGCTCTCTCCGTTTTGTTAGGTATAATCGGCGGTGGAAATTTGATCACCACGAGCATGGTTTGCTTCAAAAAGTTCAAAACCACACCATCATACGCGAACATTGTCACTTTGACGCGAAAATACAGCTCGCGTCATCGAATGCGCGACGAGGCGAAGAATTCGGCGGACAAGTCGAATTAATTTTGTAATATTTCGCCATTTTGCATAATCTCACAAATTTGATTACCCTTCTTTTATTTTTCTTCCTCGTTTATTCATTTACCTGCATGCCAATTATTGTTTATGGGTATCGTTTCCATTTTCATTTCTTTTTATACAATTATCGAGCATAGTTTTCGGTTTTATGAGAATAAAATTTTACATTTTAATTATTGGCAAATTGTTCAAGTCTCAACCTTGACGGCTTTCCTTCCTCGCTGACCACGTCCACGATTCCGAGCCTGTCCGCGCGATTTTCCACGCTTAAATCGATCATTACGCGTTTTTAATGGAGAATCGCGATTCTCGAAGGTCATATTGCGAAGATAGCTAGAAATTTTAGTAAATGTGTACTTTTAATATTGAACAATTGATACCTCGCGTTTGTGAAATCAATTTCCAGCGAAGGATCATCCAAATCTGAAAATAATTTGATTCGAATCTTTTCGGAAATGTTAATTTCGAAATACCAATCATTCCTGGGTTCCTTGGTCTATGTTGATTCATTTTCTGAAATCAATATTAACAATTTTCTCTACTTAAAATCTTTTCCTAACCTGTATTTTTGCTTTTATCACTTTTTTCGATTTGTTCGCATGTTGAATACTCGTTCGAGCTGGTAACTGAAAAACGCAATTTAAAATTGTGCTAAAAATTGATCATCAAACATTTTTGACAACTGGTGAATCTTCGGCTAAAAATGAGCGCGGTGCTTTTGTTTGCATAATCTGTCAATGAATTGGTTATTTATATGAAATACTGCAACTGTATAAATACCTGCCACTGTAGAAGAACTTCCGGTGAAAATCCATTGAAGTAATGTAAATCGGGGATATCAGCAAGTGTTGAGCACTGATCAGGCTTAAGCTCAAACAAATATCCAGGAGTTGCTCCCGGTCTGAACGCCTTATTTTTAACATTTGGGAAATGAATTTAAAATTACGTTTCTTCATTAAACACAGGTGTGATCCTAAGCGGCTTCTCTTGTTCCTGGTATGCGAGATATTCGCCACAATCCAAGTTCAACAGACATTTTAAAAACTCTTCAAATTTCAGGGTGCGCGATGAAAGTCTACAATTAAGGTTAACGTAGAGAAAATTACGAATATCTTACAATGAAAAAGCATTTGGTGGTCTTGCTGATGTATTTTTGTCCCTCATTGTACATGCATCAATTTGAAGTAACTGATCGAGTCTAAAATTTAGATTTTTTATTCCACTTTTGAATCGAAATAGAGATTACTGATAATGAACTCGGAATAATACGTGAGCTGTTGACATTTTGAATGTTTTCTTCAGATAATTCCAAATCCATTCTTCTGTTCCCAATTCCATCGCACCAGCATTCGGAAGATACTCCATTCTCGGTTCAAACGAAATTCGCTGATTTTTTATTGCGCAATGAACACCCTTTAATTAATTAAAATCACGCGTTGTTTTAAACAACATAGTTCATCTTAGAAATACTTTTTCCGTATTATTTTCCGGATATGCAACATTAAATGGAGGACGCGAACGAATAAGAATGTCGACTTCGCCAATTCGAAAAACTGCGTATTGGTATCCTAAATGACGTTTAAAAAATTCAAAAAAAATCAAATCTTATCACCAGTATGCATTTTGTCGCCATTGGTAGATATGCTTGACAATTTCGAAGTTTTGTTCATTTTTTCGATATCAGCAAAAATTGAACTCAACGGATCATCAGCTGTCGACGTTGATGGCTCTTGATCATCAACAATATTCAAATCGGCCTCTTCATCCACTTGTAATTCCGATTCCACTACAATATTTTTTCTTTTCGCAATCTCATTTTTCCACGATAAATTTTGATTTTCTGGGCATTCTACAACGAAATCTTTGTGAATTATTCGTTTTGCCGAGGATCGCAAAATTGTGGCTGACGTTGCCTGAAAGATTAAAAAAAGTAATTTCGAAAATTTTCCGGAAGAAATACTCACACTGTAACATGGATTCGGTTTACTCAACGAGATAATCCGATTTATTTTATTATTGTGTTCCTGTTCGGAAATATTTATCAAAACAGAAAAATCGTACGAATGAGATTCCCAAAATGGTGTCAAGAAGTGACAAGCCGTGGTAGCATCCATCATGATCGAGACATTGTCAGAATCAAGAACATGTTGAACAGCATTCTAAATGATATATGTATTTATCAACAGAAATTCAAAAAAAAGTAGACTTACTAAATCCAAGTGAATCGGAAGCTTTTCCTTAGAAAGCTTATGAAATTTTCTTGTAATCGGCGCTTTTCTTGTCATATCAGGAATCTAGACATTATCTTTTTACGGAATTCACAAATTTTGAACAACCTTAATCGTGTCAGATTTTCCATTTTGTAAACACTTCACAAGTTGCGGCACAACCGCGTTGTTCTCTCCATTTACACGCATCTGCAGTTTTTGATATCAATTGTTTAAATTTGAATCGAATAATTACCGAATCATCTTTTCCAAAATCGAATTGATGCAGGATTTTTGAAACCAACACACTCTTCTCAATTGGGGCTCGTCGTCGCCACGTTGTCTAAAATTATGTTTATTTTATATCCTATTTATATGCAAAATTCCTACCAGGCAGCGTTTTGTTAACTTTGAGAACTTGGTGTCAAGAGGGAAAATCAGCTCTTTTCTTGCCCATTCTAAAGCTGCTTCAACAATTGCATTGTATTCATCCTCAATCGCTTTCATAATATCCTGAATATTGTTTTCTTTAAAAAATTGTTGCACCAAATTTTCAAATATTACCTTAAACTCTTGTTTATTCGAGGCATGCTGGAAATCGCCTTGATACATTAGATTTTGGCACATTGCCGTGATTCTTTTCTGCTCGTTATAATCCAGTTTCTAAAAATCAAAATTTTTATTTTCGATCAATTAGATTTAACATACGGATCGCTTATCAATACACAGAATATCGCAGACATTTGGAGCCCACGGCAGCATGCTTTTCACCTAAAAAAAATCACAATATTTCCAGAAATTGAATTTAAAAAAAATCCTACATTCAAATTATTCTTTTTCGTTTGAGGTCTGAAAATATTTCAAATAGAATTTGCTGGTTTTAAACAACAAATAATAGACATACTGTGCGTCTTCTTCCTCGTCTTCGTTGCTCTCTTCTTCTACTCCTCCTTCGAGTTCTTCTTTCAACATTTTTTCATCCATCAATAGTTTTTCTTTGAGTTCAGTGAGTTGTTCTTCTTGGAATTGTCGTTTTTCACTCAATTCTCGCTTTTGATCTGCTTTCTTCAGTTTCAACAACTAAATTAAGCATGTTTTTTCTCGAAAAAAAAAAAACAAGTAGTTAACCTCTCTATCCAAGGCTGCCCTTCTCCTTGCTTCTTCTTTTTCGAGTTTTAGCTTTTGTTTAGCTTTTTCGGTTCGTTTTCTGCGAATTTTATGAGCAATTTTCCACGCTTCGGTCCGATCGACCTTTAAATGTCGTGTGATCTCATAAACAAGCTTCTCATCTCCACACTCCAGATTTTCCAGGTACTCATTGATATCTTCTTCAGAAAGAAAAATTCTCTTATTCTAAACAAAAATTCGAATTCGAAACAAAACAAAACAAAAACAATATTTACCGGTGTTTTATATTTTTCCCATGCTTTCGGATTCGCCTTCTCTTCTTCGGTAATTTCTGAAAAAAAAGAACAATTAAAGGACACATTATAGCATTAGCCTACGAATCCATGGAGGTGGAGCATTGGGATATAACATTTCTCGGGTGCTAAAATTACTTCTTGAAGTACAGCACTGGATACAGCCGCTAATAACATGATTAACAACATCTAAAAAGCATTAATTTGTAAGATTTCTAATAAAATACTTAAATAATTTACCCATTTTCCGATTCTCTAGTTTAAGCTTTTCGAATGTAACGCATTTAACGCCATAATCTCCTTCGTCTTGGTTGAAATCCATATAGAACTCTTAAATGAACATCGTTAACAAATATTTTAAACTACAAAATGTCTTGCATTATAATATGACAATTTTTTTCTAAATTGAATAGTTAACATATTAAAATACAGAATAAATAGGCGGATTTAAAAAAAATTGCGTAGAAAATTAATTGTACAATTACTTCCACACGACTGTCGAAAACTGTTAATTCTAACGATAGCCTCATCTTCTAAATAAATTGATTCGGTTACGAGAAAAACGTAACATTTTCTTCTTTTTTTATAAATTAGAATTTTCTTGAAAAAAAATTAAATGTAATTTTTTTTCATTGGAAAAATGTACAATTTTAAATTTTTTTTTATTGATTGAATAGGTCCAATAATGATAAAATAATTCGTTTCCGCTTATTCGCAACTTTTTTATTCGAAAATTCAAATATTTTGAAATACGCTAAAACGCGGGCAGCGTAAACAGCGAAATGTTGAATAGTGTTGGAGTTCGGTTAAATTTTTAAATGGCTGGTATTCAAGAAGTGTATCATGTCGTTTCACACCGACCAATATATTTCTGGACTGCCACAGATGTTGATCAATGGTTACGACGAAAAAGACCGAAGTTTGCATTGAAATATGCTCATTTCTTTGTTCGACATAATATAACAGGTAATAAAAAAATATCTGTTGTGAAAAAAAATCAAGTTTCAAGTTTAGGAAAGGTTCTTGTGGAAATCACAGATAAAGATTTACGAGAGATTGGTATAGAATCTGAAGAAGACCGGTAAATATTTATATATGATCGAAACCATTAAATTTTTTTCAGACAAGATATTATTTTGGAAGTAAGGAAGGAGAAACTGTATAGCGACCTAGATGAATTCTCCAAGCTTCGCAATTTGCCTTCCTCTTGACACTGTTAATTTGTGGTCACAAAATGTAAATAGATTGTATAATAAATTATAGACAATTAAGAATGTATTTCAATTAAAGTGCACGCCTTTTAAAATATCGCGAATTAAATTAATTTTTATTTTTATTAATTTTGTTTAAGTTCAGAAATGGATGACGACGCTATTATCGTGGGAGATGTAGAGGTAATACAGAAACACATTTTCAAATGGAGAAATACAATTTCAGACTCAACTAAATGAGTTAAAAATTCATAATGACAAAATTGCGTTACTTCCAACAACGAGAACAGCTGATATGACATCAATTTTGAGCGTACCTGAAACTTGCCTTGAAAAAATCTTCGCTTACGTCGCTGATCCAAGATTTAATACTCGTGTGCCGTTCTACGATTATCTTCGCCAAAGAATGAAGACCGTTGTTGCTCATGGGCCGGATAGGCACGGTCTCAAAGAAATGGGACGATTGGCGTTTGTGAGCGAGAAGTTTTCGCGCGTCGTTGACAGACTTATGCATTCAAAGAGAAATGATCTTCCAGAAGTCAACATAGATCTCCGTATTATGGTTGGTCGCCTGTATTTTTCAAACACCGTTTCGTAAATTTATAGGGCTCCAATGATCGCGAGTATGCTTGTACTGTTTATAAATATGGATTAACGGCAGCCAGTAGAAATGCGTTTTACTATTCAAAATTTGCAGACATTCCACAGTGTTTATTGTATGAATTTGAGAAATTAAATTGATAATCGTATCGAATTGCAGCGGATTTGAGCGTATTGTAAATTTGTACGTTAACAATGTGGTTCTCACAGATGATCTAATTGACGTAATTCTCAAACTTCCATATGGAGAGGTATCAAATTTATAACTTGTTATATTTCCATTTTACAACAACTTATCAATTTATTTTAGTGAAGTAAATTTGCCCACAAAGAAAAATGATTATTTTACTGGTTAGTTTAAATTTGTGTCTTTGTTGTTAATTTCGTGCACGCTTAAAAATCGTAAATTCCAATGTCTATTAAATGTATTGTATTAAAATCGTTTTAATATAATTTAACAAATTTCCGTCGCTAACATATGGCAAACAATTTGTTTTTCAAAGATTTATCTTCCCAGCAAAATCAAAAAATTTTAGATTCAACGAGTGTATTTTTATGACCTTCGTGGGGATAAATTAAGTCGTAACACGAAGGTTAGAAAACTTCGTAATCTTGCCAGGAAGGTTCCATTGATTGAGTAAGCAGGGGTTTGATTTCAACAAAATTTCAGTATCAAACTGCTTCTGTCGTACGATTTGTACCGAGCGAGTTTAAAAATGTGACAATATTTCCGTTTCGATTGTCCGAGGAACTGATTGCCGAGAATAATCCAGTTTTCTAGTAATTCAAACAATTCATTATTATGATGTTTAACAATTTCTAGTGATTATTCTGATGATGACATCAATCAAATTCGTGGCAGAAGGATGCAAATTGTATGTTTCGAATATTTTAGGTGAATTTAAGTGATCATTATAGCGATTGGGATACATAAGAGGAGTGACTGCCAAGCGAAAAGAAGACTATTTTCGATTAAATAAGCTACGAATAATGTAATTTTTTTCATTTTTCTCTATTTCGTTTAACAAATTTTCAAGTTTTCAGTTTGAAAGGTTTACTTCCTCGTGGAAAAAGGGGTTTGAATGGTCCTGAATTCTTACGTGGGCCTGATGTAAATCGTGACATTCACGCCTATTCTCGCAGAATTTCATATTTCGCCAAGGTAGTTAAAGTATTTCATTCTTGAATATCGTACTTATTTTTTTTTAGATTAGTGGTTCTCATAAAGTAACCAAAGTGGGGAAATATCTAAAGAAATTAAAAGCAATTTTCCGCTATGCTTGTTTCGATCGTATTGAAGTTCTCAAGTACATGTTCCTCATAAAAGAGGTGATTTTTGAATAGAATTTAATAAAGGAATAGTTGTTTTCAGATCATGAATAGCAGTAGTGCAATTGAGAATAATCAATATCGATTGCGACGACTTGCTTTAAATTAATTATGTCTTTTTTTGTTATTTTTCGAAAATATAATGCTTCTGAATTGTTTTTTTTTAATCATAACGAAAGCATTTTTATTGCAGCGAGATCTATCTATCCATCTTTTTTTGGATAAAAAAATATTTTTTAGAAATTTTCAGAAAATGAAAAACCGATTTGCACTGCCGGATGTGATCGCTGCTACGGCGGAACTCAAAAAGCTTATTGGTAATTCACCAATAAATCTGTCTGAAATATAAAATATTTTTGGGGTTTAGGAATGCGAGTGAACAATGTTTATGATATTGACAACAAAACGTATCTCATCAAATTGTCAAGGTTCGTAAATAGATGAGAATAAATAAACTAAATATTAATGGGATTCAACATTTAATCATACCGAGAAATCTGAAACTCAGAACTGATGAGAAAGCGGTTATCCTGTTCGAGTCTGGCGTTCGTCTTCATCAAACATTTCACGATTGGCCGAAATCTCAAATGCCTTCTTCGTTTTCGATGAAACTAAGAAAACATATTAATCAGAAACGACTTACTGAAATACGAGTCGTCGGATTCGATCGATTGGTCGAGCTGACATTCGGAACCGAGGACCGTGTGAATAAGCTGCTCATTGAGCTCTATGATCGGTAAATTATGCGAATCAATCTGTGAATTTACGATAATATTCAGTGGAAACGTCGTTTTGACAGATGGCGATTATACAATTCTGAACATTCTTCGTGTTCGAACTGACAAAGACACTTCTGTTAGATGGGCTGTTAGGGAAAAGTAAGAATATTGAGTGAAAAGCAAATATTGTGAGTTATAGATATACATTTTCGACGGACAACGATGCTCGCGCAAAAAATATCGAAATTTCTGATTTCGAGGACATTTTGAACAAACTAGGTGATGGAAAGGATGAACAACTCGTAAGAATTTTGTCGAATGTCACCAAATGTGGAAATCCTATTACGAAGGAGATCATGTCACGCTGTGGCCTCAAATTGGATGCCAAGGTTTTTTTGCAGCTTCTTTTATTCATCAAGACATTTTCATTCCGTATCAATTTTAGGTGAATTCCAACAGCGAATATGTGAAAGTGGTACGAGAGAAGTTTGAGGAATTTAAGAAAACTACGCTCGAGGTTTTCTTTAATTTAATAATTTTTTGATTTGTGATTGTTTTCAGATTTGGAAGAATATTGAAGAAGCGCCAGAAGGCCATGTTTCCTATACGGAACAACAAAGCGCATTCGATGGATCGATTTGTCAAGTGTATCAGGATTACAATCCGATCCGAATGACCCATGTTAAACTATCCAAACAGCTGAATTCGTTCTGTGAAGCCGTCGATGAGTTTTACTCTCGAATCGAAACGCAAAAACAGGAGCAGAAAGCAATGAATATTGAAAAGCAAGCATTGAAGAAACTTGAAAATGTTGAAAAAGATCAGAAAGAAAGAATCGATGCGTTGGTCATCGCGCAGGAACAACGAGAACGAATGGCAAATCGAATCATTGTCAATAATGTAAGTGGCAAATAAATGAAGTAAACCTGAATGTTGGTCAGGATCTCGTTGAACGTGCTCTTCTCCTTATTCGAACTGCCCTTGCCAATCAATTTTCTTGGTCGACAATTGATGAAATGAGAAAGACGGCGGCTGCGAATGGAGATCCGGTTGCCAAATCGATCGTCTCGCTGAGTTTTGAAAATAATGAGTTTGTGATGGCTCTAGGAGATCCGTACGACGAAGAGGAGGAAATGTATTTCGCATCAATCCAAAATTATTTGATTGTTGATTTTAGATTGAAAGTTCCAATTGACATCTCGATGAATGCTAGTAAGAATGCGCAGCGATATTTTGTCGACAAGAAACAAGCCGCTGAAAAAGTGAAGAAAACTGTTGCATCTTCAGGAAAAGCTATCAAGAATGCGCAAGAGAAAGCGAAAACAACATTAGAAAATGTATGTTTCAGTTGTGTTTCTTTTAATGCCAAATGTATTTAATTTAGGTTCGAATCGTTACTGAAGTGAAGAAATCACGAAAGGCGATGTGGTTTGAAAAATTCCGATGGTTTATTTCATCTGAAGGATACATTGTTGTTGCGGGAAGAGATGCTCAACAGAACGAGCTTCTTGTCAAGAAGTTTGAATTATTCTGGAATTAAACATTTTATCGAAAATTTTCAGATATCTTCGAGCTGGAGATGTCTACGTGCACGCTGATGTTCGAGGAGCCTCGTCTGTTGTTATTAGGTTATTTCATAATTTTTAACAGTTTCGTTATGATTATTTTAGAAATAAAATATCAGGTGGAGAAATTCCGCCGAAAACCTTAACCGAAGCGAGTCAAATGGCAGTTTGCTACTCAAATGCTTGGGAAGCGAACGTAACTGCGAATGCATGGTGGGTTCGACATGATCAGGTTAGTTTCGAGCAGTTTAAAGATTCATTTTATGTATGTTCAATATTATTAAGGTGTCTCGAACTGCTCCAACCGGTGAATATCTACCGTCTGGATCGTTCATGATTCGCGGAAAAAAGAATTTTATGCCGCCTAGTCAGTTGGTAATGGGCCTTGGAATTCTATTCAAATTGGATGACGAAAGTGTCGAGAAGCATCGACAAATTGAAGCGGAGAAGCGAAATGACGAGGAAAAATGTGAACAGAACACGAATAAGAAGCAAGAAGTGCAGAAGGATGATGAAGAAGAGGAATTTCCCGATGTTCAATTGAATATTGGACGAGTTTCAATCGAAGATGAAGAAGTTACACTGATCGAGGTTGGACCGAAAAATGGAGCTGTGAAAGGCGGAAAAGCTGTGCAGCCTACGAAAGAAACCACAGAGAAATATCTCGAAGAGAAGAAACAACAAGAGTTGGCGAATGCGCTGGTAATTTCGTTTTTATTTTCTGTATTTTCATTCGAAATTTCGATGAATTTTACAGCCGAGCGCTCGCACTCAAAAACGAAAACAGCGCAAAGAGAAGCTGATCAAACAGAAGTACAAGGATCAGACGGAAGACGATTTGATGATTCACAAGGAACTTCTGAAACCCGAAGGTGAAAAACCAAAAGAGGAGGCGAAGAAGGCGGTTGAGCCGGAGAGGAAGCCGCGGGAGCAAAATGCTCCTCGCGAGGAAAATCGACCTAAAAAGGAAGAAGTGGAGGTGGAAGAAGAGGATGAAGAAGACAGAGAAGCGTTGATTGAAGAAGAAGGAATGTTGGCGACGCTGACGGCAACACCGTTTGATGATGACACTCTGATCTTCGCAGTGCCCGTTGTAGCTCCATATTCGGTATCACGTCTTGCTACTGACTACATAACAACCTTTTGCATTTAAGGCATTGGCCCAATACAAGTATCGAGTGAAAATAACTCCTGGTCCTGGAAAACGCGGAAAAGCTACGAAATCAGCCATCGAGCTGTTCACGGTGAACTTCTTTTTTCTCTGGCATCAGCAAAAACTCTATATCACTTGCAGAGAGGCAAAAACGATCGTCAAAGTGCCCTCATCAAATCCTTGCTCTCCGATGATTCAGCCTCGAGAAATCTGCCAACCAAAGTACGCATTTCTGCCCCACAATTGCATGCAAAATAGAATAATTGGGTATTTGTTGTGATAATTTATCTGATAAAAATTTAAAATTAGATTAAGTTCTCTTTTGGGTACGACAAAAATAAATATCTCGCACTGTGAAAAACGGACGAATTTAGATTATCTACGCTTTTTTTTCATTTAACGTTTACCACCAAAATTCGTTCGTCTTCGACAATGTTCTAGTTATAATAGTTAAAATGGAATAAACACAACAGTTGAATAAAATAACATGGTTGAGATTAAAATAATCGAAAATATAATTTTTCTCAAAACGAATTAATTTAAAATTGACGATTGTGATATTTTTCAACGTCAAAGTAAGATGTGACGACGGTTCGGTTAGCGAATTTGCGACCAGTCAGCGCAGCTTGTGCCTTTTGGCAATCAGCTGTCGATCCAAATTCAACAAAAACCTTTCCGACTCCTGGAACCACGTAGCCTTCATAAGGACGTGGAATCTCAAGAGATCGCACAATTCCATATTTGGAACATTCATCACGAATATCTTCAAGAATATCTGAAAATACGTAAAATTTAAAAAAATTTTAATTAAATATCAACATACCTTCGTATTCCTCGTCATTTTTGAGTTCGTCTTCAACAACCATGTTCATAAGACACAAAACCTCAGTAGGTTGGCCAGCTCCTTGCGAAAGATCAATTCCAGCAATCGCTGTGGCCGAATTTGGCATGTTGATATTGTGTCGTTGCTGGTTGGCGCATGCCAATTGCACGACAAGCTGTTTATCACCAAGTTGCATTCCATTCAAACCAGCGATAGCCTAAAATCATATGAATTAAACCAAAGAAGAAAGCTACTCTCGAAATACCTGATCGGTAAGGGTTGGGTCGAGATATTCGGCAAATGCGTAGCCCTTACTCTGACCTTGCGAATCCACCGACAACGAGAATGCTTTAAGCGGTCCGAACGAGCACAGCAATTCTTTCACCTACAAATACGCGCATTACGCACCTTGTCTCGCAAAAAAACGCCCGCAATAATTTTTTTGTTGCTGAACCTTGGGATTTTTTGGTGTTGTTGTTAAAGGGCCCGTATCTAAAAACCTAGAAAACCTAAAAAAAGAAAAAAACACGCATAATCCATTGCAAACAATGGATCCCAATGAGCACCTAAATAACTGAAAAGAGCGGATTTGAGAGGAAATGTCTGAAAATTGCGGAGAATTGAATTGAAGAATTGTGTTTGGGATCCGAATGAATACAGAGCGACCATTTGCGATCGATTTTCAGCCCGCAGATGCGACAATCGAGCGCTGCAACACTCTTTTCGATTAATTCTTTGGCGAAACGAAATTTCGGAAAAAAAAACTATTTTCAAAAAAAATATTAAATGCAGTTCGAAGACGCTTTTCAATATGCGTTTATATAGGAAACCAAATAAAAAACGAATACCTGATCCTCCGTCAAATAGTTTGGAAGTCCACCAATGAAAATCTTGTTTGGCGAGTCGACGACAATCGAAGAAACTGGCATACGTGCGGTCATGTCGAACGTCGACTGTGATGGCTGGTAATCACGCGGACGACGAACTTTGAGCTGCTGCCCCATAAAATTGATGCCTGAATAAAACTACCATATTATCGCAAAAAATTCATTAAATTTTTTTCTCGGTATAGATTTAACAGTCAATTCTGGAAAAAAATTCAATGGAAAAAAGGTTTTTCCTATTATTGCTTTCGGAATTGAAATTTTCTCATAAAAATTGATTATCCATTTCCCAATTGTCTGATCATATTTAGACGTACCATCAAAAGCCATTCCAGCCGTAGTCTCATCAATTGAGCGGAACTCTATGAATGCGAAGTTTTTATCTAAGTTGATCTGGCAAAGCAACACTGGATTTCCAGGAGCCTGGGCCAATCCGCACAAATGCATTTGTTGGTTGAAGAAATCAAGCATAGCTTCTTCGTTACAACCGAATGGAATGTTTCCGACATAGAGACGACGTGACTGACAAGTCACAGATGGTCCAACAACAGGCACAGCTGACTGCATATTACCTCTAGGAACCTGCCCAGAAGCTGAAAAAACCGGAGTAATTACTGTACAGAACTGATCATTTCTCGAATTACCCTGCATTGCTTTATACTCAGCTGGAGTTGTGTTCTCGAAACCGACTGGGGGAACATCCCAGAATCGATATTTTTTCGGCTCTCTTGGCTTTTCGTCGCGTCTACGATCATCTCTGCGATCGCGAGAACGATCACGACGAGATCTTTCACGAGACTTGTCACGAGAACGACGATCACGGCTGAAATTACAGAATTAATCACTAATAACTTTTTGAAAAAAAATTACGATCTAGAGCGAGAACGCTTGCGATCTCGATCGCGTTCACGTTCCCGATCGCGGCTCCGGCTTCTCTTGCGACGCTTACGATCTTCATCACGATCATCGTCGCGTCGATTCTCGCGATCCCGATCTTTCTCTTTTTCACGTTCTCTCTCATCTTTCTCGTTTTCATGATCTCCGTTTTGCTGAAAACGTCATTAAAGAAAATTTAGCTGTATATGAAACATCTACGTACCACGTCTTCCTTGATACTCTCCAATCCATCTTTTTGAGCGGCTTCCAAGAACTGGCGTTCGATATCCGCTAGGGTTGCGTTAGAATCCTCAGCCATCTAAAATGAGCATTAACCAATTAAATCATAAACATAACAAAACCAAATATTAAAATCGTTCAAACGATTATTAAGATAAATATAATATTAAAAAAATATACAATGTTTATCAATTGCTCGTACGACACATAAGGCAATGATTAGCGAGTTCGCATTATTCACAGGGTTAGGGCATGTATGTGGTTTAAAAAGACTATTACGGCGACTAAATTTATATACAGATGAAAGGCAAATTGCTGCAAAATGCTTAGCAAAGGCATGATGAATTTGATGATTGGTCAGAGTCTCCTAATCGGAAAGTTTGTCGCTCATTTTCCCACAAGTACGGAGTTTGAATAATCTGAATGTTAATGATTGCATTAATAATTTTAAATGAGTACCTTTTCGATAAGCTCTTCAAATGCACACTGAACACCTTCTTTAGTCTTGGCGCTGGCTTCAATGAAGAGTGTACGATGTCTTCTTGCGAATTTTAGCCCTTCTTCACGCGACACAACCCGATTTGGCTGAATATTTATAATTTAATTTTTCATTTACATTTAATAGATACCATATCAATTTTGTTCGCCACAAGCATTTTAACCACGTCATCATTTGTACAATACGTATCAACTTCAGTCATCCAATGAGCCAATTTATCGAATGAGCTTCGATTCGTTACATCGTACACTAAATAACGAAAATAAATAGTTGAAACGTCTTTTCAGATTACCACAAATCACTCCTTGAGCTCCACGATAATAGCTAGGTGTCAATGTCCTAAAACGTTCCTGTCCAGCAGTATCCCAAATCGCAAGCTTGACTCGATTCCCAGAAACCGTCATAGACGTAACTCGGAAATCTACGCCTATTGTGGCAGCTTGTTCGGGGTCGAAAACATCATCGACAAACCGAAGCATCAAACTAAAAAATGTATTTAAAAAAATTATAACGACTTTTAAAGTTTCATCTCTTTATGTTACCTCGACTTTCCAACGCCACTTTCTCCAATGATTAGGATTTTTAACGTTGTAATTGCGTTTGAATCATTTTCCATCTTTTTCTAAAACAATACGATCCAATAAGTTCAAAACCGATTTAAATAGATAAAACGTAAGCCAAATCATACATAAAGTTGTTACTTTACAACTTTGAAAGAAATGTCATATTAGGTTTCTGGAAACTCAAAAGTTACGAAATATGAAAACATCGCTTTTCTTTACGTATATTGTTTAACGCCTTAAAGCAAAACAATGATTTTTGTTTAATTTGGGAATTTTGATTATTCAAAAATTAGCTGAGATTACATAGCAAAAGTACACAAACGATAAACTGCGGTAAAAATTACGAACACGAAAAATTTAGTGCACGCGACTCTGTGTTTCAATAGAGCGCGTTTACAACAAGTTGGCATGATTCCAATGTGTTGTCGGACCGAGACCTAAGCGGCAGTTTGAATTTTAAAAGTCTCCGTTCTTTTTTGAAGATGCGCTGCAGTTTTCATAAGGTTTTGTGAAAAAAGTATTGGTTTTTTCGTTTTTCAGCCAAAATGGAAGATATTGATGCAAAGTTCGAAAATTTTATAAACGATCTCGAGGTATGACGTCTATGTAAAATATAAATAAACTGAAATTTCAGAATTCTCCAATGCCGTCAAATTTATTGGAGGTGGAAAGAATGTAATATCATATTTGATTTATACTCGAAAATATTGCTATTTTCCAGGAAAACTTCAATTGAAGAAACAAAAATCCGTCTAGAATTAATGAAAAAGGGTAACATTCATTTATTTCGAATACAATTTATATGTTAAATTTACAGAGAAAATTGAAGAAAAAGAGGTTTTAAAGCTAGAAGAAAACCAATTAAAAAAGGACATTGAAAACCTCAAGAATGGTTAGCTTTTTTTCAAATAATTAATACTAATAAAATAATAAGCTTGATTTTTTAGTTCGACAAGTTATGATGATGCAAAAAGAATTACTGGAACAGCATTCTTTGAAGTTTCAACAAACGCAAAGTTTAATAAAAGAGTTAGACGATGCTCTTGAGTACGCCAATTCGCTTTAATCAATTATTATTCGTGCAATAAATTCATTTTTTTATTTCGCGTTGTACTTTTTTTGAAATACAGTTGTCCTCAAATAATATTTTTGTTTATATAGTTATTTTTTCAAAGTTTCAGCTATGTATTTAAGGTTACTACTGCTTAATAATGAACGAAATGCGCGGCGAAAATAGTATTTCGGAGGGGGGCTCGATTCGAGCAAGTCGTAGCGATTTGTCGATATCGACGTCTTCTCCGAGACTCGAATCTAATGCAACATCTTCTACTTCAGCGGTATGCAAAAGTATTTGAAACTGTGTCTAATTAAGTCGTTGAATTTCTAATTTTCAATTAATTTATCTCGATAATTTACTATACACACATGAATTAGGAATTTACTCGAGATTCCTTATTAAACTTTCTCTGTTGCAGTGTTTCACTGATGGATTGACTCGCCGTGATTTGAGTTCAGATTTAATTTGTGCCATTTGTAATCAACTGTTTGAAAGAGTTTGTTTTTCTTCTACCCATGAATTCACTCGCTTTTCTCAATTCAGCCAGTTCTCGTCACTTGTGGCCATTCGTTCTGTGAGGCGTGCATTGAACGACGTTGTCGGCACACACGTGAATGTTTCATTTGCCAGAAAGACGTCGGCGACTTCGAGGCCATGATCCCGAGTATAACATTGGATAATGTAACCAATCATATTTAAATAATCCAAACTCTGTATTTTCAGCTAGTTCGCAAGTTGAAATTGTCTGATAACGGCAGTCTAGATGACTTGTTTATCTGCGAAGAAGCGGTTTTGAAATTCATTATTCTGCAAATCGATTCCTGATAATTAATGTTTTCAGTCAAAAAGCAGAATGGAACGCAGTTTGTCGACGAGATCCAAAAAACGATGCTACTTTTCAATCGCAGCACCGACAGTTTGCGCAAGGTAACATTTAAACGATAAAAAGAAATAATTTTTTGTTTATTTTGAGCCCTATTAACCTACCCCGTCGTCATCCGTTGTCTCCAAATGCACTGCCTGTCAAAAGCTCATTGAAGGTTATTTTTCAATACTTGGTTTCAATACTTGGTATGTTCATTTTAGTACGCGATGTCGCCGTCGAGAATATCAATGCAATCAGATTCGAGCTATTGCGAAGTCGATGGAATGTATAAGTCGGGTGAAAATGCTGCCAAGCCTGATCATTTTCGTCGAAATTCATTTGGTAGAAGATCGGAAAGATTTACGACGTCGACTAGAAGCAATCGCAATGAAACTGGAGAAGTTGATAATGAGAATGACAAAAACTTTAAGGTTTGCTTTGAAATGAAACGGCAATATAAAAATGTGTGTGTGTTTTTTTTTCTAGAGAAATTCGCTTCTTCGTCGCAGTTGGAATGCTCTTAAACAGAAAACCACTGGTCGTCGAAGTTTTAGTTTGTTTTTAATATTTTCAAAATATTATTTTCGTATTTATTTTAGCGTTAATTATTGAGGAACCTGAAGATTATGATGATAATGAAATAGTTGATGAACAAATTGACGAGAAATTTGGAGGTTAACAATTTTCTTCAAAAAAAAGGAATAATTTTTTGAATTTTTAGAATCAAAGCGACGTTCATTGCTTGGAAAAGCTTGGAAGAAATTATTTGTTTCGAAAAAATCAAATCGAAGAATAATAATGGATAAACGCGGAGTAGCAAACCCAACGCTCAAATATTCGCCACAAGAACCGCTTCTGGAGAATTGCGAAGTCGATGTTGTCAAACACAATCTTGGCTATTACGCAGGAATTGGGAAAAAGTTTGAGCGTGTCGCTAGCGGCGAAGAAATAGCGATTGTCGTATTCGGGCATACACAATCCGGAAAAACTACATTCGTAAGTTTTGAAACATTTTTTTATTACCAGTTTACGATTTTTCAGGTTCGCGCATTAAAAGAATGCTTTATTAATTGTGATTCATCACCAATCCGCGTGCTCACTTTATCAGAGCGATATTCATTGGGCGGAATATACTCACTACCATATCCAGAAGGCGATAATCGTCTTCCGCATATTGTTTCAGTCGTTATGAAATTGGATGAAGACACTGAAACATTTATCGATATTATTGATCCAGAATATGATGTAAGCATCGTTTGGAAATTAAAATTTCGGATGTGTTTTTTTCTGTTTCTAGGATTCTTGCCTTCCACAGGCTTATATGGATGCTTGCGATGCGGCATTCTTTATTATTGATACGCGCAATTGCGCGAGTATTTTGTCGGCTCATCAAATTCAGAGAAATCTTAAGCATGGACAGGAAAAGCAGGCTATTGTGAGTTCTTCTGCATAGAAAAAATAAATTACCAACATGAAAAATTGGTTTATATAGGTGCCATGCGAAATAGTGGTGAATGTTCCTGATGAGAACACCGAAAGTCGTTTGTTATCAGCTAATGTGTGCGAGAATCTTGCGAAAAATATGAAGTCGTCAATGGTCGAAATTTGTGCAAAAAAATTGAATCACAAGGCCATGGAAGAGGTAATATTTCTAGCAGTTTTCTTCGAAATTTGCAGATCTTACAGCTATTGTTCATGACGTACCAACAAATTTGTGAATCGCGTCGAATGCAACGATCTCGTCAGGGAATTCTCGTGTAATTTTTGTAGTACTGCCTGCTGTTTTACCACTTCAATGTCATGCTCTTAGATGTTCATGTTGATCTCAAAAATCCCCCGAATAGTCACTTCTTCCGAATATATTTTTGCTGACTTAGTTATATATATATATATTAGCTGGTCTTTATATTTTATATATTATATGGTTTTCGGAAAATCGATCAATTTCTAGAGCCCTCAACACATCAAAACCTCAAAATATTTCTCTTATATGTTTGAAATGTGTGTTTGAATTATTATCGGGTGATTTGTCTTCTATAAACGTTGAGCTTTCATTTTGTATTGGTTTTTGTATTTCCTTTTTTGGTGTTCCTGAGAGATAAACATCGCAGGTGAAAGTGCGGAATGCGCGATAAGATGAATCGGCCGCCAACTTTCGCCGATTGCACAATTCGACAAGCGCTTCGGATGCCGATTTGTATCGCGAGAAAGCATCTCGAATTTCCACATTCATACTTTTCAACACTAACCTCCTTTTTAAAATCCATATATAGTCTCGTACTCATTGAATTTTTAAAGAAAATCAATTTTTTAGCGGTGGAAGGCCCCTTTTTTTGTGATATTCTTATTCTTGCGATATTAAAAATCGACAAGTCAAAAATTAAAAATAAAACATTTATCACAAACTCAAATGATTAATGACAATATTTCCATTTTTGCGGTTTTTTAGACGAATGCACCTTTAAATATGGTCTCGACATGTTATTTGCAGATTTTATTCTTTTAGAATTCAATGATTTGATAATTTTCGGCAACTTTTGAAAAACAAAAACCCCGACTATGTAGGTCATCGCATCACTAGAGATCTCAAGCACAAGTCTCCACATTTTCAGAATAGGGCCTCCAATACATTTTGAGGACATTTCCTTGATGTGGACTCTAGACAATCTATGTAATCTGCCAGTTTTCCCATGACTGATCTAGGGTTACAGGCGACAAGGCAAATGAGCGTAGGCTTCATCTGATCTGTGCAACTCACGATCATACTTGGCTACTTCTTTTTCCGTCTACTTTTTATCGACAAAATAAAATGCTTGTTTCGTTCTTCACGTCCGTTAATTATGCCAACTAAATGACTTTGTCAGTTTCAAATCACGTATTTAATCACACACTCGACAATTAGCCCTTTTTTTCCACTAGAAGTGCCACAAAATTAGTTCTTAATAATGGCCTCCTAAAAAAACGAAGAACATGAAAATTAGTGCTGGGCGCGCGAAATTAAAAAAAAAATATATATTAGAAAGAAGAAAATCGAACGAGTGAGTTCTGATTTTATCGGCGTACACGATGACGTATTCTTGCACACATTTCATTTCTAATAAAATTCCTTTTAAAATGAATTTGCTTAAACTTTCTTCATAGAAAAAAGGAAAAGCAATTGCGCGCAATCTGAAACACTTTTTTAGTCGGCGTCCGGCGACTGCTGTACGCGGGTAGATTTACGCGCATTTGCCTCGAAAAGGTCTCGCCACGCGTGAATGTTTATTTTGCTGTTTTCACGTGACCCATTTATTTTTCTTGATGATTTTTGCATTTTCTTGAATTTCTAATGTTTTCTTGAATTTCTAACGATTAAAAAATTATCGAACCGACCCATAAAATTTGAAATAACATGTTAGTATTTTTTTCAAAAATAAATTTGAAAAATCTCAAAAATGAGATGGCAATTCAAACATTGAAAATATTTCAGGCCTAAATTTCATTTGGCTATACATATAGTCGGCGTCCAGCGAGTGGTGTATGCGGATAGATCTACGCGCGTGCGCCTTCGCTGTGGTCTCGCGCGGTCTAACGAATTATTATGCATTTCAAAGTTTAATTTTAAATCAATGATATCATGAATTCAAGGAAATGATACTCATCTAGAAAAATTAAAGCGATCATGTGAAACCTTAAAAATAAGCATTCATACGTGGCGAGACCATTTCGAAAGGCGCGCCCCGTAAATCTACCCGCGTGCAGCTGTCGCCGGACACCGGCTATACCATACTATTTCTTTAAGAAACTTTGAATTCAATGTGAAAAAATTCTTTTTTTTTAATGATAGATGTCTACATATTTCATTTTACGACAAATTTCGATTTTCCCACACTGGTATGTGTGTGTGTGCGTGTTTTTTTCCGTATTATTCAGCATTGGCATCTTATCTAGTATTGACATAACCAATGTTTACGCAACGACTCCAAAACGTGTTCCATTCATATATTTTCCAGGAAAACTTCAGTAGCGCGATGATATCGTAAACTTGTGTTTCGTGCAGAAAAACTTGCGGAAACCGACACGCCGTCTTCGCAATTGTCTCGATTTTTTCAGCAAATTAGCCGCTAATTTTGTCCTTGACCAAACGAAACAATTCGATTTGTGTTTGAGTTTTGTCAATCAAAATTCATGCAAATTCAATTAGAACCGCCAGCATAGCCGATTCGGAGGTGTGAGATCGGCGCAAGGGCGCAATAAATCACCGGGAGGCGGAGGATATTCGGCGATGATATCGAATGAGTACGAACACCAAAAATATTTTATTTATTTATTATGCGGGTGACACGTGCCAGATATTCAACACATTTTCAGCACTATGCTCAAAAATCGCTCAACATTTGAAACATTCTTTCATCTACCGACATTTCCTGTGAGTAATGAGTCTGATAACACTTCGCTCTAATTATATAAGGAATATTATTCAGAAATGAGCTGTTATCTATGTATCATTTCAAATTTTTCAAATTTGATTAAGTGAGAAAAATATGATGATATACTTCTCGAATTCTCTTTGTGTTATAATTTTTGTTCGGCCATCAATTTTGAAAATATTTTTCAACAAACTAACCTCAATATCATCGAATCTCATAAATTTTATTCATAAAGATTTTTTGTTAAATTAAAAAAAAAAACGAATGGTTTGAATAATTGTGGACCATCGCACTTTTCAAAAAATTAAACAGTTGAAATTCAGGTACCGTACTCTGGATAACCTGCGAATCAAACTCATCGTAAATCTACACAGGCTTCTCGTTTAAAAAATAGAAAATTATACTAATCTGATGCTATGAGAAGAAAAAAAGTCGGAATTAAATTCAAAAGGCTTACACAATAATTAGAGTCGCGATTGCTAGAATAGTTCATTTCCAAACTTTGTAGCACAAAGGAATTTCTTTTGAGCTTCTCTTAACATCGGTTAGTGAAAGTGCAAAGTGTTCGTGGGCACTGGCAGACACCGATGTTCGAGGAAAAACAAGACGAAAAAAAAATGGAAGACACCTGGTAGGCATCTGTTTCGCAGCTTTTCGTCTTCCCAGACATATATGTACGCGTTTCGTTCCGTTTTCATACGAATCTTATTGATATTCCTATTTTGTACCTTATTTGCGATCATCTTTTATTGTTTTTAAATAATGCGCATCGTCATTTGTTCGTCGTCGCCGCCGCCGCCGCGCTCGTCGGTTTTCCCACTTTTGTACTACATACTTTTCCTTCGGACCGCCCGCGTTTATTATTGTTTTATGCGTCTTGAAACGAACCATTTTATGACGCAATCAGCCATCGACCGGCTTTTTTGATTCGGTTCGTCGTGTTTTTAGTTGAAATCGATGGTTTCAACTCGATTTTTGTTTGCATTTTGGTCCCCTCCCACCCATCGCCAATGTCATTTTCGATTGCTTCCGATTCAATTCGTGCCAACTTCAAAGTTGCCGATTTCCGTTGTTTCAATTGATTTCATCTTTTCTTTTTTTTCGATTTCGCCCGGTGCGTTTCTTTTTGAATTGCGCGGATTATTTATTTCGAAAGTCCACTTTTCCTTTATTACTTCAGGTTTTACCCAGTAATTCTTCTTTTAAATAAGAACCTGAAATTGGCTTAAAATTTTCAGAAATGTTCTAAATTTTTTAGAATGCTCTAAGCAATTCATAGATCTAAAAAACCGTAGATTATTATTGTTGGAGTCAAAAAACGAAATTAAAAAAAAAATGATTGGCTATGTGCCAATGCGTGTAATGAGTAGTACGCGAGATTGCGTACATTGCATTATAGCGTACGCGCATTTAATATTCAGTCAACGAAAAATTTAAATCTACACTGATTTCGCAGAATTTGCGTTTCTTCCGTCGTTTGACGCTGGCAATAATCTAAAACGTGAAATCGTATTGCGTAATCCGTCGAATAAGCAAATAATGCTCAAAATGTATGAGCCGGCGATGATAGAAAATTGATAAAGCGCGTCATCAGTTTTAATGAGAATCGAAATCCAGTCGCAATCCGGAATTTATCTATATGCATATATATGTTTTTCGCAGGTTGATAAGTGGCCATCCATCGCTCGCGCGCATTCCGCCCCTCGCCTCGGCGGACAGGCATTTCGCGGACGCCGCGTGAGAGCTGCTAGAGTTGCCGTCGCTGACGAACACTTGAAACTGATATATATTCATGCGCACCGTGGGGGTTTTGTATGCAAATCACTTTTACACGCGAATTCCGCGCACCTCGAACATCGCGTTCTTCAAACGAACGGCGCCAAATAGGGGCAACGACATGATCATCATCATCATCACCATCACCATCCTATATTATTTGTATGCTTTTGTACATTTCGGGCCCCGTTTTGTTTGTCATCGTCCCGCTGAAATGTCATATTTTTATGTTTCATATACAAACGTGCATCATCCCAAAACTTTGTTTTGAGCTGTCCATATTTAGAAATTAGTTTGCTTCGTCCTTAAATAGAAACGAAAACGTCACGCCCATCGCGAGAATTCTGTGCCACTGAAAATAAATACTCTTGCTGAAACACAAAATTCCGAGGAAATTTCTTGCAAGCAACCAAAATTTGCTCAACCCGTTTTTCCCATTGTCGAATTGAATATAATTCAAATGAATGTGTCTAGTCTTCTTTTTTTTTTTCGAATAAAACGAAAACCTCATAAATGTTCGATTTCCCATCGAAATTTATTGTGTTCCTTGCTCCATAAAATCGAAAGCATTGGTCATCTGGTCACTCGTGTTTCTATTCAAATATTTCGAACCCAACCCCCCCCCCTCAAAAAAAACCCCAACCATAATAATCATAATAATGGTGATCGTAATGTGTTTTTCTCACGAGATGCGTCCCGTCGCGAAACCATCATTTTTTTCGATTCGTTGATTCCAGTAAAACGATGCGATGACCGGCGAGATACGCGAACAACTCGAGCGACTCCTCGATTCCGATGATGCCACCGATCATGCTCGACTCTTCTTCCTTTCAAGGGTCTTCGAGTCCATTGGACACATTACTAATAAGGTTTGGCGTCGCAAAAACCAACGGCAAAACTTTGAAGTGTTCTTGATTTTCAGACGGACGCCGAGCAATTATTGAGAAAACTTCAAATTATTGACTCGAATGGTTCGAATTTGTCGAAATTGTTTGCCAAATTCCATTTTTTTGTAGATAATGTGGTCAAGACTGCTCCAGCTCCTCCACCACCTCCACCTCCTCCACCTCCACCTTCAATGCAATGTCGTGCTCCGCCGCCGCCACCACCGCCACCTCCGCCTCATTCTTCTTCATGCTCTCCACCAATGGGACTTCCACCACCTCCGCCACCACCAGCAAATCTTCAAACACGTTCGCCGGACGTTGTTAAGAAGGAATGTCCGCAATCAATGACACCAAAACGGGAGAAAAAAACGAAAACGAAAACGGTGCAATGGTCGAAAATCAACGCGAGCGTTGTTTCGAATGAAAGCGTCTGGGGCAAACTGGCGACGGCCTCAAAAGTCGACCTCAATTTTGAGCTTCTCGACAATTTCTTTGGCATCGAAACAACATCGATAGAACCGAATACGGACACGTTGAGAAAGGTTCATTCATGTTGGGACCATTCAAACAGTGTCTTTCAGAAATGCAAAAAAGACTCGTCGGTCGAACTTCTGACAGCAAAACGCAGTCAAAACGTTGCGATTATGCTGAAACAGTTCAAAGTAATTCGTTTTTGATGTCAAATCCCATCAATCTTGTAGAATCTCGACGAGTTTATCGAAAGTGTGCACAGCAACAAGCCAATTGGAGAAGTGGATGCACTTCAAAACCTGTGCTCGATGCTGCCGCAATCCGACGAGGTCTCGAATGAGTTCAAAGTTTTCAATGGAACCTTCTTCTTTTTTTTCAGGAAGAAGCTTTTCGACGATACACCGGCGACATTCATCTGCTGTCGGCTCCCTCAATGTTTTTCTATCGATTGGTCGCTATCCCCCATTACAGATTGCGGTATGAATACGATTGAAAAAAAAAGTGCATGAATCGAATTTAGAATCGAAACAATGCTATTCCTCTCAGAATTTGCAACACAAATGCAGGAAGTTGGCCGAAACGTCGAGGTTTTCATAAAAGCTTGTCAAGGTTTTCTTCGGCGGCTCTCGTTTCCATTGAGCGAAATTCGAAAATTTAGAATTGCTCAAATCTTCTAGTCTTCCGCGAATTCTTCTCGTTCTTGTCAATATGGGCAATTATTTGAATAGCAATAATGCTCAAGGTAGTCGCTGAGAAATCGAATGAGTATCGAAAATTGTTTAGGAAATGCGTTCGGTTTCACTTTGAACTCAATGTGGAAGCTGATCGATTTGAAAGGAAACAAACAAGAATTTTCGCTATTACATTTATTGGTTTCGGTTTGTTCGAATCAAATTCACTCGATTTTTCTTTTTGAAACGATTTTCATTTCAGTACGACTCGAATATTGTGAATGACCTTGACGACGAGCTTCCTTCTTTGAAACAAGCCGCTCAGTATCATTTTGCAATTTTCGCTTTGACCGTCTTCGTATGATTTCAGAATGAGTTTTGAAGAGGTGAAAAATATTCGCAAATCGCTGAACGACGGCCGAGTGAGACTTGAGCGTCGTTTGGAGACGTGCGGCGAGTTGTTTCCCGAATTTCTCGATTTGGTCAAACTCGATTGTGCCAATGAGCTCGATGAGTTCGAGCAAGATTTTGTCGAATTGTGCGGTCTTCACGAGAAATTGGCCGATTATTTTTGCGAAAATCGCGCGAGTTTTCAACTCGATGAATGCTTTAAAATATTCAATGTGCTCATGATGAGATTACAGCAAACGTTGAAGGTATCTGAATGTCTCAAACCACGAATCTAACACGTGTACTTTAAAGGAGCACACACTACGCGAATTGAGAAAAGCTCGACGACAAGACGTTGAAAATGCGCACAAGGAGGATGCGGCGGCGAAAATTAGTACCGAAGAGAGTCGGACGAAAAAGAAGAAAGATCTGTTCGAGACCCTCGCAACACACAACAACACCATGGAAATGTGATCGAAATTGTGAATTCAATAATATGAATTTGAATTCAGGGTGAGAAAACGGGCTAGTGAGGTGATCGATTTAAAGCAGAAGCTCGGAAATATCCGCATTCGAAAAATAAAAGAAGCGCTGAAAAGCGAGCCAAGGTGATGACGGAAAAAATCGAGATGAAACGAATATTTGAGTGATTTCAGTTTTGCTCCGGCTCCGATCAGTCTGACAGACACGAAAGAAAACGAAAAGGTCGTTGAATCGGCAAAAACGTCGACCAACTACGAGACATGCAACGACCTCGAATCATACATTTCGAATCTTTCGAAGAAGGTGAACAAAATGAGTTGGCAACCAACATGAAATGAATTGAAATTGCAGAGAAACAGCCACATGCGTCAGAAGGAGAAGGAAAAAGAAAAGGAGGAGCCGAAGAAGGTTGGAATTCTAGTGGAATCTCAGAAAACCGCCGAAGTGCAGAAACTTCGATCACCATCAAGTCAAATCAAACCACCAATGACAAAGGTAATCACAATTGAGGAAGTTATGAAAAAAAAAACATGGAATGAAAAAAAAAATCAATTTTTTTCATTTGAATTCCCCCTTTGCATGCACGTCGAAAATTGCCAAAAAAATTACGCGGTATATCGTAATTCTCCGCTATTTTTTTCAAAGGCGCGCGCGAAAAATATTGCGGGTAACGACGAGAAGTCAGTTCTGTATTTTTCAATTTTTCATTCCGTGTGTAATTTTTATTTTTTCCCTATTTTCGAAACTTTGAAGAAGAAAATGAGTAACGAATTGAAAAGCGAGGAAAATGAAACAATTATTGATATAAGTATCCCAAATTCGACAATATATGTCTAGTTTTTGTCATTTAGATACCAATTTCCATAAGAAATAGTGATATTTGTGTTGATTTGATGCAGACTTCGCTCGATGACGCTTCTTCTCATGAATCTTTGACGTTGAGTACACAAAATATTTTTACGGATTTCAAAAAAAAACGTTTAAAACGCTCAAAGAAAAATCGAAAAATCAGCTATTAAAAAAATACAGTACCGACTTCGCGTCGTAACCCACACAACTTTTCGCGTGCGCCTTTGAAAATTAATGGCGGAGAGTTACGATATATCGCGCCAATTTTTTGTAATTTTCGATGTGTGCGGGCATAGGGAATTTTTTCCATTGCATGAATGGGTCCATTAGCAAAAAAGGAAACAATTCGAATTTAAAGAAATCGATAGCCGAGCCAGTTTCGAAGATTGCCGAAATTCGCAAGCCGGTGCCGATCCTCGAAAAAGAGAAAAAGAAGGCCGATGAGAGACGAGCGGCGCCGACGAGGCCGACGATAATCCAAACACCGAGGCCACAAGTTCGAGTCGTTCGGCCGCCCGTCGCAAAGGCAACTCCAATGCCACGTGTGACCGTCACCGTACAAAACGTGTCGCCGGGGTCGAGAAGGTCCAGTGCACCACCGGTTAGAAAACCGACGGTCGCAACCGACAAGAATGTGGTTGGAGAATTGCGATCAATTTTTGATCAATTCCAAATTTGCAGATTACTGTAAAACCAACAGTATCGACGTCCGCTCGACCAAGCTTGATAACGAGCAGCTCGACATCATCGACACGATCTTCTCTTCCGAAAATGAGCGCATTAGAGAAGCCGAAACCACTGCGAACCACTCCGACGAAACCCAATTCGCCATCGGGATCCGCTCGAACGGGTCTACGACCGCCGATGGCGACGACGGCAAGGAATGGCGCGAATCGACCGAAATGGGTTTAATTTATCACGATTTGTTTTTTATTCAACTAATTCGAGGAATCTAGTGGTTTAATAAATTTTGTGAGTTGTGGAGCGACTTGTTTTGTGTGCATCGTGTGGTTTATTGATAAGTAGAAGAGATCTTCTTGATATGACCCTTTATTTTAAATGTCTTGCACAATGTTGAAATGTTAATGTTTATCCGATGTTTCGATCTTTAGATCATCATCAGGGAAGGTCAATTTACCTACAAGATAATAAGTAATAGATTGGTCAAAAAAGGAATAAAAGAGTTAAGTTGTAAGTATCAATCAGAAAACAAACAAACCATAAGAACAAATCAAGAAACAAAACAATGTCCAATACGTAACACAAAAATATGTTAGGAGCGTTAATGTGAGGATGTAAGTAGATCAAAAATTTTAGAGAACTAGAGGATAGGTTTAGAAAAGTTTTTTTAGCTATGACTAAGAGAAATCCCCTCGAATTCCCAAATCCGAGACCAAATCTATAAGTTCTTCTTTAGTATTAAGTTCAGGATTCTGGGTTTTAATATAAATTCCTTCCAGTATTCTTCGACGAGTTGTGTTCCTCTCAATATCTAGTATTTTAATAGAAAGTTGTAAGGGCTCCCCGTTATGAATTTCAAATGAGTGTTTAGACCAAACCGTGTTTTTGTATGATTTTAGATTTGGTTTCAACGCAGCTCTAGCATGTTCGTTGAAACGAGAAGCTAAAGGCCTTCCTGTTTCACCGACGTAACTCTTTCCACAACCACATTTGATTTCATAAATGACTCCTTTAATGGTACAAGTACCAACTCCCAGCTCCGGACAAACCCTACAACCTCTACCCTCACATCGAACATCAAAAATACGATTTTTGACAAGGATGTCCCTAAGTGATTTACCTTTAAGTTCTACTACAGTGACATCCAAGTCAACTTGTCTATGTGATGTTTTAATTATTTGAGTAGTGGTATCGGAGATAAACGGAACCGGAAGTACATTTTTTATGATTTTTTCTGGATATGGGAGGTTATGACTTTTAGGTCTAGATCTATTTGTAATGTTATAACCATTAGAGGCCAAAACTTCTTTAGCCAAATTTTTTGAAAAAGTTTTATATTCCGGAGAAGAGAGTTTTTCAGCAGTTTTTATGGTAGAAATGACCGTATTTCGTTTTTGTTGATAGGGATGGTTGGAATCAAACCGGATGAGAATGTTTTTGTTAGAAGGTTTTCTATACCATCTGGTGACGAAAATATTGTTCTTATATGAAATCTCACAGTTAAGGAAAGCCAGCCACCCATTATTAGGAGATTCTCTAGTCAAACATATATGTTCGGCTTGAGAATTCAAACTATGGAAGACCCTATCCAAAACATCTTGAGACTCCGCAATAACAATATAATCATCAATATATCTCTTAAATAGAATGGTGGGAAAGTTTTTGCTAGGATTTTCAATTTTGTCCATATATATGACGGCAAGTACTGGAGCTAATCTACTACCCATTGCTAGGCCACGATTTTGAGCGTAGTACTTTCCATCGAATTGGAAAAAATTGAAACCGAGGCAAGTTTTTAGAAGTAATTTAAGATCACGAAAAGAAACTCCATACCATTCTATTTCAGAGGAATGTTTCTCCAATTTATCGATTACTGCATTGAAGGCTGATGTGTTGTCTATATTTGTATATAGGGATTCCACATCAAAACTTTCAAAGTAAAGATCACCGGTGTGGTTAACTCCATTGATAGCATTAAGGAGTTCAGCGGTGTTTTTGAGATGACAACCGACAAATTGGAGAAGTTGAGAGATTATGGTACAAATAACCCAAGAAGGCCGGTCCGTGGGTCCACCCGCACCAGAAATGATTGGACGAATTTTTGCCGAATAAGGGGTTACCTGCTGCTCCCTTTCCACGAATTTGTGAGTTTTGAAAAGAGCATAAAAAGTATTTGTGGATGGGTGACAATCAGTCAGGCGACTGACAATCTTCTCATTCCAAGAATCAAAAATAAAATCTAGATCATTTTTTAAGGTTTTACAGTTTTTTTGGTATTGTGATTTTGATATTTCTGAGTAAACAGAAACATCTCTTAAATGAAAAAGAACTGTTTCCCTATAGAATGATCTGGATGTGATAACAAACTCACCACCCTTGTCCGATACCGAGAAATGTAAATTTGTATTGTTTTTTAAATTTTTAAGTGATCGGCGAAGACTAGATGAAAGATTGTTAGTGGTTTTAATTTTTTTTAAGTGATTTTGGAAAATAGAAAGAGCAGCTGAAACCTTTCGATCATATACATCACATGGTGGGGCCAACCAAAAATGAGATTTTTCAAATGGGATATGAGGAAAACCGCCTACTGTTATACCGTTTTGAGAGGAATCGTCACCAGATGGTATAGAAAACCTTCTAACAAAAACATTCTCATCCGGTTTGATTCCAACCATCCCTATCAACAAAAACGAAATACGGTCATTTCTACCATAAAAACTGCTGAAAAACTCTCTTCTCCGGAATATAAAACTTTTTCAAAAAATTTGGCTAAAGAAGTTTTGGCCTCTAATGGTTATAACATTACAAATAGATCTAGACCTAAAAGTCATAACCTCCCATATCCAGAAAAAATCATAAAAAATGTACTTCCGGTTCCGTTTATCTCCGATACCACTACTCAAATAATTAAAACATCACATAGACAAGTTGACTTGGATGTCACTGTAGTAGAACTTAAAGGTAAATCACTTAGGGACATCCTTGTCAAAAATCGTATTTTTGATGTTCGATGTGAGGGTAGAGGTTGTAGGGTTTGTCCGGAGCTGGGAGTTGGTACTTGTACCATTAAAGGAGTCATTTATGAAATCAAATGTGGTTGTGGAAAGAGTTACGTCGGTGAAACAGGAAGGCCTTTAGCTTCTCGTTTCAACGAACATGCTAGAGCTGCGTTGAAACCAAATCTAAAATCATACAAAAACACGGTTTGGTCTAAACACTCATTTGAAATTCATAACGGGGAGCCCTTACAACTTTCTATTAAAATACTAGATATTGAGAGGAACACAACTCGTCGAAGAATACTGGAAGGAATTTATATTAAAACCCAGAATCCTGAACTTAATACTAAAGAAGAACTTATAGATTTGGTCTCGGATTTGGGAATTCGAGGGGATTTCTCTTAGTCATAGCTAAAAAAACTTTTCTAAACCTATCCTCTAGTTCTCTAAAATTTTTGATCTACTTACATCCTCACATTAACGCTCCTAACATATTTTTGTGTTACGTATTGGACATTGTTTTGTTTCTTGATTTGTTCTTATGGTTTGTTTGTTTTCTGATTGATACTTACAACTTAACTCTTTTATTCCTTTTTTGACCAATCTATTACTTATTATCTTGTAGGTAAATTGACCTTCCCTGATGATGATCTAAAGATCGAAACATCGGATAAACATTAACATTTCAACATTGTGCAAGACATTTAAAATAAAGGGTCATATCAAGAAGATCTCTTCTACTTATCAATAGGTTTAATAAATGAACAAGAAAAAAACTAGTGGCGTCTCACGCTCGAGATATTCTTCTAGTGAATACAAACAATCCGAGTAACTTCCAAAAAAGGAATATCAATAGGATCGCGATCCAATCATACCAATAACGATCCGGCGAAAAATCCAAATCCTTGATAAACTGGAAGCAGAAACGAGAAAATTTAAAATGCCAATTTTTCGAAAAAAAAAACCTGTTCTCCAGTGGAGCATCCGAATTCAATGTTGTATGTTTTAATAGAGCATCCTATATAATTCAATATTGCTCAACAATAACGCAACACCAAATACCAGGAATTTCGCCAACATTTTCGAAGAATGCTATTATCACAGCCTCGAATGCATATTTATACCAGGAGAAATAAGCGATCGGTTTATAATACAATGGAATCGAGTCGAATGTGATCAAGAAGCCTCCTTTAATTCGAATTTCATTCAATTGGACTCAATCCTATAAAAAGTTACCAAATGTCATCAAAGGAATTCCGATAAGTGGAGCACCAATGAGAGACACTGTGAGATCTCCGAACAACGAAACGACGGCGGCAGCTGAAACGCTTCGAACGATTCGCTTGAAACGAAACCAATTTTGAGAGCTCACACATGGCAGTCACAATCAATCCCATCGCCACCGACATTCCCATATAGGATATCATTGCTTTTTGATGAAGCGGCAGACCGCACAAGAAGTAAACTATTGACGAAAAGATTAATGGATAAATAATATATTGCAACGACTGAAACCCATTTTCAATTAAAAATCATGATATTCCTAAATTGAAACTCACATCGGCCGTTGTTTTGGCTAAAAAGTAGGCGCTTGGCGAGTACATGTTGGCTTGAAATTCTCGAACGACGACGGGATAGTCTTCCCAGAAAACCTTCAAACAAATTGGATTATTTTTAATTATTTCAAAAATTGCTTCGATATTTTAAAATTTCCCTTCAATACTTCGGATAACTTACCACCATACTAGGCAGCATAAACAGCGTATTGTTCATTTGGAAGGTTGCGAAAATGACGCCTTTCATTCCCAATAAGTAGTTTCTGTGAATCGGCACTTGCAAGTAGACCAATCCGAGTACACCGCTGATTACCTGTTATGCAAATATTCTCTACCATATATAGTGTGCGAACGGCGACTACTGTACGCGGGGTAGATTTACGGGGGATGCGTCTTTCTCTTGGTCTCGCACGGACTAACTGGTTATTTCGCATTTTATGGGTGGTTTAATCGAACGACGTCAGAAATTCCAAGAAATCATCAAGTAAAAATAAATGGGTTACGTGAAAACAGCAAGATAAGCATTCACGCGTGGCGAGACCTTTTAAAGGCGCACGCGCGTAAATCTACCCGCGTACAGCGCTTGTCGGACGCCGAAAATGTTATTTAATTCGACGCCATAAAATTACCATCGTCTGGGTTATTTTAATACAGACATATCGTTTCTTGCGAAATAATTGAATATTCGCGCGAATATATAAATATATAAATTGTTGAAGCCATGATCGTGCAAATCTGAAACGCAATTCATATTCAATTCCAATCCAATTATTCCAAAACAATGAAAAAAAGGATGCATACCCAGTGGATTGTTGTTCTTTCGCATCTCCGAGATAATCAAAATTATTGTGAACTTCAATGTTTTGTTGCGTTAATGCCGAAAAAACAAACAATTTTCGATTCGCTTGAAACCGATTTTTTTCTTCGCAAACCTTTAATCGCGCTTCATAGTGTTGGTCGGTTTCTTCGTTATTTTTCGACAAAACTGCCATAAAGTGTTCGGTACTCGAAGTGAATAGCGGAAGCGGATAACCAAGCCTAAATCTCGAGTACATATAGTCGGGGCATCAGGCGACTGCTGTACGCGGGTAGATTTACGCGCATGCGCCTTGAAAAGGTCTCGCCACGTGTGAAAGCATATTTGGCAGTTTTCATGTGAACTGCTTCATTTTTCTTGATTAGTTTGGTATTTCTTGGAATTTCTAATGTCGTTCTAAAAATTATCGAATCGACCCATAAAATGCGAAATAACCAGTTAGTCCGTACGAGACCATTTCGAAAGACGCATCCCCGTAAATCTACCCCGCGTAAAGCAGTCGCCGGGCGTCGACTATAATATTATAAGAATATTCCTAAAAACAATACTTTGCGAAATAGTCGTCGACTTTGTTTGCTGGTCCACAATACACAACTTGTCCTTGATTAAGAAGAATCAGTCTGAAAATAAATTTCAGAAGCACAGATACATAATGAGAATGAAAATCCAGAAAACGAACGCGTCGGCCATTAAAAACACTGGAGTACTCGGCTGATGAATTGTGCAAATTATCGTTTTTCCACTAATTGCGAGGTCTCGAAGCGAACTCATCACCTGATGCGACATGTACGAATCCAAGCCGGACGTTGGTTCATCGCAGAACAGAATAGAAGGATTTGTGAGGATCTGCGGAGGAGTTTCCGGAAGTTTCGATCGAGTTTACCAATACCTCACAAGCGAACGCCAATCGTTTTCGTTCGCCTCGAGAGATCGACTTTTGCGCGACGCCTCCAATCGAAGCATCTTGACATTTTTTCAAATTCAACTGAATTGAACAAGTTGCTAGACCGACGAATACGATATAATACTTGAATCAGAAGCTTTTCGACCAATTCAGCTCTTTGATCACTGTCAAGTTCGTCGGGATTTCGAAGTTTAGCCTAATATTGAGGGGTGCAAATCGATTAGTACCATTTGAGTTTACCGCAAAATCGAGAGTTTCGTAAACCGAAAACCCGCTAATGAATGCATCTTCCTGTTGCACATAAGCGCTGAATCGTTTCAATTCGGACGCGCAAATTTCCCTTCTATAACCTTGATTATATTTGCAAGCAATTCAATGTTGAAGAAGACCCATTCATTAATATCGTTCCACTCATTTCCATTTCCTTCATATTTCGATTCGTGAGCACATTCAACAGTGTCGTTTTTCCAGCTCCTGATCCTCCCATTATAAATGTCAATTGACCAGCGCGCGCCTGTCCCGAAACACCTTTGAGAATCTCCTTCATTTCGCCGTCCTTCTGTTTTCTAGACACTCGAATATCCTGCCATCCGAGACAAACACCCTACGATTTTCGATTGACAGGGAATTACAAAATAAAGGACCTCTCTCAGATCAACAGCAGTTGTCTCATATTCTAATAACGGATCAGTTTCAGCTGGTGAATTCTAAAAAAATTTCGTTTTGCGAATAATTATATACACTTTTTTTTTCAATTTACCTGTGTTTTCGCCAATTCATCGACACCTCTATTATTTTCCTAAAAAAAAAACGAAACTGCAGAATCTTTATTTCTACAAATCTACTTTTGGAGTTGGTAATCCTTCTTGAGTTTTTTCAGTTATCTAAATTCTCATTTTTTATAAATCAATTTTCTGTTTTCAATAATTACAATTTTCTCGGAACGGTGCGATGATTCAAACTTCTGAAATATTCAACAATTCCACACGAATTCTTATTTTTCAAAAAAAGTGAAACTCACATTTTTCTTTTTTGTCATAATTGAATTTTATTCTATTCTAAAAGTTGAATGCCATATTCAATAAAATAAAATGAAAAACTCACACTTGGAACAATTTTCAGTTTAATTAATTTGAAGAAATCAAAAATGTAAGAGATTTAACGAGGACAGGTCACACTCACGTGCTTATTTCAATAAATACTTCTAAATCGTTTTATGTAACAGCAGTAGAGATAATAATAATAGTACTGATAATAATTACAAAAAGGTTTGAAACCCGCAGGTTAAATGAAATTAAAAAACGTTGGGAATTCACAAATGAAGATCGCAAAAAAAACGAGAAAAAAGAAACCCCTATACATATTATAATTAATTAAATAAATTTGTTCAATTTGATAAGGCGTTGAAAGGATTTTTCGTTGAAATATGAGCAATAAATGATAATTCTATCGTCGGGATAATTGCACTTAAAGGGAGAATTATGAAGAAAGAGCTATAGAGGAACTGAATGGTCAAAAACGCAACAAAAAGCACCAAAAGAAATGGGCAAAAAATTCAACAATATTGTAAAGTTGGTCATGGAATAGTTAAAAAAAAAACAAAATTTTCGAAATTTATCAGCTCTGCTCAATTTCCTGCTTTTCCTGCTTCATTTCCATCATTTTCTTCTTCATTTGAGCACGCATTTCCTGCCGACGTTGCTCAGCAGCAGCTCTCTGAATAAATAAATTTAATAAATATCCCAAAAAAACATATGTATATCCACTTTCATACCTGTTTCTCGAGCTTCTCCTTCGTTTCAGCCGACACCGTCGAAACTTTCTTCGGTACCGCTGGTCCAGCTCTCGCCTTCTGAGCAACAACCTCCTTTTTTGGTTCTTCCTCTTCGGTAACCGCGTTTTCGTCCCAACCGGCCGCACGATATTTCTCGACTTTTTCAAATTCTTTCCGAATTCCAGCCAATTCCATATCAATCGTCACCCAAAATGCTTCCAAATCGGTGAAGTTCACCGGTTTCGGATCATCATCAACAGGATTCTGAAACAAACATCGATAATACGATGATTTGTCTGAGTACAGACCAAGTTCTTCTCAATTAAGCCGCTGAAAACTCCAAATTTTTTTCGAACGAGAAGATGTGCGTTTCCATGAGCCGCTCGAAGAGAATCGGCACACTTCTCCGGGAGCTTCTACAATTATTAACAAATAATCAACTATTCAATGGAAGTTGTGCGATTACCTCAACATTCTCGAGATCGACCGATGCTTCATCCATCTTCTTCTGCAATTCCTCCTTAACGCGATCGTGCAATTCTCTGAATTCTTCGCCGCTCGTTGGTAAAACTTCGACGGTTTTCGAGTCAACTTTTTTCGAAGAAGCATCCGGCGAAAAATTCGCCGATCCCGATATTCCGCTATCGCTCTGAAACTCAAATCGTTGAAATTTTCGATTAACACCGGATATTTGCAAAAGGTCAACCTCAGCATCAAGCGAAACTTTCAGAGCCTCCGAATGTGCATCGCTATCGACCGAGTCGAGCGACTTTTTCTCATTGATAATCTCTTTGTCGATGTGCTCTTCGACGACAGGCGGCTTCTTTGTCAAGTCATCATCAAAGTCCTACAATGAACAATTTTGACAGTTGCAGAAAATTCTGCGAATTTCGACGTACGGGTTGCTGATTGATGACAAAACTATGTGGCTGGATCTCATTCTCAATTCCTTCCTTCTCCGATTTGCTCGAGCTGCACAATTCGAGTTGGTCAAATTTATTGATAAGATCCTATAAACCAGAAACAATACTCAATTAAAAAAAAATAATTTTGAAAAAAAAACCTTAATAGGTCCGGGTGTGGACACATGATTTCCCATTTCGGCGGCTTGTAATTGATGTAGTCGACTGTTGACGGGCTTCCCGATTGGCGTCGACCTGCAACATAATATTGAAAATGGAAAGAAGCCCCCAACGATATATATATATAAGCAAAAAATTTAGTGTGAATGCGACCAATTTGGGGTGTGTCATTCACAAGAGTGTTGCCTCACCATTCAATTTGCGCAAAACAAAAACCGAACGGCGGCGAGGCGAGAAATTCCGATTTCTGGAGACAAACGCGCGAGTGTAAACATACAAAATATCGCGCACAAGATCATGATGGATATTCGCGCTCGTGTGCATGCATATGATCCTGGCAAACAAAATCGGCATATTGAATAAGGAACAAAAATCGAATCGGGCGGTGGTGGAAGCGAAAAATGAGAATGATGACGGACGATTTATGAATACGATTTCGTATTTTCGCCATTCTCCACGCAGCATTAACATTACTCAATGGTGTATGACATCGAAAAGCTTCTCAACAAACAAACAAACAAACAAACATCGCCGAATGGTTGGAATGTTACAATGAAAACAGTTATGGCAACATTAAATTATTTGAAAGCCTCGACTGCCAAACCGGAATCGTGTGAAAATCTTTAAATCTTGGATTTTTTTTTTTAATATTTCTCCATTTATGAGAGTATAAAAATGAATTGCTCTCCGTTATGTAAGCTAGGCATAATTTTCAAGCGATTGCACCTTTAAATATTGCTTACATACGTCTTCGTTTCTTGATATTTTTCCAAGATTCATAAATTATCTTATAGAAGCTCGAAAACATAATCAAAGACAAAACACATTAAAGACTAATACAAATAAACTTTGATAATAATAACAAACTATTCTTCTTATATCTAACTATTACATTTAAAATAATAAAATATTATTCAATTTAACAAGGTATAAATGCAGAGGCTCATTAGTTTAAAAAAATGGCTCGTTAGGAAGAATGGGAATGCGATCGCAACCGATGTTTGGTTGTTCAAATAACGTACGATTAGTTGCAAATTGACAAAAAAAAATGCGACCTTGTCAACGAAATCCTCTGATCAATACATATAAGGTAAAAACAGCTAGAATGTGCGGAAACCGCCAAAACTAGTCACACTTCCCGAAAACTGAAAACGCGTTCGACAAAAATGACAAGACGAGACGACGGAAGGAGAGGAAAGAGTCCCGTTTGCAATATGATCGCCAAAAACTAAAAACTTTGGGGGAAGCGGTCTCGAAACCGGAAATTGGAGTCAATCAAGACCCATTACTAATGAGTCGCCGTGTGTGACTGTGACAGACGTCAGGGCTCCCTTCGAGTATCGCCCGACACGCACCATATTTGTGTCGCCGGCTTAAACTTGTGCAAATATGTATTTATACACATTCAGAACGGCGCAGGAACACCGTCGACGGTTATTAATAGCGCACGCGGCCCGGCCAAGTCTCACAAACCAAAAGCAAAACTGAACAAGAACAACGAAGATTGTTGAAAACATGTATAATCTCGATTCAAAACGCCGACCAAACTTGGTGTCTATTAAAAAATAGATTACAATCTGGATAAATCCGTAGAAAACGAGAAATTGCGCGCAATTGCAGCAACAGCAAAGAGGTCAGATTTTCGCGCCTCACTTGTCCGATCAAGTTATCCTCTAATCTGTCTCTAATTATTCGGCAGATGGATCCGCTGATTAATTATGTATATGAGGTTCCGGTCGATGGAGAATTAATATTTTATATAAAACACCAAGAAAATAATGATTTACGTGGCTAAATTGGAATTAGAAATGAAATTTATTTCAAATTGCGTCTATTAATTTTAAATATTTTGAAGATTTGCGAAACATCAAATTTAAGAACACACTCCTTCAACTAAACGAATGAAAATCGAGAATCTTGACAATTTCGTTTAAGCACCTCTAGCTGAAATCAAAGAATAAATGGAATTCCTTTGATGATGACCGGAATGACTCATAAATGTCGCCCAAGATAACCAAAACATTTACAAAAAATGGGGGGGGGGGCCGTACACAAATTTATCAATCAAGACGCGGCAAAATTCCTCAAATGATAATGGAAATACGATATGAGGTGAATTTTATGGGTTTCGTATATCAACTAATTTCGGCATTGTTTCGAGATGAAATCAGGCGAAAACGAATATGATTTAGCGAGCGAAAGTGATTAAAAAAGACGAGAACGGGAATGGAAAAACAAAATACTCAATTAGAAACAGCACTAAAAATACTATGATACTCGTGCACTTTGGTGCGAAATAGAAAATGATTGATGCGTTTACGAAACCGAACCAAAGCTTGATCGAAGAAGAATTAAATCAACGTTGAGGAATTCACGTTCGTACAGTGCGCCGCACCTGTCGCGCAGAATGTACAAATCTATCAAATTCCTGACAGGTAAATGCAAAACCGCCAAGGTCGGACGAAAACGCGCTGCTGCCTCGCGCCGAACGACGCCGCCCACCCAAAAGAGCACAACAACAGCACAAGGGCGCGAACAAAGACAGAGGAGGAGAAGGCGAAAAAAAATGTCTGAATGAACATGAGTCGCCGCCCGCAGATGTTGTACAGTTCCGCACGCGCATGAATAAGACGAAACCCCCCAGAGTTTATGATAGGCAAATGTAGAAAGGTGCGCGCGATGCGCGGACGACAGCTTGTGGCCGGCTGACGGCCGTCGTTCGCCCTCCGTCTATTGGTGTCGGTTCGTGGGGTGATTGGTGATAAATAAAGTACCGCCATGTTTGGAATAATACGTCAAACAGCAAATATATGCGAATGCGATACCATCAAGCGAACAAGGTCGAAACAAATACGATTAAAAGAAGAAAAAAAGTTATATATGAAAGTGCAATCGCAATTATTCACTTGAATCGCATTCAACAATAATTATCGTATGTCAAAAAAAAAATGAAGCATAATTCATAAGATCTATCCAGATTTTATGGATGAGACATTTTTTTCTAGAGATAATTGCAACATTTCGAGTGTCCATTGAGACTGCAATTTCAATAAATTACACCGAATGAGAAAATTGGAAAAAAAGAGGGGCTTAGCACTTAATAGAAATGCATTCAAAAATATCAATACCCTTGATTATACTAATAAAAGCTGCGCGTTTTACGACTGGGATAATCCCTAGTTGTTCTCTACTAATTGGAGTAACTTTCCTTATTTAAATGGTTTGGGAATGGACGAAATCGGGAAAATCCAAAAATTGAGAAAAAAAATGATGAAATGAAATACGAACGGCAGATTTTCTCAGAGTTAAATTGTTTTTCTTTCGAGATCTCAAAAGATCGACAAGCCTGTTTGATTAGCAGCATGTTGTACTATAAATATTTGGACGACTAGATGGGCAAGCTGGCGTATCATCAATATCTTAACGGCAAAATTAATAAACAAAAGTGGTGACCCGCACGGACGAAGCGGCGGCCAATTGGCGCATTTTTGCAGTGTAATCGTTGCAAGCGAACAACAAGCCAGTGGTCCGCAAAAATCCACAAAAGATCCATCCATCTTCACATGTATATGGAAGAACGCCCATCTCGTCGTCGCAGTGTTTACGCGTCGAACAACCATATGACCAGCCCAACCTTCAATTTGTTCGAAGCAAAACCAAGTGAACATATGGCCAATGAGGGATATAATAAATAGTATTCAGATTATCCAAAAAAAAATAAGATTGCATTACAAACCAATATATAGATATGTTTCGTCCAATTGACCTTCCCAAAATTCGGTGCGCAGATGTTCCATTACGACCAACATTCTTGACACCATAAAATAGCGTCTTTTCACTACGAAATTTCAAAAAAAATGCGTGAGGTGACACAATTGAAGCTGTTTAATATGGATGACGAAAAATTGGAAAAAAACTGGGTCGAGCAGAACAATAGCGGCCAAAATGTGGAGAGAATGTGTGATAAATGCAATTTTGAGCCTTCCAATTTTCGAGAAAAACCCAAAATTTCCATCAATGTTTCTATTCAACCATCCCGAATCCTTATTTGGCCAACGAAATAAAAACCAAGTGGGCGTCTATCAAAGAATAACGCTGAACGAACAACACACAACATACAATAAAACGAGTAAATCGGTCGAGAATCTACCAAAAAATAGTGGTGTGATGACTAATAAAAAGTGTGAAAAGGGTGCGAAACACGCTGTATAAGCGGATTTTTTGCGCGCAATTCTCGCGCAACGCCTCGTCGTCCCAACTGCCAAAAGTGTAACCCGAAAACGCGGCGAACCGATTGGTAATTGGTGCCGCTTCCCGCCTACCAGCTGACCATTGTCCTCCGTTCATTCACTTCAACACTGCTCAGCAGTAGTAGCAATTGCGGCTCCTCTGCTTACACAACCATCAACCAACGCGAACAGATCATTTTTTCCCGGCTGATTCGGAATATGCGAATGGTGTCGAGATGAGCGATGAGGGAGAAGAAGAGAGGAACGGCGCGCGCGCTTATCAAATTACAACCTCATTTCCCCCATATGTTCGGGTTTTTGTGTAGTAAATGAATAGGACAGCGATATCGACACGAGTCGCAATACAAATTGTTCTCTCAGGGAAGTTTGGTGTGGTTAACTCAGTACATCTAGCAATCATTCCCACGATGTTATATATTGTCGATTTCGCGCGACTTTGGAAAATTGGCTAAATGACAAAAAAAAATGAAAAATGAGGTCTCGGTGCGTGTGCGCCTTTAACCAGGTCCGTAAATCTACACTTTTAATTTTTCGCCAAGACCACTGCCATTGTCATTTAGCCAATATTCCACAGTTGCGCGTCTTCGACAAAAGGACAATTTCAAAATTGTTATTTCTATTTTCTGGCAAAAATGAAAAACAACATTTAATTATTTGATATGGATATTGCGGAGTCAATAAAAGGACAATTAGAAAATTGCTAGATCACTGCGGAACGAGACAAATGCAAAAACCAAGGGAAAATCCTGCAAAAAAAACGAAACATACATATCGCCATTCGAATGTGATGAAGCAGATGTCGAACTTGCAACCGGAGTTCCGAATTCATCGGCAATTTGTTTCGTTCGATCTTGCGGTTGCGAGAACATTTTTAATCTTCTGAAATTCAATTTTTTGCTTCCGTTATAACAAAATCGGTTGAAAACTAGAAATTAATGATCTTATTTAATGAAGAAAAAAAAAACATCTGTGTTTCAATGAAGGAACGTTTAAAATAATTCTCATTTTTCAACCGACAAATCTGCAAATAAATTTCAAGAATTTTTTTCAGTAAATCAATATGCGAAATATGTTTCTCATAGAAATCGATATACATATTTAGCTTCATTTTTTTTTGAAAAAAAAAGTGAAACTTATTGGCTCAAGTGTCCTTGAAAAACACTTTTAGATATCGAATTCCTTCATTATTACGAAAATCTTATAAAAAATGAGTTTCTCGAAAATTTCAGAAAGCACGACTGAAATTTGAGGAAGAATCGAAATATTTTTGAATAAAATCCCAAGTACAAGTACTAAACATACTGTCAACAATCAGCGCAAACAGACAATTCACAGTGGCGGCGGAAAAAAATCAAAGAAAGAAAAAAACTAGTAAAGTGATTTTTTTTTCAGAGTTGCACCGAAATATGACAAGCCGAAATAGCAGTCGATTGAAAATGCAAATCGATACGTCGCGTCTTTTCAATGCATAATTTGCCTAATTCGGTACCGAAACACCACTTACCGTTCAACCAAGCTTTCGCCCATTCGATTTATAGGTGAGTTTGCAGACAAATCTCGTTTCGGTGTTCTGAAACGAATTTTCTAATTAGAAATCTTGTATTGGCGGAATAAAAAATGAGCCACAAATATTTAGTATTTCTTTAGTATTGTCGAAAATAGAAGAGTATAGGGGAAATTGAAAAGCGCGGACCGTCTTTTAATAGGTCTCGTCAAACAAAATTTGATCGTTCTTATGTGAGACTTTAGCGAATCAACAAAAAGCTCAAAACTTATAAATATGTTAAATATGCTCTTCGAAATTAACACGTTCGAATGATGCTTCATTTCGGGTTTTTTTTCAAACGATAATCATATTCCTTTTTTAAACTATATTGAAGCAAATTAATCCAACGGGTATTGGAATTTTAATTTTTTAGTTGCTATCAATAAAAAAATCATACTTCTTATTTTTAAGCAGAAAAATAAGGAAAGAAAAATAAAAAATAGAAAATATCTCAATGCAACAAAAAAAATGTAAAAAAAATGATTCTTTCTTTTTTTTCCTCTATTTTTTTAAATTGACCATTTCACAAAATGTCGATTATTGAATTATTTCGAACAACTCAATTCATTCAATTCGCTTTTTTTGTCAACATTCCTCTACCCACATTTCTTTCATAAATGCGATCGTTTAAATTTCGGTTCATTTCGTATTCAAACCCACTTTGTATATCCATTAAGAGCTCTCGAGACTCGCAAATAACTTGGCGTTCGCGTGACTTCCGGAAAATCGACGGCACCCAACGATAAATCATTTTCAGACAGAAATCCGCGCTGAGAAGTTTCGCCGAAGCCAAATGTTTCTTCGAATGGGAATGACATCTAAAAAAAATAAAGAAAAAAAGCTAGTGGAAATCGACAAAAAACCCCTTACATGATCATTTCGACTTGTCACAAATCTCAAATCCATTTCCGACACCGCACTTGTCTGCTGCTGCTGCTCCTGATTTCTAATTGGCGATGTTGTGCTGCTGCTGCTGCTTGTGGTGTTCACCGCCGTCACCAAATCATGCTCAGAAGTGGTTTTCCCTAAAATAATATACAAATTGAAGGCGACAACTCGACCGAAATCTGATATATCGGCTAGCGAATGTGCGACTCGAAACAGCCCAAGAAAGTTTGACAATTTCTGTGCGCAGCTCGAACTCCGCCTGACACCAACACGCCACTTTTATTAGTTTTTGCCGACTCGAATTGGTTGTTTTCGAGTGTTTACCCACTATCTTCATGAGAACACAACTCATTCCATGGTGTGATTCCGCAAATGCACATTTACGACCGTTTTCAAATTATACTATCATTGTAAGATAGTTAAAAAAAGTAATATCAACAAAAAAAAAAGAAAAAAATTAGCGCATTTTAAGAAAAAGTGAATTTAATAAACATTTAAAGATCTTGATTTCCCCATTAATCGTACCGAATAAACATCGAGTAATCTTGCCAATCATCGTTGTTGAAGTGTGACCAGTTTAATATACACCAATAATTCTGATGCGCATTCGCATAACCCAGCCAGCACGAAAGCAATTATTAAAACAAGACCGACATTGCCCCCTTTCTGTTCGCCTAATTAATCATTTATACACTATGCTGTTATTGTTGCTTGTTACTTATGCATGAATCACATACAAAAGCGTGCAATAGTTGCGAATGCGCCAACAATTTGCGTATGCATCGTCGAATTAAATATCAACCAAATTCGGGATTCTGCCTACTCTATTATTAAAAGGCTCCAATATATTTGGGGCTTTGAATGAAAAAAAATTTACCTGAAACAGCACTGTTAGTCAGTTTTTTGTTTATTTTTTCACAGGAACCATGCGTATGCGCCTAAACCTTTCATATTGATGGATTAAATGCGAACGGAAGTCAAACTCGATCTCTGCTTGAACTTCGGAATGTGGTGAACCTATTAAGAAGCCTTCTGGCAGGTGATTGATAGCCTTCATCTAAACCGACGTTTGAGGGCTTATTTTGTACAGAATGGAGAAAAAAAACACCAACTTGGATTGGATGCCTGTGAGCATGTTGATGGTCGTCTTGCATGCTTGATCATTCCGTCGCTTTTCGACAATGGAACACCTTTGGGATCTCGATTTTCATTCCTAGAACAACAGGAAAAACATCGCGCAATTCGTGCCCGAACAAAACAAACCCATTTTCGACAACTTTCTTTTCAACATCTCGGCTCTTACTTCGATTTAATCGCCCAAGAAACGATTCTGAAAAAAAAATAATGCACATTTTCCCCATATCTTCAGAAAAATATCGGCAGCGGCTAATGTTTGTGGTCGATTTACGGGTATGTCTTTCGCTAAGGTCTCGCACATGATTACTGTTTCAGGATCATAATCAAAACTCGATTCTTAAAAAAAAACACCAAAAAATATACTTGCATATGAACATGTTGAAGACATATGTTTCTAAAACCGATAAACCGGTTTTATTCGGAATTTTGTGTTGCGAAATAGCAAATACAACTGTTTCATATCAATTTCAGATGATTAAAGAATATTTTGAAGTTTTTATTAGGAATTTTGATCGTTGATTGGAAAAATCCGTATTTTTCACATTTTTTATGTATAGGTCAATCAAAGTTGCATTAATGTTAGTCTATTAGAAAATTGAGTGGCTGGTGATTAACGAATGACGTCACAATTATTTAATGTGCTGACCTTTAACAATGCGAGAAGTACACATACACACGAACAGAAATAGAATAAATTAACATACGAATCGCCGTTTTTTTGGGTTTCGATCTCGATTCTCGCTCCATTCGGTTTTTGTGCCCGTCAATGAATCTGCTCAAACAAGTTTTGGTGTAAAGAGCTAGTTGAAAATTAATACGAGATGAGATAAGTGAGCCTGTGAAACGAATATCACATCAATCGCGACAAACAGAGAAATAGAACGATGAATTGAGCGATAGAGGGAAATCTGCATTTTATTCCAATTATTACAATGATGAAAGTGGGCTGGCTATTTTGTGAAGAAGGCAGAGCAAATCAACCAGAGCAGCAACCAACTTAATGTGAAAAAGGGGTAAAAGAAAAAAAAGGAGAGAAGAATTTAAATCAAAGGAGGCATATTAAAAGAAATGAACAACATTAATTAGAGTTGGGCTGCCGTTGGATAAAATTGGAAAACGGCTGTGGGAAGCCAGAATGGTGAAAATATCAAACAAATAACATATGGAAATAGTAAAGGAACAGGACGATATAGCAGTCATCACAATTACATCTGTACATACATGGTTTGCTAATCACTGTCAGAATCATTTGCCTCATCATCATCATCATCGTCGCTTTTCGTCGCTTCCTGTTTGGGAATCTTTGATTTCGGCTCATCATCGTCATCGTCATCAACTATCGCTTCTTTTGCCATTTGGCGTTCCTAGAATACGTTCGAATCTCGTTTTTTGTTCTCTTTTTTTTTTCAAATGACTGAATTTTGTTTTTCTGTGACTCGATCGATTTACGAGACAATAAAAACGAAAATAAAGCCGAAGAAGAATTTCGTAAAATATAAAAACATTTTTTATCTGAAATGAAATTTATATACAAATGATAAGCTTATGAAACCGGTTTTATAATTCGACACGTTGATTCGTAAATGCTTTGTAGAAACAAAAGTTCCACGAAATCAATTTGAAGGAACCCAAAGAAAAAAAACGTGAGAAGAACAAATTAAAGTAGTTGTTCTGGTTTCCTCTCAACGCGAAATGCTCCAAAACATATGTTTGACTCATTTCAAACGACGCCCATTTGGCAAAAATTATGCATAGAATACGAAAAATCTCAAAACTTTACGAATGAAAAGAGGTAAACCGCATTGGTTTTTTTCTAAACTGTCAACTTATTTGCAATTGAGCAAAAAAAATTGACAAATGTCGAAAACTTCAATTTTGTTGTAACATTAATGTATTAACACGAAAAATGTCTCACCCTCCATTCCCGTTTCAAACGTTCCATTTCTTCATTGGCTTCAGCGACGGTTTCGGCATCAATGTCTCCGGGATTAATGACATGTTTCGTCAAGAATTTAACCATTCTGAAACAGCACTTTTAGTTAAATTAAACAGTGAAATTGACTTACGAGAATCCCTTAAATCTCTTGCGCTTCATGATAGTTTCAAGTTTGGCATCGCTAATCACAAATTGTTTATTTTTTGGATCGGTGAGGTTATTCTCCTTGATATATTCCCATAATTTCTTGACCACCTAGAAAAATTATTTTCGATTTCAAATTCTCTGTACGATGGTTATTTCTATTAAAACAAAACTAAAAACCGAAAGTGCTTAGAAAAACATAATTTTTTGGAAACTAACATGCGGTTCTGGCCCTTTTATCACTACTGATTGTGAGAAAAATTGTTGAAAACCTTTAAACAAACAAAAAAGACTTACATCACACCGTTTCATGTATTTGCTGCCAACAATCTCCTGCAATTCTGGGGTGATGTAGCACAATTTGGTCATTCGTCCGAATTTGCCTGAATTGTCTGCATTCGGATCCTTCTCCTTCTTTCTCTTATTTCCCGAAAGAGGACCAGCACTAAACAAAAAAGAAGTTCATTATTAAAATAAGAAGATTGAAATCACTAACGATTTCTTAATATCTTTCATCGCTCTTGAAGCAGCAGCTCTGCGTGTCGATTTGATCGTTGTTGCGAGATCACTGAATTCTGGCGAAGCATCCTTCACCTTCGACTTCTTCTTGGCTCGCTGCGTAGAAGCAACTCCATGGTCCGAATCCGAATCTGACGACGACGAAGACTCTTTCTTACAGTCACTGAATGTTATGAATCGTTGCGAGATACTAATAATTTCGAACGACTAACGATTTTTTATCTTCATCGTCATTCTTGTCGTCGTCCGAATCGCTATCACTCTCCTCGTTCTTTTTATTCAACTTCAAGATCGCCTGACGTGTCAAATCATTCACTTTATCCTTATAAGGATCGAAATTTACTCCGAAAGTTTCCTAAAAAAACAAATACGATTTTATGAGTACAGTGCGTTGCAGAATTATAAGGCCACCCCCGAATTTGAGCGCCGCGCAATGATTTCGATACTTTGAGACCAACCAGTGTGAAAATCGTGTTCAGCATGAAAAATAACCTATATGTACCTATTTTTATGTTAGTATCTTCAAAAGTAACCGCGTAGTGGTGAAAAACCGTTTTTTCGAGCGGTGCAAAATTATAAACCCACCCCCATGAAACGGACTTTGAAACTTTGGCGGAACCAATGTGGTGCATAAAAATCGTTGTGTGGCTTTAAGAACCTACAATGGTCCTTATTTTTCACTTTTTCAATGATTTTGAAATGCCACGTGGTCGCTGTCTTAGTGCTTCTGAGCAATCTCAGATTATCGCATTTAAAACGGCAGGATGGTCGAACCGTCGGGTTTCGAAGAATTTAAATGGTCCGAAAACATTCGTAGACATCTTTGTGAAGGATCCAACTCGTGTCAACATGTCGCAAAAGTCAGGCGGCAGAGGAAAACTGGACTATCTCGCTAATCGAGCAAGCATTCGAAAAGCTTCGAGCAGTATGAAGTCTACAAATGACATCAAGAAGAAGCTAAACTTCGACAAAAGCAAGTGGACAGTTTGGGGAACCATCAAGAATAACCCCAACATCGCTAGAGAAAAAATGAAGCCGGCCCCGCGACTCACAAAGGATCATAAAATTCGACGCCTTGAGTTCGCACGCAGAAACATTAATACGGATTGGAAAAAGGTACTTACTTTCGAGAATATTGTGAATAATAACCATTCAAACTTCAAAAGGTTATTTTTTCCGATGAAAAAAAAAATAATTTGGATGGTCCAGACGGCTATAACAGTTTCTGGCCCGAGTTATGAAAGAATCGTCTTCTGCTTTCAAAACTCAATTTGAGAGAAGGAAGCGTGATATTATGGGGGAAGCGTTTTCGGAGGCCGGATTTCTGGAATTGGCTTTTCTGACGAGTAGGGTGGACTCTTCGGATTATCAGAATGTTCTTGAGAGCCATCTTCTTCCATTCCGACGTCATTATTGTCCTTTTTCAACAGGACAAGCGGTCATTCATGTGAGTCGGTCTACTTTGGACTGGCTTCACTCTCACAGTGTGGACGTTCTCGATTGGCCAGCATGTTCTCCTTTTTGGAGTAACATGGAGAACATTTGGGGAGAGTTAGTACGGCGTCTCTATGGCCAAGGAAGGAAATTCGGGGAGTTGGAGAGCTCAAAACCGAAATCGTAGTCGAATGGAAGACGTTAGAGCAGAAATTCAAATCGAAATCGACCAAATATGTTTAAAACCTTCTCAAATCTATGCTAGACCGTGTTTCTGACATAACTACCTCGAATGGAGGTGCCACTAAACATTAAACTGTCGTTATCTTTGAGTTTATAACGTATTTCATGGGGGTGGCTTTATAATTCTGCACCGCTCGAAAAAACGGTTTTGGACCACTACGCGGTTACTTTTGAAGGTACTAACATAAAAATAGGTACATATAGGTTATTTTTCATGCTGAACACGATTTTCACACTGGTTGGTCTCAAAGTATCGAAATCATTGCGCGGCGCTCAAATTCGGGGGTGGCCTTATAATTCTGCAACGCACTGTATTTCTCACGTTTTATCAAATATTATGTAAAACTATCAGCTGATTTTCATGTCACATTGTAAAAAAAATGTGGTTTTGGAAAATCGAAAAAAAACTACACAAATCTATTACTTCTGCATTGTTTTAAATTAGATTTACTATCATTGAATTTAATTATTCCTCTTGGTTTTTGAATTTAATTTCCTCATGGATTTGTATATTTTCTTATTAGGAAAAATTGAAACAAAAACATCCAAAAAAAGATGATTGTTTTTCAAGAAAACAAGGAAAATTTACGAGAAAAGAAAAAATAATTACGCGTAAATGAAAATATCAAGCGAACAACAAGATTTTAGGTGAATATAAAACTCTAAACATGGATTACTTAACATATTATAGAAATAAAATGATTCGTAATATAAAGAGGGAAGCATTCGCGAATAAGAGAGGAGAATAGTACACAAACCGTTCTATAAAAGGCAATTTCAACGAAATTCGTATTTGCTTTGTCTCTTTTTCGAATATTAAATATTTGTTTTTGGAAGGATGAGACGATTCTCGTGAAATCCCAAAAAAATCTTGCTCTGGACAACAAATCCCAAAAAAGAGGTGTTAGAAAATAAAAATGTCTTATAAGAGCATCAGTTTGGAACTCGGTATAAGATTTGAGTGAGGGATAAAGATATTTTTTAAGATCACTTATTTACAAAAATCAAAATAAATAATTAAAATTGTTTTCGATTCCAAGAAAACACATTCTACCATAAAATTGAACACTTACACTTAAATGTTTTCGAACTTTATTGCTGGTCAGCTCCGAGAGATCAGCTGTTGATACAAGTTGGTAAACCTCCTTTTCGGCTATCTGAAATTAATAAATATAAATGATTGATAATTAATATATGCTGAAATATTTTAAATTTGATTTATTCTTCCACTCATACAATATTTGGAATACAAAACGCGAAATTTGAACAGGTGTAATTTATTTTGGTGAAATAAACAAGCAATTTTGGCATAAATGGCGGGTTGACGTGAAACCTTACATTAATATCCATTGGAAACGCTGCACCTGGTGCCGCAGCCGCCATTTTTCTTTTCTATTTGTCCTAAACAATAAGAATTGAATAAATGCGTCGACTAGTTTTTAAAATATGCGAGCGACCTGTCTGCAAGCAACGCGCTCGGTGTTTGCACCGCGGCTCACACCGTATTCATGATTTAAATTATCGAGCTCAATTAAGCCTAAATCTATTAACTCCCCGAAATTCTTAGTTTTCCAATTGAATGAAATCTTTGAAATCTTAAAAAAAAACTTCCTTCAATTCAGTGTATTTGTTTGATTTCTAACCAGAAATTCCAATAACCTCCAACATCATCAGCACTCTGAAAGGTTCTTCAAGGCTTTCGTATCGATTTCTGTATCAGTCTCCTTGGATATGTCCCTGCTTGCGGACTTTCACTTCACCTTCGCGTTTCACCTGCTCTCAAGCTTTCGTTTCGCGAATAAGTTTTAATATATTAGTATTTCGTCGGCGAGTTCTACGTGTGGTAAATTCGGCGCACTATTATAAAGTGAGAGGTGGAGGATAATTTTACTTAATCGTTAATCATCGATCGAAATGTATAACTACAACGTTTACATTTTCGGTAATACACCGGAACCAATGGGCAACAACGAACCACCGAGTAGAAGAGTAATACCCGGTCCAGCGGGAGGTGTGATGTATATGACTTCGAATCGCCTGCGAAGTAATATTTCGTATATTACAGTAATCAGCCATCGCAACAGCACCAACGACATCGACAACAAAATCACCATAATTATCAGCACCATCAGCAACAGCAGCACGTGCAACATGCTTACCAATATGTTCAATACCCACAATACCAACAATACCCACAGTATCAATACCAGCAGATATACCAACATCACCATCAACTGCTCCACCAAATTCCTCATTTACACCAGGCACAACCTCAATATCAGCAGTATTCAAGGTTTAAAAACTGTCATGTCGTGTTTCTCTATATTCATTTTAACGCAAATAGTACTATTAAACTATTAAAAAAATTGCGAAATAAGATAGGTTGGAAAAAATATAATTTTTTGAATTTTGTTATCGAAAACAATAAATTGCACGGAATAATTACCAATTTGAATGAAAGACCATAAAATGCATTAAAGGCATGTGTGCTAACTTTTTAAAATCGTGGTGAGACCCACGCATTACCGTAATACTATTTTCTCAACCATTTTTCACAGTTCTCGTCAAATTCATCATGCAAGACAGGAGTTTTTTCGTGTTTAACAAAACAATTTTAATTTCTGGAGGAAACAGTGGCACAATTTTAAAGAAATGGTTGTTTTCCTCAAAAAACGGTGTATTCTTCGTGTTTCGCCAAAGCTGAGGATGCCATTGCTTTGCACGAAGAGTTTTTCGAGAAAAATTATTATCTGGGATAAAATTTTGAATAATTCCATTGAATAAATTGATCCATTTAGATCTTATGGTCTAGAAATGCAACTTCCAAGAAGAGATATATTCACTGAACATATATCTAAAGAGGATGCTGATCAAGGAATAAGGAGTGGAACGATGTTCGAAGTATGCTGTCGCTGCCACTTTTCATTATTGTGTTCAATTTTAGGCGATTATTCGAATAAATCAAAAAAATTATCAAGAATGTTTTTTGGACCATCCCGGCGGAACAAAATACACCGATGTGTTGTGTCAAAAAACGGATCGAAATCGCGCACTCCACGGAGATTTGGTGGTTGTGAAAAAGAAGCCACGCGAGGAATGGGTGGTAAATTATGCGAAATAACCAATCGCTTAAAAATATGTTTTTTTAAGGTCAATGGAGAAGAATTTATTCGTTGGGTTCATAATTTACCTATACGACTAAACGACCAGGAATTCAAAATGTTGGTTAAAGATAAACCAACAGCAAAAACAGTATGTGACCCTTGTACGAACAATGATCAATCTTGTGATTTCAGCAATCTGAATACCTTCAAATCGATTGTGATGAAATTCCGGACGAATGTCTCATTATGACTGGCGAAGTCGTTCGAATTTCCGAAAAACGTCATAAACGAATTGCTGGTGGAAAATTGCTCAAAAGATTAAATTCGCATTCCGTATTATTTGCCGCTCTTGACTCACGAATACCTCGAATTATCATTCCAAATATGGATGTTAATCCTGAATTTTTCACAAGACCACAAGTTTCTCAAATTATTTTTAAAAACTGAATTTTCGCGGTTGTAGGATTTTGAACGATACTTGTATACTGCGAGGATAATGGATTGGCGAGCAAACTCTGTGTATGCCGACGGACGGCTCGTGCGAGTTTTAGGAGTTTGCGGAGAAATTGAGGTCAATTGGCATTCGAAGTCAATTAATCGAATAATTACGTTGATTACAGCCGGAAACCGAAAGAATCTTAGGCGAAAATGATATTGAAAATATCGAATTCAACAGTGTGTGCTTGTCATCTCTACCTTGTGAAGAAGAAGAGGAATGGACGATTCCAGAGGTAGTTAAAACATTTCAGGTGCCACACTAATAACACATAGAAATGTTCTAGTCGGAATTTGAATATCGTCGCGATTTTCGCAATGAAATTGTTTTTACAATTGATCCGAAAACGGCTCGCGATCTTGATGATGCTCTTTCTATTCGCCACATTGAAGATTGTGATGGAAATGGGACTCCAGGCCTAGAAATCGGAGTTCATATCGCCGATGTGACGTTCTTTTTGAAAGAAAATACCGAATTGGATCGTTGGGCCGAAAGAAGAGGAAATAGTACATATTTGGTTCAAAAGGTGTGAAATTTGTTTAAACAAATTCATTTAAAGTTCATTCTTGTTCTATTAAGGTAATTCCAATGCTTCCACGAATTCTCTGCGAGCAATTATGCTCATTGAATCCAGGAGTCGATCGTTTAAGCTTTTCTGTTGTCTTCAAGTTTACTTATGAAGCAGAGGTAAAATTCTCAACAGAAAATGATGATAAAACTAGAATTTAGCTAAAAGACGTATGGTTTGGACGTACGATTATTCGTTCGCGAGTTAAATTAGCCTATGAGCACGCTCAAGATTTCATTGAAAACCCCGATCAAGACTTCTCACCTGAACAGTTTCCTCCGATTTCCGATGGTGTTACCGTCAGCGAAATTAAAGAGAAGGTTCTTGATTTGCAAAAGATTGCGAAAATCCTTCGATCCAAACGCGAAAGTGGGGGAGCTTTGCGTATTGAGCAACCAAAACTGAAATTCGCGATGGATCTTGAAACGAAACAACCAATTGGGGTTTCTGTTTATGAGGTAGATCAAAATAATACCAACAATAATCAAATATTAAAATAGATCAAAGAAGCCAATAAGCTTATCGAAGAATACATGTTATTGGCAAACATGGAAGTTGCCAAGAAAATTGAGCGCGAGTTTCCGGAGCACGCGTTTCTCCGTAATCATCCTCCCCCAAAGGAGAAAAAGCTTCAACAAGTGGTAATATTATGAATATAAGAATATAAACAAAAATTGAGTGAATCGATGAGTTTAGATTGAGCAATGCGCTAGAATTGGGTTCCCTCTTGATGGAAATTCGTCCAAGTCCCTCTCAACATCATTGAAAAAATACAGCTCAGATACTGCAATTCATACATGTATTAGACAGGTGAGAAACTTGAAATTAAATAGAAAATAAAATAATAAACGTTTAAAAAATAATTGTTCAGGTGATCTCTTCGCTTACTATTAAGCCAATGCAAACCGCGCTTTACTTCTGCGCCGCCTCTGCGAAAAGCCCATCAAGCTACAGACATTATGCTTTAAATGTTGACCGGTATTTCCAGAGAATTAAAGGAATCGATTCGAATGACCAACCAAGTTTTTAGTTATACTCATTTCACCTCCCCAATTCGTCGGTATCCCGACGTGATTGTTCATCGCCAACTTGCCGCTGCTCTCGGTTATTGCGAGCCCTCGCAGAAATCTCCCGAAGAATTGCAAAAAATTGTTAGAAATCATTTAATTGCAACAGAAACCGAATTATTTTTAGGCCACACGTTGTAATGATACAAAAGCTGCATCCAAAAAGGCTTCGGAGGATTCTGCTGATATGTACTTCGGAGTATTCATTCACGTTAGTATTTCTTTTCTTCGTTTCGTTATTCATAAATTATCCTTTTTTAGAGAACTGGAGCATTGGTCACTCGCGCCGTCGTTATTGGTGTTCTTGACAAAGCATTCGACGTACTCATTGTTCATTATGGAATCGTAAAGCGAGTCTACGCAGATGTAAATTCATTTTCACCTGCATTCTCGTCATTTCTCATTTACAGCAAATCACCGCATACGTGATAGCGTTTGACGAGGAATCCAGCGTGTTGACTCTCGAATGGCCAGGAGACTCGCGAGCTGAATTAGCCAATCAATGCGCGTTCCGGCAACAGATCCGCATGTGCATGGTTCTTGACGTTGAGATGTATCCGTTGAAGGAAATCGAAGTCGGCGTCCGCATTCATCGGCCGACTCTGGCCCAACGGAGAATGGGCGAGAAGTCACTTCGCGCGATGCTTGATGACAATATCAACTTTTTGGAGTGAAACTCGGTGTTAATAATTCCGAATAATTCCCTACATATACATACAATATTTATTTTGTTGTATTAATATACAATGAATCACATCATAATTTACATGTAAGTTACAATTTACTCTGTTTTCCTGCAAATGACTCGTATACGATATTACGATCGGCTTTAACGCGATCGTTCGAGAACCACTCCCATCTTAGATTGACTAGCGGCTGTTCGCAGCACCATCTGCATAAAAAGGAAGATACATTTAATCTCAATATTATCGACGTCGTCGGACTGCGGAAAATTGGCTAAATGCCAAAACATTAAAAAAAGAGTGCTCGGTGCGCGGTGTGCGCCTTTAACCTCTCCTTATGTTTAGGCCCCCCTGACACTTAGTTTTAGACCAAGACTACTGTCATTGCTTTTTTTGTCATTTATTCAATTGCCTGCTGTCGCGCGACGCCGACAATATTTTCCTACCGATAAGCAACTTCGGCATCCGTTGCATTCGCGATTCCTTCATCTGATGCGAATTCGATGAGCAAACTTCCCGCATAGATTCTGGCGATGGCGAACGAAATATCTCTGGCAACACTATCAATTCGAACCGAATCGTTTAAAGCGGAATCACTTGCCTTAAAAGGAGAATTGGTTCTATAATAATTTTAAAAAACACAATTATGTACCTTGATAAGCAATGTTTGAAGGGTTTTCAAAGCTTTTCGAATTTCCTCCTTCGATTTGTTCAATTTCTCATTATCTAATATTTCATTTTCAATATATCCATTTCTAGCGTTTTCAAAATATTACCAGTTTTGGCATTTTGTAGTAATTGTTCTACACGTTTTCCAAAAGCTTGAAGAACGTTGTCCCTTCCAGAAAATACTCGCAAGACATCCAAAGATAGCACATTTGTCGTTCCTTCCCAAATTGGAGTTACTTGAGCATCGCGTAGTAACGTCGGCAAACCGGTATCTTCCATGTACCCTTGTCCGCCAAAACACTCAATTCCTTCAGAAACCAATGGCACTGCCTGAAATTCAAAATCTTGTTTAGCGTCATCGCATTAGTTGTTACCTGTTTTCCTGCGTAAAGCTTCAAGACAGGTGTAATTAATCTCAAAAGCAACGCCTCGACGTCTGTACATTTTCCAGCCTCCTAAACGACGAATTTAAAACCAAAATAAAAAGGGAGACATTTTAAGAATGTTCACACTCACCGACAATCCTAAAAGACGAGCAGATTCAAGTAAAAGCAGCATTGTTCCACGAACATCGACTTCCATTTTGGCGATCGTCGAAGTGTGAAGTGGCCATTTTGCTTGAGGTTGACCGAACACGATTCGCTTCGTGGCATAATCACGAGCCAGAGAGATAATTCTGAACATCACTGTCAAATCAAAAATGGCGAAGTTCGATAGAATACCTTCTCATGAATCCCAAAGAAGCGACAGAGTTATGAATTCGGGTGATATTTAGCATGTTCGAGATTCCGGCAACACCTCGTCCTTGTTCGCCAATCTTATATGCAATAACTCCGTCAAGGAGAAGCTCGGCTGTTGGCAATTGTTTCGTGCCAAGTTTGTTCTTCAGGCGAACCATTTGAATTCCATTCAAATTGCCATCGTCATCTCGAATTCGCAATAAGAACAGGGAAAGTCCTCGTGAACCCTGATGACGCAATTATTTGAGGATCCAAGTCAAATGAATGACTTACTGCAACCGCGTTGCCGTCAGCATCGACAACTCTTGCCAGTGTGAGAGCAATATCAGCATCGACCGCGGAACTGAACCATTTGTATCCGTGAAGTCGGTACTAAATTTAAAATTCAAATTGATCACTATTTTATGTGTATCTGCATTTTACTTTATCGCCTTCGATGTTAATCGCATAGGTATCGCATCCTCCAGCAACATCGCTTCCTCCTTTTTTCTCCGTCATCCATTGGCCGCTGGTCCACGCGCGCTTCGGATCTCGTGATTGCAATCTTTCAATCGCTTCAGTGGCCAATTTGTGTTTGCCATTTAAGTTTAATGCCTACGAATAGATGGTTAAATCTCCAATCACGTTTCAATCAATAATAGTTACCGTCAATGTTTTAACAGCTCCATCGGTCATTGCCATTGGACAAGTGACAAGACCAGCAGATGGAGCGAATAGGAAAAGTTTAGAAATTTGATGAAGTCTTTGTACATAAGGATCTTGATCTTTTTCATATCCAATTGCTGAAAATTGAGCAAATATGCTAATGAAAAATTCAAGATCCTACCAATAATTCCTTCTTCGGCGCAAATTTGTTTTAGCCGATACCATTCTTTGCAAACAACTAATTTATCAATCTAAAAAATTAGTATATATCAATTTTTAAAAAATGAGCGAATTCTTACTCGTTTGCCCCAGGCATCCTGTTGCTCTAACTTCGGTTGTTCGAGCTCAGCTTGACGACCAAGCTGCTCAATCTCGGAAACAACTCGATCACCGAATCGTGCCAAATCCGACGCAACCTTTTCATAACATTCTTGAGGAAGCATTCGTCGAAGAGCCCGATCCAAAATCGGATCATCTCTAATCTTCAATTGTTTCCCCACTCTTTATATAGCGAATCGCCAAACTTGTAAGGATTGTGAAGTGTGGGAGCCGCTTGACTGAATCCGCCAGTTTTCGCATGCATGTATTGGGTATGATGAGACGGAGTTATTTTGGCGGAAGCGGGTTGATTTGCCTTTGAATACATTCTGAAAACCATCTAGCGAATAATGGATAACGATATATGAATTACCATAGCCAAAAAAAACGAGCACCCTATGCAGATCTACGATGATCCGCAGAATTCCTACTATTTATATTCAATTTTCAATTTTCGCCTCGAAACAATACGATGGTCTACTATTATGAGAGGAGCTCGTTTTTTTTTCACGATGGTAATAATAGCATGTATCCTACGAGAATTGGTTTTGAAAATTCTACTCGATCAGGATTGAATCTGGGTCTTGGCAAGAAAACCTCCGCAATCATTATTGTTATTCATTTTCGAATTATGCATTCAATTCGATCTTACAAAAAAGCGTTGAATAAATAAAATGTTCAAATAACAGAAATAAAAAATTGTTACCCACCTGATGGCGTTTCTGATTTCTAATCGATGCATATTGTAGACACCTATAACGTTTCTTAAATAAGCGAACAAAAAGATGAGAGACACAGAAATTGTTGTTATCAAACTGGCTGCTGACTACATTGTGGTCTCATATATGCCCATGGAATTTCCAATTTTTTTGTTTTTTTTTTTTGTCAAACATGGCGTACCGCCAATAAATGCAAAATTTATGAATTTTAAGAAAATGTGCGACCCCAGAAAAAACAACCCAACCAACATAGAACAGAAAAAATCAAGTGAATACTGTTAAAATGCGGCAAAATACATTGTGTACAGCAATAAATTATGACTAGTATAGTATTACTCGATGCCAGGATCAATGGATCTAGTAAGTACTGATGCACAGGGGAACGGATTTCGGGGAAAGAAACGAACATACATAGGGAAGACAGAATAATTGATAAGCTCGTATCACAGAATATTATGAGAGAGAGAGAAAGAACAGACACTGTGAGAAAATATACATAAGCGATTGTTTAAAAGCATCTCGAATTATTGGCGTCCGCAGCAGGAGTTGATCTGACTTTGGGCGCGATCCATCAGTTTTATTGCGCCGCCATTCGGCGTATTTGCGGAGGTATCGGCGCGATATTGAGTGAGTCTACAAATTCTAATTTGGAATCCTTTTTAGACATTTTTTGTTTTAAATATAACTCGGATACTTTGAATTTCGAAAAGTATTTTTTTTTCAAGAATCGTTAACTAACTAACCGTTCATCTGTAACTTTCATGTCATTTGTGAGTCTTGTGGCGACTTGTTCAAAAAGTTGATCAACATTTGTCGCGTCTAACGCCGATGTTTCCAAGAAATAATCAAAGTTATTCATCTGAACATTTTTTGAAAAAAAAAATTCAAAAAAAAAATTCAATGTCGAAAAACCTCTGAAAAATCGCGTCCGATTCGCTCCGGCACTTCCCTTTCTTCACCTTTATCCACTTTATTACCTTCAAATTGTGTTGATAAGAAAATTATAAATCATTCAAAAAGGAAAATCATACCAACTAAGATTTTCAAAACCCTCCGATTTGCATAGCTTTCAATTTCTCCAAGCCATTCAGGAAGGCAATCGAACGAAGGTTGACATGCGACATCGTAGACAAGTACGATCGCGTGAGCACTTCTAAAATAACAAAAATAGCAAATTTTAGCATAATTTAATGAAAATACCTATAATAACTCTGCGTAATCGATCGAAATCGTTCTTGCCCAGCGGTATCCCAAATTTGAAGCTGGAAAAAACGATTAAAGGTAAAATAATTAAATAAGCAGAAATATACCTTTATTTTATCATTTCCGACTTTTACCGTCTTTATCATAAAATCAACGCCTATCGTAGCACTTTGACCTGGAGGAAAGATTCCCTGAAAAGAAACACATGAAAATATATTCGCACGTTTTTATGAGTTCCACCACTATGATTTTTTTTCAAACTTTTACAGAAATAATTATCCGGTAAAACTATAAAAGTTTAGAAATTTAAAAAATCTTTCAAACTTCAAAAGACAAATACAAAAATCTAGTAAAAACAAAAAAGTGTGCAACGAACTTGTGTGAACTTGCGGACTAGACATGTCTTGCCAACTCCCGCATTTCCTACAAGTACGACCTTAAAAAGGTACTTGTAATCTTCCATCCAATGAAGACGGCCCTGCAAAAAAATGGCCATTTCTCGGACAAATAAATGAAGGCCTAATCTATGAACAGCAAACAACTTATTCAAAACACACCACCGCGCGCACAAAAATGGTGGCGTATATTTGCGCATTGCGCATTTTTCCGTATAATTTTTGAACCGCGCCGTCGGCGTCTTTTTCGCCTCTTCATCATTTGTTTCTATTATTATTATTGTTTTATTAAATAATGACGTTCGCACAACACAAAAAGCCAACAATGCAATGCAAAAATTTATCGATTGATTCAAGTCGGATTTGAACGCGACATATTCAAAATGATGAAGAGGGTGAGAGAGAAAGGGATATTATATGTCGAACGGCTATTTCGCGTCGATTCAGTCATGTCGCCGATAAAAAAGATGAGAGAACATGATTTATTGTTATAATGTACCGCATAGGTGAACAGTTATTGCGAAATTTTGGTTAGAACAAAGTATTTTTTTCGAAAAAATATATTGGAAAAATACCTAATAAGTCACGCGTGTCCAGAAAATGAAAGGAAAAGGTTATTCCAAAAACGGGTTAGTTGTCGGCGAAATGGAAACACAAAATCTTGATGGTGAGTCATAAAAATGCCAGTCAAGAATCGCCATTGTTGGCAGCAAGTTTCTCATGAAAAATGCGAGACTACTTTTTGCAGACAAATTCTGACATGACTTTTTGATTGTTTCGCTAAATTTTTGACGAGAAATTACAAATTGCTATTAAATCAAACACAATTATATTTATTGAACAACGTTTAAATGTTTGGTTTTATAAAAATCCGGTGAATGACACAGAACAGAATGTTGTAACATTACGGGAAGGTGTATGACTTGATTTATGAGATTCGCGGAGTAAAAAAGTCAATTACTAGATCCGCTACGAAAATTGTATACATATTAAAAGCCTAGTACGTTTTAATGGCATCAATTAAAAATTGCAAAATAACTATTCTTTTAAATAAGAGAATAATCTGTTTCCAGATTATATTATTCAATAATACTGGAATAGTTTTGTTTTGAAATAAAAAAGGAGAAAATTTGACGTAAACGCTTTATTTTCAGGTTTACTAGATTAAATAACATTTATTTTTATGGACTTATCCATGCAATAAAAATGTAGAAATTGCGCATTTTCCAATTTAGGAATGTAAAACTGATTTTATCAAATTTTAATGTTTTTTTTGTAAAAAAAAAAATAAATTTCAAAAATAATTAATAAATTGAATAAAGGGAAAAATAGAGCACCATAAATAATTAAAACGTCGTAAATTAAAATGCATTCTGCATTTTGATTACCGTACTAACACTATAAATATAAATGTTTCAAGCCTGGTTTGGTTTCTTTTTTCCGCAAATGATTCAATTTTTAAATCAAACTAAACAAACATGATGAAAAAATAAAATTAATTAAATTATATATGAGGCCAGTTGAAAATAGACAATAAATAAGTTCTTTTAGTTTAGATTTAAATGATATATTAATATTGTGCAATTAAACGAGAAGGGAAAAACTCACCTTGTGTTGATAATACATTTCCGTGAATAAGAATGAAAAGAAAATCGATCAAAAGTTTTATACAATTTTGTGCGACGCTAGCCCCCGTTGTCATTCAAATATGGCAATACGAAGTCGACGATTTTCTCGCTCCTATTTCGCGATCGTGTTTTATGGGAGCACCGAATCGATTTTTGTTGAAATTGATTTAAACTGAACTGTAAGCGAGAAAGATACGCCAATTGTACTTATACGAAATTATTTGGCATTCAAGACTGCCTTTGTTCACCCGCGAATTTCATTGATCGCTATCGCGCTCATTCTATTTTTAGACGAGTGAATATGTCAAATTGACAAATTGAGAAAATGTGAAAAACGAAAATCGAAGAGTATTTTCAACAAAAAAACATTTTGGACCAAAAACATTTCAGTCGAAACACAACGAAGAATTGAATACACGCGACAGAAAATGATCGGAATTGAGCAAATGAATGAGCAATTGCGAAAATTGCAAATTTCCAATAAAGCAAGTCAGCACAAATTGAATCGATTGAATGAAAGGTTGAAAGGTTAGAAATGGTTGAATGAAGTAGGGGAATTTAAGGAAAAAGTGTCTCGAAGATGATTTAAATCGGTTGGCTGATGTTTCGTCGAAAATTGAACGAGATATTTCCGGCGATTTAATGCACACTATTGAAGAGCCTTTGGCAAGTTTTGAATTCATTTTTTTTTCTTTAAAAATTAATGTAAAAAAGAGACGAATTTTCGCAATTTATTAGAGTTTGATCGCGTTTTTTAAACAAACTTTCCGTTTAGGATATGGAAGTCATTTGTGCCGAGCAATTCCAGAAGAAAATGAGCAAATTGCGTATATTGTTGAGCGAAATCATTGTGCGAACTTGTTTCAATGAACGGGCAATGTGCACAGTATTCTTTAAAAATATGATGTCGCTTTTGAAATTTCGATTAAGGAAATTGGACATCAGGAATCTGAATTCGAATTGAGACTTCGCGAATCAATCGATGCTCGAAATGAGCTGTTCAACAAAAAGAAATGTGCTCAAGATAGATGCGAGGACCTTATTCGTCGACATGCCCAGCTATTGGAGGTGAACACCTCGAAAATTGAGAAATCAATCGATTGAGTTCAGCTCGTACAACAACTCGAGCAGAAAATGGAAGTGTTTGATTGCTCACGATGGCTGCTGAATGTCGAATCTCGCCGAGTTTCAGACTTGCTCGATCGGACTAGAAGAGAACCGGCAAACGAGCCGCCGAAAGTTCGAATTCCTGAAATGCCGGTGCACACAAAAGCGCAGATAATTAATTCGAATGCGAGCTTGCTTCATACACATTCGTCGATTTCGCATGTTGATTTGCCTCAAAGTAAGATTTAAAGAATTTTGAGACAAATTTAACCCTATTAAACATTGATGAAAACATTTTCAACATTTTTTTTAAAATTTCGACCACCCAAAATATATTTTCTATTAAATATTCATAAATTACGTAATGACAAAAAAATAATGTTTGTTGTTTTAGTCACAGAATTTCCGATATCGGCCGGTCCTCAAGTTGCATTGAAACCGATTCCGATTGCTAGATCTCTGGAAAAAAGAAGTAAAAAATCGAAAAAATCAAAGAAATCGAAGAAGAGGGGCTCAAAGGTTTATCGAATACTTGTTCATTTCATTTAAATTCTCTTCTTCCAGAAGCCATGCCCGATTCATCATAAAAATCCGAGAAATAATGAGAAAAGTGTATTGCAAATGAGTGGAGTTGATTTGATGGAACTGATCTCAAAAGTGATCACTGATGATTTAAAATCGAATCAACAACTATAACGGTTCATTAAAATAGTCTAATATTAATCAATAGAGTTTAGTCAATAAAAATTTGAATCTTTTTGTTTTTTTTAACCTTGCCAACTCCTTTACACGTTGATTAAGATGGTTCACAAACAATATCTATTATCTCAGAATCGAAGGTCTATTCGATGACGTGTTGCTGTTGATCTGTGAATGATAAGAATAATTTACATGACAACGAAGGCTCACAATTACAGATATCGCCGGTTATATTATACGATCAGTGTCGTATATTTCATCATCAGTCTGATGCAATAATTGCGACCTACAAACGAGAAAATTGGCGAAACACGCTAACTGGTAAAAGAGAATGTAAATATTATGGATTAAAAATTAGTTTACGTTAAATAAATCAATCATAATTGAACAATAATGACGAATGATAACATGATTTTCAATTTTAGTAAAAAATTATATTCGTCTAAATTATGAAAATGCAGTCCAAAGTTTTTTGTGAGATATAGAAAAAAGATGAAGAAAAAAATTAAGCAAAAAAAAATAGAGAACACGCGAACTGTTTATTAATTTAATCAAGATATGAGTTGAACGACACTAGTTATCCTTATTTTAGGAATTCGTATTGGTGGAGTTTTCACACTTCTCTAAAAGTGAGTTGAAAGATTCGAAGCACACGGTCAATCACAATTGAAGAATGCCGTTGCCAAACAAAGCTGGAGAGCCCGAGTTCAAGCTGAAGGTTGAGCCGGCTGATAAACTTGTCTTCAAGTATAAACTCGGAGAAGAATGCACCATTGATATGAAGATCACGAATCCGCTTAAAGAACGCAACAGTTTCAAGGTGAAACGGCCATCAAAAATTGGGAATCGATTGAAAATTACAGGTGAAATGCACTGACAACGACATTTTCCGTGTACGACCACCACTTGGATTTGTGAAGGGAGGCGAATCCGCAGTTGTCAAGATCACACTGAAGGCAAAAACTGCCCCTGACCCAACTCGCCACTTCTTCGCAATCTACCATCTCAAATACACCGACATGAAGAGCACCGCTAGAGCAGTATGGACATCGGAAACAAAACCAGACGGTGTCATTCGACTCCAAGCCGTTCTTGAGGATGTTAATGCTGAAAAGAAGGAGGAAACCGATAAGAAAGAAGACGATAAGAAGGAGGTTTGAATAGTTAAGTATATAGATTAAAATATTGAAAATTAACTTTAGGATAAGAAGGATGACAAGAAAGAAGAAAAGGATGACAAGAAAGATGAGAAAAAGGTAAAAAGTCTCGGCAGATTAGTTGCGTGAATCGCGAGTTTTGTTCCGCATTCGCGAGACGCTGGCGAAGTAGTGATAGAAAAAAATAATTTAAATCGACGAAACAGTAAATCGTACGTTTCGCCCCGAGAGATGCGCGAGTTTCATTCGAACAGCTTTCCGAGGAAAAATATTGAAGCGACTGCAATCACCGTGACGTAAAAACGCACCACATGTGCTACAGTACTTCGAACATCCATGGATAATTCTTGCGTACTGGCGTATGCATAATTTTTTCTTTTAGGAAGATGAAAAGGATGAAAAGAAGGAGGACAAAAAAGAAGATGACGAGAAGAAAAAATAAAAATAGCGTGCTTCTTTCAAATTGGTTCACCTATAAATGCTTTCTTTTGAAATTACTTTATTATGTCAAAAGAAACCTTCATATTTACATATTACTAAAAAAAAAACAACTGATACACGAACAAATGGCACATGGAATTCACATTGAGACGCGTTTTTTTCTTAAAGGAACATCGCACAAATTTTGAATTTACTTTCCACTCTTCACGTTTTCATAGAAGAGATTTCCACGCTTCTCTTGCTCCAACTCGATGGACTCGAACAACGCCTTAAAGTTGCCGGCTCCGAATCCTTGATGGTTTTGACGTTGGATGATCTCGAGGAATAATGTCGGCCGATCTTGGCATGGCTTGCTGAAACATTCCAACGTGTTTTCGTCGCTTCGAAATGGACACGTCGACAAAAATGATCAAAAAACAAGGTGATTGCGCGCGTGTCAATCAAAAGGTGTCAGGGAGACCAATCGAAGAAAATTTTATCGATCATAAAACTAGGAAGCAATTTTTATATCCTATTAAAGTCCGATAATGGCTCTATCGATTTCTAGTTGGCCATGTTCGAAAAATTATATGTTCGAAAAAAGCACCAACCTGAATATTTGAAGAAGATATCCGTTATCATCGAAGTCAACAAGAATATGAAGTTTTTGCAAATGGTCGAGATCTTCAGCTATCTGGATTCAATTTTTGATTGATTTCGCCTCATCCTTTTTTTCGAATAATTCTTACCTTAATTGGAGCCTTCGAGAGTCTTTCTCTCAAGTTGTCATAGTAAGCCTTCGGAATTGTTAAGAATTCGCAGCCTCTAGCTTTAAGAGCCTCAATTGCGGTTATGATGTTACTGGTGTTCAAGGCAATATGTTGAACACCGGCTCCGCCGTAGTAATCAACGAATTCTTGAATTTGCGATATCGCCTTCTTCTTAGAAGACGCTGGCTCATTAATTGGCATCTGAAATATTTGAAATAAAATTTTCTAAAAAAATAATTTAGATAAACCTTGATAGTTTCTTCATAATTGGTGACCACAATAGATCTCAACGCAGAATACTCGGTATGGATCATCGAGTCATCGACGGACCAGAAGCGGTGGAATTTGAGAACATTCTCGTACCACTCAACAGCAGAGTTCATTTGCAAATCGGGTTGATTTCCGACGCAATGATCGAGGAAATTCAATCCGACTCTCGGAAGAGATTGGAAGAAGTTCTTCGGCATCGGATGCTCCTTGAATCCTGGCAAGAACAATCCTTTGTAGTTCTTTCTTTCGAGAAGCGTGTGGTTAGTTTCTCCATACTTAAATAATTCATATTGCAATGATTATTTTTTCAAAAATTAGAGTTTCTTACCGTTTTCAAGACGGCGAATCTAACAGTTCCATTCTCATCACTTTCCGTGGTGATATCTTGAACAATGTGAGCTCCGGCCTTCTTGGCGTGAGCAATAATCGAATCGAGATCCTCAACCTCGAAGCAAACGTCCTTGACACCATCACCGTGTTGGACAAGATGATTTCCGAGCTCATGATTGTCGGGGAGAAGAGCAGACTCAAATACGAATACGATCTGGAAGTGATGATTATTGCTGATAAGAAATGTCTCGTCTGATTGTTCGAAAAGAGTTTTGCAAAAATCGAAAAGAATTGATAATTGGGAATCGATTTGAAACGAAATTGTGTAAAATGAAATGCATTAAAGGAATAGAAAAAATATTTAAAAATTTGAATAGAGAATTTATAATCGTCAGTAGTGATCACCTTGTTCTGTCTAATAGCGTGCTGGGCAGTCAATCTGCTTCCGGTTTCCAACCCCTTGTAGGCGAATGGCTCGAAGCCGAAGTTCGCGCAATACCAATAAGCAGCCTGCTTCGCGTTTCCAACGATGAATCGCACATGGTCAAACGCGACGAAGGTGCCGATGTCTGGTTTTGGTCCCTTGTCGAAATTGCTCTAAAATCATAATATTGTTCTCCTTCTGTATTCGATTCTATTCGTTTACCATCTTCGGAAGTTCACTGTATTTGGTAGGAGAAGGGTCTTCTGAAAAATAAAAAAAATGAATGAGTGTGAGAATAGAAGGCAATAGATAATAATTGGCGGCCACCAATTCCATCACTGTTCTATATATGGTATCAATGGGCGGAGCCAAAGACCAACACGTGACATTTCTGATCACAGACTGATCTCATGATAAGAAAATCGGACTCAGAAAAACACGTAGAATTGGAATCTTTGAAAGTGTCGAATGTGAATTCTTAGAGAGGGTTTAATTCGATGATCGTCGCCAACAAGATGGTCACTTCTTTGACTACAATTTTTGCATCAGCATTACCGCAATCTGCCTTCTATTTATGGGATGCATGATGCGAGGTATTATCATTGTTGTCTCCACGTGCCGATTGAATCATTTCGTCGCCATCTCTATCTCTCCGCAACGACGAAATTGCGACGGACGACGACGAAACCGATGGGCCGAATGACCAGAATATTCGATAGTGGGCGGCGCGTTCTGCAAACACGCACGCATCTCAGTACAGTATACATCGATAAGTGTGTGTGTGAGATGCTTTCAATGAAATTTGCTATCGCAAAAACTTAATTATTTGGGAGAAGAGATAAGAATCGTAACAACTTTTGATTACCTGCAAAATGTGAAAACGATAAAAATGTGGAGATCAAATGTCTCGTGCGATAACGCACAGTGTTACAAGATCAAATGCAACATTTGTTTTTTTTCAGTCGAATAATCAAATTATTTGCGTTTCAGAATCAAGTTGATATGAGAAAAACGTATGGAAAAGGAAATAAAATGAAAATTTAATTATCAAAATAATTATCCATGAAGAAATTTTGTATTTACAAAATCAGGAAATTGCTTTCGACCAGTCTCTGGTAACTCAAAACCAATCGGATCCGACAAAATTTGGCTCCGAAATTAACCTTATTCGATTGGAAATTCTACGGATAAAATTGTAAAATTGTCGAATCCGATTGGTAATTATTCGAATCCGTTTTGTTTTAATATTTCAATTCGAATCGGATTCGATAAAAAACCAATCTTATCCGTAGAATTACCAATCGGATTAGGTTAATTTCGGAGCCGAATTTTGTCGGATCCGATTGGTTTTGAGTTACCAGAGGTATTTATCGCATCCCATCCCCCTTCTCCCTACGGGTTAAACATCATCTTCAATTCGAGGTCCCATTTATTTTTATTTCTGTTTTCCTTTCACCCATTTCTGTTGATCTGCCAAACATCCGTTCATTAATCTTTTATTTCATTTCTTTTTTTTTGCCTGGCGTGTTTTTTTTTCGCGCTTGCGCAGAACAAAACATCCGCCGATGGAAAAATGAAGATTGCGAAAACGAATTGAAGCGTGAACGGAGCACACATCATTGTTTCGGATTGACAGCAAACATCTCCACAACTTTATTGAACATCGAGTTTATTAGATGTTTTTACAAGCCGAAAGTGTTGTACCCAAATTTGATTTGTTTTTTTTTTTGTCTTTTGCGCATTTCAATCGTTATTATTATTATTCTTCTCTAGTTTCTCATTGGCTACAATAGGAAGTAGATCGGATGAGGAGCTCTGCAAAATATTTGAGAATCTTCAATCTTCCGAATGTCATATTCCTACCGTATCCTAGAGATTGGGTACTCTTGAGAATTGGCGACATTCTCGAAAAACGCTAAACATCGCATAGTTATCGATTGCAATTTAGATGGTCCGCTTACTTTGACTCCTTTTGAGTGGCGGTTCCCTAATTCGGATCAAAGGAACAGGCTGTTTGGCTGCCGACGGGTAGACGGCGTCTGATCGCTTCTTCAGCGGCGGCTCTTTGATGAGTCGCGGTATGCTCATTGGATCAACACTGATCCGCTTCTCGACGGATCGGATCAATTCAATTGGGACGAGTTGTGAAGAGACTTGAGATGAGCCCAAGTCGAGAAGATCTGAAGGAAGCCGTCTTGAGTTCCTAATTGTCAAACAAACAAGACTGCGGTGATGGTCCCTAGTTGGCACTACTCACCGACACTCTCACATTTCTTAACCAACGGAATCAACTGTTCCGCGTTTATTCGAAAATCGAGAATATTCGAATAAATGGGCTTACCGTGGACGAATTGATTCTCAGATCGTCTCGAAATCGGCAATGCGAATCCGAATGAGAACAAACTGACGAGCGAAACCAACAACATCTGAAATGCAAATAAATGAATCTGTTAGAAATATGAAGCCGAAAAAAATTCGAAAAAAACAACAAGGATGACCTTATTGAAATTTGAGACAAATTTTGCAAAAGAAGATTTGAAAATCTAAAAATCTGGTGAAATTCCTAATAAGGTGGAGAATGACACACACCGGTCACCGGCTCAATCGAGCATGCAAAGTAACCAGTGACGAAACAGGCTATATTTAGAGACACGGGAAGTCTGGCAAAAAAGGGATGAAATTGGTCTCCGTCGATTATTGGAAGGATTGGAAAAAAGAACTGTACGTGGATTTTTTTTACCTAAAAGGTGGTAATTCAAAGAAAATGAAAAATTGAACAAAATTTCACTGCAGAAAAAAAATGTCTATTTTTTAATCACTTCCTATTTTTTGTTTTTTTTTTCTTCTCTGCATTGCCAAGCAACCTTAAAAAATCTATTATAGTTTAATCCGACGCCTTTCACTTGGAGACGTTGATCTGCGGACAATTCACTCCATCATTGTCAACCTAAATATTCTCATTCTTTCAGGGAAATTTTTGAAATTGAGAACAACACAATTTATATGAATCCTCATCAATCAAAATGCACGCCATCTTATTTAAACCCATAGTTTTGACGAATCAGATTTCACGCGTGCGCATAAATTAAAAGATGATTTCTGAGCACGAATTGCAAATCCGAAACACCAATTGTGAAATGAAAATGAGACTGATACAAATAATCATATTTGAACTAATCGAATTTCAATTTGATTCCTTTTTTGGTTTGATAGAAAAAAATGAAGAAGGAAGTGTCATTGAGATAAATCTGAGAAGGGGGGGGGGAATGTTGGAAGACACCCTGGCTTTTTATAGGGTGTGCGAATTCGGGTTCGTGAATTTTGAACGAATCTCGTGAGAGCCGTGTGGGCCCCCGTTTTTTGTCTGAATTCACCGCCGACACGTATATTTAGTATCAGGCCCAAATTCGATGACGACGTCACAACCCAGAGGTTTGTCGCGGTTGGCGGATGGGCGGAACCCAGCGAATATGAGACTTTTTGAAGAAAAGAAAACACGCTGAATCACCCAACGTGAAGAATTTGAAGAATAAAAAAACAAGAGCACATAATTTGACGCTAATTTTCCCATAGCGACTAAAACAAAAAGGCGGTGAGATGAGTATGAATTGTAGAGAGTCTGCTTCGGAAGACTATACCAAAAATGTTTGCGTGTAGTCAAGCGAAGATTAAAAAAATAAAAATTAAGAGTTTTAATGAAAAATTGTTTAAAAAAAACAAGTCATCATTTTCAGAACAGTTATTTGTGGCTGGTTATTATCCAGAGACCGACTTTATACGAGATAAATCTCATGCTTAAATGTGCCGAATAGCGAGTATGCCTTTTCCGAAAAACGAATCGAAAAAAATCACTAAGATCGTGTTGTCATTAAAAATACCAACCAAACTCGAAAATTTCCAAGAAATGAGACAGTTATTTGATTTGATTTGTCTCCGATCGACTACGGTTAATTTCGACTTTGAAATTGATTGGATCAGATTGAGAAATGACCGAACTCGATTGCTCCTTGAAACTCGATTATCGGAATCGTTTCGAAAATCGTCGTATTCGATTCGGACAGTATTTGATTGTAAAACGAAGAATTGGCAATTCACAATCGAATACGATCACGACGATTTTCGAAACGATTATGAGCACATTCGGATCGAATCACAAAGAGCAATTGAATTCGATCAGTTTCCAATCAAAACCGGTTAATTTGGCAATCGAAAATTGCCGAATTCGATGAGAAATGAATTACCAAAACATTCGAATTCTCTCAATTTTTTCTTTTTGCAACAAAATTAAATTTTTTCGATTTTTAAATCTAGTATTATTCTTCTATTTTACACCCATCATTTATGCCGTATAAGCAGTTTTGTGGGATGGGTGTAGAAAGAATATGATATTCTGAAAACCCAAAAGAGATCGCTGCGTGCAAATATGAAAATAATTAGAACGCAAATTTTAGTAAAGATTTTCAATTGGTTTGACTCAATTTTGAAATGGTTTATCAGTTTTTTTAGAAATACGAAAGTTTCAAAAATTCTTAATCTGAAGTCAAGAATTGATTTGAAATTCAGCTTATTGAGTACAAGTTTTTCCAAAATTGAAGTTTTCCAAGCTTCCGGTCAGAAAATCCAATTTGTAAACGTCAGGGTCCACATTTTTTTCTTTATTCGCTCATTCAAAAAATAATTGACAATGCCAATTTTTGGTCGTTATAATTGGTTTTCTATTTCTGGCAACATTCCATTTTTGTTGGTTTCGTGTCTCGTATTCGATTGAAGACCGGACCAATAAGGATCGAAAGTTCAAAAAGAAGTCGACAAAACAATTTGGGTTCAAATTGAGTAGACCGGAAAACGAGATCACGTACAGCAAAGAAGTGCTATTTTTAACTGAATTAAGGAAGTTGAAAAGCTCACGGTTCGTAATATTTTTTTAGCTTTTTTCGCATACGAAAGGCACCGAAATTAATTATGTTATGTGTGGGAGAACGATATTTTCAAATCGAATAATCATATGTAAATAATCAACAAAATGGCTGACTGCTCAAATTTACGCATTTATGCACTTTTTAAATTACAGATTTTTCGAGATTCTCCAAAATTTGCACAAATTTTGGAGAATTTTAATATTGTTGAGAAATGACAAATGTATCCACGTGTCGTGGGATCCTGCGTTTTGTACGCAATGCTATGAGACAGTTACCGTAATCCTCGCAGCGATTTACGGAGTTTTTGTTCATATTTTCTTTAAATTTTTTTTTGCTGAATTTTCTTATTTTCTTTAGAAATCTTTTATTTAAAACCTGTAGAAACCGAGTTTAATTATTTATTTTTCAGAATATGCACTTTTCCACTTGTCCAGTTGAGTTGGGAATTTTCGTGAAGACTTTGTCGCTCTAAAAATTATTTTGAAAATGAAGAATACAAAAACAAGATAATAGAAACGCGTACGAAAAGCAAAACACGAATAAATAATTTTATTAACGACAAAAATATTTTCTTTTATATCTCTGTTGTTTTTACCAAAAAATATCGTTTAAAAGTGCTTATTTTGCTAAATAAATTATTAAACTCGGTTTCTGCAAAATTTAAATAACAACATTTCGAAGGAAAATACGAAAAAAAATGAATATGCGAAATTTAAAAAAAGTCCCCGTAAATCGATGCGAGGGTAACTGTCTTTACGGTAATTGTCTCTTAGCATTGCGTACAAAACGCAGGATCCTACGACACCTGGATACATTTGTCATTTTTCAACAATAGTTTCGAAACCACCTCATTTTTTAATTTCAACTTTTTATTTTTCACATTTCATTTTCGTAATGTGAATTTGAATTTCCTCTGGTAAATCATTCGTTATCGTATACTATCAGATTGCTATTTAAATATGATTAGGATTTCACTGATTTTAAAATTTCTAGAAAAATTTCAAAACATGTTTTTTATATCCTTAATGAAATTTGGATCGTACTTGACGAACATAAACATTTTCAAAAAAATGCGATCGAATACAAGCGGATTGGGCCTTGTAAAATAACTGATGCGGGTACGGTTACGAATCATTTTGCAAACTTTTTTATTACAAAAATAATAGATAAAGTGCAAAAAAATCTTTAAAAATTATTTTTCTAATTGCTATTTTCAGTTTAAAACGACTAATCGGCGGCGAAGACCTCAACTTCCTGAAATCAATGTACATTGATTTACGGGAAGGAAATTATTTTCAAAAAGAAAGAAATCAGCTTTTCGTTATACATCTGATAATGAACACAGTTGACCCAAATTAAATATAAAAAAAAGAGTCAAAAAATCAAATGGTTGGTCTTCATCGCCCACTCACTCAGTTTTTGCTCCGTTTTATAGGCGACACCCACATTCTGCAAAAAGAATCACACGCCTGCCTATCGTATCAACGAGCTACTCGAATTTCGAGTGACCTTCGCTCTTTCTTTTTTTTTGAAAATTGGGTTGAAATATTAGAAAAACCAACAATTTAGGACATATATATTCGACAAACAATGATGTGGCCCTTATTTGCATAAATTTGGAAGAGAATGCCATCGTGAGGTAATGTCGAAGACTGACTACTTCCGTGGGGGCAGCGTAAAACAATTGGACTACGTAATTTTGGCCTCGCCAATTATTTACGCGTTGAACTCAGTATCAAACATTCATTCAATTACAGAATCCATTAAAAGCGCATGCAAAAAATTTTATATAGTGGGCGTCCGGCGACTGCTGTACGCCGGTCGATTTACGGGGATTCTCTTGGTCTCGAGCGGACTAACTGATTATTTCACATTTTATAGGTGGATTCGATAATTTTTAAATCGAATTCCAAGAAATGCCAAAAACTGCCAAACTCGTCAAGAAAAAATAAATCGTTGAAAACAGCAAAATAAGTGCTCGCACGTGGCGAGACCTTTTCAAGGCGCATGCGTACAGCAGCCGTCGGACATCGATTATATGTATATGTGTCAGAAATGGAAATTGTATTTAACCTGAACTTTATTGAATCTGCCTTTGATAGTACAAAAGCCAATGTCAAACAGTAATTAGATTCTAGGACATGATTCTAGCAAACTTTCTCAAATGTTCTAGATGTTTACACGTCTCGTGAAACATCTGAATGAAGGCGCAGACCATTGACCCTATTGTTTCCGCATCCACGGTACGACATGGCCTATCTGCTTCCCCTGTGACTGTAACTGTTATGAAAGGGGACCCGCGAGCCCCCAGTTGCGGCGTTCGGAGCGCTCCGGCTTCATGAAGCCAAATCCGGCATCTCAAAATTCGTGATATCATTCGTCTTCACGACTGTCGAATCCCCTCGGTTCCCTTTATCTTTTTTTTTTGAGTTTCCTTCTTGCAAGGTGATATTAACAAATAAGAATTGTCAGAATCGCACACTGCGAAAAATTGGATAAATGCCAAAAAATAAAGGAGAGGTCTTAGTACGGTGTGTGTGTGTGTGTGTGTGTGTGAGCCTTTCAATTTAACCAATTTTCAGCAGTCGTACGACTTGGATAATACATGTATTTTTAAACTAAAAAATGAAATTTGGTTGATTTCTACGTTAACACTCAATTTTTGAAAAATAGGTAAGATATTTAAAATTTAGTTGCATATCTTCATTGAGCTACTATTTTGTTTGTAAAATAAACACTTTATTAGGCTTCGTCACCAAAATCTCATTTCATTTTTATAACCTCCGTATTTTATTAAGTTTTTAACGGAAAAAATTAACACCACAAATGATTGCAATTTGAAATAATCAGAAGAGCGTAAATTGTCTTAAAGTTGGATATTTCAAAAATTATAATTGAGATTTACATTCTATTATAAAAACAGAAGCGGAAAATATTACGATTTTGAGGATTTGATTTTTTTGCCGAAGAAATGGAAGGCATAGCTCAAATCGAACTAATTTAGCTCGTAGTTTTTAATCAAAATTCTGAAATGGTTTTTTTTCATAGTTTCAAGGAGTAGGAGTGGCTTGTAAAAAATGCGAAATTCCAGTTTCCAGCCAATGAATTTGAACGTATTTGGTCAAAAAGCACGTAATTTAAACCAAAAATACTGCAGATTGGGCCATTCGAGGCTTGTAGACGACTTGTGTCATATATTCCTACGATGAAAGCTGGAAGAATAATTGATGGGTAAATTTGATTTTGGTTTCAATTCGATTTAATTACCCCAATTATGATTACTAATTAAATCGTCAATACCTTTGCCCGCGTATTTTTCTTCAAGTACAAATGCTTTTTTATGTCTGAAAATGCCGGAAATTATTAAGAATTGAGACAAAAATTGGGCGAAACTCGAAGTTTTTCGGTAAGTGAGGGCATTTACCAAGCCAATCTCGGCAACTTTCCTTTTTAGAAAAACAAAATAAAAAGCAGGAGAAGTTTGCACAATTTCCCCCGAGATTTGTTGCTTAGCAGTTTTTACATGAAACTGCTAACCCAAAGCGTTGCACAGGTTACAGATAACCCTTGAGATCTCCAATATCAGATGATAATTGAAATTTAATTCATGACAGCTTTCTCCACTTTATTCAGTGGGATGAGTGATCTTCAGAGCATCTTATTTCTGGTTGGATCGATCGATTTCAAGTGATCAAGCAACCATCCTGTTAACGCAAATATATAAAACTCGGGACACAAAATGATCAAAGTTTTCCCTTCATTTCCGAGTCTTGTTAATCGAGAAAACTCAAAAATTCTTTGAAACAAATATTACTTGCAGTGTTTGTTGCGAAGAAGCATAGAATTTCAAATTTGTCGAGGCATGCATGCACACCCAATTATTTGCGCATAGTTCATTTCAGCAGATTGCGCAGACATAAACAGGCCGGCAGTTCTGGCGACGGCGTTTTCGAATAATTGCCATAATAGGACGGGTTTATCATTTTATATACATATATGTATATATATGTGTGTGTGTGCTAATATTATATTTTCAATTTTGGTCGATGCCTCCCCCTCCGGCTACGGACGGACCATCTTGTCGTACCGACCCGTAGTGACCCGTTTCTATTCGCAACACTCATGCACCCACACGCACCCATACTTTTTGCATCTTTCTCATTCGGAATCTCTCTTTACCCGCTTTGCAAACGAATCCCGCCCGAAAACACTACTCATTCTTTACACATGCATTTGCATGGGGGTTTCCACTCAAAGCTTGTATACGATTCACTAAATTTTTTTTTCGAATCTTTTCAATTTGATAGCAGACTTTAAGAGATAGCATTTCAGGAATTTTCTGATTGAGAATGCCTTCCGACAACGCGACATTGAAGAGAAAACACTCTCCACAAAGGGTAATATATCATATATATATTTTTTTTAAATAAATATTTACATAATTAGCGTTTTCCAATTATCTCAATCTTTATAATCAAACTGTATTTCAGGTGTTCCCATTTCTCGCACTTCCTCGTTTAGCTCAAGAAAAGGTGGTATCGTTAATGGACGTCAGAGCGAGGTTTAAAATTCATTTGAGATTTTTTTAAAATCAGTCGTCAGATTTCCAGAGAGTTTTTTTCGGTGTGCTCGAGATATGCACAAGAATTGGAAAGAACCTCGACTCTTCAACTAGACACTCTCGAGTTTACTGACCATGAAAGTTGGCGGTGTATTCCACCAGAATCCGTAAGCTCGAATGCCATCGATCAACTATATTTGAGGATTTCAGAACGAAGTGACAGTATATGGAATACACATATCACCGAGTACACACAAAAAAGTCTACCGAACATCGATTTATCGGAAATTTGGAGAAAATCACACAAAAGTTAATGGGTAATTGGAATGAACAACTCAGAAGAAAGCTGATTATAGTGATTTCAGACCATATGGTAATGGAAAGGAAATGGTGCTAGAGAACACTGACTTTTATGAACGTGGACTCTCAATGCTTCATAAAATATTGAAGCAAATTAATTATCGAGTTAGAAGATTTGTAGTTAGAGTGGTTAGTTTTATATAAATTTGATTTTATCAAACAACTATATGCATATAATTAAAGGATCGATGGAATGTTGATCATATTCCGCTTCATAAATTGGACGGATGCAAATCAATTCACTTGGATTTTTCAAGTATCGATCAATTAAAATCAATATTGAAGGTTGTGTCTGAAGAAACCAAAGATATCACTTTAGTGTAAGTGTTCTATTAATTTTCTTTCGTGAAAAACGATGATATCTTTCTTTAGAAAACAGTGATTTTTCTAAGAGATTATTAAAATTGTTTTTAAAAAATTGAGCATCTTGATTACTTGTGGATCGTGGCCCATTTTTGGAGCGATAATTCAAACTTGAATTTAAATAGTAGAAAATTGACTAGCGTACTGCGGATAACCTGTGAAGCTAACTTATGTAAATCGGCTCGTTTTTTTGCGAATCAAATATTTGTCATAACATCCCGCACTTTTTGGTCCAAGCCAACATGAAAACTGCACATATACAGTACCGTGCAGTAAGATATACAATTTCCCTTTTTTTATCATAACTTTCTGAAAAGTTGACCAACCGATCTGAAATTTTCGGACAACTATAAGCATCGATAGAGGGATTATATAACAAAATTAGAAGGTGTAAAAGACATTAGGAAACATTTTATTGACAAAAAATCAGAAAATCCATTATTGCGAAAAACCGACTTGAATAATTTTGATACCGGTACGACTTGAAACTAAATGGAAAACAACAATTATATGTCAGGAAGCTTTAAAAAACTCAATATCTTGTTGACATACCATTTGCATCGATAACAGCTTGACATCGGCGACCCATGGCCTCGATCAACTTCGGGAGGGTTGAAACTGGTATATCCATCCATGCTCTGCTCAGCTGCTCGCGCATTTCGACACAATTTTGTACAGTTTGACCACCAAGACGTCTACCAAGATCTTCCCACAAATGTTCAATAGGATTCAAGTCAGGTGACTGGCTTGGTTCGTCCATGACGGCCACCGTACGCTGAAATACTCAAAAAAGATCCAGTAACACAATAATTGCGTCTATAGTATCCCAAAATAAATAAATTATGTTTGGGAACACATTATCTGTTTTGTGGAAAAATTTCAGATCGATTTATCAACTTTTCGGAAAGTTATGATTAAAAAAAGCGAAATTGTATATCTTACTGCACGGTACTGTATATTAGCTTATGTTAGGCGCAAAAAATAATTAGGCAATCAATTAATGTTAAATATCGGTTAATGTTAATTTTGTTTTTAAAAACTGAAAACCCTTGTGATTAGAAATTTTTCACTCAGACAAAATTTTTACAATGACTTAGATTTGGCGAGACAGGGGGCGGGGTGAAAATTTTACCGACCCGTCCGACCCCTTAATAAATTTTTAAAGAGAAGTTTATTATAAAAAAAATTAAAAATAAAACAAAAACAGTGAAAGCTGGTTCAATCAATTTTGTTTGGGGCCTTCAGGGCAATTTTTTCCAAGAACAATTAATTTTATTCAAAATAATGCAATTCGAAATTCTTATTACGTTAAACAAAGGCCTCACTGTAATCTTGGAGTGTCGTTGCGGGTCGGCGAGGCGGGGCGGGTCGACCCATGATATAATGAACGTTTAAAAGTTAAAGAAGTTTATCATTGTTTATATCAGAAAAATCAAGGGGCCTAATTATAAGAATATATATATATTAAAGGCGCACACCGCGCACTTTTGACTAAATTCTTTGATATTTAGCCAATTATCCGCAGTCACGCGACGTCGACAATAAATTTTCTTGTTATAAAATTGTGGAAATCTCTAAAAAAAGACAAATTGAATTATTTCACAATTTCAGCGATCGAAATCATTGTGGTCCATCGACAACGGTATTCAAAGCTGAATTTTTCGATTTGCCACTGGTTCGAGAACGTCATTTTAATTTTAGGTTGATTTAGAGATATTTCAGATAAAAAATGCGGAAAAATTGAATTTGAACGTGATGTGTGAGCTGTCGGATGAGCTTTTCCTCAATTTTCCTGTTGCTAATTTTCGAGTGGCCTGCGATACAATAAGTGCACAAACGCTTAACAAATTCCTGATGGTTCGTTTAATGAGAAAATACGGAATAATTTCGTAATGCATATATAATATTCAGAAATGGCAAAACAGTAAGGAACCGCTGAATATCAAGGAATTTGTTATCTGGACAACGAGACTATATGACCGATTAGATGTTTTTCCGGGAATTGTTCACACGTATTTATTTTCATTTTATTTTATTTGTCTTATAAAATACTCTATTCAGAAACATGTTTCACGTTGATCCACTCAGCACGCGGTTGGGATTCTCGTGTCATTTATTAAACATTAACAAACAGACCGGTGTGATAATAAACGACGGAAATAAAATTTATTTCACTACCCCACACCTCGAGACATTGCCCGAAATGTGGTACACATTTAAAGCTTTCCCTTTATTTTAAGCATCTATTTTCGCGTTATTTGCTTCCCTGAAATAAATTACGTTTCTCATAACATTTTACTTTCAATAAAAGACAAATTTCGCTTTGTTTGGTATTTATTGTCTGATCGAAGCAGTGCGAAAATAAATCTCATTTCATTGTTCAAACAAAATTTCTGTTCTACATACTAACCAAGTATGTGGCCAATAATTTTTTGCTCCACTTTTCTTGCTCCCCCCCCCCTGATTTTTGGCACCCACTTTTGTTGCTTTCGGTTTAATAATTTTTTGCTACCATTTTTGTTGCTCCCCTTTTTTAAATGATTTTTTGCTCCCATTTTTAACACCCTTTTTAAAAAGGGTTTTTTTTACTACTTTTAAATTTTTTCCTTGAAATAGGAATTCACAATAGTCATTTTTGTATTTTGAAGGCTTACTCCAACCATTATAAAATTATCACAATTGCTTAATGGAAAATGTTGAATTAGAACAAAATTGGGCAAAATGGCGAAATAGGATATTTGCGAGTTGTAGCGATCCATCCATTGAGGCCACTGTAAAGTTAAACGAAAATCCGTAGTAAGTCAATTAGACAACTTTTAAATGTTTCCTTGAAATATGAATTCAAAATTTTTTAAACGACGAATGAATCAACCAAATTTATATGAAAAACCAACTTTTATTAAACATATTAAAGAAAATAACATTTAAAAAGATGGAGAATAGCTCCTACGTGCTGATCTGTTTCTCTTCACTCTTAAATTGAAGTTTTTATTTTTGTTTGAAATTACTGGTATACTGGCTTCTTTCTGCATAGCTGTCGATTGCAACATCCATTAGAATTTCTTCCGCATCGTGTGCTGTTGAATGTGCGATCGGACGCAGATCGGAATAGCTAGAAAATAATTCCGATCCTTCTAGCGAAACATCTTCACCTCCTAACGTGCTAATCCTTAATAAAAAAATAGTCTGATATTTAATTGGAAAAATTAATTCTTACGTATCAATCATTTGGAAGCGTCTGACATGATTCCGTTTTGAGTTTTCCGCGTTTTTCCGAGGTGCTTTCTTCCAGGGCTGTGCGGCAATGGAATTGCCGATTGCCGAAATTGCCGAAATTGCCGATTTTTCAAATTGCCGAATTGCCGGATTGCCGAAATTTTGATTTTCGGCAATTTGCCGAATTGCCGAAATTTCCGATTGCCGCACAGCCCTGCTTTCTTCCTTCCGCATCCTTTTGGAAGTGACTTTCTCATTACTTGGTTTTGCGTTATAGATTTCGCCCTCGTTTCAAGAATTTCGAGCACTTCCTGTTGCTTCTTCTCGTCAAAGCTCCGCAAAACGATGAATCTGGAAAGCTTAAAATAAGAAAACACTTAATTCTTCGTTGTTTTTAATGTTGTTTTCTATTATTTGTGTGAATTATTCGAGTTATTTATATCAAATTTTACAGATTGAGCAAATCGAGGACTTTACCGGATAAGCAGTGTATAGTAAAACAAAATATTCGATGTTTCCAAAGGTAAATTTCAGTTTAATCTATTAGTATACCCTTTCAAAAAATAATTAAACGTGCGCAATTTTTCTTTTGAAATTTAAAAATTATGTTAAACTGAAATTATTTGCAGGAAGAGAGTCACAAATTATAAGAAGTAAAAACCACGGAGGGCGCGAATAAGAAAAGGAACGGGATTGAATATCGCAATAAGTGAAATTTTATTAATTTATTTATTGCGGAATTTTTTAAAAAGTTCATACCGTCAAGCCTGTTTGAAAACTATATCATTTTCGATTTTTCGAAGCTTTTTATAACTCCTCATCAAATTTCAGGAAAGATGTTATATTCAAAAAATAGAACACCGTTATACTTTGAGAAGTTTTTTGAAGGCTTTTTTTGTTAGAAGTACCATTTTGATACAGATATTACGGTATAAATGGCCTATCGAAATAATTAAACAATTAATTAATTGTTTAAAAAATAATTCAATAATTAATTAATTTTTTTAAAAAAATGTTTTAAATAAATATGTTGCCGAATAGAAACTGTGTTGTTTTCATTAAACTAACGGACACTACTAACAAAGTCAAATCATATATTCTAATTGACTTACTACGGATTTTCGTTTAACTTTACAGTGGCCTCAATGGATGGATCGCTACAACTCGCAAATATCCTATTTCGCCATTTTGCCCAATTTTGTTCTAATTCAACATTTTCCATTAAGCAATTGTGATAATTTTATAATGGTTGGAGTAAGCCTTCAAAATACAAAAATGACTATTGTGAATTCCTATTTCAAGGAAAAAATTTAAAAGTAGTAAAAAAAACCCTTTTTAAAAAGGGTGTTAAAAATGGGAGCAAAAAATCATTTAAAAAAGGGGAGCAACAAAAATGGTAGCAAAAAATCATTTAAAAAAGGGGAGCAACAAAAATGGGAGCAAAAAATTATTAAACCGGAAGCAACAAAAGTGGGTGCCAAAAATCAGGGGGGGAGCAAGAAAAGGGGAGCAAAAAATTATTGGCCCAAGTATGTAGGGTTGTATTGTTGCAAAACTTTGATCATCTCCACTCAGCGAATTTTGGAGCGGATTGTACGGCGCTTTCAGCCTGCCTTCAAGTCTATTAGAAATCACCCCCACTTTTTAACCCCCACCCCTGCTATTCCACTCCGACTTTTTAACCCCTACTTTTATTTATGATACCACCTCCAATTTTTAGGTTTCATCCCTACTTTTTCACTGCACTTCAAAATTTGCAGTTTCTAACAGTAAAGTTTAGCAGTATATTCAAATTATATTTGAAGAAACTATTCGAATAGTATTCGAGGAATTATTCTAATAATTTTTGAATATTTATTCTTATTACTAATACCTTTTGATTTCGAACGCATAATTTAATGCCAAAGCGTCGTTTTTAATGTCACTCGTTATTTTATTTATTTTTAAATTTTACAGTTTTTCAATTTTCTGATTTTTCAAATCTACATTTAAAGTTAAGTGTTCTTACGGTGTACATCTCTAGTTGATCTGATCCGTTTTGAAGACGAGACGAATGGAATGACTGAAGCTCATTGTTAACATCGAACCGTTTTTCTTGATTATTTCGGCGAAGAAGCGTAACGTGCTGTCATGCATCATGGCTCCTTCTTTCAATCTCTTCTTCTTTCAATCTCTCCTTCTTTGCCATTTCCAAATATATGAATTGTAAATTTACGAGAATGACACCTCAATAATATTTTTTTGAATATAAGAACAATGATTAAAAATACCACTTTTCTCAATTGCTCGCAATTTTCTAACATCTCCATCCGTCTTGATAAAATGGATTCGCGCATTTATCGTGGACAGGTTTGGTCGAATTCGTTTTCCCACCTTGTTCGTACCATCAAAAATCCAAAAAATTTCAGTGCTTCTTCAATCTTCCGTCTTTCCACCAAAGTGTTTCCAAATCTGACTATATTTGGGTTCAAAAATTTATCGCTTCAATAGCCTCGTCATTAGGCACCCAGTCAAAAAAAAAATAACAATTGAGTAACTAACTGATAGATCTACTTTTGTCAGCGTTTACATCGTCGCATTCTTCAAGAAACGTCTTCAAATCAATTCTTCATTATCGATAATTTCAAGAATAGCACAAAAAAGATCACTTGCAAAGGTCACCTCGCAATCTATTAGAATAGGACATTTGGGAAGTCGCTGGTTGTTGTAAGTCGAAAACTGGAATTACAATTTAAACTTTATCTAAAGTAAGAGTTAGACAAACAATAACGAATGAAGCACAATTTAATTACCGGATGATAATAACGATAATAGGCTATCCCGAGGAATGGGAAGTGTATGATAAAAATAATAGCATAAGAGCACGGTAGGAAAAATATATATATTTATATAACGAAAACCAATCAAGCTTGTCGGGTTCGGGCCTAAAACAATCCAATTACACAACTTCGTGTATTTGTACGCCAACTCTGGTGTGTGTTTGCATACAAAGTGATTTTCACCGTAACCGCAGGATTTAAATTGCTGAGGTCTTTTATAATTTTTCTAGCTCATCGAAACAACTCCCCCGACAAAAAGAAATTGGGGCAAATGACAGGTTTCTTGCTTGGTGTTGGCGTTGATGTCGTCGATGATGAGACGATATAGCGAATGTGCACAATGACCGTTGACTGGCTGCTGACTGATAACTTGGTTGCTGGATCTTCATTGTGGACTGGGATCAAATGGTACGACGGGTTTCCGAGCTCTTGCACTGCGTCGTAAACTGACTTCTGGAACGTCCTGTTTCCGCTTTAGAATGCTTGCAGGTACGTCCTTGGCAGGATACTCAGGGTTTACCTGGGTGTTCGGTTCAATCTTGGTTTTAACACACACCATACGTTGACTACCTAGCGCGTCACATACATTTGACAAAGACCTACTATTTTTAGGGGGGGGGGGCTATACAAAGGGAAATATTTTGTCTCTGACCATTTGTACGTGTCGATCCTGCTGACTCCTTCACAATTGCTATTGGTATTTGACTGTGACGATGTTTTGAACTTAACCACCGTAACCGCAGGATTTAAATTGCTGATATCTTTCATCATTTTTCTTGTTCCTCGCAACACTGATATTGCGCCACAACATATTATAGTTGAGAACTTTATCGTCCATGGTACCTTTAAACTTACACAAAATTTAAAATTTCGAAAGAAAGGTGAAAAATATTAAAATTATTTTTAAATAATTACCATTTCTGTTATAGTCTGACTGTATCATTTTCTTGTTAAGACCGATTAACATCTTGTATTTCGCGCCGTCTTTGAAAATCTGGGTCTAATCCAGATTCAAAGTTCTCGAATGAACAACATTTCGTGTTTCAAGAACGGGATATTCAATCAGAAGCTCTTCATCTCTGCCATTAGGCTGCTAGAGCCTTTTGTCATCACAGTAATCCGGCCCTTCGCAAGGGCAACATCTCTAGCACCGTTAACCGTATAAACTCTCGGTAAATAACAAACAAAAACACCAACCTTGCGTCTTTCAAAAAGAACCGTGCCGAAAGCCCAAAAACTGAGCTCAAAAAAATCCTCCAAAAAAATAAAAAATGTCGCCGCTCGACTACTGTGGCTTTTCGCAGCGAGATATCTTAGCGGTCTCACTCTATCCACCTTTAGCCTGTAAAATAAAAACTGAAAAAATTAAAATAATAGACCTAATCAAAAATAAAAAAAATATTTAAAAAAAATAGTAATTCATTTCGCACAGAATACAATAAATTTGAAATCAAATACGACAAATTTCGGTTTCGAAATTGACCTGATTAGGTTCAAAATTTATCATATTAGGTTGTGAAATTATCGTATTCAATTTGTTTTTGGAATTCGTTTCGAATTCTCTAGTATTCGATAGTTTTACACCGTCAAATGATAATAAAAATGAAATGAACAAACCATGAACATCTGTAAAAAGTAGATAAATATTAGCAATTGTTTGTTTTCAAGCTTTTTTTCTTCTACAGCACAGTTTTTGCATATTTCGACTTTACAAATTTTCTGTTTTTTCTTCTCCATTGTTTGATTTCATTTTCCCTCGATAGCACATCGCATTCGAAATATCGTTCAACAGCTGCAGTGTGTTTTCACCATAAAAGTTTTCTTACAAGGGAGGTCATTTTGCTGTCCGTCTTAAAATTTTTTTATTTTTTGCATACAGATTCTTTAGAAAATTTCCAATCGAATGAACTAGGTCTCTACCTGCGCAAACTTCTAGTTATCGAGATATGGACCTTCAAAGTTTTAGCCCCTCCCCACGTGAATTTTGCACACAAATGTGCGGAAACTCGAAATGAAATAACGTGATGTCTTATCTCGCGCTTTTATCCTGATTCAGCAAGCAGTTGTGGTTCAGTGGTGTGTATATAGGTTATGTTGTCATGAATGGAGTTGCGGATTCGGTCCCGCTATCTGTAAACTTTTTTGCGTATTTTTTTATTGGTGATACAGTAATTATGACAGTGCAATTTTGCGTTTTTCTATTCAAATTTGCCATTTTCATCATATTGAAATGGTATGTATAAGAAAAAAATAGTTTCAAAAAAATTTTTAAAAATTGAAAAATTTTTTATAAGTTATATGGTTGTTGATCATGAAATGCTTGGAGCAGTGGATGTCACAATAGAAGGCTTCAATAAAAGATTTTTACTAGCTGTCTAACTGTACTGGAGCCATTTTGAATCTTTTTTTCTAGGTGACATATTTGACCGTATTCTGTCATAACAAAGGATTTGATGAGAAGGTTTCCCCAAGAACAGTAGATAGCGGGACCGAATCCGCAACTCCATTCATGACAACATAACCTATATACACACCACTGAACCACAACTGCTTGCTGAATCAGTATAAAAGCGCGAGATAAGACATCACGTTATTTCATTTCGAGTTTCCGCACATTTGTGTGCAAAATTCACGTGGGGAGGGGCTAAAACTTTGAAGGTCCATATCTCGATAACTAGAAGTTTGCGCAGGTAGAGACCTAGTTCATTCGATTGGAAATTTTCTAAAGAATCTGTATGCAAAAAATAAAAAAATTTTAAGACGGACAGCAAAATGACCTCCCTTGTTAGTATATTTACCTGATTTCGAGTTCGTGAACATATTTATGAACTCAAGTCTTATCAGAAGTTGATTGGATAAAGAAGATAAATCATTTTCCACTGGTTCTGAAAGTGATAAAAATTTTCTCACAAACGTTGTTGTCAGCTATGGTAACACAAACTGTCATTATAAACTACATCACCGGTAGAGAATTCAAATTCTTCATCATCAGACATATCTAGAGCCAATCCATGCTACATCAATTCTCGATTTAATTTTGTCCAATATCTTTAAAATACATTTTTCAATCACGTTTTCGTCTTCGTTTGCGTACAAACTTAAAGCTTCGTGCTTCTAATAATTTATTTTAGACTGAAGACCCATGACAAACGAAATGAAACGTTTTCCGAGAAGGCGACTGAAATGAGATTTATTAGTGGCATAATACTGTACGATGTAAATAGTAAAGTTTAACGGAACAAATTTCATGTAGTCTCAGCATATAACTAATAATTGCGGTACGAAAAATTTTGAAAGCACAGGGAGTTCGGAAATAAGAAGAAGGCACAAATTTTCGTGGTTTCAAGAATCTCCGTTAACGGGATATTCAGTCAGAAGCTCTTCATCCATTAGGTAGCTAGGGTCTTCTGTCATCACAGTAATCCGGCCCTTGCAAGACCAACACCCCCATTACTACACCCTTCTCGGCCGCTCCGCAAACCTTTAAAACCCAATATATAACAAACCCCCCACCTTGCGACTTCATGATATATCCACGCATACACTGCAAGCTCAAACACAAGAATGGTGCATAACGACAAAAAGAATGAAGCCAAAAAATGCAAGACTGACTTCCAAACTCGTCCTCAACAGCTCGCTAATGATACTGCTAGACTACGGTCGATTTTCGCGGCGAGATATCCTAGTAGCCTCACTATATCCACTTTTAGCCCCTTAATTCTGCGTCTCTCAATCGAGATGCAAAATTAATTTCAAAACTGTCAGCGACAACCTACTAACCGAAATTAAAAAATTATTGACAATGTACCAATATGTCTCGAGGCAGCGAGGAGTCGGCGATACTGTGTACATTGCATTACAGTGTATTGTTGAGAAATGACAAATGTATCCAGGTGTCGTGGGATCCTGCGTTTTGTACGCAATGCGATGAGCCAGTTACCGTTAAAAGTTTTTTTTATTTTCTTTCACTTTTTTTGCTGTATTTTCTTATTTTCTTTGGAAATCTTTTATTTAAAACCTGTAGAAACCGAGTTTAATTATTTATTTTTCAGAATATGCACTTTTCCATTTGTCCAGTTGAGTTGGGAATTTTCGTGAAGATTTTGTCGCTCTAAAAATTATTTTGAAAATGAAGAATACAAAAACAAGATAATAGAAACGCGTACGAAAAGCAAAACACGAATAAATAATTTTATTAACGACAAAAATATTTTCTTTTATATCTCTGTTGTTTTTACCAAAAAATATCGTTTAAAAGTGCTTCTTTTGCTAAATAAATTATTAAACTCGGTTTCTGCAAAATTTAAGTAACAAAATTTCGAAGGGAAATACGAAAATTGATCGAAAAATTAAAAAAAAATATATGCGAAATTTTAAAAAAAGTCCCCGTAAATCGCTGCGAGGGTAACTGTCTTTACGGTAACTGTCTCTTAGTATTGCGTACAAAACGCAGTATCCTACGACACCTGGATACATTTGTCATTTTTCAACAATACGCTCATTTCATTTTCAGTTAACAAAACATTTAAATCTATAATAATTTCGCAAGTTTGAAGCCGCTTCTTCTCTTCAGTCTTTCACGCCGATAATTTCGTTAAAAAATGTGTGCACGATATGAGAATTCATTTAAAAAAACCATATTTTGTAAAATTCATTTCTTTAATCATCGATTTTTATTAAATTCAAGAATGAAATAGAAATTCATTTAATTCATATAAATATTATGAAGTAAGCCACCGATTAGCATTTCATTTGTATCCATTAAATTGTTGTACAAAAAAAAACATAATAATTGTGTGTGGGTGAGTTTTGTTTTTTTTTTAAACATTTCCACTTTTTTGTTTTATTTAAACGGTGCTAATGACGTTTTTGTATGAGTTTCCGGAATAATAGGATTGGCGTGGTCCATGGAAGATCACATTCGTCTCTTTCCAGCCTCTACGCGAGCCCTGAATTTGATCGTTCAATTGCTGACATTTTTCTGCTCATACATTCACAACAAGGATTCCGGAATCGGTGAGATGGCTGCGAATAGAGTCAAGATGAATATCCTCTGGAATCGAGTATTTTCTCGAAAAACTTCGGCGAAGTGTTTGACCGTCTCCAGCATATTCAAAACGTTCGCCGGTAATGCTTAGGAGATCGTCGGTTAGCACTACCTATAAACACGACGGTCTAGAATAATTCTGACGACACTATAAGTATGCCTTAATCTCTTCCGGTCTAAAGCGAAACACGTCGAGCTCGATGGTGAAGCCATGCTCCGTGTTGATTATTTCACCAGCACCGGCAACTGGCCCCGGTGAGCCCGGACGATTCAGAGACTGAAACGATTATTGAATATCATACGTATGAAACATTTCAATGAGTTCCAACTTACGCTAATAGAACGCTCAAACGGCGAAACAGGTTTTGGCTGAATATATTCGTTGCGCTGAAAATGTTTTTATTTAATTGTCTCATCCAGATATGACTATTGCTTACCCTTGAATAGCTATTATACTCCCTCGGTGGCTCATTTTGATAGACAGACGGAATTCGACGACTCCTGCAAATCGAACATATTGATGAATCGAGAGTTATATTCGGATGAATTCATTTCAATCGAAATGTATTTCGGGTCATTCGCTATTCTCTCACAAATTGTACGCTCGTTTTCTAAACTAGGTTGACTCGTACGCGAAAGTAGTTTCGCACGATTTTGGCGGATATCCGTATGCCATATTAATGTGCGAAGTCGATGGGAAAACAGTGATCACTTGATCGGGTCGATCGGAGAATATCTCGGCTGCCGATGGTTTTTCCGACCACACCGATCCTTCGAGATAACTATCGAGATCGTCCTCGTTGAATTCGCGAAAAACCATTCAATCGTTCGCTGACAATATGTAAATTCAATGTCTTGCAAATGTCGAAAAAAGATTATTTTGAAGGCGTCGTTTCAGCAGCAGAGAAATCGCAGAAAACCATTCAGACAATTTTCTCAAATCAATTTTGTTTTAATAACTAGAAAAGTGGAATTAATTAAAAGATTTGAAGGCCATTTTCGGAATAGAACAGAGAATCGGCCGATTGAGAAAAAAAAAGTTGAGGCAAGGAATGATGAAGCTTTCCTCAAACGTTTTGGTTTTTGATGTTTAGTGAAATTGGAAAGAAAAATTAAAATTTCAAGTTATTCTCATAGTCAAAAAGAAAAAAAAAAGATTCTACTATTCGCAAATAAAATTATTTCAAGTATTTCAGTATTTCATTTCGAAAAAAAAGATGACGATAACATTTTTATCGAAATTTTTCTTCGAAAAATTAAATCAATATTTGTCAGCTATAAGGAAGATACACATATAAAAAAGGTGAGGCGAAACATAAATATTTGTATGGAATCAAGAAGAACAAGAGAAAAAGTTGATGATAAGCGTTTATGACGAAGAGCAGAACAATGTGGAAAACGAATTGCCACCTAAAAAGGAAATGGACGAGAAAAAAAATGTGAAAAGAGCGAACTCTTTTTTTTCGTTTTTGGTTTTCGTTTCTATGGAAATGAAAAGAAAACGACAAACATTTATTTAATAAAACAATTGAAGACAGATTGGAAAAGGATTCTCGGATTGAGGTATTGAATTTCAATTGAAATCGAAACCTCCAAAATATGCATTTTATGGCGAATTGTGCTTAAAAACTGATTTCAAAAAATCGCGCGTCTGAATCAAACAGCATTTTGTGCGTGATCGCCGCGCGATTTTTCAAGTGGAAGAAATTTGCGCGAAAATAGCGCGGAATCAGAAAAAACGCAGACCGACCGGCAACTAGATCCGACAAGCCGATACGTTCGAAACATTTATTTTATGCTAAATACATATACGAGAATAAATGAGTTTTGATTTCAATACGACTTTTATATCGATGAACATGATCCACACAAGACTATTATTAATTGACGAGTTTTTAAAATTTTGAAAGATGGATCTGAAAATTGGATTAATCTCTCCATTCAGGGCCAAAAACTTCTAGGAAGCTCCTAGAATTTTTGATGAAAATAAAAAAATTTCGGTATTTTTTAAACGGCGTTATATTTCAAATAGAGTATTGTCGTGTACGGACGAATTGACGAAGAAGGGGAATGTGATGCTTATTATAATATTAAAACCATAGTTTTGGTATCATTTTCTATGTGGTGTAGGGTGGAATGGACTACAATCTTCATCAAAAATATTATTATTTTGAACAATATCTAACAGTTTTTGACTGGGTTTGAGCATTCAAAATTTGACAAATTCGGAAATCTCCGACCATTGTAAATTGTTTAAGGCAGAAAAAAACATTTTGAACACAATTTTTATACCCCCATTGAGAGAAAATGTTTTATACAACATTTTTCGACAGCATAATGACGAACGATTTTGAAAACAAATTGCTTCGACACGTTCGAATCTGCTTTTCGATTTTGGACGAAATGAAAAATGCATTGTTAAATTGAAATTTGAACCGATATCGTCTTCAATTTTTGACCAACAATGAAGAATAGTACAAAAGGTTGGGAGGAAAGAAAAAAACGCGTTGTGGAATTCGATGTTTGCGCAAAAGTTTTTCTTGTTTTTTTTCTTCCGGAAGCATTATTATAGGAAGTTTAGACGCGACGAACCGCACTTATGCATGTATGAATCTATGTAGATGTACATGATATTCTGGGCGTCAAGGTTGTTTCCCTCACTCAACCAAATTTGCCCGAAAATGGCCGCTATTTTCAGGGGGTGGGGGGCCGACATTCGCCACTCACCCAGCGGGAATCGAAAAGTAGTCGGTGTGCAGCGGCTGCTGATGCTGACGGGATTGTTCGTCGAGGTAATGGTGAGAGGCCTGCAACATTCGACACAATTATTCGAAACTAATCATGTTTCGATTCGATCTTTCCATTGTTTGAGTTCGACTTTTACTTTATTTATTTTGTTCGATTTGCCGAGTGAACACTGATTAACAGCGAGACGAAAAAATAGAAGATGATGAGAAGAATTCTAAACATTTTCGAGACCCACCCATTTATATAAATTACGCGGGTAGATTTACGCGCATGCGCCTTGAAAAGGTCTCGCCACGCGTGAATGCTTATTTTGCTGTTTTCACGTGAACTTCATTTTTCTTGATGATTTTTGCATTTTCTTGAATTTCCAACGATATTCGGTTAAAAAATTATCGAACCGGTCCATAAAATTTGAAATAACCTGTTAGTCCTTGCGAGACCAAGAGAAATACGCGTTCCCGTAAATCTACCCCGCGTGTAGCAGTCGCCGGACGCCGACTATAAAAGATATTGAAATCAAAGTCAAGCAAATCCAAACGAACAATTTTGTGAAATTTTTAAGAAAAATATGATATAACAGACAACTAACTATTTTGAAATCCATTGTTCATTGAATTTTTTATTGTTTTTTTTTCTACTTTAAAATCTTGAATAACTGGCAGCGAAAATTGAATTCCAAAAAATTGTATTGGGAAAAAAAAACAATTCAAATCTGAAATTTCGGATCCAAATATTTGTGGATTTCTTTTTTGAAATATCTGCCGAAAACGATATCGATGGGAATTTTGCAAACAATTTGTGTGCAATCCTCGACAAAAAAATTCACCGCTGAAAATTCCTCAAAAAAATTCCCACTTTTTGTTTTTACTTCTTTAGCGCTCGTATTTTCAATAAAACTTACAATGTTAATGTAGAATTTAACCATTTGATCGAGTTCAAAACGAAAAATCTTTCAATTAACAAGAAAACTTTGAAAAAACATTTTTTTTCGGCCGGAAGTTTTTATTTCCTTCATCGCCTGACGTCTTTTCGAAAAAAAAACGAGCAAGACTAACAGCTGTTTATCAATCGAGAAAGAAAAAAACTGCTGACAAACCTTGCTCAAACACGCCTCATAAAGGCAAATCATTGGCGAATAAGCGGCAGGCGAAAAAAATGCACAGAAAACGAGCAAAAACCCTAACGAAAAACGAGGCAATTCGATTTCTTTTTCGGACGTCTTCTCGGTTTGCAGCGAAAAAGAAAACAGGAAGCAGAAAAAGGGCACGCAATGATTGGAAAATGAGATGCCAAGAGAGAAATCAACAAATATCAACTTGAATCGAACAATGTTGGAAGAAAAAAAAGAAGAAGCGACATACCCGCGATGAAGTCGTCGATCGGTAGCGTTGAGGTGTCGACTCGTAGTACGACGCCATCGAATTCCTGATAGATGGCACATTTTTCGTGTACAACGGCATTTTTCGGCGCAAAAACGACGAATTGTGATAATGGAAGGGAGGAGGAACTGATATCAATTTGGGTTTGTGAAGAGTGGTGGCGGAAGAAATGGAATTGAACCAATATTATCAAATTTGCCGAAACAATAATTTGGCATAATGTTGATTGGAAAACATCGTTAAAAGCTAATGAAGGGAATGGCGCGAGAAAACACCCATTAATGGTGTTCTGAATTGAACATTTATGTAATCGCTTTTTACTTTTGTGTCGTTTTTACTAGCATTGATAAAATCGTTTCTCAACTCTTCAAAATTGCAAAAAAAAAACACATTCATTTTGATCTTTACACGATTTTATTGCAATTTTTCGCAAATGAAATTCGCGCGTTTTAAATTTGAGACGAAAAAAAAATGTGTTGATTGCCAGTTGAATTTTTCTCTGAAATTCTCTGGAAAAACTAGAATGTTGTGAAATTTCGAGTAATGGACCACTTATTTTTATTTTTTATTAAAACATTGAAGGAAATGTTGCAACAAAAAATTGGAAGGACAAAAAAAAGACTGAAAATCGGCCGCGATGGTATGCAAATGAATCACTGTGCAAACATCTATGTGAACAGCACGAAAAACTGACCTTTTTGGTGAATATTCACATTTTTTTGATTGATTAGAAGCTTCGAAATAACATGAAAGTTTTTTTCTCAACTTGTCAAACAGGCGGGTTTTCCCAGTGACTGTGCGCAGTCGAGAGAGATGACACAACGCAAACAATGAAACATATGTCTAGCCTTGGTTTTCGTCTTTTTCGTCTTTTTTTGAAATTCCCGCCGGGTTTTCGAAATGCGATTATAATCTACTGTTGGTGTCTATGGAATACTTCAACCGCGAATAAGTACCATGGAAGCTTGTCACGACGAAATAACAACCGAACGATTCTCGCGACCTCTTCTGTATTTGAATGAAATTCAACCTTTTTCGCAGCATTGTTTGTTTTTCACGTGAGAATGCTTGATTTTGTTGTCTTTCAAATTTCTAATGCAAATTCGAGCAAAAAACTGTTCCAAATGATTTATATGAATATACGGTAGAGTAGAAATTAGCTGCCATTTTTTTTTTTTGAAAAAGAGAGAGAGAGAGAGAGAAAAATACTGTTGTAATTCTGAACTGACATTCATCAAAATTATGTGATTTATGTGACGTTTTCGGATGATTCGTATGGATCAAACAAAACGGTGTAAATTTACTACGGAACGAGTTTCGTGAAGAGTCGAAAAGAACTGTGTCATTCGACAAAATGGGTGTTGGACGGCGATATTTCAGAATCTTTATGGGTGAGAAATGACCGACGGAATAGTTTATTATTGGTTTGTCTCGAAACGAAAAAGAACGCCGCTTTGAGAATTGTACCATTAAAAAAATCGAAGAATTGAAAATTCAAAATGATTCGAGCCCTGGAATGACAAAAGCGTCATGATTTTGCGAATTTAGAAGAATGCCGAAAAAAGCAATAAAACAATAAATTTTGAAAAATTCGAAAAACTTTTTTCTTTTAAAATCTTAACCACCTACAATGAAAGATGATTTCACACAGCAAAAACTTTAAAAAACAATCCCATCTTGCAAAAATAACCATTTTCAAATAATATTTATGTTATTGAAATATGTTGTCTCGCATAGCAATTGCAAAAAATTTGTAATCGCTTAAACCATATTTGATAAAACGGAAGCTTCGGAATAGAATAGTAAAGCATTGTAAAAAAAAAAGCCGCAACGAAGCAACCGAACTGATAAGGGGAAGAAACGCGGGAAAATTTCGACGAGCGACACCCATCTCCTCGCCGCCACCATTTTAGTCATTTTATTGCGCTTCGATTGTGTCGACAAAAATGATAGGGGAAAAAACGCGCAAGATGATGATTAATATGTGTGTGTATGTGTTATATTATGCATTTTTTCGTATTTGCGGGCGTGTGCCCACAAAACAATGCCAATAATGCAACAAAGATGGGAGAAAAAAAAGAACAAAACATTCGTATTATGGCATTTTTGTACAATATTTTTCGTATCGTGTGAAAACATTTCTTTTTAGAAACAAAATGTGTATAGCTTGCAATGTGAAGGAAAAACCGCTACCAGAAATTGTATTATACTTCTCGTTGATTAATCCTTGAAAGAAGATCTTGCTTTTCGATAGACGAAAATGATTGCACGATCATGGCGCAAAAGGCGTTTATAACAAAATACCGCCCCTGAATTCGTCCGTCTTCTACAATATCTGTTCTGTTTCTCTAGTAACCTATCGGTCCGACACCTCAAACATAAATCAAGAGGCGTCGTATTCAGCTAGATAGAACATCACGTAAATTATTTTCTTATAAATTTATTTAATCACGATCTCATACGGTATACAGAAGAAACTGACAATTTTCTATCATACAAAGTCTAAACATGAAGGCACTGGTCGAATAAAAACGTGGCAGGTTGTATGTGCGGAGGTATTTCAAATTTCTCGTGTCTTGCTTTTGGCATCTCATTTTTGTCAACCTCAAACAGGGTTGCCGAGAAAAAAGAAATACATACAGGAATAATCAGCAATGCAAAACCCGGTTGAATAAAATCTGAGTTAGAATTTCAATCGATTCTCCTAAATTATTCGTGTTCGAAATTTGATTTCTTTTGTGAGTTCTGATCAGCAATGAGGTGTCCCTGACGGCAGAGTTGCTCGAGTCGCAGAATGCCAGCCGTACGATCGAATTCTTGTTCGATTTGCCACTGTTGAAGCATTAGATTCGCATAAAGAGGCTCAACGAAATATCTGAAAAAATAAATAAATCAGTACTTTGCAAAATTCGAAATCGGCATTGATGATTTCTCTAAGTTACCTTTCTAAATGAGATGTATGCGGAGTAGGGTAGATAAGACGGAAGCCTCCAGATCTTTTGAGCTCATCCTCAAACTCGACAAGCATTCTGGTATCTTCAGGTGTCAGCCGTCGAAGAATCCTCGAGTCAACCTTCCGTTGCTCACGATACGCCGCCACCCAAGACGCTTCTTTTATTATCTGTTCACGAGATTTAGGTCCATTCCGCGGCCTTGTAATATAATGCTCTGGATGATCAAAGTCTTCTTTAGGTACGTAGATTCCAGCAAGGTTGAGAACATCTTTTGCGAGTGGGGCTTTCACAGCAACATCGAGTGGAGTTCCCGAATGCAGAGATGGCGAAATGTTGACTTCAAGAAGCCATGGCTTGAGATCCTCGTCGAGCAAGATGTCGATTCCAAAAAGTTCGTAGCAAATGAATCTTCAAACTTTTCTCTCAAATCGTTATAAATATTAGACAGTTACCCGTGGTCCAAAAATTTTCCCATATGGTCCCGAATAGGCTTTTCCGTGGCAATAAATGACTTCACAATCACATCTTCGATTTGTTTCCTAACAACATCTGATGGGACATTACGCTCTTCAAGCCATTCCCAAAGGTGTGTTAATGTCCATTTCGGAACTGGTTTATTAGCAACACCGTCCTTTTCAGCAAGCTTATTGATACTGAAAAAAACACCGAATTATTTTATAAAAGGAATCATATAGTTACCTATAATTAGTCAGGTGCATATATTTGTTAGAAATTGATGAAATACTCGAAGAGTATGGTACACTGGCAAAACGGACCAATCCTTGATCGTAAATATAAACTCGCAACGGTTCGAGACTCGGAATACATGCATAGAGGCGCAGATCGAATTTCGCTTTGTTGATTGTTAACGGCCGATCAACGTAGCTGCAACGGAATTCAGTTTCGTTGGAATGAGTGAATGATGTTATTACTGTTGGGCAACAAGCGAAGTATTCACAGGAATCTCCTTTTCTTTGCGTGTCACTTGAATTCCCGTTCCTCTAGCTGACGCTGGCTATAAATTTTTCATGACCTCCTTGAACTTTTCAACTTCTAAATTACTGGCTTAATGATAACATGTCGATGTGGCTCATCATCCAAATATTCCAACAACTCTTCCCTGTCTTGCGGCAAAATATACGTAAATGGCATGATGTTGAATTCAGGTCCAAACCTAAACAAGCCACTCGATCTTCTTCTTTTTTTTTCAATTTCCGTTTTTGCTACTGCTATTTGTTACCTCTCCTGCATTTTTCGGATATGCATCCACAATCGATCTTTTCGGCCGATATGAAACGCCCCAGGGAAATGATTGACTTTGTGATACGGGCTCAGATTGCGGTATTGCAGAGATTTGAGATGTCGGCCCCAATAGCCGACATAGAAAAAAGTCTCATCAACAATCTGAAATAATTCAAAATTGTCGAAGGAGTGATATCATTTTTTAACCGTAAAATGACTAGTGGCAAGTGTATGTCTCATCACAATCGGAAGAAGGCTATTGTGACACCAGGTTAGGCGATTTGTGATTTTTCGGGATGGTTTCGTCACCTGAAAATGAGATAAAAATAACGAAGCAATCAGTTGCAATGCTTTTTTTTCACGAAACAAATTTTGCAAAAATCCATAAATGAGAAAATCATCGAAATCCTTATTGAAATAGTCATTCTCACCTTGGTTCCTTTCGTGTAAAACCTGATTGTCGGCGGAACACCGGTGAACTGACTGGCCCTCAGAAACGGTTGAGCTGTTGTCGGCGTCGACGACGACGACGACGTCTTTCTTTTTCCATTGCAAAGAACGGCGTTCGACGACGTCGGACAATCGACTTCCTCTTCTTCATCTTCCCCATTGAGCCGTTTAGACGAGGTGAGACACGACGTGACAAGCTCACTCAGACCACACATCCCGTGCTTGTCATCTGCAATAATAGCACTTATATGTTGTATATGTGCGTATTTTCAAGTGTGCCAATAACTATACTAATATCTGCAAAGGCTGAGGGAGAAACGCCCTCCTGCATAGTTTATATTTCTTTTTGTCCAACTTTTTTTACGAGCAAGAATATAAAAACCCGATCTGAGAACTTTTTCCTCATTTTGCCCCCGGGGTATCAGGGAGTGAGGGAAGGGGGCGGGGCGGGTTACGTAAGCGAAGAAGAGGTCTGGAATAAAATGAGGAAAAACTGCAAAAAATTGGAAAGAATAGGCGAGTTGGTGCAGAAAACGGAGAGAAAACGAAAAAAAGGATTACTAACAGAAGGGATTATAAAGCAATGGAACACGACAAGTGGAGAGCGAACTGACAGATCTTTAAAGGAGTCTTCGTCAATGTTTTTTCTCCTCGTTTTTGACAAATGATCGTGGTGATAAATGAAGCGAACATCATTTAAAAAAAACGACGACGTTTTGGCTGCAGTCAGTCAGTTTGTCCAGCAAAACACGCTGCGTTCAAATATTTCTTGATATATATCATTTATCTCGGAGAAGGGGTTTTGTGTTCGAAATCAACAAACATATATTATCACGAAAGACTTTGCAAAAAATGAATAGGGAAACGTAAGGGTTTCAATACAAAAACGCATTTCTCAATTAAATTAAATTTATTTTAAAAATCAAACTAGGGCGTTTAAGATTCCAGAAATTCTTTTTTAAACCACGGTGTTAGCTAGTTCTCCAGTACCACCGCGAGATGAGGTTTTACATTTTTTTTTTGAAATGAAGTAAATCTTTCGGAAAACCATGTTTATTGCTCAAAAATAGCACAAGATGGTCGGCGCCTATTTAATATTCTCAAGTGCTTGCTTCAGCTTGTTATTGTGCATTCATTGGTATAATTAACCATACCATGTAATATTTTTAATTCAAATAACAACGACAAATACAAATAGAATGGTCAAACATCAAGAAAGGTCAGGGGAATTGAGAACGATACCAAACCTACACTATTCTCAATCAAAATCGGCCGCAAAAAAACTAATTTTGTTCAGGTAAGTCGGCTCAAAAAAATGAGCCGCGAGTGTAAAGTATCAATCCGTTTAAACAAACAATCATACTACTAGACAAGTAATTGGAATACGCTTTTCTCGCTCGTTCTGTGTTATCGGCGTAGCATTCAGCTGGATTGTGTGTTCCAAAAAAACAACAACTTTTTTTTCGTGCTTCGTATAAAAAACACTATATATTTTTCGAATGAAAGTCACAAAAAAGAAAACGATGGAAAATGTGAAATCGATTCATGTTCAGTGGACAACGAAGGACGTTAATTCTAGGTTTCGTCGAATGCCTCAAAATGAATAAAAATGTTTAGTTAAAAGTGAAAAACTAAGCTTCTTACGTTTGAAGTAAAACGAATATTTTCTTCTCTATTTTGATCACATTTTCCAATTATTTTCACCGTATGGTACTGTTCCGAAGGCGGAAACAAAAAACAAGTTTCTACCGATTAAAAAAAGTTTTTCTCCAAAATAGTGTCAGCATATTTTCAATGCACATTTGTCAAAGTTCTCAAAGAAATTTTTTAACGTGAACTTCATAGATTTTTTTTTGAAGAAACCTTTCAGAGAGACTAGAGATATTTTGCAACTTGAATTTATTTTTGCAAAAAACATAAATTATATCCACTTGGTCTTTATTGGGCTTGAAATATGGATTCGGTTGGTAACGTCAAATAAATATAAAAAGAGAAAAGTGATATGTTCTGGAATTTCACCAAAACGAAACAAATGAAACCTTCAAAGAAATTTTTAACAACGACGAAAAACTTTGAAAGTATAAAGATCATAGAGATAACCGAGAGAAGTGAGATATGATATGTGGAACCGTTGTGATCGCGACAAATGTCACACGAGATGGATGGGCTCGGCCAAAAAGCTGAATAACCTACGTGATGTGCCACATTTGTGTGCAGTTTGGCGAAAAAAAGAAAAGAAATTGAGCTGCTTTTACTATACTAGGCATAGTCTATCAAATTATTCTCATGTGCACTTAAAATGGTGATGGGGGAAAAAAACGAACTAGTCGAGCAAAAAGAAGTACAACGACGATTATTTCGTCTTTTGTTGTTGACGAAAATAACTCGAAAATTTGCTTTTTTTATTTGAAAAAATACAACAACAGCCTCGCGTTGAATAGAGCACAATTTCGTCGACTTTTTCTTAGCAAAAAAAATACGTACTGAATACGTTTTCGAGGCCGAAAAGAGCACAATGAATGCGAGAATAAGATGGATGAGCCCAGTTTGACGCTGACCAAAAAAAAACGCCGAATTGTCGCCCCTTATCATTCGTCGGAATCGGAACGTGTTCAAAGCTAATTCCACAAGCATTAAGTAGGTTTTCTTTCTAAACCGTCCATAAATTTTGTGAGGGTTTTGATTTTCCTCTTGCAGAAACAAAATTTTCGACGAAAAAAATTGGATATCTCGAAATTTCTAAAAAAAAAGCAATGTATCTCACTACATTTTTCGGTCTTTAAGGAGACAAAACCATCTAATTCTTCATTTTTTCCTACCAATTTTGAATTATTATTATTTCAAAACTATTTTTATTTTGTGAAGCTTTTGCGAGACCTTGATCTTGTTTGGAGAATTTCTCTCAAGAACATAATACACAGAAACAAAGTAGTATATATATTTCATAAAAATATACATGAAAAGAAAATGGCTTTTCAAAAAGACGAGTTTTCGAAAAAAAAAAAGAAAAGCGAATTCCTGTTTTCGGCCAGAATCTCTAATTTTGTGCCTCCTTTCCTAAACTGAGAAACAGCCGGTTTTTCAATCTGCACGTTTGAATTCTCTAGTCATTTAACCAGCAAAAACTGAAAATAAAAACCAGAAAAAAAAAAACGGAAAAAAACGGACTAAATTGGTGGTGGGCAAATTTCACGAAGAGAAACCGACAATTTTACGACTTCAAAGGTCAAAAACCTTGCTTAAAATTGGTTAAAACATTCATGTTAGCGAAACAAAAAATGGGGAAAACTCTCTAATTAACGAAAAATGCTCAAAAATTAAAACGAAATAGATTCAAATTGGCATTTGCAAATATTTTTCAAAATCGTCAAAAAATCAACCGGGTAAGGAAAAAAAAAGAAGATTGGTGTGAATTTGATATATAAATCCATCAGGCTGAACGAACGCAGCTGTTTTTCCATTTCCTGTAGATTTTGAAGGGATATATGAAGCATGCGTCCGCTTAAATTTCTGTCTCCACAAACAATGCAAGCTCTTTACGACAGCGATTCAGGTGGTTCAAAGGAGAAGAGACGAGAACGAACCTCGTAAACGCAAGTAAAAACGCGGAATAAATGAGCGAAACGCGGGACGCGAATTAAACCTGATTAATCGCAGCCTCCGTGGCTCCAACTATTCCTAATACGACCACTACTACTTCTAGGAAGCGTTTTTTTTTCTCGTAGCGAGCATAATTCAATAAACAACTCGAGAAAGGGCACTGACTTATATGTGTCGTGCGGCAACTATTTCATGGCTTTATGGGCATAGGAGGGTCTTCCGTCGAGAATTTCCCACAAAAACCAAACAATGTCCCAGGAGTGTCTTTTCTTCCGAATATCAAAGATAAAATTTCGGAGTTTAGTGCAACTTGTGAGCAAAAACAAGGCATACACGCGACTATTTCAATCAGATTTTTTGGATGACAACATGTGCGTTTTTGAACGAACGAATAAAACAAATCCAATTGGTTCCAAGTCGATGTTGGCCCAATTCGGCCTAATTAGTACTTAATTTTTCCCTAATCGTTGAATTCTATAATGAATTCATTTCGATATATTTTAAACATAAACATTTATACATTTTAAACTATTAATTTTGTTCATACCTAGATAGGAAAATCAACAACGAACTAACACAATTTCCAACATATTCAATATTTCAAAGTAAACCGTTTTGAAACCAGAATTCCAAATACAGGAATTTGTCGAAAATTAGAATTATTTTGTTCACCAATTCACGTGAAAATAACGAAAAAAGTTGAGAGCGTGGGGAGACCATTGCAAAGGACATCCGTAAACCTACCAGCATTCATTAGTAGCAATACACACACAATTGTCAACATAAAATTTATTTGAATGAATCTTTGATTCATAAGATAATACAATTCACATACCTGCTTCATTTGATGCTGTAACAGCTTCTTCCACATCCGATGTTTCTTCTGCTTCGACTTCGTCGCTAACCACTGACTTTTTGTGTGCTTTTCGCGATTTGTTTTTCGATTTTTTCCGCGTAGCTGGAAATGTTTTCCATTATTAAACACGTTATGAAACAACTATTCGCAAAAAATTTGCTATTATTCCAATAAAGTTTAGAAAATTTATTAATTTTTAAAGAACTAAAATATAAATCATCAAGGATTCTTTTTAGTTTAAAATATTTCAAATTTGTCGTTTTTCTTTTTATGTTTAATTATGAAGGGCTTGAAAAACAAATAAATTCGCAATGTTTTATATTTTAACATTTTCTTAAGTCACCAAATTGAAATTATAGAATTTTTTTTTACAAAAATGGCTCGTATTTTTCATTATTAAAGCTGTTTCAGAATATGTTTGAGCAACAATTCAACAAGTTTCCAATTTTTTTAATTACCTGGCCGTATTTCATCGTCAATTTCTTCACTTATCGTAATATCAACATCACTAGAAGCTATTGACGAATTCAGTGCTGATGAATATCCACTACTCATGATTCCTAAATAGGAACGAATAATGCTTTACGATGAAATGTATAAAGACGATGAGAGAAAAGTTGAGATGCGAGGGATAAAAAGAATTGAGCAGATGGGCCGCGATGAGCCGACAAGTTGTAATACATAGCTCATTACGAATGTTTTATGTCAGAATCCAGTTTCATGAAACAAAATAGAAATTTTAAGAATTAATAAAATGTTATTCAACTTTTCAATTCTACAGGCAAAAGTCGAGAATAAATTTGGGAAAAAAACACAAAGAAAATAAATAATGTTCAAATTAAATTATAATTCTTATAGAATTCGAGAGAAATCGAAATAGTGTTGAAATATTGGATGTTGCACTAAAAGATGACCCGGCAATTTTTAGTTTTGCGTGGCCGTATACGATGGCCTAACATTTGAATGATGCGAGATCGGCCGTCTAGTTTTTTTTTGAACATTACCAGATATGATAGAAATCAGGTATTGCAACTCAAAAGAAAGTGTTTTAATTTGGGGGCTCCTTTTTATTCGCTTTTTCGTGACCATAAACAAACTCTAATGTTTCATTTTTTAATTAAAAAATTGAATTTTTGTTTTAAATGTATTGTTTGAAAGATTTCATAAATAAAAATTTAAGAATCGTAAAGAAACAGCCGATTTCACTCAACGAGCACATGCAAAATGTCATAAGTGTTTTACGCGACAACGCAAACAATGAATATTCGGCAGTGGAGACCGACGGTTAAAAAACTTGAGGATGTTGACATTTCGTCAATAATTTATCAAAGAAAAGTACATAATTTCGGTTAAAGGAAAATATCAAAACAAAAAGTAGAAGTTGAAGATTATTTTGGTTAAAATATTGAGACCATAGATGTAATACACGCCAGTGTAATTAATTATTTCGAACTCCGAGGCTTTGCTCGAGCTCAGCTCGCTTCTGCTGGATTTTCTGGTACATATATCTAAATTTTTCCGTATTTCATCATGACTATTCACGAATGAATGGATTACCTTTGAACAGCTTCTTCAGCATCTGGCTTGATGTAATGATCAGCATGTCGTTCAGCTTCGCCATCTCCACTCGACTCAGTCAGCGTCTTGAGATCGGTGCTTTGGCTAATAAGCCATTTTTGTATGAACATTTGCGGCGCAAAAGCAAATCGTGCATAGAAATCGCGCCTCAGTTTCATTTCATTAATCTGAAAACGTCTTGTATGGAACACTTGAAGTGAATGCTACTTTTATATCATTTTGAAGCTAAACTTAATTTTATAAAATTTTAATACAGAATATTTACGCTTTGTTTCTTTTATTTGGTTTACTTTTCACGTTTGTAATAAGATTCCCGATTAATTTGAAATTGGCATTCAAATCTATTTTAAAATAATGTTTGAAAAAAATATTCGAAAAACATACCTGTTCGACTAAATCAAAAATTTTTTGATCGAGGATTCCAATATCCTGAACTGCGTTTTGATTTTGAGCAAATGTCTGCATTTGCAATTTTATTGGATCTTCCACTTCGACATCTTAAATAATACAAATTAACAGCAAGACTCTCAAAATTGGTTTAATATTGATTTTTTTAAACTATGTTCTCAAGAACCTACCAATATCGTAGCAAGCGGAAGAAGTCTTGTCCTGACCGTCCTCATTTTTTTGAATAACGTGCGTCAGAACGAGGGGATCAGGCTGTTGGAGTAGTTGGTGAAGTCTTTGCGGTATTTCCATGAACCGCATACGTTTGGTGCCAAAACATTGCTCCAGGAACAAGTCATTATTAATAGTATCTCTATCTTGCGGATCCTAGAACAAATAAATTAAGATTTAAAAGTTTTTTTTTTCAGTTCATTACCTGTAGCCGATGAGTTTTAACATATTGCCAAAGAGCTTCAATAATCTTTGGGCGAGTTTCGGCAGCGATTCCGAGCACTTTTGCAAGTCTTGGATGAATTTTGAACTTCATTGGCTGGTAGTCCAAGAGGAGAAGAATAGTGCATTTAACCGGACGATCTCCCGGACGTTTCACCTAATACATCAATATTTAGGTTTGAAATTTTTTTTTTAGCAATTCTCACTTGAAATCCATCAGTTTCATTCGTTTGCGGTGTTCTGTGCCATTCAACGAGATGATTATCTGGACCATAAATGTCCTTATCCAATTCGATTACCAAACTTTTGAAAAAGGAACTGAATTTTCTTTTTGGTTGTGGTCGAACATTTGGCCCAACGGCAGGTGGTGGTTGCTATAATATTTCGCACATTTTCATATCACCTCCGTTCGCACATACCAAATCATCCAAAAGACGACCTTCTACGCGCAGTTCCCACATTGGCACCGCAGCTTCGTCACCTTCTTTCTCAGGCTCCTTTCCCGGGATGAATGTGTGCGAAATGTAGATACGCAATCGTTTCTTCACCTTGAGTGGTCGCTTTAACGCCTCCTAAATACTCATTTCGTTATAATTATTATTACTACTATTAACTCACTTGAATATCCAATCTTTTTCTTGTAATTGTTGCATCTAATTTCTGCTCAAATGCTAATAAATCCATATACGCCTGTGATTCGGGAACCAGCTCGCGAACTTTTGGAGCAATCAATTTATCTGCATACCGCTTCTTCTTCTTTGGCGGTACTTGTTGCGGGTTTTGCTGTTGTGGTACCGGCATTCTATTTGGCTGCATTTGCATCTGCTGTGGTTGCTGCTGCATTCCCATAGCGGCCATTGGAACATTCATTGGACGCCTCATTTGCTGAGGTGTTCCAGGATTCTATTAAAAGTACTTATTTTTTATTAATTCATTAAAATTAACCAACCGGATGACCATATCGAGACATCGAACCAGGTGGGGGTCTCGGTGTTTGCTGCATTCTGAAAATCTTTTACGATAAAAATTAATCGCCAAGTCACTAATATCATCAAATCGATAAGTATGACTTTTCTAATAAACCTATTCATCGAATATAAAAATTTTACGTCTAAAAAATTAAACTTCTTTCCAATGCAGGATTGTAAATAACGCATTTAATGTAATTAAAAAAAATACATTTCATGTGTAAGCTCATAGGTAACTTGACTTTAAAACATTACTTAAAATGTTTTTTTTTTATTATTTCAAAAATTTTAAAAAATACTAGACGGTTTTCTAATGGTGCAAATAATTCTTGTTATTCAAAGGCAGCCAAAAAAGAACGCGTTTAATGGACTACCGTAATCCGCGTTGCGCCGCAGCGTCCTCGCGACGAGACCACGCCTATATCGATTTTTCGCACCACGCGACAAGCCAGTTCTCGCAACGCATTTCATTCGCATTGCATACGTTCCGTCCTTTATTCGTTTTCTTTTTTCACTTCTAGTTCTTGTATTTCCTTGTTTTCCAATATAGACTTTATTAATATAAAGTGAGGTATATTGATATCCGCTCAAACATTTTCAAGTTGGTGTCGATCCTAAATAAATTATCCCAGTATGTCCTACTTTTTTTTACGTAAAACTAGTTTAATGTTCATTCAATCATTTATGGCGTTAAGTTTTCTGGTTAGTAAAGATACGAAAGATGTTTCGTTTTTCTCGTAGTTTTTATTATTTCGAAATAGTTTCATGTACTAATGCTTGGTTTAATGCGTAAAATATGCTTGGTTTAATGCGTAAATTTTCTATTGTTGTCTTATAATTTTTTTCGATTAATGGTCCTGTGTTCATATATAAAACAAATATATTTTCAGGTGTTCGCGCACATCAACTTGGGAGCTGGAAGCTGATCAGACCAAATCTAGTTTCAAATTTATTTTATTACTTTTGTTTTCTAAATAAATATTCTATCGGGTATATTGTACGAATCCGTTTCTGATAGATTTTTATTGCATAATATTCTTTGCTAATAAAAAAACGACAACACCAAAAGATTGATTGTTATCTCGCGTTATTCCTCGTCACTGGGTTGAGTCACGTCCGCAATTTAATCAATTTCAGTTCCAAACAGCTCTCAATCTACGTTTCGCCTTGCTTCTCCGGGTTATACTATATATTGTACTGTGATAATATTTAATATGTCTGAAGAGGCTCAGGAATACAAGTAAGTTTAAAATCGATGCCAAAATATCATTGTGAATTATGCTTCAGGCTTACATTGACTGAACTCAAGTCGAACAACAAGACTCAAATTAATCTACTCACGATTCTTGCTGACGATTACAAAAAAAATGCGGCGGAAATCGTCGACGTCATCGAAGCACATTTGCACACAGTATGTCTTCGTTTATTCGTGCTTTTCTGTAATTGTTCAATTTCAGGTTTCACCGCCAATGAAGTTGCTGACAATGTACGTTATGGATTCAATTCTGAAGAATGTGAAGGAGCAATACATTGAATTGTTCTCAAAAAAGATTATCTCAATGTTTAGTCATGTATTCCAGCACGTAAGCACATCAACCATCATCAACCAATCGATGGTGTATGTTTCAGGGTGATGAAAAGATTCGCTCAGCGTTATACAAACTCCGAGTGACATGGTCCGGTTTGCATGTGTTCATGCCATCAAAACTTTATCAAATTGATATGAGGGTATGTTTTAGAATAGTTTCAGACGGGAAGAGTTCGCGCGCGCGACAAATTGGGTCCAGAATGAATTGTTCTACACCACATATGAGACTCCCTTCGAACGGCTCGAAACAAACATGGAATTTTTCCGTTTCAATATTTTCTGTTTTTAAAATGAAAATGAAGATATTTCTGTCCGTAATAATGATATTGCCCAGTCATTTTCTCTTTAACAGATTTTCCCCCCCAAAAAAATGATTAAACTGTCGCGTCGCCACGAAAAAACCAAGTCGATGAAAAAAGCGGAATGTTTCGCCTCTGTGAGCTGAATGATTGAGCGGATTCATTTTTCCTGGCTTCGCGACATTCCTGATTACAAAAATAAAAAGATTAATAAGGTCACATCATGTGCTTTCATGCGGCACACGTCGAAAATTCCTGAGTTTTTTTTTTCGCAAAATGTTTATTTTGATTTATAAATCATAACTCAGAATTTATTTCCATAAAATGTCGACTTTTGTTGTAAGAATTGTGGGGGTCCTTGTTTCGAACTCTTCGTGTTCAGTCGCGTATTTCAGGTGCACTCGCTTGATTCGGCCTGGCCAATTGCGAATCCACAAACCGGTCGAGCCCTCAAAGACGATCCAGCTGTCACTGCTCCGCGTCCACAAAAACCACAAGTTGCATCGGCATCTTCTTCGTCGTCTTCGACGTCGACATCGCAAACGAAGGTTTTTGTGAACAGAAAGTTCATTCATCAATCTGGAGATCTCGCGAACAATACGGTATCTTATTTTTCTCATTTTCTTAGCTTCATTCTATTCCACTTGTAATTTTTTGTTTTCTTTTTCACTTTATTGTAGCATTCGGTAGGGTGTTTTTTTTCGGTTGTGTCACAGTTGTTATCATCTTGGCTTTTCATGTATATTTTCCTTTGTTAGTAATTTATGACAATAATAAAATGCACTATGAACATATTCTGCACGCCGCGGGGGAGCGGTTTGAACTGTCGTGCTGGGAGCTTATAAACACCGTAACGCATTTTAATTTTTCAGGCTCCGTCTTCGAACACTCCAGCGAAGAAACCGACTGCTCCTGTCAATTCAAAGAAGGAGAAGACAACACCAAAAGATCCATTGTAATATCCTAAATGTCCATTCTCATTGTAATTGCTTTCATTTTCAGAGACAAACTCTTGCCTCCACCTGCGAATAATACTTCGAAAGCCGCCCCACCATCGGCTCCATCAAAACGCAAGTCTCCAAACCAAGCGATTCCATCGGAACCTCCAGCATCCAAGAGGAAAGTCGAATTGGACTTGGACTTGAGAAATCGCGATCAAGATTTGAGACACGCGCCAAAAGTGATAAAGTAAGAACTATCATACCCATTCAGTTACAATTATTTGTCTTCAGACCAACTTCTGTTATTGGCTCTCATGCATTCAGCAGTCCACCACGTATCACAGCTGTTGCTACACCACCAGCACCTACTATAATTAGTAACCCAATTGCTCCCGCCCAAATCTTGCCTCCCGCGATTAAACCAGCTATAATTACGAATGACACCGTGAAATTGGATATACCACAAAACAATAGGATTTTCGTTGATGGAAAGGCTTATGAGGTTATGTTTATCGACGAGGTTGCGGTTATTGAACGAGCTGGAAACCCGCATCGCGTTTATTTCGCTGGCCCACCAAGAAACGTGATTGTCGACGGAGTTCCACATTTGTTAGCATTTGGGGAGACGAGAAACATCGAAATTGAGGGCTCTCTTCATCCGATTCGATTTGGCGCTCCAAGCCGAGAGCTTTATATTGGAGGCCATCCTTTCAAAGGGCAGTTTGGAGGTAAGAGGCTTAATCGTATGTTCGAAAATTTATCTGATTATTTGCAGGAAGTCCGATTTTTGCTACAATCAATGGAAAGAAGCATGAGATTCGACTTGGAGGGTCTGCTCCAGAAGTTCGGATTGATCCAGATCCAGCTTATGACTTGGCTAGATTCCTGAACAAAATGAGAGAAGAAAAGAAAGTCGAAATTAAGGCTGCTCAGCCGAAACGTAAGTGTAGAGGCCCTACAAAACATTTATATATATTTTTTTTTTCTTTTTCAGTTGATGACCCATTTATGTTATTGAAAAAACTACAAAAAAGCGGATACTTGAAACCAGTAACTGTCCCAGTTTCTGCGCCTTCTGTTGCGGCTCCTCTGAAATTGCCGGAGTCTACTCCTCGAATGCCATTCAGCGCTTCCGCTCCTGTATTGGCATCGCCAACACTCGTAGATAAGGTTGGAATTGAGCGTCGAGCTGTTCCACCATCTCTTAAAGATTTTAACATTCGATTGCTTAAAATGTAAGTTTGAACCGATTCGACGTATGTTAACTAAAATACGATTTTCAGTCGTTATGATAGCGTCGTCAAGGCGATAATTAATAAACGTGCCGATTCTTGCCCATATTGTGGAATGCGTCTCGATGGAATGTCACAAAAAAGCGAAGGCTGGACTGCTCACATGGATTGGCATGTGAAAAGAAACTTGAGCAAGCAGGAGAAGAATCAATACCGCAAATGGTATCCATCGGCTTCTGTTTGGCTTACATCGAAAGCAAATGAGGAGGAAAATAATAAAGATAAAGGTTAGTATTCGTATATTCTTCTAAATGCACATTTATTATTGTTTTCTTGCTATCAAAATTATAATATTTATTTTAGATGAAGAGCAACAGCCAACAACCGTCGCTGGAGTGGTATCCAAGGGTCAAAAGGTAGTGCTTTTTTTTAGAACAAAATCATGAATAAAAATTTTTTAGGAGTGCGCTGTGTGTCGTGAAAAGTTTGACGAGTATTTCGATCAAGACGAAGAAATGTGGAGGTTGCGCGATACTGTTGAAGTATCTGGAAAGGTGATATTTTCTATCATTTTGATTTATTTCAAAATGTTGATTTCAGATTGTGCACGTTGCGTGTTCTACCGATGCATCGCTCATTGATCAGCCAGAGACACCAAGTGTGAAGCAAGAGCCATTAGATTTCGAGGATGTAAAACCGATAATCAATTCATCATCTTCTTCACATTTTGATAGAAAACCACAGTTTGATACAAAACATCAATTAGTTGGGATTTGAAAAAAACACAACACAGTTAAATTTGCAAAAAAAATCGACGAAAAGCAAGAAACTGTGATCTGCTGGAAAATATTGGGTTATTTAAAAAAAAACAAGTAGATTTGCTAAATAGATCCCGGCGAATAGACAATCTACATGTGCTTCGGCAGCTTCTTCTCCTTCCACTACTCTGTCTTAAACTGGGCGTTTAAATCGATTGTTTCCATATAATTGTTCGCTCTGAATTGGGTCTCGTTGCGAATAGTAGTTTCATATATTTCGGTTAATACAAGATTATTTAAAGAACCCGGAATGAAGCGGTTTGTAAACTTTTGTTGTTTGGAATAAACTTACTTTATTTTTGGTGTTTTGTAAATTGTGCGTTTATCTTAATAAATAAATACGTTTATCAAGTTCTTGTGTTTGAATATGTTTGATAACAGTTTAAACGATTAACAATATCGATAACATGGCTGATTTTAAGATTTATTAGTCAGTTATAAAGGGATACTTGAAAAATTATCGGGTGATACGCAGTTTTTCCCCGATTTCGCCAAAGTTTCCCGAAAGCAGAAAACTGCATATTTTTCAAACAATTTGACGAGTAATTCAAGCATTAATGCATTCACGGCGTTCACACTAGTGGGATTTACCTGAAATGAAAACTCAAACTGTGTCAGTGATCGATTGTTGGCGTCTTTGTCGCGCAGACGAATTTTTTAAAAATCGCCAGGTTTTGACTCATTTTTCAAGTTTTTTGAATTTTTCTCAAATTTTAACAAAAAAGTGCAGCGACCACGTTTTTCGCAAGGTTTTTTTTCTATCGAAAAAGCTTTACTATAATTCAATCGGATAAGTATTCAGAGGTCCGTAGTTTTTTAAAGATTGAACTGTAGAAATATTCACATTTCTTTTCTCTGTTTTTTCACTCTCTCTTTTGTTAATATCATTTATTGTTGTATTATATGGTTTGAGTTATACGGTTATGTTTGGTAACACTTGGAAAAACATTTCATAGTTGTTTATTTTTTATTTTTTTTCCAAATTTTAAATGTAAATAGTGTGTCATTTCGGCGGAGAAGTTGCAAGAGATTCTCTATAATTTGTTGTTGTTTTTTTTTTAATTTCGTTAGTTTCTACGTTAATTTACCGTTTTCAGCTTCTTTTTTTTGCTATTTATCTCTCTCGCGTCTTTATCTACTCGCATTGAATTCAGATAAGCACTCCATCTCGAAAATCAAAAGCTGGCGGGGTGATGAAACGATATCACGGACAATTCGCTTTTCGAGATTTTTTTAACTTCCGAATTACTCCAAAAGACCAATGGAAAGACGTCCTCAGCCCAAAAATGCCTTTTTTTAGCTATTTGTGTTGTATAACATCAAAGTGTTCTTTTCAAGCTGCCTAATGAAATCGGTAAAGAGAATCTTGTTAAATGTGTTTGTTGATTATCCATTTGTTTCCAAATTGATAAGTGTATTTTTTCCCTATTAGTTTTGCAATTTTCCAAATGTCCTTATATCCTCTTTTCCGAATTCAATCTCTCTCGCGTCTTTATCTACTCGCATTGAATTCATCTGCTACATATCATCAATTTTTATATCATAATTCGATTGTGTAGTATTTCTTTCGTTTAATTGATGGTTTTATCATTTAAAAATGTTATATGTTAAAAAAATCCTATATAAATTAAAATAACTTATTTAATTTATAACTAAATAGACCATAAATTGCGGTGAATATGATCCACCCGAAGAAATATAAAAACTAATCGTTCTTATTGAAAAAACGCTCCATTTAGAGAACATTTCTAATTTATTTCACAAATTTAATTTGTTGAATTTATGCACCGGAATAGCGCTAAGCTGCATGTGCGCTCCATTGAGAAAAATCTTTTTTTCATGTAAATCCCACTAGTGTGAACGCCGTGCTGGTTATAAAAAATAATAAATAACGTTATTAAAAAAATTATCTTTAAAAAAAATTATGTACCTGCAAATCGTGCTGTAGAAGCAACGGATGCACGCAAGATTCGGTGAAACGGCAGAGAAAAGAAACGCCATCGACTCTCAAAATCTCACATTCTCTCAGATATCCTTGTTTCCGTTGTTTTAACGAATTCACCACCGTTTTTACGGTGGAATTTGCTAAGTATATATGTATATATGTAATACATTTTTCAAATTTTTCAGTATGAGCACACTTTCCGTTTTAGTCGAAGCTTCTTCGTGTTCTTGGGGGAAAATTGCCGTAGCGCATGGTGAAAGTTCATTAGGAACAATTCTTCGAGCAATTGTAAAAAATCCTCGATGTAATTGAAATTAGATAAACATTTGTTACAGATTTCGTTTTGTAATGCGCATCTTGCACTATCTGCCTCTAACAAATTGTTGGTTTTCGCTTACGGAAAAGGAATTCCAAAAAAGGTAATCATTTTTAAGCGTTTACTGTTAAAACATCGGAATTTCAGTTATTGTTCAGTTCGTCGCGGCCGTCAGATCGAGACGTTTCTTCAATAGTTGTACATAGTTTGAGGGAAATTTTGACAAGTGATGCTCAAAATGATGACTGTTCCGTTGGAGCTCCTCTTGCACCGGCAATGGCGCACGCAATTTGCCGTAAAAATTTGAAATTTAAATAAAACACGAATTTTGGTTATTTGAGATATGAAACGAAACGACGCAATTGTGATCGATGCTGTAGTTAATCCTGATTCGCTTGGACCAGTTCAAGCCGAACTAGACATGGAAGAAAACGAACCAACAGTTCGCGCGGTTGTCATTGGAATGACTTCATTTTTTGGCGGCGAACACGGACCACTTATGAATTTATTTTTTTCGGCTGCCAAACAAAATATATGTGTTGATGTTGTTTCGTTGGGCGAAGATGCTACTGGAGGAGTCTTGCAACAGGCTGCCGATATTACCGGCGGTTTGTTCCTGCACGCGTCGAGACCTTCTGAATTACTACCAATGCTGATGACGCATGTTCTAGCAGCTCCTTCACTGAGGAGCGCATTTCCTCAGCCATCTCTTGATGTTAGTTACAAATACGTGATTTTAATCAATCACTGTTTCAGGCTGTGGACTATCGAGCATCCTGTGCTTGTCATCATCAGCTTGTTTCCGTTGGATGGGTTTGCTCAGTATGCCTTTCAGTTCTCTGCCAATATATGCCCATTTGCAAAGTTTGCAAGTAAGTTCTCCTATTTTCGGATCAGCATTTCTCTATTTAATTTTCAGAGCTGTTTTCAAAATTGCTCATTTGCCTCGAAAATCAATTAAAAGAAAGAGAACTTAGTTTCGATAATGTTCTTTTTTTATTCGGGTTTATTAACAAATCAAGATGATCTTCATAAATTCATTAAAACTGCTTCATTCGAGGTCTCTCAACGTTCAAAATTTGCTTCTTTTTCCAACATAGATATAGATAAATGGCGTTTATCGAGTACGTCGTTGTGCATATCAGGCAAAATGTGCGCAACTTGAAAAGGACTGAAAGTTCGTATATTCAAAACAATCAAGCTTCTTGTACTAACCTATGATTAAGTAAACAGAAAGCAAATTGAGGAAAATGCCAATGGCGAAAGAAATATTTTGTAATCGAAAACGCTTTTCATAGGTTTGAATAATAATTAACAACAAATATGTTATTATTCCGTAAATAGCATTTTTCTATAAAATACAAAAATTTAAGATGTTGTTTAAAAACTCTACTTGATTCAATAAATGGTCGTCGCCCAATAAAGGACCAACAAGTCCGAATCCGCTAGAATATTGAGAATGGGCGACAGCGGAGCACGAGAAAACCGAGTTTAAATCACATGATGCCGAATAGAGCGGATCGCTATTGGTGCGAATATCGACATATAATGCTGAAAATAAACTGGAATCGTGAAACTGATTGCTTGATAATAACGGACTGTTCTCTTTTGTCTTTTTGCGTTGCTTACCATAACAAGAAATAATGAATCCAACCGAAATGACAGCCACATTAAATTTAGAATAAAACTCGTAGGTTTGCATTGCGAGAAAACACGAATGATAAGTACGTGTGAATCGGTGTTTTTATTTGTGATCGACCTATTCACTTTTTGGCAAACGCGTTGTGTTTTTCGGTGCACTCTTCGAACACAAGTTTATAGATCAAAATTAGTGCGTGAATGAAACGAGCAGAAATGCGACGAAACGGAATTGATGAAAAGATAACCTCGTGTCGCTCATTTCATTCTAATTTTGAATTGAACTGATGCAAGTTGTTGACGAGTTTCAGCTCGTACAACACCATAATCCGGAAGTAGTGTATTTTTGTGGTCTCGATGAAGACGAGGAGTCCGATCAGCAGGAAACCGCTGCTCCTTTAAAATATGAGAAAGTGCAGGAAAAACGGAGACGCAGAGGCGGAAGGCGGCGGCGAAACAGAATGGCGGCGGCGGTAACGTTTGAAAATGAAGCATATTGAAAGTCACATTTATAGCTGGTTTGTAGCCAAGGGTGCTCGAATATAGTTTTGCCGGAAATTGAGAAAAATGCACCAAATCCGACGCAACCTTCACAACAACCGCAACCGGTCAAATCGAGACTAATGAAGGTTTGGATTTAATCGATGATGAGCTAGGAAGACGTGATAATGATTAGGAACTTCATGAACGCGAAAGAGTGCGAGGAATGGAGCGGTACGAAGCGAGGCAGCTTCTTCAGGACAAACTTCTATTTCGGGGAGAAACGAATTTAGTAATTCGCATTGTTTGAAATTGAAAAAATTCGGCCGCATAATTTTAGGAGGAGATTCGACTTCGACGCTTCTGCATGATTGTGCTGTCACGAGAAATGTTCGAACATGAAGATAAGACGCAAATTCCATCGGAAATTGTCTCGATTTCAATGGAAAATGGAAAAGTAGCGATTGCGACATTGCACCTTTCACATTTCGTTTGATTTTCTCCAGATCTCATCGATTTTACGATTAATGCCGTGCAACGGCGATCTTTCTGAAACGAACGAGATTTGTGCGCCAGGAAATTATCGAATGAAAACAATGAAATGGAATCCGACGAGAGTTCGCGACTTGAACATGGTCTTCAAATTGTGGAGCCATTTTCTAGAACGATGCCTTCATTCACTTCTTCTGGTTCGAGCATCCCAATATTGCCTATCGTTTCATTTTACAGGTCCCATTATCACAAAATTGCGTCCTTATTGATTTTTTGCGTAAATTCAATGAAATTCGCTCAATTCTGAATAATAGTAATCATTTCAACTCATAATTATATGATTAAAAAACTTTTTTCAAGGAGTCACCACGTCAATTTGTTTAAGTCGAGTAATTAGTGTTGATGATTTCTTGTTATCCTTACAACAGTTGACCGAAACCTATGTGGTATGATGAAAATTTCAAAAAAGGAAAAACGAATGCGAAGCATTTCTAGGAACTTGAAACGATTCACCAAAGAAAGTATGCAACGCTATTAGAGTATGGAATGGATTTATGGTACGATAATGTTGGTTGGCGTATTCCCAACATCTCTTTTCATTTCATCGTTTAACATTCTTTTAGTACCAATTTTATATCCTCAATGAAAAAACTATCGATTTTGGCGGCAAATTCGCGACCGATTTTTGAAAAGTTGATCGTCTTCTATCATTTTTCCTGAATAGTCATTTAATTAGAACCTTCGGCAAAACGGAAAACGGCCTGTTCATTGGTCCGCCTCCCGGTCTGACGAGCCAACTCATCCAGAATGCGTCGGCAATCGAAGCAACTCGAATGGCACCGCTCTCTTCGGCAAAATCGTGTCGACGGAACGTTGCGAAGAGCAAGAATGAAGATGTTCGGTATGACAGTTATTTGCAACTTCATCCACCATATGTTGGACGAGTGAATTATCCGGTTGATTTTGTCGCTTGGATCATTTGTAAGAAGACGTCCTCATTTCAGGTTACACCTATTGATTTTAATCAGGATTATTACGATGATGTTCCTGAGTATGATGAGTACGATGAGAGTTCAATTTTCCCAGTTATAAATGAAAAGAAGAGTTTTTCGAATACAGAAGGTGAATTTAGCTGTATTTCTGCATTTATTCTGTTTTATTGGCAACTCCAATAATTAAGCTTATCAGAATAATCCAAAAATTTCAGTATTAACGCATCAAAGGATAATTCAGTGGATCAACAGTATCGATCTCGACAATATGTGCAGTCCTGAAGAATTAGAGTCAAAAAGAGCAATTTCGATTTCTTTTCAAAATTGGTCACATTTTTAGAGACTCTTTTGATGAATTTCAAAACCAGAATAATACCAATGAAGATTTCGAGGATTCGTTGAGCGAATTCGGAGACATTGATTGAATTGAATCTATTCTTTTTTTTATTGAAATAAATGCCAATATTTTCATTTGATTCACAACACGCTACAAATTCGAATTTTTATTGATAGGTGATCACCAATAAAATCTCAGATTTTATTAGATTTTTAATAAATCGTGGGAATGTGGCGGCGAAGAAAAAAATTGTTTTTTTTTCTTTTTCAATTAATACTTTAGAAAAATCAAATAAATGCCGCCGAGTTTGCACACGAATCACAAGACCATTTTTTGTTGTCACTTTTGTCCGCTCAATTCGCATTTTTTTCTTGTTCTTACGAAATGATGGACCACATATTCCAATATAAACAGACGGATTGAAAGTTAAATTTGTTTCGATAAAACGAAAAGCAACAAGGAAATAGTATTAAAAAGAGGAGAGCTCATCAAACAGATGGGTTTTATGAAATGCAGAAAACTACTATTTATTATTGGAAGAAGAAAAAATAAAGAAGTGAATATTTTCTCAAAGATCAAACCCCAAAATATTTTTTTATAATCATAAATATTCAAAGATGGCGATGGTTTGAAAACTAAAACAAAATAAATATTTCAGAGTTTCGAGAATCAGTAGCTGAATCCGAGAGCTCACCTCATTGCATTTAAATTTGTTTTGAAAAAAAATTGTTTCGAGAAACTTCTATCAAATATCGAATCGATATAAAAAAGAAATAAAACAACGGCTCGTATTTGTTTCGATTTTCTTTTGTTTTCGCACGTCCTAGTGTGGTCAAATGCGAACGAAAACACGCATAAGGTGACTAACCAAATGCGCAAAATTCGAAAACAACTATTTGAATTTGATTCGAGTTATTCGAGAAAAAACCCCATTCATTCTCATATCCGCTATTCAAACTGTTTTTTTCTTTATTTGGGCACAGTTTTTTGTTTCTTCTGCACCGACCCCACATTCACATTCTCACACCGACCGTAACGTAATTGATCATATTGGCAATATTGTGGTATTCAAATGAAAATGTCTCGAATATCATTAAATTTTGGGAACACGTTTCCTATATAAACTGAACGGTTTCGCATCAAAGTAACAATTTATTTGTTGTCGACTCGTTGCACTTTTGCTCTCGCATTCATTTATATGACTAATATCAATCATATATTTTTACATCGAATAATCATCGTTATCACGATTCTCATCTTCAATTCAGACGTCTTTGAAAACATTGAAAAGTGCAATTTCGAAAATTTTTCTATCATAATTTCAGCTGCGGAATGAAATCATTATTCTCGTTTGGCTTATTTCTGACCGAAATAGGTTGGATGTTTGAACTTGTTGGAAATCCTCTGAACACATCCACCCCCCCCGTGCTGAATTTGTTTCTCTGGGACTTTTCAACACTCTATAAAATGTGAGGGAATGTGCGAGGGCAATCAAAACATGGTCACAGGTGATTCGTCGACGTCAAACCCATCGGAGTTGAGCTCTCATGGCGCCTCATGCCCGCTTACTTTCGTCGTTCCGTCCGGCCGTCGGTTGGCATCGCGCCAGGACCCCCTTCTCGCCGAAGCTCCGCCCATCGCTCATCGTCTCAGGCGCGAGACGCCGAGAAGACGAGGTGCGCACACGAGAAAAAAACTGCGAGGCATTAGTCGCTGAGCTCGGCGATTTGAGTCGCCAATTTTGTTCCTTTTCAAATCGCGCGTCGAGTTTTCTTTTTAGGAATTCGTCTGAGAATCGAGAATTGACCATCTTGGCTAGTCTCGATAATTACTTGTCTACGGATCCCTCAGCGAGATGCTTCTTTATATTTTTTTTTACATTTGTCTGAATTACTATTAATCGAACTTTTTGCCGCATTTCCATTATATTCCCTTCTCATTAGATTATCGTCTAACAACACCGAAATGGATTTCCAGGCTCGGAATGTCGTTGTCGTTGCATCTTTCCGGATGGCCGGAAAACAGCGAGAGCCGTCAGCGAATGCTCGAAAGCGCTTCGAGCACCAACTTCGTGCAGCACTTCGTCTCCAGAGAGGTACGGTAGACGGCCACGAAAATTTTTCGATGAATTCACTCATGTTAAGGTGTCAAGCAGCGAGCGAATGATGTGCCTTTTGCGACGCCTCAAAAATGGTCTCGTCCTCTTTCTGACACCAATTCTGCTGTTTCCGATGCTCTCCTCGTCGCGAGATGTGAGTTCTCAAAAAAATGAGGGAAGTAGAAAAAGGAGATGGGTCGAAAGAGATTTGAGAACATTTTTTGACGCGTTTTAATGATTCCAAAAAAAACTAACTTTTTGGCCGACAAGGAAGTTTTCGAGCGAAAATTGAAGAAACATTTATGCCGAAATTTGGGCGAGCTTTTAATTGTTTCGAACGCGTCTGGAAATTTCTGGCGAATTTATGAGGAAAAAAAAAAGAAAAGACAGAGATCGCTTCTTCTTCTTCTTCTTCTTCGTCTTTATTTTGAGGCCATTAGAGAAGGGTTGAATATCTAATAAATTTTCGACCTAATTTTATAGAATCTCATATAGTTAGTGGATAATCTCTTTCTTTTTTGTCTTCGCGATTCCATATTGATATTATTTTCTTAATATTTATTAGATTTTACTATGCGGGATTGCATTCTTCTCTCAAGAAAAAAATGTTTCGATTTTGATCAGTTTGTGCTCAAAGAGCACACATCAAAGAAATCACCACGCATTTGAAAAGTCTCTTCTTTTTTTTTGTTTTCTCGTTTTCTTTTTTTCGAGCAGGTGGCGTTCAATTTCGAAGATAATATTTGCTACGTTTTTTAATTGACTCATCAATTTGCAAAAAATTAAAAAAAAATTTTTTTTGCTTGTACACTCTTTTTTTTTCCAAAAAGAAAAAACACAAAAAAATAATGGGCAGGACCATACGAGCAGACGTCTAAAGGCAATAAGATGACGTAGTGAGACCAACGAATGAAGAAAATTTTGGAGAGGCATAAAGCATTTCGGTTGAGAGCAGAGAAGCTAGAGACCAAATGAGAGGGGGTCATGCTGCTGCAGCACACTCTTGGACGCGGAAAAGAACGCATACTTGAGCTGCAGAAATTGGAAGCACAACACAACAGAAAAAAAAAACCGACACGGTGAATGTTTTTGTGGTCAAATTGGTCCGAGTTGTGGAGTAATTGAAAATTTCGGAGCCGCCAATCGTTGTCTTTCTTAAAATAATTTCGAATCGATGAATTGCTTGCTTGAAAGCAGCCATTTTCATTAAAACGAACACAAAATGGATTTTTCAATAAAATTAATGGGCTTAGGACCACGATGATATCATTGAATTAAATTTGCTTAGTTCCTCAATGAACGAGTTTGAGAGATTTGAATTGCGCGGGCTGCCATTTAATTGGTCCCGCAAAAGAAAATCGCCTCATACTCTGTCAATCGGTACTTGTGCTAACAACCAAAACTAATTAAAATTCTTTAAAAACTATTCTCCTTCATATTATGATAGTTAGCAAACGTAAAAATCGCTCCTAATAGTTTTTCCATACGAGACCCACGGCGGTAATTCTAAAGCAATCGCACCTCAAATACATCATTGAAAATCGCGAATACAAAATTAAAATCAATAAATAAATTTCAGGAATGGAAATGCGCATATTGCGTGTGCATTGTTGCCATCTACTGGATGTCCGAAGTGATGCCGCTCGCCGTAACTGCCATGCTTCCTGTCGTCCTTTTTCCGCTCGTTGGAGTTCTTGATGCGAACACGACCGCTAAAGAATACATGAATGTATATCCGATTGGTAGAAATAGGCGAAGAATCATTTCGATTGCAGGACACCAATTTCCTATTCATTGGCGGTTTGATAATGGCGGCTGCTGTCGAGAAATGTGATCTGCATGAACGCGTTGCTTTGTCGGTTCTCAGATGCGTCGGAAGCGAGCCGAAATGGTAAAACAATGATGTTTGATTTCGGGAGAAGCATGTGATGACGGAAAAAAAATGAAACGAAAAACCGCAGATGATATCACTTTACAAATAAGCTTTTTTTTAAGCGAAACTCGTCACATTTTTTTGCAATAGAAATTATGAAGAAAAATTAGAAAAAAAAAACTCAGTGAAATAGTGAAATAATAAAACATTTTTTGGGATTGCATTACGAGTTTAAAAAAGAGAGAATGAATTACAGTATCGCGGTTTAAAGGCGCAGGGCAACATGTGAGGGTGGCTCATGCAACGAGAAAGAAAAATTCGCAGTAAATATTCGTTCGTGAAATCAAAAATCGAGCTTTTTGTGCAAAATTTTTTCAATAATTACATTGTCCATATTTAGAATGACACATTTTGAAAAAAAAAAAACATGCTCGTTTGAAAGAATAATGAGTAATAATAATATCATTTTATTGAAAACAAATTGATAAATTTCAGGATAATGTTGGGATTTATGATCGTCACTGCCCTTCTAAGTAGCTTCATCTCGAACACTGCCACCACCGCAATGATGGTGCCCATCGGTCAAAGCGTTGTTCAGCAACTCGTCGCTTCGTTCCAACATCATCCCACCAACGGGTAGAATTAAGCCAACATTTTTTTTTTCTTCGCCGTTTTGTAATCCGAGCTCATTACAGCGAAAAAGGTCGTCTCGGGTGCAAAAAGATGGCGACGGGTCTCGTGTTGTCGATCTGTTTTGCGGCAAACATCGGAGGAACTGGAACTGCGACTGGCACGCCCAGTAATCTCGTAATGCTCGGCCAACTCAATGCGTAAGAAGAGTTTGCAATCAAATTATAGCTCAAAATTAAATAACGCGGAGGCAAACAGAAGCTATTTCGATTGCGATATTAATCTTTAACAAAAAATATATATATATATGAGGGGGATATTTTTGTTTCAGATTGTTCCCAAAAGAAGACGGCTCATTGAACTACATCACTTGGATCTTCTTCGCATATCCGCTCATGATTATCAGTCTTTTCGTCGCATGGTTCACACTCGTCATGTTCTTCCTACGGTATTTTCAGATTAAGTAGTCACAAATTTCCAATATTTTCAATTGTAGAGATGCTCCAGAAAAAGATGAGCACGTCACCAAAATGCTCAAAAATCGCTACAACGAACTTCCGCATATGAGGCTAGTTGTTTTTCTTTTTCCGGTTACTCGCTGAAATTCAATATTCCGTTTTCAGCTATGCTGAAAAATCGGTGTTCGCCTGCTTCTGTGTTCTCCTCTTTTTGTGGATGTTCAGAAATCCGGGAATTTTCACCGGATTTGGAGCATTCTTCAATAAGGGAAGCTACACCGACGCAACATCCGCCATGATTGTCTCGTTCTTGCTCTTCGTGCTCCCATCGGAAAAGCCTGATCTATTTACATACATCAAGAAGGAGGAGTTGAAAAAGGTAGAAATTGAGAGAATTCATATATCAGAAAAGATAGCCGATTTTCAGAGAGGCTGCTTGATGGACTGGAAGACAATGCAGGAGACGTTCCCATGGAGTGTCGTTCTCCTACTCGGCGGCGGATTCGCGCTCGCCGCTGGCGTCAAGGAGTCCGGTCTCAGTCTTCTCATTGGCACATCCCTATCATCCATCGAACACCTTCCGATCTGGGTTTTGCAAATTCTCACAATGTTCATCGCCATGATCATTACCAACATCTGCTCGAACACCGTAACCGCTTCGATCTTCGTGCCGATTGTTGCCACCCTGGTAATATTGCCTATTCCAAATATCTCGGGGGGCATTTCGCGTTCTTACAGGCGCAACAATCCGGAAACCATCCGTTCACTCTCATGCTGCCGACCACCCTTGCTGCTTCGTTCGCGTTCATCCTTCCAGTTGGAACCCCACCAAACGCGATTGTCTTCGGATCGGGAATGGTCAAAGTCTCCGATATGGTGCGACGACTTTTTTTTTATTTATTTTCCATTCAGTCTCATTTTTGATTTTTTTTTCAGGTGACCGTTGGATTGGTCGTTTCTTTCGAGCTCCTTTTCATTACCATCGTCTACATGAACTCGATGGCCTATCTTTTCCTTCCAATTGGCACAATGCCAGAATGGGCAAAAATTGACAACTCGACAATATTGCATTAGTGAAGCACAAATCGATTTGATTTCAAAAATCACATTCCGCTAGTCACATTTAATATGCTTCAACGGGAATTTTGAATACGTTCATCAGATGCCTTTGATTTCTCTTTTAGAAGATTATTGTAATTACGGCGCAATTAGCAAAATATGGCAATTTACGAGTTGTTCCCCTCCCCCCTTCTCTCTCTCCCAATGTATCCATTTTATTCTCAATCGCTGCTCAGAAAAAAATCAACGAAAAAAAAAAACGCCTGATTTCATTTTTTGCTCCGTTGGTTCGTAATTGGTTGTGAATAAAAATGTTTGAAAGAAATTTAAGAATAAATATTATGTATGTATATTTAGTCGGCGTGCGGCGACTACTGTACGCGGGTAGATTTACGGGGATGCTCCTTTCTCTTGGTCTCGCGCGGACTAACTGGTTATTTCGCATTTTATGGGTGGTCAAATCGAACGACGCTAGAAATTCCGAGAAATCATAAAGAAAAAATAAATCGTTCACGTGAAAACAGCAAAATAAGCTTTTACACGTGGCGAGACCTTTTCAAGGCGCATGCGCGTAAATCTACAGCAGTCGCCAAACGTATCAACACCCCCTTTAATGAATTTCGCAACTCTGGTATTGCTAAAAAAATTTGTTCGAGCATTGGTGTGAAAAAATCGAAATTAATGTTTCTGAGGTGAAACAAAAAATTATTACCAGAAAGAATCGCTACGAGACCCAGTTAGAATGAGTATTTCAATTTCAGTCATTCCCATTTACCAATTTGTAAAAATAGTGAAAACTATCGAATGTTGGCATGTTCCAATTCAATACAAATCGGCTCAAGCTTCTTTTGAATCGCCTTCAGAGATCTTCGAAGTCAGATTAAAAAAAAAGTTCAAAAATATAATTTTATTTTTAACAATTTTTAAACTATTTTTTTAATTAGAATATTTTTTACCTATCCAATTTCGTTTTTACCTTAACTATTAGAACCACAATTGTTCGATAAAATGTCTGATTTTAGAACCAATCAATCGGATCCGGCAGGATCCAGCTTTTTTTTTCTTTTCCGTTTATTTTTTTAATGGCAATATTTTCGCATCCGATTTGTACATTTCAGTATTCATTTTATTCAAGGCTTTGCGTTTCAAAAGTAGAAGGAAGCGGCAAAAAACATTGATAAAAACTGAGCCACACTAAGAATATAAATTTTTTGTTAAATTTGAAAATAATAATAATAATAATAACTGCTGATCAATTTCGATTTGATTTCAAATCATTTATTATTATTATTGTCGGCGCGGCTGCGGAAAATTGGCTAAATTCCAAAAAAATTATGACAGTGGTCTTGAGGTCAAATTAAAAGCGATCCTTATATAGCGCTCCTATATCTTGATAAGGCCGTCGGTCACGTTGCATTATCTTTGGTCGTAGCTCTAACAGGCGCACACCGCGCACCGAGACCTCTTTTTAAATTTTGTGGCATTTAGCCAATTTTCCGCAGTCGCGCGACGTTTACAATCAATTTCTGATATCGGATCTCCTATAGATTGGCCCGCCCATTCGCATTCAACGATTATCCTGTCGGCTCGGATGTCCAATTACACTCCGAAAGTCAGAGCGGTTTAGATCCGTTGGCATTGGTATTTTTGTTATATATTGTCGGAGTCAAACGGCTGTACGAAATTTTAAAAAATTTATTGGCTATGTGCCAATGCGTGTAGTGAGTAGTACGCAAGACTGCGTACATTGCATTATAGCTTACGCGCATTTAATATTCAGTCAACGATTAATTTAAATCTCCACTGATTTCGCGAATTTGAAAGCCTCGCCTCTTTTTAGTCGTTTTAGGCCGACAATATATACTTTAGATAAGTTTTATGAAGAAAAGTTATCGAATTGACGAAGCAATGTTTTTTTTTTTTCATTTTTTTCTCTCAAGTTTAACATTTTTTCTAACAATTTAAAAATTCATATTTGCTTTTTTTAATGATTATTTCATAAAACGTGAGATTTGCAAATTGCGTTCCTATTTTTCCACCGATTTGAATAAGAACAAAGAACAATAAAATTGTTATGGATGATTGCTTCAGATGATCCTTGAATGAATGAGAGTATTTTGTCACCTCTCGAGGCAGACGGCGCCTATCAAACAATATTCGCCGCAATGATACGCAGTCAATATTTACCGTCGAAATTCCGCATTGCGGCCGAGGTGCGGAATCCGCCGCGGCGCCAACCCGCAGCCTTTTTTTTTTGTTCGCGTTGTTCGCGGTTTGCCGCCGACGATTTTTGCCCAAATTCAATAATTAATAAGTTTTTCGATTTTTTCTTCCATCCCTCAACGTTCCCAAAAGGGTCGGAGTTTTTTTTATTGCGACCAAGCGGAACTTGAACTTCGAATTTAATAGCATTCGACGTCGTACCGATGAAAGCAATGGGAACCCGAAACAATCATAAATTATCGCGTTGGTCGGTTTTTTTTCTTCGGTGTCGCTCATCGCCTCCCATAAAGCCATATATTGTACAGTAATTAAATTTTCTCTCTAGAACCCACCGCACCGTTTAACGATTTTCTTGTGTCATTTCTCTGACGGCGATTTTGAAGCAGGTCGAATTCATTTATGGGTCGTTAAATCGGAATATATCAAAAATCAAATAAGCAATGCTGATTGATAAAAATCAAAAAATATTGCATCGGATAATCTCCTAATTTTATCCACAAAACAAAGGCGATAAAATACGATATTCTAAAAAAAAGAATAATAAAATCTTTCTCGCCGATCAAGCTTTTCTCTGAACCCTCCATTATACCAGTTGACTCTCTTCATTCGTTTTTTTTTGAAACAAAAGCAGCAACCTGTTTTTGCGTGTTTGTGTAAACACGCGGTGTCTAGAATAGAAAAACAGCCTCCGCCGAATCGAACGATCGAACCTTTTCGCGTTTTGCGCATCCCCCCCCCCCGATTCACATTTTTTAGCGCATAAATCATCCAGCCGGTTACGCCCCTCAATTTCTTCTTCTCACTTTCCGTGTGTGTATCAATACACTTCGCATCATCACCATATCTTCATCATTTTTTCATCATATTCCCCCTTCAAACATCCCGATATCTCAATGAATAATCACCGCTTTGCTGTCTGTCTGTATTGGTTTTTTTTTCTTCTCCTCCTGCCGATTGTTTTTTTCTGTTCGCTTCGACGCGCCCATATGGCATACAAAAGCTACCGATTCTACTGCACCTGTTCTCATTTAATTATGCCTTCCCATTTCATTCGTCGTCGGCCTTCATTTGTCTCTCGACAGGTTAAGGTTATACATGGTTCTCACATGATCGAAATTTAAGAAAAAAAAATACTCGAACTCGAAATCCGTTTGAAACGCTTAGCCTATAGAAGTTAATGGTTGCAATTAGGATCAATTTGAGCAATTATTCATCATAATTGCGTTTTAATTATATTTACCGTAATTGTTCAGAATTCTTTGCTTTATTCAGGCGATTCTCTTTTATTTAGTCGTTCACAAAAGATACTGTAGGTTTTTTTTGTCTTCTTGAAATCAGCGCTTCATTTGTTTGTCGATTCTGGAAGTCGCGTTCAACTCTAAAATTCTTGGGGATTTTTACGAAGTTGCATTGTCCGTGTGGAGTACACAATCCCAATTTTTCGCCTCGTGACCATTCCTGGAATTTGATCTAACAGGATTTTTATTCATCAATGTTACGTCATCTAATGCTCCATATTTGTCAATAAATACAGAGTGCGTTGTTGCAGAATTATAAGGCCGTCATCCCCCGAATTTGAGCACCGCGCAATTTTTTCGCCATTTTGATACTGCGCGGCTACTTTTTAAGATATTTTTATAAAAATTGCCACCTAAAGGTAATTTTTCATGCTTTTCACACTGGTTGGTCTCAAAATATCGAAATCATTGCGAGGCGCTCAAATTCGCGGTGTGGCCTTATAATTCTGCAACCCACTGTATTCTCTTCAGTTCACAATATTTCGACAAGCCGTTAAATATTTTCGAAAAATTCCAAAAAGAAAACTGTTTGAGCCATCGTCCCCCCCCCCCAAAAAAAGGAATTCTCTTCCCAAAACGAACATCGTTTTCGAGTTTCATTTGTTTCCAAAATGTATTTAGTCGGCGTCCGGCGACTACTGTACGCGGGTAGATTTACGCTGATGCTACTTTCTCTTGGTCTCGCACCGACTAACTGGTTATTTCGCATTTTATGGGTGGTCAAATCGAACGACGTTAGAAATTCCAATAAATCATCAAGAAAAAATTTATCGTTCACGTGAAAACTTCAAAATAAGCGTTGACACGTGGTGAGACCTTTTTCAAGGCGCATGATCTACCCTCGTAGAGCAGATGCCGACAATAAATGTTTCTATTCGGCGTATTAATAAAAACATACTCGAACCGAGGAACCGCCATCATCTGATGGGCGTCTCAAGACGACACCTCATGCCGATTAATTATTTACGCGAAATGCACACCTAATCCGTCGTCTACTAGTACCACCTCGTCCCGCATCTCTTTTGTATGTACATGGTCCTTGTGAATGTCGGCGTCTCCGCCCTCCACCGCACTCTCTCCTTCTGCCAGCAGGCTGACCTTGCGCGCGTTTTGTGTGCCGCGTTCTCGCCACCCAAATTCAGTGTTTTTTCTTCATAATTTCAATTTTGCATTCGTTTTTCATTCGATTTCGAACACAATTCATTTTTGTGGCAATCGACCGATGATGATTGATAGCCGAATGTTTCTTACATTCATTCATTCTTTTTTTTATTTATTTCAATGGCAATAAAATTTTTGTTGGGCCACAAAATGATGACAATATTTGTACGCTTGTGTGTCCATTGTAAATATTCATCTCAGCCCCACAAAAAAAACGAGAAAATTGCCCAAAAAAGAGCGATTTTGTTATTTGGACACCTTAAATCACATAACATTTCATTCTCGAAACTGATAACGAGTCGAGTTGCGTTGTTGACTCATTTATTCCTCATCATTTTACTATTTCTAGCCAGTTGATTATTATTTTTGGAAAAAAAATGGAAGAACGAGATGAAGACGGTGTAAGTTTTGCTTCAATTTTTATTTCAAATGATTGAGCCTAAATTTGGAGTAAAAATTCTTTCGAATTTTTATAATTTGGTTGTGATCGATTTTTGAGCTCTTAAAACCTTATTCTTAGATGCTTCTTTTTTTGCACAAATAATGCAGATAATCTATAATAGTTTTTGATATATTTTTCTAAGATTCTCCTACTTTTTCTTCTTCTTATTTGAATTCCTCGAACTCTTTTTTTTGGAAATTTCGAGATTGATCTGATCAAATAGAGTTGATCAGCCGGTTTTCTCAAGATCCTAATGATTTGCTTGAGATTTTTGAACTATTATGTGCGTTGTGTCCAATTTTGAAAAATAACAATTTTCTATGAATTCGAAAGCATTTTTTTTGCCAAATCAATTCACATTAAATGATCAGGCCGTCGATGACTTACTTGCGAAATTCTTGCTTTCCGATCTCCTTCCCATATGCAACAACGTAATTATTGACATTTGCCAGCCAGATGCTCTTCCGTTTTTCATGTGACAAAATTTTGCAAAACTCAAACATATGTGAACCATTTGGAAAAGGCTGTGCAAACAGCAACAAATTATTACAAAAATGAAAAATTCGCTTCGAACTTTCAGTTTATTTTTTTTTACTAGATTTTCGAGATCTTCAAAAAGGGCAAAAGACATTTTCAGCTCAATTTCTGAGATTTCAATCTAAATAATAAATTGTAGATCAAAATTCTTGAGTTGATCAAATTTTCCACAAGAATTAATTTAAGGCCTAGAAAGATGCTCAAAACTGAAATTGACTTTATTCTGAAAAAAACCTCATTCTTGAATAAGAATTTTGCGAAAAAATTGATGTCTGACATTTATTAGTTGCGTGCATTGGCAAACACTTGAGACTACTGCGGTAAACTGTTGCACTCATGTCGTCTGTGCTCATCAAAATACAAGGATTGAGTTGCTAAAACCGTTTTCCATTTATTTATTTATTTATCTTTGCTCTTCATCTTCGCCGAGATACCGTACGATAGTGAAGAGAGTCGAGTGTTTGCCCATAAATGGAAATAGTAGGGCGAGTAGGGCGCCGACCGCTGCACAACCCTTGTTTCCTTTTTCATTCTCGTCCGTTCGCGCCCCCCGTAATTCCGACTAATTAATCAATCATCTTTGTGTCGGCGTTCACTACTAATCATCGTATAATTGATTATGTAAACGCATATCGTAAGTTGAAATCGAATTGCCATTACAACAACGACAACAATAACAATACCAACAATACACAAAGAAGAAGAAGCAGAATATCATTTTCAGATGTCCTGGATGTTGCGTAGCTTGTCGGCGAGATTCCGAGGTCGCAATTCGTCGAACACGACGCGAGCGACTTCTGATCTACCGCCGGATGCGCAATTCGACCACAAAAAGTATGTGATGTGCAAAGTATTGCTGCTCGATGGAGCTCATCTCAACATCGTTCTTTCGGTAAGTTGAAGTCATATTTTCTTTATTTGATTTTATTGGCATTTGGGTTTTGATTTGTTTTTGGTTTTATAATTTCGAAAAAAAAACCTACCGCATTCAGGTTTACAACTTTTGATCATGTTTGTTTTTCAATTTAATTTTTTCAAAATGAAAATTGGCAAAAATGCCGAAAAAAACAAAGACAGTGATCTTAGCGAAAAAATTAAGTGTTGATTTACGGGCCAATGTATAAGGATAGGTTAAAGGCGCACACCGCACACTGATACCTATTTTTAAATTTTGTGGCATTTAGCCAACTCTTGCAGTCGCGCGACGTCGACAATATGTATTGTCGGCGTCAAGCGACTGAATGAAGGCAAATTCGCGAAATCAGTGTATGTTTAAATTAATCGTTGACTGAATATTAAATGCGCGTACACTATAATGCAATGTACGCAGTCTTGCGTACTACTCACTACACGCATTGGCACATAGCCAATAAATTTTTTAAAATTTCGTCAAGTCGGTTGACTCCGATTTTATTTCATCATTTTAATAGTGGACTTTTAGCGCAATTCACTTGGTCACGAACTTTATGAGGAAGTATTTTACTCATTGGATTTGGAGGAAAGAGACTACTTCGGCTTACAATTTACCGATCATTATAATGTTCAGGTGCGGTCATTTGTTCGTTTTCGGCGATCGTTTATTCAAATTGCTGACGTTTCAATGATTGTTTAGATTAATTTCGGAATTGTTTGAAGATCGAATTATAATCAGATTAACAAAGAATCACACTCTCATAGAAATTGTTCGTTCTTTCAGTCGTTTTGTTTTCGACACTTAAAAAAGAATCTGGTTCAAAATGACAATAGAGCACAATTCGCTCAGCTCAGTGCTCTGTTTTTAAAACAAAAGTAGCTCGATTTCTATTTGCATTTTTAATTATTTCAGCATTGGTTGGACCCGGCGAAAAAAGTGGTTAAACAAGTCGACATTGGACCACCTTTCACTCTTCGATTCCGCGTCAAATTCTTCACAACAGATCCAGCGAATAATTTGAAGGAAGAATTAACACGGTAAGTGCCGGTTTGATGGCATTTACTGATCGTCGCATAATTCAGATATCAATTCTTTCTGCAAATCAAACAAGACATCGCCAGCGGTCGATTAGCATGCCCCCATCATATTGCAACCGAATTGGCCGCTTTTTGTCTGCAATGTAATAATCAAACGACTCATTTTCTTTTTCATCAAACAATCATTTTCAGCGGAACTTGGTGATTATAACCCAGTGGAGCACACAGCTCTGTTTATTTCGGAATTCCGGTTTCATCCGGAGCAAGATGAAAAAATGGAATTGGATATTCTCGACAAATACAAGACATGCCGGTAGGCACTTTTATTTCGATTTCACACACACACACACATTATTTCTCAAATTTCAGAGGGCAAACTCCTGCTCAGGCCGAACAGAATTTTTTGAGCAAAGCGCGTTGGATCGAGATGTATGGTGTCGATATGCACACCGTGGAAGGGAAGGATGGAAACACGTAAGAGTACAACGTGAGCCCAAAGACGTTCAAGAATCATTTCTGTAGGTATCATTTGGGATTGACGCCACAGGGGATGCTCGTTTTTGACGGAACCCAGAAAATTGGACTCTTCTTGTGGGAAAAACTCCAAAAACTTGATTTCAAAAACAAGAGAATCACTTTGGTGGTTGAAGAAGACGCCGATGTCTCGGTAATACAAATACCTCGTTTATGATTTCGATGCAATGTTTTTTTGGGGTTTCAGAACAACGGACAAATCCAACTTCATACTTTCGTTTTTAATTTGATCTCGGAGAAAGCTGCAAAACATTTCTGGAAGTGCGCGATCGAGCAGCACGCATTCTTCCGCCTCAAATCGAAACCGGTTCAGCAGAGTCGCAAAATGCAATTCTTCCGTTTGGGTAGCACGTTCAAGTATCGTGGTCGTACCGAATACGAAACGGTGCACAAAGAGGGCGCGCGGCTCTCACGTCGACAATCGTGCTCTTTCGAACGACGGCCGAGTCAACGATACGGACCAAGACAGAGTCATGCGACTACCGCACAGATGCGAGAAGCCAGAAGAGCTGAGATCAGACAACAGGTGATTCTAGATGTGAAAAAGACCCGCGACAAGTCTAATGTGAGGCAATGCTTCAGGTTGAGCAATCGAGAAGTGCAAGCACGTCACAGTTAAAGTCTCCTGTTTGTATGGAGACGCCTGTGACACCAACAAATAATAACACAGCAATAAATAACAACAATGATAATATCAACAACAACAACAACAACAACAATAAGCACATAATACACGATTCAAGGTGAGTGGTTTTTAAAAACTAATTAAAATCGATATAATTAGGATATAATTATTGTTGAGGGATAAGGCTATTTTGATAACGTGACCAATATCAATATATGAAGAGATTGTTTTAGATCTACAAGTGCTAAATCATCAACAGTGTCAGTATCGGAGCCTTGGAACAACGTCACGAAGATCACCGTTGGTACGCTTGGTCCCACCGAATCGCACATTCCACGACCAGTAGCTCCTCCGCCACATGGCATCTCAACATCCGCCTCATTTTCACATTCTCAAACGCATTCGTCGAAAATTCCGCGAATGACAAGTCATACGGTATGTTGCAAAAACATGATTTATTTCGAAAATCTCATTGAAAAATGAAATCCAAGAGTTGAAAGAAGTTGCGAAGGTCCGGATTCGCACTCACAATCGCTTTCGTTTTTCGACTCAGACCATTGAAAAGACTTCGATAGATTTTGAGAATCTTGATAAACTTGCGCGCATAGTTCTAAATAGAAAAAAACTCGAAATTCGAAACGCTTCAATTCAGTCGTATTACATTGAGAAACGTGTAATAGCTCAAACGTGTGGTTGGATAGTATTTAATGAGAGTCTGAAAGCATCATATGATTATTTTCTGGTTCGTAAGTATCAACTACTCTGTATAGTATGTAGTATGGACTCCATATGATAGGAGAATGATGATAGGTGAAAGTCTGTAATATTTTACGATAAGCAGCTTCACACTAAGACCCTCAATTTATGATATTTTTGTCATTACCTAATATGTACTCTGACCGACATCAATATAATCATATCATTATCAGCATATAAATTTATAATTAATCATTTACCCTGAATGGGCGGATCGCACACGACGATCCTTTGGCGAAATAGTAGATGGGATATCTGCACAGCTTCTTAATTACCCAGTAGGAACCGGTGGCGATCTGAAGAATTCCGAGTATGATGAGTTCCCATTAATTAGCAAAGACTCACCTTTGAAAGGATGTAGTAATAGAAGATGGAGCTCATTGCTTCAAGTCGACTTGGGTTGAATGATACTTAACAGCCTGCAGGCAAAAATTATCGATTTTGCGGCAACCATGACAACGGTCTTTGTCGAGCATCTGAGCGACACAAAATTTATGCGAACACACATTAAACGAGCACTAGACCAAAAACGAACCACATAAATTTATTGTATAGTGATTTTCGAGGCCGGACACTCGTTTATTCGTTTTTCTTGGAAAATGTGCATAATTTATTCCAGGAGCCACGCAAGTACTCCCACGGAGAATCGGAAGCTCGCAGATTCCCACCAACGAATTGCCAACCGCAGCCGACGCATAATGACGTAAATTTTTGTGCATTCAATTGTTTTTTGGCATTTAATCGCAAAAAAAGTTTAGATTCACTCGCGAATCCCGTCACGAATAGTGCCCCCGATGAAGAGTCATCGACGAATTGTCACCGATTTTTAGACTCGCCACTCAACCGACTTTGTTTCCGTTTTGATGTACATAATATACTAACAATACTATTTAATAAAAGATTTTTAAAATCGAAAAACAATTTTTTTCCAAAAAAAAGCTGATTTAAAATTCTCATATTATTGGTGACGAAACCCAAAAACTGCTGCTGTCCTTGTCGTGGACTATTCATTCTGGATTTTTGCTGTTTTGTCCTTTTCTCATCAAATAAAAAATATATTGGAATTTTTATTATTAGTAAAAACAATACCCCTTGGATTTGGATTTCATTATTCGATTTTAATTTTCTATTGTCGCGAAAAAATATATTGGCAAAATGCTAAAAAAAAACAGTGACAGTGGTCCCGGTGAAAAATTAATAGTGTAGATTTACGGGCTCATGTGACAGCTTAAAGCTGCATACCACGCATCGAGACAATTTTTTTTTAATTTTTTGGCATTTAGCCAATTTTCCGAAGTCGCGCGATGTCGAAAATACTATTGTTTTAAGAATTTGGAGTAAATAACGTATCACCCTCAATTTATTTTTTTTTGAACTGACCAAGTATTGTCGGCGTTAAACGACTGAAGAGAGGCGGAGCATTCAAAATCGCGAAATTAGTGTAGATTTATATTTTCCGTTGACTGAATATTAAATGCGCGTACGCTATAATGCAATGTACGCAATCTCGCGTACTACTCACTACACGCATTGGCACATAGTCAATAATTTTTTAAATTTCGGCCACTCGGTTGACTCCAACAATAGGTTAATATAAAAAATAAATTATGAAAATAAATGATTTCGTCAAGTATTGCAAAAAAAAATTAAAAATTATTCGCGAAATGAAAATATATTTTCACATTACGAATTTATCTATTTCTTTTGGAGCGAACACTTGAAAAAAAAAGAAACAAATTTCAACAAAAAAGGCTCACATTTTTCTGTTTAGGCGAGCGATGAGAAAAAAAGTTTGGGAAATTATTCATGAAATGAGGTATGTCGATGGGGGGTAGGAAAAGAAAAATCGAAGAGTTTATGTTTGGAAGATTCTCGTTGGATAGTCTAAAACTCGAAGAAGTGTGTGCGATAGTCTCTTTTCATTTTCTATTTTATGTAAATCAATGGAAAAAATGCAGAAATATTTCGTGTCATTATAATTTTGCTTCTCAAATTGCCATCCTTTTCATCATGTATTTAATTGGCTTCATAACCCTCATTTGGAGTTCTCGCTCTCTCAAGATCTTCGTTTTTCTTATACTATCACTTCTTCAATAATCGCGTCACAGTGCATTTTTTTGGAATTTTGATACTTTTGTTCTGTGATGTAATTAAAACATTCAGAGAAATCGGCAAATGCTAATTAAGCGTTTTCAAAAAACAATGACTAATCCTCCGATTTGTCACTTTTATTTTTTGATTTGAATGGAATATTTCAACTTATCTTTTAAAATAGTTCTGTCAAAAAAAAAACTCTAAAACCTCTTGAATTCATTAGAATAAGAATTCAGAGCCTTTCTATTCTGATATTGCCCGAATTTATTCAAAAAAGACAGACTCGATTCTCACTACTCTTCAGATTTTGATCCCCCGCGATTCATTTGAAATTCCATTACTCAACACCTCAAAATTCCCACGATTTTCATCATCATCATTCGCGGCAAAATCCTAAGAAGAAAAAAAAGAAGGAAGGGAGCTCAGCAGCAGCAGCAGTTGTATAACTCGTATTGGATGCGTTCATTTCTAGTCATAAAACTGGTTTAGCTCATCGTAAATTCCAAGCAAAAGAGGCTCAACCTCAGATTTTTGCGGCTTTTGCCCTCCGACTCCCCGCGATTCTGCCAATCAACCACCAGTCCCGGGTTCGCATGTCAAAAATTGTCATTTTTCATTTGTCTGACACCTTTTTTATGTGATTTTGGCGCGGACCCATGGTTTCGAATGAATGTGCGCACACGAGAGGCGAGGCTTCTCACTCCCACCACGGCGCCGCCAAAATGGAAGCAGCTTCTCGCCCCGTTTTTCCTCTTCATTTTCTTCCAATTTCGGTTCCGCCCGTTTTTCAATTGCCAATTCGTCGTCGTTGGGGCGCTCGTCGACTCGATGCTCACAAATGAGGTGCAAATTTCGAGCCATCCGTTTCATCGTGCTCAATCGTTTTTCTTCTCAAAACCACGGATAATCTGTCGGTTGTAGTATTTTCATCTCCCTGCCCCATTGGCGACGAATTTCGATCTCGTCACTATTTATGAAAACACGTACCTCGATATTTAATATTCTTTGACTTCTATGAATTTTTTAACACGAGATTCAACAACCTACGCCACGCAAAAAGACCAAGTAACGAGTTCAAACTATCGATAACAAATCACAAATTCATTCTGCTCCAATTTTTGATCTATCACTTTCAGAAGTCATCTTAAATTCACCCTAGCTATCTGTACAATGGCACATTCCGAAAATGTTGACAAACAAGTTTTATGCTAAATTATACGCTCCAAAATTTATCAAGCATAAATCAGCTATATTAGTAATCGAAAACGGCGGTAACCTTTAAAAATGTCAAGTAAGAAGTTGACAAATTTTCTCTATTATAGTATATATATATATATATATATATATATATATATATAAAATAGTCTATTCAAACTACGGGGATCAGAAGTAGAGAAAACTCAAAAAAGTAGCTCTCATATCTAGTTGGTCAAAGTGCACAACCAATATTTTTTATGTATGATGTTATTCATGAATCTTCAAAATATTTTAATTTCATTACAAAACTATTTTTTGTATCGTTTTTTTTTTCAATTTCTCGGCAACATAATCCATTAATAAAAATGACAGATGACATTCATGTTTAAATACTTGGTAATTTTTCTGGAATATCTTCACACGTTATCATATCATTTCATTAAAAACTGCAAAAACTTCTTGATAATGCCTTGCATGATCCCAATCGGTTCATTTTTTCTAGAACTTCGATCGCAACAATCATAATAGATGGTGAGAAAATTCGCCACCTTCCCATTCGTTCGAAATCCAAAATTCAATGTTCGTTATTTTACTATCCCTCCTTCCATATTCTATACTATACATCGCATTTTTCAATTTTGCGTCGAGTTCTCGAAACACACAAAAATATGCTAAAAGTGCACTAGTTGGCCGTGTTCTCAGATTGCCATTAAGAATTTGAGACGAGCTTCGCGTTGTTTCGCCCTCCAAACATTTTTTTTCCTCTGCTTTGGTTCTTTCTGCTCGTCCGTTAATAACATAGCAACGAGTCAGGCACCGGACGCTCCGCCACAAAAATACTAATTTTTTGCCCATTTCCGACGGCGACACGAACCGAGAGCACGGCTCAACAACAGGAGAGGATTGAAACAACGCACTACATCCACACCATCATCACCCATCGCTTATTCATTTTCGTCGTCATACAATTTTCGTAGCCGTTATAAACAAATCACCAAAAAAGGTAATTCAGCTAATAGCTTTTTCTCTTGATTAGAATTATTTTCAGAGTACCCCACATGGTGATTAAATGTAGCATAATTTACGCTGTTTTAATTCAAGCCATCGTTGAATCGAATCCAAATTATCAATGGTCCTATGATTCTGACGTATTCGGTGGTCCCGACTTTTGGGGTCTCGTCGAGAAGGACTGGTGGATGTGCAAGAAAGGACGATTACAATCGCCAATTGATATTCAACCGAATCGATTATTATTTGATAGCGCCATCAAACCAGTCAGATTGGACAAATTGCCGGTAATTAACAAGACAAGTCAAATTACATATGATCGTAATTAAGGTGCTCTCTGAATTAGTGAACACTGGCCAAATGATTCGAGTTCGAATTGGTTATTTTCATCGAAAACCAAGTGTTAATATAACTAACGGTCCTTTATATGGGTACAGATATAGGTGATACTGATTTTTTTTTTTCGAGAATATTAGAACACTCCGATTTCCAGAGTTCAACGTGTTGACATTCATATGGGTCGCGGACGAGAAAATGGCAGCGAACACACGATTAATGGTCGTCGGTATCCGATGGAAATTCAACTAGTCGCATTTAACACTGATCTCTATGCAAATTTCACAGCAGCATCCAAATCTCCACACGGAATTGCAATACTTTCTGTTCTGGTTGACGTAAGAATCACATTCCAAGTTAATCGTGATATTATGTTTTCAGTTCGGTAAAGAAACCAATCAAGAGCTCTTAAAACTAACAGTAGCAACAGCTAGCATTTCTTATAAAGGTTTGTCTCTACAAGATGATATCACGGAAATAAATGAAATTTAAAGACCAAAGAGTTCAATTAGGAGATTTTGAGCCGTGGAGGCTCTTGCCGTACACCAGAGATATTATAACTTATGACGGATCTCTTACTTCACCAGGGTGTCATGAAACGGTTTCCTGGATGATATTCAATCAACCTATTTACATCACCAGGGATCATGTAAATTAGATTAGGAATACAAGCTCACTCCAATTAATAATAACTTTGTAGTTTAAAGAATGGTCCAAAGTTTACATAAGCCGCGAAGGAGAGGAAAAGGTTCCCGTTGCTCCAAACTACAGGAAAACTCAAGAAACGAATAATCGTCTTGTCAGGACCAATATACAGCATAAGGTACATATAAATTGGGAAATATTGACAAAGATCCGCAGTCGACTTCGACAATGATATGCATTTAATTTTTTTTTCAGATCAGCTATAACTGCAAAGTGTCAGTGAATCGAGTTAGTTATCGAGCAAATACTCGAAGCATTTCTCACAATCGAAACCCATTCAAGCCATAAGTAATAGCCATATTTGCTCAATTGTTTTCATCTGTTTCATTTCTCTCCTTTTTTGAATGAATCGACTATTTATACACTTCACAAGTCTATATTTGAAATTTGTCGTTCATATGGACAACTATTTCAATTCGATTAAATAAACATGGACCAATCGTTTAATGGTGCTTCTCACGCTCAGCCTCGAATCCAACTCCAGGAACGTATTGCTCAGCCTTGTTGTGGAAGAGCGAATGGTTTCCGTCTCCCCATGGGAATGGCTACAAAACATGATTTTGTTTCAACATAAGTGAAAATTTTAGAACAAATCTTAGTTTGGGCATCTCAAAAAGGAGTACTGGAAAATCAATAATAAAGAATCAGTCAACGATATCCAGATTTTACAAATTTAACGAAATAGCCGCTCATTATACCAAATTTTAAAATTTGACGTATCCTGTTTGGAAAACGTCAAAAAAAGCTTGAAAAGAAAATTTTGCCATAAACAATGAATAATACCTTGTTGCGGACATTCAAGTAGGAGTATTCGACGTATTCTGGACGCTCGTGGGACCTGAAAAAAAAACATTGTTTTAAATTAACGAAGTCGTTTTTTTTTACATATGCTTCTTATGATCTTTGAATGCAGCATACATGGTGAGGGCGAGGCAAGGAATCGATGCAAGGAAGAAAATCTTCTTCCAAGTTTCTCTGGTAGCTGAAATAAAATATTTTCCTATTTTAATGACAAAATATTTTTCCTTCAAGCTTAATTTACCCAGACTAACACTCTAAAATATTGCTAGACTGCCATAATTTATCTATAACTTATTCTAAAATATTAAAAGAAAAGTTATTTGTTAAATCATAAAATTGATTAGGACCGGAAAACTTTTAAATTATTGAAAAATGTTATATGATTCCTTAAAATAAATTGAGAGAATTCACGATGAATCTTAAAATATTATAGTCAAGGTATATTATTAACTACCAATGAAACGCGAAAAATCTATTTAATTTTCTACAAGTAAAAAAATCAAGAGGAAACATACTGTCCGACTGCTTCAAGGTGCTGGTCAGAGAATCCTTAAATCCTTCAACATTGTTGCTCGAGTAGAAGGAACCAGATGAGTTACGCTGGAACGACTTCACAACTGAGCGCGATGTTGGCAGAATGAGACGGTTCATGTCGTATCTGCAAACTGAATTAAAGTATAATTTAAAATCTACTAAACAATTGAAAGCAAATAAAAGATATTTCATGAAATATATCAAAACTTAAACAAGTATCATAAATCATGAAAAAACGAGATATGTTAAATCATTGGAAAAAAATAACTGCTTCAATTGTTTGTAGAATAATGTTTATGCATAAAACCTTAAAAAAAATAGAAAACTTCAAGAAAGGAAAAGAAAAAAAAAAGAAAACACGAATATAAAGACGAAACGTGCAGCTAGTAAATACTGCACGAAAGGGGAGGCCGTTGTCACTGCGAGACCTATGTCGATTTACGCGCCCGCCTTTAAACCAGTACATGCAGAGATGACGGTCTGGATGAAAACACTATCGGTTTTCCACATAACAACAAGTTATTAAAAAGAATATAGGCTTAAAAAATAATTAACGTAAATATAAAACCATAATAATGTGATATCTCGAAAAAAATGAGCGAAATTATTATTTCTTAATTTCAGAATGGATGTTAACCGAGTAGAAAAACAATTGGTAATATGTTGAATAAAAATGAGATGAATTCAGATTAAATCAAAAGCTATCGAGAAAAATGCAGCAATAATTTCTGCTGAGAGAAAGTAATTGAATATTTGTGAAAAATAATTGAAATTTGTTCGATTTTTTCAGAAACAGACAACTTTTGCTTCCAAATACGCTAATTGTGAACGAAGCGAATAAAACACAATGGCGAATTATTTCCCATTTAGGGTCCGGTGGGTTTGGTGATGTTTATAAAGTAGCGGATGAAAAATACGGAAAAAAGACAAAAAAGGTAAATATAATTATTGGAAAATGTTTCCTATCAATTGTATTTAGTATTATGCAATGAAAACGGAGATGCATTCTGCAAAAATGCACCGGTTGCGATTGGAACAAGCAATTCTGAAGGAACTTGCTGAGTATGATCGAACCAGCAAAAAGAAACAGCATTTTTGCCAACTTTTTGATGATGGAAACACCAAAAATTTTTCGGTTTCTAAAATACGCAAAAATTGAATACGATTTTTGGATTCAGTGGATTGTAATGACTCTGATTGGACCATCACTTGATCAAATTCGCAAAATGCTCAATAAGCAATTCAGTGCGACCTCAGTTATAAACATGGCTCTACAGACTCTCGACGTCAGAATGCGTTTCATAATATTAATTGAAATTAATTTTTTTAGGCAATTCATCACATGCATGATGTCGGATTTATTCATCGTGATCTGAAGCCAGGAAACATTTGTGTTGGAATTCCACCAAAAGACGAGACCACATTGTTTCTTCTCGATTTTGGAATTAGTAGGCGAATATATAAATCAGCAAAAAGTCGAATCCTTCGGGTAGGAAGATGTTGAACAATTTTTGGGTTTTTTGGGGAAAAAAAGAAATAATTCGAATTTTTAAAGAAAGAACGAACGAAGGTTCCTTTTTTTGGAACTCGAAAGTTTTGCAGTCGAACTTGTCATTTGGAAAAAGATCAAGGAAGGAAAGACGATATCGAATGCTTCATCTATACTGTATTCATTTTTTTACAATTCCATGATAATACATTTTTTAGGTACTTGACTTGTTTCACCATGAAAAAGGTATTCCATGGAATAAAATAATCGGCGATTCGAAGAAAATACTTGAAAAAAAGAATGAGTTGTTTAGTGATCCGAAATCGGGTATTCGATGGTCCCATTATTTGTCATCATCTTTTAATTCTTCAGTTCTCAACCCGATGATTCCTGTTCAAGTGTGCGATATAATCGAATATATCGAAACATTGAAATTCGAGGATGAAGTCGATTACAAGCTCATTGAGAACGAATTGATTGAAGCTGCAAACGAACGCAGTTTGAATTTGAAGGAAAAACTTGATTGGCAAGGAAAACTCGAAGATATGCTCAAGGTTTGTCATCTCAAAAATTTTTTAAAATTTTCTTGAACTCTTTTTTTTTTAGATTAAAATCCTTCTTAAAGGTCGTAAGTTATCGAGAGAAGTTATGGCAGATATCAAACGGAGTGGTGAAGAGGTTTTTTTTTTGTTGAATAATTCTCTCGAATTGAACCCAATCTTAAATTGTTTAGGCGAAAGGCGAGGAGACGATGCATCGAGATCGAATCCAGGAGAAATTGAGGCTGCGAAGAATAAAGTATTTTTTGAATATTCATCAATTTGAACTGTTTTTTTTTAAGGGAGAGACCACATGACGATCGAACTCGGACGGTATCGATGTCAAAGGAAACTGACAATTTGAACGCCAAGAAGCCCGATTCAGTTATTAGCGATAAACTGATCACACAGGAATCTGACCGACAAGCGCGAAATTTCTGTGGTACGCCGGTTGGGTATGTCTCTCGTTTTTTTTTGTTTTATTCACAAACAGGAAGCGGTGATCAATGCTCATTTCGCAGACTCAAGCGAGAATCACTACGAAACAGCATGCCGTCATCATCAGCATCAAGGAATCGCAACGAGATCAGTTGACGTTAATCGAATGTTAAAAGATGAAATGTGTGTGGTTCTTTGTGTATCAACAGAGATCTCAAAAAGAGACGGATATGTTGAGGACTTTTTGTCGAATGAATCGATAGATATTTGCTCGCCAATGATGAAATTATGATTGATTCGATGTTTGCGATGCATTCCAAATTGCCTTCTTGTTATTCCATTCATCCTCTCCAATAAATTCCAACTAGCATTTCGGCACAATGATGTTCAGGGTGAGTAAAAATGCAATACGAAACAATCACGTCCGTTGCGACGATGAACAATTGACTTATTCACGTAGTAATGTGTAATCACGTATAGTTAGTGTAGTTGCGCAAATAATGCTCGACTGCTGCGCAAATGTGGCGAGCTTGTTCATTGAATTGTCGGTGTCCTGTATGTACAACATTCGTCGGACACGTTCTTCGAAAAATCGAAAGAAAAACGAGTGCGATGAATGCATATTCTCCATTTTTTGGCCGATATTTTTCGTCTCATGTTGCCCTCGATTTGAATAATGATTCCCCCTCCTTCATTCATTCATTCTATTCGATTCTTTTCCGCTTCACTTTATTTCCATTTTTGTCAATGAAATGAATCAATCAATTTTTTTAGAATCAGATAGCGATTTGGGCATGGTCATAAATAAAAAGCGGTTATATCTTTTTTTTATTGGGCTAGGGCGTTCTTTTTCCGTTTGTGTGTCTCTCCTCGCGAGTTTCGCACGATTGCCTGTCTTGCGATTTTCCGGCCATTATTCGACACTCAGTGCCATCAACACAGGACACGAGTAATCACGAACTGTTCAACTACTTCTCTATTTTTTTATACAACCCATTTTGCAATCATATTGATTATTTTTATATTTCATAACGTTGCAATTCATGCTTTTGAGGCTGGAAGTATTCCATATTTGGTGAATTGAAGAAATAAACGTTGCCTAGCAATATATTCGGAAACGTGAAATAAATTAAAATGTATTATTTAAATTTGTAGATTTCACCAAAAATTGTATTAAAAAAAAAAGAAAAAACACAAAAACATAAAGTCTGCAGAAAAGCGACGCGGTGTTTGCAGACCTTCTCGTTTAATATAACTCAAAGCCAATAATTATTTCGAGGCAATTAATATTAGGTTAAAGCTAGCTCAAAAGTTTTCCAGGAAATGTCCGACAATTGACCGCTCAAAAGTGTGTACCCGTGCGTGTTTGTATTTGAGCAAGTGAGCAGAAATCAACAAAAAATGGGCAACAACTCGTTACTGATAAACTTTTGGCGGGTCCTCAACTTCAATTGGTCAGCAAACAAGCTAGCCTGCCTTCTTTTATTGGAAAGCGACAAAACTTGACTTGCAGTCAAAGAGAGAAAAAAAATTGTCTAATCAGCTTTGTCCGCAGATATTGATCCGTCAAAATTCATCGTTCAAAAGTCTGCGCGTCCACGTCGACGCCGCTATTTCGCACGGTTTCCGACGCGCGTCGTTGTCGCGGCGCCGAAAAACTCCAGCGAAAAGTTCATCATATTTTTTGTCTCACTAATTATTCAGCGAATCTCATCCGGCTCCTCGCATTCGTCGGTTTTACAACCGATTTCTCGCCAACGAATTTTTTTTTAATCATCTCGCAGAATTTGTTCCACCCAGATTGTTATGACCTTGTCCAATTATTCGCCCCCCCCCTTCTCATCCGTGTCCCTTTCTCGCACATTGTTTGCCGTCGAAACATAAAAAATTGAACGGAATGCTACGAATGTTACAACTATTGCTAATCCAAGCCGCTTTTGAAATCGATTCTGCAGACTTCGATATTATTGACATTGAAGATTATTGTTTGAGGGGGCTTTCGTACACGAAAATGAAACAATTTTTAATTTTGTGCCCTCTTTCATTTTGCAACATCGTGATGGCAACATTTTTGAGAGGAAAAAGCAAGAAACACTAAAAAATTTTTCTAAAAAGTTTTTATGAGGAGAAGCGAACATAAATAATTATCCCTCAAGGTCATCAAAAATTGCAAAATATACTCTTGATTTTTCATTATAATAAAACCCCTTGACAACTTTTATTTTTAGTTTTTTTTTTCATGCGAATGCCACAAACGAACCCGTAATCTTGCTCTTTCAGAAATTTTGCGCCATCCATTTCCTCCGCTTAAAAATAATAATGAAACTGTCAGCCAAAATATTCTGATTTGAACCAAACATCTTAGAAATTGAAATATGAAAAATCGTCAAAGTTACTTAAACTCTGGAAATCAAAATTCCGACTTCGAGATAATCATATTTTATCGATGAATTGAGCTGCACTTATTCTTTTTGATTTTGATTCGCGATCCGTTGCGCATTTCGGTCATTCATTGAGACTCGTTTCGAAATAATTAGTCGAGTAATCTGCGCCATCAATTCAAAGTTTCGCGATTAATCTCTTGTGACACCTGGAAACGTTGCGTACTCAATCGATCTTGTCTTTATCACTACATAGTATCCTTTTTGTTCAGGGTATGATTGAATCTACAACTTCGCATCAAGACTTCCAACAAAGGTATTCTATGAATTTTATCGATAATGAAATTTTGAGTGTTAAATTGAAGGGAATTGAAACCGAAATTTGTTTTTCAAAAATGTTTAAGACTTATTTATATATTAAGAATATAGAAATGAATAATTACATAAATGAATTGGCAATAATGAATTAAGGGCAATGACGGGTTATGCTCTAGAACAACCGTCGTACCGGATTCGCGGCGCGTTGTTTCGTCACAACGAAGACGGCAGATTACTATCAGGTAATTAGAATTATATTCGCAATCAACATTCCCATTTAAAGGGTGTGGCGGTGACATTGAAGTGATTCATTCGTTAGAACTTGAGAGATCGCAGCACACTGGAATCCCAGTACGCGTCACAAATGTTGTCGTGTTCGGTTCGCACGACACAATTCGAGAAATTCAACCAATCGAGGGAACCGGTAATATTTGGAAGAAAAAAAAAATCAATTGACATTCAATAGAATAATTATTTTAGAGGATATAATCGTTCATGGTGATTATTATGTATCGATTATTCAATCGGTTGAGCTATTCGAGAGCTCAACAGTATCGCGATCTCGAATTCTCAAGCTTCCCGGAAAAATTGTTGCGATGAATGGAGAGAAGCACTCAAAAACTGAGGTATTCCTCAAAACGATTCTCCCGAAAAAAAATGCCAATAATTAAGCTTCTTCTCTGTTTTCTTCTCGAAAACGGATTACACCATTATTCGTTCTGTGCTCACAGCAAACTCCATTTTCAATGTATTCAGGCGTTTCGTTGCACGTGAGGGCATCTCATTCGAAATCACTTTTTTTTTTAATTCAAATTCTTCTAGTCGCCCAATTACCAGCGGCCTTCTTTGGCGAGATTCCGGCCTTCTGCATGTTGCCTACTACGATGGATTCGTCAGGGTCGGTGTCGTGCATGAGCAATATGAAGACATGCTTTTGGTCAAGGTACTTTTTTTCTCAAGTTGCCTCAATTTTAATAATGGCATTAATGGATCAATACAGTGTTTGCAAAATTGTCGTATTTGTTTAATTTGACTCTAAAAGTGATTATTTCGACTAATTCGCTGAATAGGTCCATAATGAAAAGAGCTAGTTTTGTTGATAATCATCAACCTGACAATCATGATTGAATTGGCGGGCTGAGTCACAATTTACGACCCTCAATCATTCATTATTACCGACAAAGGTGTGCCACGAATTGACATTAATCAATCAATCAATATGCATAAAAAATGCGGAATTTAGAAGAGATGCGTACAGTTCCGCAGGAATGAGGGTCCATTCAATTCAGAACACGAATATGGATTTTGACTGAGCCCGTTATAATCCGCTAGTTCAACAATTCAATTTAAGAGGGTAGCCGCCAACCGGAACAATCTTCCAGTTCTTCTTGACGTCGTTTCTGAGGAAATTGGAAGAATTCAGAAGTTCGAAGAATCTGAAACGCAACGACGAAACGATATGCTGAATGTATCGAAGGGTTTGGCTGAGAGAATCGGCCAAGATGATCATCAAGACAGTGCTGAAAACGACACAACGAACGACGATTTCGCAAAATTGAAAATTGATTTCAAAAATCAATCGGTAAATATTGAAAGAGGAAAAAATAGGAGAATTTGAAAGTGAATAAATTGATTTCTAGATTCGATGTGAGCGGGTCTCGCAACGACTTGTATGTTTGCGGAAACTCGTCGGAATCATCAAGTTCGCAATGGAAGCTGATGAGCTTATCGAGCACAACCTGAAACTTCTTGTCACCGAGTTCGATGAGCTCGAGAAACTTGAGGCACTCTGCGAACAGGTGTACAGTACCGGCAACGAGAGCCTGATCGGCAAAAGCTGGATCGCGGTGGAAGAGAAGCGAATGGTTGTTGATGAGCTGATAAGCAAAGTGAGCGCTGACAATGTCTCGAAGCACGCGGAAGAATGGGAGCAGAAGATGGATCAGATCATCGAGCAACTGAACGGATGCAACGAGTCGCCGAAGGATATGCGTCTGATTCTCAGCCAGAACATCTTCGAACATCGCGGCGACAAATCGGACGTATTCACCCATTTCGTTCTCGATCCCAACGCACGAGATGTCACATTGTACTGTCTTTCTGGTCTGAGTACGGTAGCTATTTATCCAAGAAAGGGAAAACGGTAAGAATGTCGAGAAATGTGTGCTGATGACCGAAACGAATGCATTTAAGGGTTGCTTCCATTTCGCTAGACGCCTCATTCGCAACAAAACTCACGGCGGCTTGTTCGATGAAGTCCATCGAAGGGGTTTACGTAGCCGACGACAATGCGGTCTTCCCAATTTATTTCTACAGGTTCGCCCTCTTGATTTCCAATTCATTTATCTGTTTTGAACGTGGTTTTAGACCTAATTTGTTTTAATTAGGAGTAAGTCGAAATTGTTGTATTAGTGTGAGCACCGAAATTTTCAGACATCGAACGAAAACTGGCCGAGGGTTTGTTTCTCCAATTTCATACGCTCTCATTTCTTTTCTCCTCAATTAATTTTGGGCCCACACCTTTTTTTTGCATGAAGCTTCCTCTATTTTCTCTGTCGTTTGAATTATCGCAACTCATTTTCATTGTCGATTATTTTCAGAGAAAAACGATTCCTTGATGCTGGAAATCAAGTTCAAATCCCTCCATTCGATAATATCACTTCAATTTTGATCGAGCCTCATCAAATGGTAAAAATGGTCCCAAAATTCGAAATCGGAGAATCTTGAGAATTTGCAGTTTTTGGGTAGTGTGACTGGTGGTCTGCTTCATCTCTCATTCGACTATTCCTCGAATTATGATCATTTCGTTGTTGCAAGGCAAGTGGCTAATCAGCAATTATGGATAATTTTACACCTAATTAACACAATGGACTTTCGAATTTTGCGTATTTATTTTTATTTCAGTAGTATGCTAGCCCATCCTGTTTCCACGGGACCTGTCCATTGTATTCGACTACTCGGAACTGGAGAATCTGTGCTGGCGATTCACGGAACCGACACAGAAGTCGTCGTGTCTGAAAAGGACCAGGATCGCTGGCATCGAGTCACTCAGCATTCCGGAGGAGCCCATTGTATAGCAGTCACGCCGTTTTCGGTTGCCGAACGCGGCGCATTCGCGGTGGTCGGAAGCCACACATTTGTTCGGCTCAAAGCCCTTCAGTACGCCGAAGAGAGCTTGATCGGATTGCACGATCTCGGAGAATCTCATGCCGAAGACGAGAACAATCGACAGATCGAGGTGTTGAATGTGAGCCTCGATCCTTCAATGCAGTATCGGCAAATGCCGTGCAAACTTCGCTATGCTGTCGGCTATGCGGACAAGGCCATCAGGTGATTTTGGCATTCGCCCGATTCGAGTCGCAACATTCCGATCTCAGAACATATGTTGCATTGCTGACCGGCCAGCACGATTTTCTGGTGACTGAGAAGTTCATCGCACAAATCGAACCACTGTACAATGTCCAACAAATGATCTGCTTCTTCGGAAGGCCGATGGGATGCTATGTGAGCTGCGCCAAAACTCTCCAAATTTGGAACGATTTGGATCGACATCAGCAAAAGAAATTGAAGAGTGAGCGAATGCAGCTGCATAAGGTATAGTTAGTTATGCCCAACCCAAAATGCTCATATTATTTAATACTCCAGATGCAATCGTCTGTCACATCTCTCGACAGAATCGAAGGTTATTTAATGGTTGGATTTAATGATGACCGGGTGTCGATTTATGAGGAAAAAGGATCCGGAGCAATCGAATTGGTGGGAACTATTGAGGGATGGCATCAAAATTCGAATGAACGACAAGTCCAATGTAGGAATTGATATGAGATCTTGCCATATTCAACTATGAATTACAGTATTGCGGACAAGAATTTTGCGAACTTCGAATGGAACTCGATTGTTCATTCATTCACTTACTCCTCATCATATTTTGATTCACACGATTCTTATAATCGATTCCAAAATTGATCAGGTAATCGCTAGTAAACGATCTCACGCTCATTTAATACAATTTCCAGCACGACTTTATTATTGCTCACGAACATTCGATGCACGCGCCAACTGGATTCGAATTCGTCTCTTACAAGTATTTCACAAAAAGGTTGAATTGAAAATTGAATTCTGATTCAAGGTACTTCGAATTTCTGGTGTTCGGCAAAGGAATATCCATCGAGCGTCTTTCAATCGAAACAAGAAAGCAAATGGATAATTATCGCGATTTCGAGTTTTGCTGAGTCACCAACTTCGCAAAAAAATAACAATCTATGCCGCCAGACGCGTTGCGGCTCGCGTGCGGTTGCATTCATTTTTGTTAAAATCGGTTTTGCAAAATAGGTTAGTTTTCGTACCTTCAGATAAGATTATGATTTGTTGGAAGAAAATGCGAACCGCAACGTGCCTGGTCTTGCGGCGAATAATTCTGATGGCCGCTCTTTTTTAGAAACAAACTCAATATGAGTAATGAAATCCATTCTTTTACATACCATGCTATTCAGTTTTTCTAGAATTTTTATCGGGTAATTGTTGGGCTCAACGTGTATTTTTCGATTCAGTTTTCCATTATTTTTTTAATTTCTAGAAATATGTAATCTAACACCCCGGTTTTCTAATTGCCTTTTAACACCATTTCAGGTTGGGATAGTGATATTACATGACATTAATGAATTTTTATATTTATTAATAAATTTTTGTTTTCAATTCTTCGAACAATGAATAATTAAGCCAATCAGCTCAATTAGAGTTTACAAAAACATTAATTAATTAATTAAACATTGCATTACTCACAGCATAATGAATGAATTGTGATGTGTATGAAATATTCTCCCTTGAGTGGCTTTGTTTAAAATTTCAATAAATTTGAGGCCATGTTTGGGAGAAACAAAAACGACACAATTTGCAAATGGATTGTGCAAAATGTGCTCTAGCTGTCTCAGTTTTCGTGGGTGGGGTTTTAACCTCTTTTCATTTATAAATAGAACAACACTCGACTTTCCATTTATGTCAACTGAAATGTTTTTTTTTTGTTGATTGATGTCTAAAAAAATAATAGAAAATATTGCATTTAAAATAGTTTTTTTCCTCTTTTCGTGTATCAGATTTCAGGTACGTCTAATGAGTGAGATATACTTCTTAATAAGGCAATCAATTAATCCAGGCGCTCTAATAAGTATCAAACTTCATGTCTCATATTCTCAGTCATTTTTCTCGATTTCTTATACTCGCGATTTATTTTCACCCATTTTGCCTATCTATCAGAATTTTTCCGCGTTGGTCCATTATCGAACCCTCACGTGTCTCACTTCTATTGATATTTCGATGATCTCACAATAACTGTTTTATGGTTTCAAAAAAACTATAATAGATGCCATTAAAGTGTCTAATTATGAACCAATCATCATTATACCAGTTCATATAATGGTATCTAGTTTTTATGAGAGAAATACGAAACGGTTAATGCGAACGGATATTGTGTTATTCGACGATGAGTGAAATCGATATATCGGTCGCAATCGCAATCTCGGCAAATTTGCGGATTTAGAGGAATTAGATGAGATTCGGGGCAACCCTTTTGTAGACTAATTGCACTGAATTGTTGCTATTCTAATTATTATTTATTTTTCACCACATATCAATTCCCCTTCTCTCATAGCATCCAACACAACAACTTTGAACGATTATATTACAAATTGTAATGTAGCGGTCAGTTCAAAAGAAGGTGACAATTGGCTAAAAACGAGAGAAGAAAGGAGAGAACAAAAAAAAAGCAAAAGTGCACATAAAAATTATCAACAGGTAGGTCAGTTTTTATGTGAAAACCCGCATCGCGTTATCACTTAACTATATGGCGCCGCAAAAAAAAAACCGGCATTCAATATATTGTCAAACAATTTTGTCGAAAATTTCCTGACGCGACGGCGGCAAAAAAATTGAGAAGAAAAACCGCAACGTTTTGCTTGCATCATTGATTTCGAGCTTCTTCTTTTTCGTCTTTTTCTTCTTCGTCGTCTCCCGTGTCGCTTGCACCATATTCAGTTTTGTGGCTCTCTGTCATCTCTCGGCATTTTTCGCCGACATTCGCCACTATCTGCGACGGTGATCTCTCTGCGTCTCGCCGCGAAATGCAATCGCCGCGCCATCGTCAGCGCGCTCTTTTGTCTATCGATGATCATGGATGGTGATGATACGCGCATAGTGTGTGCGTGCGTGTGTGGATGCATTATTTTTTCGTCTTCTTCCCTCATTCTCCGCATGTGTCGATATATTAGTTCGATGTATGTTTTCTGTCTTTTTCTTGCGCCTGTCTCGCCTTGCGGTGGCGGCGGCTGCGCCGGCGACAGCGGTGGCGACGAAGAAGGCGAAGAAGAGGATTCGGGCTACACCAGCACGCCTAACTCTGAGAAGCTCTTTTGCATTTTTGTCGTCATCATTAAAGCCGGCCGTTTTTCGCCTCCCATTTGCTTCCATTAAAGAATCAGCTGGGGTTTTTTGAACTTCCGTCGCTTCCACTTTATCCAATTTAACGCTTCATGACTCCTAGATCAGGATAAAGATAAATAAATGTCTGAAGGATTTAAGCGAGACAGACTAGAAAATTGAAGGGTTCTGCGAGAAAATATAAATCAAAAGCCATTTAAAATGCAAATATTTCCATCAAAAATTTAATGTTTTTTTTTCATACTGTATTGACTGCAATGGTGCGCCATTGCGATTGCGTGTTTGCACAGTTTTTTTCCGCTTTTCATTTTCGCACATCAAATTTAATGTATTTATTTCATTTTTCTTAATCGTTTCTCGACAAAAATTTTTATTTAAAATAGTATATGAGGTGTTAAAATATTCATAAAAACTTAGAACAGCACGAATTTTGAAGCCTCCATGAATCTATTTGTTTTCAGGAATGTTTTCATTTTTTCTTGTGACAAGTCATCATTTGTCAATGCAATTTCATTTGATGAATTGAGGCACCGCTTGTAGCCCTTGCATTGGCATCCATTGCAATGACCATTTCTTTCAACTTTTTTGGTTTTCGCAACTTTCATTCCCATTTTGCCGATGCATTGCGAAAAATGAATTATTCACAATTTTGTGAAACTCTCATATTTTTTTCAACAAACATGCACGAAACATTCGAAGGATAGCATTAAGTTGACCTTCTCATCTTCGATTTTCCCACGATTTCTTTTTTATTGATTTAGGCAATATACCGCTGAATCTGTATGAATCACTGTGTCATCAATTGTTTATTTGTTTTTGATTACATCGAAACACACTCGCTGAGTGTATTCGAAAACCGTTTTTTTCGTTTTCTATATTGTCCTGAACTTTATCAAGGTCGTCCTCCTGGTTTGCCGCGTAGGCGCGTGTGCGCAACAATTGCGGATGCGGCCAATTTTGAAAGTTCCTGAACGTCATCTCCTTATTTTGCCGATGGACATTTTGTGTTATTGCTGTGTGGTTTTGCTCGGTTGAATACTCGACTAACAAGATCGAACATGAGTGAGAAGACACACACATACACGACGGGAGGAAAGCCAAAATGTTTACGTTTCGCGTTTTTTTTCTTTCCTGTGTCTTTGCCGTCTTTGGGATGTTCCAGCCGTGTGTATGTATGTGCCCGTATGGCTCCGGTCTCTTTATTGTTCTCCCCTCGCCCCTTCTTTTTTTTGGTTGGGCATGCGTTTCGCAGCAGAAAAAAACAACATCGAATTCCCGAAACTCTGTATTTATTTATTGGTGCAACGAAAGACGAGCGGAAACCGATCTCGTTCGGATTTTTGAACTCCTTTCTCTTCTTTTTTCATGTCAAACATTGTATCTTTTGCCTGCATCTTTTCTCGTTGAAAATTCGCCTTTTTAATTAACAATGTGATGAGATTAGGAGAATCAATTTCGCGTTTTCCTTTTGTTTGTTATTGAAATACTCATCAGAATCAAATACATACTTATATGGAATTGTGATCGACAAAAAGAGTCAAATGCGTCACTAGTTGATAACGAAAAAATGACACTATCTTTAAATACTTTAAGTATTATTAGTCCCACAGATATAATTATGTTCAAAATCAAAAAAGTCATTCAAATCGTTTCATAATATGTATTCTTTTTTTTTTAATTTTCTCCAAAGATTCGTGGATTTGCTATGGAATATTCCGACTCCCACAAATCTTCACAATATTATGCTTGATTTACTAGAGTATGTTCCGATCTCGATTTTTTGGCTTCTTTTCTCCTTTTCAATCCCCATAATGTATAGCTGACGTAATTTTGGACGTATCTTAAAATATATGAATAATAATTAAAGATATTATTCTGTCTATCAACCATCTATTAATACATACACTTGCGGCGATATCATTAAATATATCGAGGATTAATTGATTTATTGTTTTCTCAGAGTATGTTTTCACATAATCCTTGGATTTTCCTTGCAATGTATCGATACGTACTACGTTCTTACTTTGATTAGGCGGAAATTAATGATGTCAGTGTCAGAGTTGGCCAGAAGATTGGTTATTTTGATGACTAAATTCAATTTCCTCTCGTTTTTGGTGACTATTCCATTGTTTGTTATTCAAACCTTGCTTGATTCATTTCTCGAAATAGACCATTTGATTTCGGCCATCTTTCGTTGCATAATGTTCAATGAATATGCCAAACCCGCAAATGCGCGTAATCTCTGCGAATAGTTCGAACATGAGATTGGAATCTACCGTCTGAGTAGAAATGATCAAAGTCATTTCCGAAAATCTCTTCTTTTCCTAGCATATACAACCACTCTTCCCATAATGCGCAGTTGGCGCGCATCTGTGGAAAAATTTGAATTTCGCGGGTCACACATGTTCATGTTCATCGCGCTCATTTGACACGTTTACTCGTTTTATCCGAAGTGAGCCTGACGAGTAAATATTGAAACATTGAACGTTATTTGCCTCATTCTCGGTTTTCTTCTTCGTCTTTTTTCTTCATTGCCTTTCAAGGAACATGCAGAGGTCCATGAAAAGCACTCAACTTGAAGACAAAAAACATGATTTTCCCTTCTTTATTCTTTTTGCGAAATGAAGTGTATGCATGTGTGGTACTTGAACTCCATAAAATCGGCCTGTCGGCTTCTCCTATTAAACGTCTTCCCCCCCCCCCTTCCATTTCCTCCAAAGAGGTTTTAATAGCTGTAACCTTGGAACAAGAATGCTATTCACAATTGATCCTCTCATTTTCGCAATTTGCCGAAAACCAACATGCTGCAAAAATGCGCGATAAAAAGAAGTTCAAGAGAACAAATTGTGAGAGCCGAGAAACGCCAAAAATGCGTATGATGCTGGGGTGTTGCTGGTGCTTTTTGTGGTGCTGGCGACCCCCTGAGAATAGTGTTCCCATTTGACACCCTCAAGGCACGACGAGAGCCCCGCGGAATGTAATATGGAGGCTCCAGTCGTTGTCTTTTCAACTCCTTCTGCTTCTGCTTCTGCTTGTTCTCATTCGAAGAGACAGTGCTCGGCGCATATTTCAGAACGACGAATGACGAATTCGTTTTTTTTTTCTCCCCTCTTCTTTGTGCTCCCGCTATTTGTGAGCAGTTCCACCGTGAAAATAAAACGCGATAACTTTATTTCGGAGTTGATCTCTACGCTGGCGCCCGGCCGCATTCTCCCATATAAATTTGATTATTTTGCGTGCGTCTCCCGACATGTATTTTTTTTTTCTCGCCTCCCCTCCTTCCACCGACTCTGCGAGCCTTTTTTGTGGTTCTCTTCGAATTCTCCACTCATTCATCCGTTCGTTCGCTTCCGAATTATTCTCCTTATTATTGTTCTCGAATATTATATTTATATTGTCGTCGTCGCGCGACTGCGGAAAAATAGGCTAAAAAATGACAGTGGTCTTGGCGCATAACTAAAAGTGTAGATTTACGGTCCCATGTATAACGATATGTTAAAGACGCATCCCGCGAACCGGGACCTCTTTAAATTTTTGACATTTTGCCAATTTTCCGTAGACTCGCGACGTTGACAATATATATATATATATTTGTATTTTTTTGTTCGCATTCAACCGAAATTCCAGTTTTGCAGATTAGTCGTCGAAGAGTGTATTATATCGCATTTGTTTTTGTTTCTTTTCTTTTTCGTGGTTGACCCTACATTTCGACAAAATTGCGGCGAATCAGCACAAAACGAAGACGACGAAGACGAAGACAGCTGCAATAGGATGGTATTGCGCGCTCTAGAGTTCTCCGATTGCATATCGGACTCGCCGTGGTTTCGGCAGAATCTTCATGATCACGAAGTCGCGCTTGATGAGGCTTACAAGAATATCAAGATAATTGAAAATCAATGCCGCGAACTGATTACGTGCACAAAAAGTGAGAACTTTTTCCATTTTTGCCGCATCGCCGGATTCCCGTGGGACCGATTTTCTTTTTGTGAATTCCGCATTTATGCGAAAAAAAACTTCCGTTTGCCGACAAAACGTTTCGATGTGCCAAATTATGGACGGTTTCTTGTTGAGAAAATTGACGCTTTTTTTTCGAAGATTTAATGTTGGTTCGCTGAAGATTTCAAAACGTCGATTTTTCAAAGTGGATAATATTAAATTCATGGCGAAAAATAATCGAATTGTGTCAAACCAAGTAATTGCAAAAAAAAGCGCGAAGAAAAAACCAAAAAATTGGCGAAAAGCCGTGTAATTAAAATAATTGAACCCCAGCGAGAATTTTCGATGCAAATTGTGGGCACTTTTAATGCGCGAAACGAAAACATTTGTTTTAATCAAATGTGGATTTTATCGGCATTTGTTTGCAGAAAAAAAATGAGCGATCAACGAAATTCGAATTGATTTCAGAATTGTCCGCAGCACAACGCTCCTTTGCCAAATCGTTGACGGAATTCCGGATTGAGACGGTTGGAACGAATCAGACAGACGATGAGCGCTTCATTGGTAGCATTTTCTACTTTTCAGCTTTACCCAGTTGTATGACTCGTTTTTAGCAACTTGTCTCAAAGAATTCGCCAAGATGATAAATCAAGTTGAAGATGAGCGAATGAAGATTGTGAATCAAGCTGAAGAGAATTATCTCGAACCGCTCAAAAGGTGTTTCGAAACCTAAAACAAATGTATTTAATTCAAGTGATTATAGATTTCGAACGGAAGCAATCGGAAAATCATTGTCCGAAGAGAAGAGGAAGTACGAGAAGGAGAGTAGTAAATTTTATTCGTCGTTGGAAAAACACTTGCATTTGAGCACAGTTTGTGGACTAAATTGCAATTTTGCTTTAAATTTTCACATTTTCAGCTTCGTAAAAAAACCCAAGAATTTAAAGACGCTGATGTCCAACTAGCGACGCAACAGAAAAGTTTCTTTCAAGCTTCTCTACAATATGTTGCCGAAATACAATCGGTGCAGGAGCGAATGAAATTTGAATTTGTGGAAACCTTAAGCTCATATGTTTATTCATGGCTCTCGTTTTACCATGTCGGTCAGTCAATTTTTATTTTTTGTTATTTGAATGTTTCGCAATTTTCAAGCAATATTTCGGTTAAGCTTATTAAAATTATCAGTAAGCCAGTTTCGTCCATCAATCAAAAATAAATTCGAAATTGATCAGAAGACCAGATCGTGTCGAAAACTGCCCTTTTTGGTTTTTTCGTTGAGGTGTTCATTCAATATTCTGGTTTCTAATCCCCCTTGACTTCCTAACGTCATCTGTTTTCAGGCAACGTCATTCATCAGGATTTCAAGCCTTTTTTAGACAATGTACAAACAAAAGTTCAAAAGGTAATTTGATCGTCTCATGTTGCTTCTCATGTGATCATTGATTTCAGACCAAGGATAATTATAATGCAACAATATCGGAAGCGGAAGAACTGAAACGAAAAATGCTTGAATCTCATACAAAAGTGAGGAAATTAAAATTTGAAAAAAATCACCGAATTTGGCATTTTTAGTCTACGGGTGACCGAAGGCCGATGCCGACAATTAAACAGGGATACGTTTATATGCAGGAAAAGAGCAAAATTCCAAGTAATTCTTCAGTTTTCCTTTTTTTGAAAATAAATCATGAAAAATGATTTAGAAACGATTGGCCGTGATGTTTTGGGAAAATGGACGAAGTATTATTGTGTATATTCAAAAGAAACTAGGATATTCACTATGGTTAGCGCGAATTCGGCGACAAAAACGGTTTTCAAAAAAATGATTGAAAGTTTATTCATGAATTGTGACAATTTCAGGATATGAAAAGCGCAGTAGCTCAGACGGTTACGTTTCGCTTAAAATCTTGCCAGAAACGACAGGCCGACACCATTGATAAAAGGTATTTGATGTTTGAAAGACAAGGCATTTCGTTGATGTTTCCATTAAAATTTTCAATCCTTACAATTATGAACGAGTTATTGTTAATCTACGTGGGTGATTTCACATCACTTTTCATTTTCTTTTCACAAGAAAAATACTCTATTTATATGAAGTTTTTTGAATTTTTTCTTGGCATTCCATAAAGTGAATGTCAAGTAATTATTCTTGTGAATTACATTTTTATTCTCTATTAAACGATATCAAGAGTTGGAATGGAATAATATTAGTTTTTTTTTCATGGTGTGTTCGTACGAAAATATCTTCTTAATTTTGCTACATAGTTTTTATTTTGTTAAAAACAATACATCCAATGTTTCTATCACAAGATCACCTTCGGAGGTAAAGTTAATTACCTAGAAAATATTTTAACAACTAAATGATATCTCCAATTTTTACGCGTCGCTTTCCGGAAATTCTCGGTCGTCGACAATAAATATTTATTGTTGAAAAATAATTTAAATCAATTTTCTTTTAGTTCAAGTTCTTTGTGTTTTCAGATTTTGTTTCGATGTTTACGTTGAAGAGAAGAATGATGTGATGACGATGCAGGCGCTGTCCGAAGAGGATCTCAATGAATGGATTGATACGATGGATACGAGCAAACCGAGCGTATTCACATCAAGCGCGAATCCGTCGTATAGTACATATCAACAAAGTGAGTATTTCTTCTTCAAAATTGACATAACATGATGATCTGCGCGAAATACCGAAAGTTTTGTTCGACAGATAACTAAAATTTTGCGCAATGATACATCACTGCGGGATTTAGTGAAAGATTACGGTACCGCTAGCTTTGGGTGGTATTTTTTTTTTGTTGAAAAAGCCTACTCTCTGGAAACTAAGAAACCTATTAATTTTGTGGATTCTAATCTTGACGTCTTTAATCCATGCAAAGTTTTTGCAATGTGTGCGCACGATTGCCCCCCTACTACCACAAATGGAATGCGCGAAAATAGACACATCTCACGATGTAGTAAGTTGTGTTTCTGGGTTTTTTATTCCTCGATGTCGGCTCCGGAGTTGGTCTCCTCTTGCGCTTCACTCTTGCGCACCCCGATATATTCTTCTTCTTCTTCTTCTTCAGCAACTTCTTCTTCTTTCCATTTTAAGGCTTTTCGTTTTTTCCGCTTATCCTAAAGCCGCTAGCACCACCACCACCACCAGTCACCCACAGGGCGAAAAAAAAACAACGCGTCGGAAAAAAGAAGGGAATTTGTTTGAATGTGGCCCATTTGAATCAACACGTCGCTGTTCCATTCGCCGCCCATCTTGTCGTTTTACTGCTTTTAGGTTTCAAGAGAGTTTCTTTCACACATTTTCTCTAGTTTTTGCTAATCTATTTCGGGTTAATTCATTTATATAGTTGCATCAAGTGATGTTCGATGTATCATCATTATCATCATCAAATGAATAATGCAACATAATGCAACATACGAAAACCTATATTTTTTCTATTGTTCAATCAAGCTGGATTAGTAGGATCACGTCAGAAAATCCATTGAGAGTTGATAAGCTTATTTATTACATAATCGATGTCCCCGAAATCTGGTCCTTTGGGGATTACAAATGTAGTCTATGCATCAGAAACCTAGTTCGGATTAGCTCGCAACCATTTTTTTTGTCCTAGGTGTTACTTCTTGTTTTGAGTGCACTTCTTAGTCTTCAAATGGCTAGGTTTTAATTTTAAGGGAAAATGGTACTTGAGAGATTCCACCTTTGAATACGACAGTCTTTCGAGCATCTTTTGACGTGTGTGTTCCATTTTTCTTCATTGTTTTTCTTTTCTTTTTTTTGTCACGCAACGTATTCAGAGAAGTGCATATTTTCTTTGTGCTTTCGTGAGAATTGCTAATATTCAAATTAGGAGATATTGTGAAATATGATCCAAATTCTACACAGGAATTGAGCATGTCTTTCACATCAATCATTCTGTTCGCGGAACCTATTTTTTTCGAAGCACTTTGACCTTCAAATTTTTGGAGATATTTTCTGGAAAAAATCTGCTCAGAAAAAATAGTTTTGGAAAAACAAGCAACAAAAAAAAACAATTGAAGGAAATGAATATCTTGATGAATTACTCAAATGGGTCTCGAGGGTAAAAATCTGAAATATCATTTCTGTTATGCTGCAACCCACTTTAACACTCGAAACTTGAAAAAATTTCAAACCCTCCCTCAAATGTTTAAAATTTCCACATTCAATTGGATAATTGGAATGATATCATCTTTATTTTGATGTTTACGTTTCTCTCAAACATTTGTAGTAATATCATAAATATAAATATGAATAACTAGGTAAATTTTGATGTTGTTGTTGTTTTTTTTTTAAATAATTCTTGACGATGTTTTACGCATTGCAATGACGAGATTTTCCATGAAATATTAATAGACGTATCGCGTGATATCGTTTCTCGGCTCGTTGGACTCTCATCTGAAATTCCAACGAAAACTCCTCGTTTCTCTCATATTCTATGTGTGTTTTTGTGTTGATTCGTTTTGCGTCAAAATTGTTTCAACTAATTAAATGTTGAAAATCGATCTGCTTTCACATTTATTTATAATGTCGGGCTCTAAATCTCGAATATGATGGATATTAAATGTAATATGATGCTTTTGTTGTTGGAGGATATTAAAAGAGGATGAGCACCATTCGTTCTTTTTTTTTCCAATGAAAGTCAATCAGCCGTTCCCGATATACGCTGACGCCGTTTTTGCTCGGGTGCCGACTGACTTCTACACTGAGACCATGCGCTGATTTCCTCCAAACTTCGAATTTCGGAATTGAAGGTCTTGTGACATTTTTTTTTGAAATACGCACGGATAATCCTTCTTTTCATTCATAATTTCTGAATTTGATCCAAAATCGAATTTGAGACCTTTGAAAAACTTTGTGCTCTCCTCCCCCCTCCCAACCCATGAGATTCTTTTCAGCTAATTTGATAAATTGATTCAATTCATTTCCTCAAGTGCAAAGCACTTCAACTTCTTGGTGTGGATTTGGCGGCATTTCTTTTGAATATTGTATTTTTCTATTTTCAGACATTCGGTGAGTTCACTGCATTTTTTTCAATCGAGAATATCTCGAGTGACGCGAGTTGCAGTTTCTTCATCTTCTTTTGCCACAAATTTTCTTCCTCTTCGTTGTCATTTTTCGCATCATTTTGGCGCTTCCAATTTTTTTTTTCACACGCGCGCTTCCCCTTTGTTGTATGTGCATATAGTAGGAGGCCGAGACGAAAGAAAATTCGCAATTTCAACATCATACCATCTGTGCTGTTCTGTATGTGCGTTTTGTGTGACTCGACGCGAGCTGGAATAAAATGGACGGAAAAGAGAAGATAGAAAACATCTGGTAGCGATAATCGGCACTATGTAGTGGAAAAGAGATGAGCGCAGTTCAAAAGCAGCTCAACCATAATTTGAGCGAGAAAATTGAGCCATTTCGATTGCATTTTCATTCAAAAACGACTCGAAAACAACACAAAAACACACATGCACATGATGCTCTCTTCTCTCGCCATTAGTTTTTTTTTCTGCTGCTGCTGCCATCATCGGGTTATTATTTGTAAAATAAACGATTGCGGGATTATTGGAAAGAGTTGGAAGTTCAACGAACTCGCCGCTCCACATTTGTTCGTTTGTAGTAGGCTAATGAAATTGAAATGCGGGGTGGGAATCAAGAAGGCAATTCGCTCGAGGTATCCTCGTAAATTTACCCTTGATGGGTGAGCCAGTACACATTTTTTCGCATTAGTACAATGAGACGAATCTTGGTTAAAATCGAAATCAGCAAGCCTCATTTTCTATCGTCATTAGTTGTTATTTTTCAATTCACATTCAATTTTTGTTGAAAAGACAGCAGAAAGTGTGACTTATTAAAAATTCATTAGTGCGATGTGTGTGTATGTGTGCACTTGGCTTTTTCGAGAACGATGATTTCATTCGGGTTGTTGTTGTCGTTGTTGATCTGGTTAATGTCAATATTGGGTCGAAACGTCGAATCCTCCGGGGAAATAACTATTCCCTCTTTTCGCTTCTTATCGTCCAGGACCACACGTTCGCCTTCAAAAAAAGGTGTGGAAGAGGTGCAAAAAAAAAGGCGAAAAAAAAGGATGAAGTAGAAGAATGGAAAATAGGGAGATAGAGAGAGGTGGTGTTGGCTGTCGATATATTCTTTGCGAGCCGTCCCTTCACTTCTATTGTTCTCCTGCAACAGTTTTCGAGGAAACTTTGTCGTGTCAAAGAATAGAAGGTCTAGGTGCTTTCGAAAAAAATATAGTTCCGTGAAATGAATGATTGATGCGAAGCACTTGTCCGAGATGGGCCCTTATGGATTTTCTATTTTATTTTACCATTTTTTTTCTAACTAACTTCACCATTAACATTTATCACGTAAGAGTACATTATTTGTATGAGAAATGCGTTATCGCACAACAAACATTATTCTCATTTGATTGAAAAAAATTTTTCCTTGGATTCATTATTTCTTTGTGCTTTATAAGATCCGATCCCTCCATACTTTCTGTTATACTTCTTGTGACCTTTCAAATGGAAATTGCAAAAATTCATTAACGTAATGTACCCGGTCGCAAGGTTGGCACTTCCTTGTTTTTCTACCCTATTCATCCATTTTGAAGTGATTTTCCATCTTCATAATTATTGGGATTCTCTTCACGATGTCATCCATTCACCCATTCAGTGATGTCGACCAACCAGGCAGAAGCAGCAGCAGCAATAACATTTTCACATTGGTTGTGATGAGATGCCCCCGCCTACATTGCACATACACACATACATGCACATCCAGAGAAGCTCTCCACGCTGAGCTGGGCCGGCTGGGCTGGCCTCCGCCGTCGGCGCCATTCAATTCATTAACTTTTTGCTTGCTGGCGGTTTTTGCTTTACTTTTGGTTTAGTGGGAGCGTGAGTTTGTTTAACTGCAATTCAGAAACGTTTTTGTCTCTTCGAGACACCATTGCGTGCCAATTTGTTCAATTCTATAAATATTCTACGAATATCCGCATTTTTTCTCTATTTGTTACTTATCAGTGAAAGCTGCTCAATTTCAGAAGCACAAAAACACCTTAGAACTCTTGTGGGTGGAAAACCATCGTCATTTTTCTTTTTTCTTTTTTTTTTTGCCTCCGCGCCCCCATTGGGGAGTTGGATAATTTATGAATCATATGTTGTTTTTTCGTCTTACGTCTTCTTCTTCTTCATCTTCATCTTCGAGCCTACTCGATTCTCGTCATTCCTTTTAAATATATATCTCGAATTGTCTAGATGAGCCGTGTTTGTGAGAAACAGCGGAGCTCATCGTTCAGCGATCAGCCGGCGGCAGCGGCGGCGGCGACGGCGGCTGGGTTTGTGATGCCGACGCCAACGTTCAACATCACCGCCGGTCTGCGATCGTTTCACAAGGCATCGGCGTTTCTGCCGGGATTCGTTGTTGACAACTGTAATGGTAAGAAGGGTCTGCAACTCATCCTACAAACAGCGCTCTTAATTAGTTCATCAGAATAAAAATGGTTCATTCTTAGTTTCTACGGTAATCGTCATCATCCTTTCCAACAAATTCCTGGTTCAAAATTCACCAATATGATTTTCAGCTCAACTCGATGATGTTGGTTTCGAGTTTGTTCAGCAGTGCATCAATATACTCGAGGAAAAAGGAATCCATGAACAAGGCGTCTATCGCAACTGTGGTGTTACCTCGAAAGTGCAGAAGATGATGCAATTGGGTCTCGACAGGAGGAAAGCGATTGAAAAGGGAGGATTGAATCTTGGCGACGATGAATGGGAGACCAAAACAATAAGCAGTGCAGTGAAAACATTCCTAAGGTACTTTTGGTGTACTTCTGAATCAGTTTTGATTTTCTGTAAAAAAAAAATTCGCCCAGTCTTCTATTTTGAACATTTAATCAGCGTAATATCCTCGTATTTTTATTTCGGATATCCATTTATTCTTTATATGTTTCTAGAAATCTTCCCGAACCGCTCATGACATTCGGATTGCACAATGTGTTCATCAATGCTGCGAAAATGGACGACGCCACAATGCGCATCGACCACATTCATTTTTATGTGCATCAACTGCCGCCGCAGCATTTCAAAATGCTCGAAATCGTTATTCGTCATCTGCGCAGGTAGGCACGCATTCCCGGCAGCGTTCGCTTCTCATTCGATATTCATTATTCGCTGATTGTGCATCATTTGCAGGGTTGCCGACTTGTCGAGCGAAAATTTGATGACGGTCAGCAATTTGGGAGTATGCTTCGGTCCCACCCTTCTGAGACCGAAAGAGGAGACCGTCGCTGCAATTATGGATATCAAATTTTGCAATGTTGTTGTTGAGGTGCTCATTTCAAATTATGACAAGGTATGATTGATGCGATAGATTCCGATAAATAAATTGTCCATTCTAGATTTTCAATAGTGAACCACGATCAAACGTTGGAGCTGCAGTGCCTCCAAAACCTGACCATCATACAGCGGCATCCACAACTTCGTCGTTGGATTCCACGGGATCTGATAACTCGAGGAACAGCGCCAATCGTCATACCGGTACTGTTGCATCGCCTCTTACGAGTAGATCGAGATCACCAAAGTCTGGAGGAGGAACTGCATCGAAAATCGTGCGGAGTGCGCAAGTCGCATCAAGCTTGTCTTCGAAATCTTCGGCTCATCAGCGCCACACAATTCATCCCACCGGTTCGTTTTTTTTTAATTTTGCGGCCACGTGATGAAGATGAAACATTTTCATTTTCACATCGATGGAATTTTAAATCGACTTGAAAATGTTGTCTGGATTATTTGAGAATTCCCACATTCGTTAATAATTGAAATGTTTCAGAAATTTCACGACATGGCGCGGGATTTGATGTTACCGCAATATCCGAGCATAATTTGAGCATCATAAAAGACAAGAGCCCCACAAATTCGCCGTCTGCAGCTCATTCGACATCAGGCAAGTCGTCGACTATACGATTAGTATTGTCAGCATTTTCAGTCAATGATTACGATGAAGTGGTTCATGGACATCAAAGCTCGGATTCCCTCAATTCCTTAGGATCGAGCGTCTCCGTCGGGGATGAATCAACAGCTACTGTAGTTCTTGATACCGACTCGTATGGTAAACAAGCTGTGCGAAGTAAGAACGAGAGCAAATAGGAGATAGGGTTTAAACATTAAAATTTCAGCCAAATATAGTGTGTCTTATGCACCAAACTACAATCGAATTCCCCCAGAATCGTAAGTTTTAAATAAAACGTTCTGGGTTGTTTTATTTTTGCGCATGGTTGATTTTTCCTAAACTTCACCTTTTTTCATTTTCCCTTTGTCCTTCACCATCGCACGCTTTCCACTTTCAGCATATCATCATATTCGTGTAGTGCCGTAGACGCAGCATCGGAGAGTCCTCAACAAATGATTTATTTCAAGGCTGGATATTCACGAGCGCCGATATTGAACCAATACATTCAACCAAGGTTTGTCAATAGATATTGTGATAGAATACTCTATCCTCTTCAATTCGATTTTATTATTCTATCCCTTCGAACAACATGCTTCTATGTTTTCAATAAATTCATTTATATGAGAAGCATATCTCTGAAATAGAGCGCATGCACCGCAACACAAGCACTAGAATGAATTGTTATAGCATGCTTCTTTAAAAATGTGCTAAATTCTAAAATATACCGTTTCTCTTAATTATCAACGTGAGAAATTTTATATTTAATTGTTAATATATATTATAAGCAGAGTTTTTTTTTATAAATAATATCAGAAATACGTCTTAAAACTAGTCTTTCACTGATTATTGATACCTATCAATGTATTGGTGATTGTTCATTATATTCTAGGGTATTTGAGGATAATTTACCATTAGCTCTCTGAAAATATTCGATTCATCTAGTAGTTTAGTTTTTTGATAATCAAGTGCGGTTCGAATATTCCCCAAAATGCATAATTTTTCACGCTTAATCCTCCCGAGACATTTTTCTTTCTTTCAGCCGACGTGTGAAAACACTTTACTCGTGCACACCGGACCACGAATCAGAGCTTTCCTTTGAACCCGGCCAAATTATTACGAATGGTTTGAATTCATTTAAACCTGATAATAAATATTTGTTCGACTTTTTTTAGTTTACGAGTCGAAAGAGGATGGATGGCTTGTGGGAACTCTCAACGGCAAAACCGGCCTCATCCCGTCGAATTATGTCGAGACTCTTCCCTGATACTGTAATTTTTACGCTGTAATATTTTATGTTAGATGCTGGCTAGAAATATTATATTTCTATTAATATATTAATAAGTTCAATACTATATATATATATATATATATATATATATATATTTTATATATATTTTTCCGTTTCTTTTTTTTTTGCACTTCCTTTCCTTTCGAAAATATTATTTTTTCATTAATTTGTCGTTTCTACGGGAAATCCGGACGCTGACAAATTCGATTCGTTGATTTGTGCGAGTCGTTGTCTTCGTTAACATATAGTATTGATTTTTATCGATTCGAAACAGTATTTTCTTGTTTCAGAGAATGTGTAATTTAATGTCAACAACTCGTTGAATTAACCCCCAGAAGGATTAATAAACATCTATTTATTTTCAGAAGCGTTGTAAATAGAGTGAATCGCAAAATATGTGTAGTTTATTTTTTAAATATTGGCAAACTCATGAAATAGGGATTTCTATCGGTTTCGGCGAAACACGCAGGTTTTTAGTCGTTTCGAGGAAAACAACACATCTGTTCTATTTATATGCTATATGCCACTCATTCTCCAAATTTTGCCACGGTTTCGATGATCCTGTTTCACACGATGATTTTGTCGGGATTTTTTATGCATTTTTTGCAGAAGAATAAAAATAATATCATGTGCAGAAAGTTAACCTCTGGTAAATGATTCCTAGTCGTATACGAAAAAAAAACAGTAATTTTTCATCGTATTTATAAGATTAAATCAAAATTGTATTCGTTAATGCGCATAGTATAGGATCGTATACGATTCTGATAAATGGTTTTGTGTCGAATTAGAAGGAAATGGCGAAATAGTAAATTTTTAGAGTTGTAGCGATCCATCCAAGGAGGCCATTGTAAGGTTTAACGAATATCCGTAGTGAGTCAATTGGAATATATGATTTAATGTTGTTAGTAGTCTCCGATAGTTTAATGAAGACAACTAAAGTTTTTATTCGGCAACATATTAATTTAAATCATTTTTAAAAATTAATAAAACATTTATTTGCAAAATAAATTAATAAAAAATCACTTATCGCGGTCTATTTTTTCCTTTATTCACACTTTCTGTGACTTTTTGCTTTTTATAACTTGTGTCTCTCTTCCTGCAAATAATTTCAGTTTAACATAATCTTTTAATTTCAAAAGAAAAATTGCGTACGATAAATTATATTTTGAAAGAGTATACTCATAGATTAAACTGAAATTTACCTTAGGAAACATCGAATATTTTGTTTTACATTCCAATACTTATCCGGTAAAGTCGTCGATTCGCTCAATCTGTAAAATTTGATATAAATAACTCGAATAATTCCCACAAATAATAAAAAACACGTTAAAAACAACGAAGAATGCTGCGAAAGCACGAGATATGTATAAAAATTATATATTACTTATTAAATTTATTAATGTTTGCAAACGTTTTGTGCTGTTAAAAACAGCAAAAGAAGGGAAAAAGAAAAATATGCCGAAAATTAAAAAAAATGTTCGGTGAAAACACGTACTCTGTAAACACTATACGACTTACACAGATATACCGTACGCTGAATATTTTTTATTTTATTTTCGGCTTATTTTTCTTTTTTTAATTCTTCCTTGCAGTTTTTAACCGCAACATTCGTTGGGTCCTACCAGGAATGTGTGTGAAAGGCCCTTCGGAAAATTATTCGGGAAGTTCGGAAAATTTTGTTTCGCTTGATTTTTAACAGTTTCGACTAATTTTTTAAAGATCCTATGTACCTTTAAAATCTATTGTTTGAAAATTTCCCGATTTTTTCGGATAATTTAGGTCCGACCGCGCGAGAAAAACAGCGATCTCTGGTAGCTAAAAACCAATCGAATCGGACAAATAACCAAAAAATTTACCAGAGATTTTTTCCGCGAAGGGCCTTCCTGATGATTGAATCACTGTCAAATTAAATATTCAAATCCCCAAGAATGTTCACGTTGAATAAAATTTCGAATAAATTAAATTACGTGTGATATTTGATTCGTTAGTCTAAAACGCTTCATTTCAAAACGAGTGTTCGTTTTCAGCAGGTCCCTTCAAAATCTGCAACATTTGCACTCATTGGTCTTTGTTTCGCCGTGGGAGAAGCCCCCCTCCGGTCACATTTTCAGCGCATGTCATAGGTTGTCGCCTACAAGCATCGTCATCGATCATTGCTAAACACGACAATCCATTATCACCATCAAAATATATACATTTGAAGACCCAAGCCGCGTCCTTTATCATCATCATCCATTATTCGTAGTTTACCAACACAGTGAGCATTTCGTGTTTTTAGACGCGTTTCGCTCGCCGAAAAACTTTGCTCAATTGTCGACGCCTCATCGATTCGTGCACTATCTCGACGCCTCCAACGCCTGTTCCAATTCATCATTGTCGATCAAATAAAGTCGAAGAAGGCTGAGGAAGAGGAGAAAATCTCGAAACACACATACACACACTCGAGCCGTTCAACAATTGTGTTGTCATGTTTTCGAGCAAAAAAATTTCTTTTTGTTGAAAGAGATGAAGAAAAAAAAGAGTTCCGACAATGTTTATTTACCTACCGAACAGCCGTGTTTGACCGAGATTGCGCAATCGAAACATTATACAGTTGAACACAACGATGCGCGGAAGCCTTTTGTTGCTCGGTAATCCGAGCATATTTGATTACCTCACTCGCTCATGCGCCTCTAATCAATCATTTCTGAATGCCGACATATGATATTGATACCGAATATTGACAAGCGATGGGAGGTCCACTTTGTTTCGAATTCGTCCTCGTCTTTTAATGTTTCGAAAGAAAAAAAAACTAGCAAGAGTTCAAATCATTTTCATTTATATTATACAATTTCAGCGACCTAATAAGGAATAATAAAATTCGAGGATTTTTCGTTTGTTATCATCAATTTCTTGATACAACGGTGATTAATCGACATTGTGTTTGAACAGATGGGACGCAAATTGACGTTCAATCTTCATTTCACTTGCTTTTTTTTCAATGTTGCGATATGATGCGCTAAAATGGATTTGCTGGTGCCAATTGTGATTCTTATCGGAAAATAGTACGAGTAGGAATCATTTTATGAATTTTACGGCCTTTGTGTTTTTGGCGAACAGTCGTCGTCTGTAAAATACTTGTCCATCCCTTTGCATTTAATTGACGTTATTTGGCGACTCGTATTCGGACCCCCGGCCGAACATCTTCATCAGGAGAGGATCATATTATAATAATTATCAGAAGGCTGTCGTGGTGAGAAGTGCGCGAGTGTACATGTGCGATCGAGGGGTGTGTGTGTGTGTTGCAGTCGACTTGTCCATCAAACTGCGACATCAAAAGAAGCCGACGTGCGCGACAAAGGCTATTCGGAGGTTTCGGCGGTGGGTCGAGTTTTGAGGATGAACGACAACGGGTGTACAGGCGGCTGCAGCTCCACGCCGAGGATCATCATCAAATTATGGGTTATTATAGCGAAGAGGAGACTGGGCGAAGTGAAGTGAGTGGCGACGCGAAGGGAATGACTCGATGAGGTTCGTCTCTTAATTATTCACGAGTTTCTTTTTTTGAATTTGGGCGCCACAAAGAGCAACATTCCATTCAAATGATTCATTAATGAAACATTTCGTCGGATTGCGGTCAAAATCGCAAACGCCCTAAAGATTGCATCCAAAAATGTGTGGTTCGAACCGGTTCATTAATACCGTAACCCGGGGGGGGGGGGCACGTCGTCAAATATTCAATCGTCCACTTTATTTCTCTGCGACGTGCTTTGATGCAAACTCGTATTGACACCTAACTTTTGTTTTTCGCACGACACGCTTTTTAATCCCTGATTGATCATACTGTATGTAGTAATTAGTGAGTCGAGCAGCAGCAGCAGCAATGAGAAATTGGCGATTTATTCAAACAGGTCATCATTTGATATTCGGAAATGAACATGAAAAAGGGAACAGGAGGGGGGGGGAGGGGTATCGATTTAAAGGAATCTGTGAATAAAGGAAATGCGAAGTGCAATGGAAACGAGATTCGAACGCAAATTAAACAAAGAGAAAATATTTTGTACCGGACGTCGTTGCATCAAACTTCAAGCTAAAGCATCGGAAAATTGGAGAATCATGAAAACCTTGGACGGAAAGTGATGATTTCCACGGATTGCCATTTTTCAATAGAATAACTCAAACGTCAGATAAATATTCGGCCGGCACTCAAAAATGTTTTTTGTGATTGTCAACGACCCGTGCGATGAGCTAGTTGCTATATTAAATGAGAAGATGAAAGGGGAGAATACGGAGAGGAGTTTAATTGGAACGTAATTAGCATTTTGTCTCGATGTTTCCTTTAGTAGTGATTCAATTTAAAAAAAAGAGAAGTTATGCAGACGAAGGTGGCGAATTTGAATCCCAAGAGTTTCGCGCCAAAAATGCGCGCTCCTTTTCGCGTTTTTTCTCCTTCATGCGTCGATTTTGAAACCAGATTTTCACCTAAATATATTAAACATTGTTTTTCAGAAAAAAAACCATGTGTCAAATCACCTGAGCTTCTTGCAATTTCAAATTCGCTGCGATTTCGGTGCGCCTCGTCCGATTAACGTACTTCGCCGTGTGAAACTCCTTCTCGAGCTCCGTGAGCTGATGCGTCGTGAAATTCGTGCGATTCGTGCCGTTCTCATCGACAACCTTCTTCTTGACAACTGCAAAACGACAATATCGATATTCGGCATTTTCCCACGAAAAAAAGATTGATGATTGTCGAATGCAAATCGTCGCCCTTTTGCACCACAAAACATATGTTCGGTGCATGTAATTAGCAGTCGAAATTTGAATATTTCAAACGCCAGCCCCCCCTTTCCTTTTTTTTGCTTTTTCGATCAATCCCCTCTTCTACATATTATTAGTGTTGGTATAATCGCAACTAGAAGTTCGCCTAGAGGAGAAATTGACAAGTCTGCGCGCGTTGGGTGATCGATCGATTTACTGCGAGATGGACGCGTCGAAATGAAATCGGCTACCTTGCGGTCTCGGCGCGCGTTTCGTGTGCATCCATTTGTAGGTGTTGTGTGCCGAATACGATGTGCCGTCGGGTAGACTCGTCGGTGTCGATGATGTTGTTGTTGTGGTGCTTGTGGGTGGCGAGGCGCTCGCGTATTGGTGCGATGAATGCGCCGACCAAACTTCCGATGTTGTCGACGGGGTTGGCGCGACGGCGGCGAGATTCACTGGTGAATATGTTTGAGGATGGTGGAGTAGATCCCTGGAAAAAAATGAAACATTTCAAAAAAATTCGATATTTCATCTCAAAATTGGAAATGAAAGTAATTCATATATTTCGATTTGAGAAGATGAATTTCAAAATAAAATTGAATCAACTTTTGAAGCTCAATTTTATATGTTTTAAAATTTTTTCTTTATACCATCTGGCAAAAATAATTTTTTTTTTCAATTTAGCTAATTAAACACAATTAATTTTCTAAGAAATGTTCATCCGGAAACTAAAAGATTTTTACAAACACTAATCAAATATTCACTTTTTTTTTCTTTGAGTACATTTCTTCTCATTAAAAATTTGACACCTCTAATCGGTACAAGAATATTTCCTTCTTGTTTTTTTTTTAAATAATATTCGAATCCATATTCTCAAATATGATAACTGTATTAAAACAGTGGGCACTCCGTCATTTTTAAGCTCAACGAAAACCACCGTACCTCGTCGGGTAACCATAAGCGACAGCCGGATTCCAATCGGGATAGTACGCCGGCGGACCACCATAGCATTCTGCGGAGCTCATATTGAAGGGAATCTGAAACAGTCGAAAATTAGTGAAATTGTCTACAGTAATATTAATAAAACAATCAAATAATGGTGATAATCGTTATAACTAACAGCTGTCATGTGGACGAGTGTTAAAACGACGGCGATAAAATCGATAATGCTTGGCTCCAACAAGCAAATTCTCGAAGAAAAAAATATTTACACGAGAATTTCAGCGAATAGAAATGTCGATGCGAAAAAAGGTTAAATTATGTATGCGAAAAAAATGACAAAGAATTGAGAGGAAAAAACGAGAAGAGACGCTCAAACCGGCTATTGAATTATAAAAAGCGTCTGGTATACGGTAGCTAACCATCATTTTTCTCTATTTTAATTTATTTAGTTGAAAGACGTAAAACTAACGTATTTCTCAATGCAACAATAGTTGCTGCTCGACTAATTATGCGAATCGCGAGAAAAACCACCTGGGAAATGAATTCGGGTGGAAACGTGTGACAAATGAGGATCGAATTAATCAAACGCGTCATAAAATTCGGGAGCGATAAATCAGAGGACCAATGATATCGAACTAAGGACCGAAATGTAATAAATCATGTGTTTGCCAACTCAAACGCAAGACGGCGACCGCTCGATGGGGCGGGGCTTCCGATGATGCGCCCGACCAATGAGAGCGCCGATGAGGGGCGGAGTCTCTCTACCATATTGGAGAGGGTGGACGATGGCGGTTCTTGAAAGGGATCCGAGCCAAACAGCACGTCTATTGTTGATGTGGCCATAAGAGAACATTAGAAAGATTCGAAAACGACGTTTAGTTGGAAAAAAAACCGATTTTTTTTGGAAAAAAAGATAACCGAAATTTTTCGAATTTGCTGAAGAAAAGCAGATACTAATTATGAGCTTTAATTAGAAAAAACCTAGTTTGAGAATCTCTTTGAAATTCTCTCATCGAGCAGGAAAAAAAATATCATTTTCAAAAAGCCGATTTCGAATGAAAACCGAGGTAATAAAAAATGGAAAACGTCGAATTTTTATTTTTCGAAAATTCGATCCGGAAACATTAAAATCGCATTATGTATTTTTGAAAGTCATTATACAAAACTGCAACAAATAAATGCTTATCTCCAATCGTCAATCAAGTTTTTTTCGAATACGAGACGACTGTAACGAAGGCCGAATGTATACTATATTATACAGTAAAACATGCCGAGCGGAATTGCAAAAAAAATGGAGATTTCGAAGAATAGAATTAAGGCCAAGTTTGGAATGTTGAAAATGCTAGTGATTGAGAGAAAAGAATGGAAATGAGACGAATTCCTTGACGGAATTTGTCACAACATTTTAAGCAAATCATTAATCAAGTTGAACCTCAACTTTTCATTCAATCGATTCCGATGGAAGTTTTGGATTTCATCGTTTCTCAGATACATTTAATGTCCGGCCAATTCCATTTCGCTCATAAGCTTTTCATTGTACTCCAACACAGAATTTCAGCTCTATATGATGTAAAATGCTACTAAAATGGTCCAACGGGGGATTATCTGAAAATCCTGGCCGTTTTTACATTTGTCATCTTCAAGATTTTTCGAAAATGACAACATTCAGCTTTCAGTGTTTGAGTGAAATATTTTCTTCATTTGATTGATAAAAATTTCAATGACCCTCCCTAAAATCGAATAATTCTGTTTTCAATGAATTTTTTAAATTTCCATAAATTTTGAAAAAAAAAAATGAGATTTTGTCATTAAATTATGTATATGAGTTTAAAAGAGAATTGAATAGCTCAATTGGTTTTTTCAAATTTTAGAGACAAAAAAAACCCCGATAAATCTCAATTGGGAAACTAGGCGAAAATCGGCGCCAGATCAAAGATGTCTGAGTCGATCAAAAAACGTGCAAACAAGGACTCAATGACAAGTGCGAACTTCAATCAGCACATTCTCGTCACCCTCATGCCTATTGTCTCGATCGTGTTGCCACCTTTTGTGCGAAGGGTCCCGAAGCGAGAACGCCGACACCGACAAAGCCAAAAAAAAATGAATGCATGTATATTATTCCTGTTATAAAGAAAAATGGTTTCGACTTCATTTAAAAGCGAAAAAAAAGCAGACCGACGCTTAATTGGTGGTCGACATTGCGCACCTGTCGATTCTGTCGAGCGTCTCTCGAATCGACGTGCTCTCTCGCCAGACTATGACAGTATGCCGCAAGAAGCGAACACGAGTGCTTGACACAACATTTATGTTCTCGACGAACATAATAATAATAATAGTAATAATAATACCCCATTAATTATATATATGTCAATTGAAACAAATTTGAACCGAGGCCGGATTTCCATTGAATCGGAAAAAAAAGAAAGTGAAGCTGAAATTGAAGCAAGTCGAGCTTCGATATTCAGAAATGCACAAAATCACCTATTCTAGAGATTCCTGAATTTAGATTATTTTTGCCAAGAGCCTTTAAAATAGTGTATCGTGAAAATATTGACAAAAATAAAAATTAGTCTAATTAAAAAGCTAGGCGACAATTGAAAAAAAGAAAAAATGGCAACCTGTGCCAGCTCGAAGATTGTCATTATTACAGCATAATTTAAGGCGGGCGAAGAGGTTGTAAATCACTGACAAGAATAATGAATCGCGTCGTAATTGTTAGGTCAGACGGTCACGACAAATGACCGAAAAGATTTGAGGAGAGCACACGAATCAACTCAAACTTGAGTGATTCGGAGGATAAATTACTGTAGACCAAAATTTATAGAATAATTAAATTTAAGTTAATTGAAGATCGTAAATTATCTATGGTTTGGTTGTTTAAAAATTTCGGAAAAAAAGAATATAGCGGCTTCGTGTGGTGACTAATTAAGCAGACATTTTCAAAAATCGATAATTGCTGAGAGAAATTTGATAAGCAAAATGAATTGAAGTGAATAAAAAACGACGATATTTGTGAAATGGGTATTATCGAATCGAAATTAGTTGAATTCGATGCCCAATTGTTCCGTCAGAATTACAGTAATCCGACCAATTAATACGAGACTTTCAGACGCCAACTGCATTAGCGAATGAGGGTGTGCATCGGCGCCGAATTGTCGACGAATTGGGTGACCAATTTAGAAACGCCAAAAACAACAAAAAAAAAGGCGCTTCGAAATTGAATAGTTTCAGAAATGGAACGAAATGGCAGAAATGAGACGAGTGGAATTGGAGATGGAGAAGAAGAAGAAGAAGAAAGGGGAGAAGAAGAACGACTCGAGTCGGGATGACACGGATGGAAATGATCGATGTGTATGTCTCTGTGAGAGAAGTGTGTTTGTGAATATCATGCCAAAAATCGGGGTGGCCAAATTTGGACAAAAACTTCCGAATTCATACTACTCGTTGCTCATACAGATTTGGGGTTCTTCTTTTTCAAAGAAATTGATTGCAGCAAACGCGATTAAGGAATGGGTGGAATCTTTTGGAAACTATCGTAGGAGTGATATTTGGAGCACGAATAGAGAGCCGCCGGAAATTGTAATGAAGCGTATCTTATAAGTTAATCATGACCTTTCGTATTCACAGAATTTGCATTCCCATTTTGGGGCCTCATTTAAATAGTCACAACTTGCAACTAAAATGAACGAAAATTGGAATTTTGTTGACAATACTCAGATAAATCGAATAAAATATTTTGAGATTCATTGAGAAACTAACATGTCTCATATACATATATTTTTAATATTTTAGATTTTTTTCAATCAAAAATTTTTTTTTGAATTTATTGAGATAATTATTAAGTTTAGCGATTCTCAATAAGTTTTAGAAAGTATTAATAAACTTTAGATTTTCTCAAAATATTTTAGAGTTTATAATTGAATATTTGATTCTCAACATATTTTATTTGATTTGCCTGAGTAAGAGCAAATTAAAAACGAGAAAACTTAATAGAAAAATAGGAAGATGTATTGTTTGAAATTCAAATGAAAAATTGATTGTCGAAATGACCAATTAATAGTGTTGGCACGTCTCCAATTCTGGTAACGAATTCAACAAATAAAATAAAAATAATCAAGCGTTGTGGTAAATTAAAAATCTATTTCACTATTTGTATTTTTATTTTTAATTTTTCAAAAATTGAATTTTCAAAATAGAAATAGAAATGATTCGAATTAAAGTTTTGTTTTTTTTTTCAGAAAAATGAGATAGAGAGAAAAGTGGAATATTTTGTATGGAATTGAGCAAAATCGAAAACCTCGTATGTTGTCGAGTCACAACGAACAAAAAGATATTGAGAAGATAAGCGCTAAATCAATGATTTGTCACAATATTGGCAGAATGTCGGAACAGTGGTAATTAATCAAACGACATGAAGGAAGAAGACGACGATGATGCGGCAGAGGATGACGCGAAACGAGGAGATGCACTCTTTTAATTATTTATTTCTTTAACTTCTCCTTATTCTTAATCTCAAAAGTTAAAAAAGCCTTTTAAAAGTGTTTTAAATGTCCGCAGATTGATTCTATTCTTAATCGGCTCCGTAAGATTTTAAGCCATTGGCTTTGAAAAAAAAAACGAGCGGAATTCTTCATGATAAATTGTTGAATATTTTTAGATGGCTTTCTACTTTTTTCCGCTTGAATGGACACAATGAAAGAGAATTATTACTATTATGTCATACTGTAACGAACCGAACATAGTGAACAGTTGGTCCGTTGGCACACGAATGATCGATGGCGGATTCGGTACCGGTGCCGCAAAGAGCCCGGGCGGGCGCAGCTTGTGTAAGCCGGCAACGATGAAGAGGCACCGCGAGATTAGACCATATATCAAAATATTATGTAAGTCGCGCATTCTTCTGCTACACACAATGATGTCCCGACTGCGGGCATATTATTATTATGTGTAAATGGTTATAACGAGGATGAGCAGACGCATTCGGGGGAGGCTCATTTCTCGATCGAAATTGTAGATGTGATACAGAGATTTTGAATATGATCAATTTCGAGTCATTTGCCTATCGTTTTTCATTTTTGATGCA